ATTTTAACCTAACAACAACCCTGTGAGGTGGGCTAGACTGGGATATAATGACCAGATAGTGAGTTCCACTGTTCATAATGCTAGCACTCCTGTCCCAATTTCCAACACCTCTTTTACACAGCAGTAACTGTTGCATTATGGAAATATGGGTTTTTATCACTACAGTATAATAATAATAATATTTATTCCTACCCCGCCCTTGCTGGCCAGAGCCGGGCTCAGGGCAGCTAACACCAGTAAAATTACAGTAAAAACATAATAGGGGGGGAAACCCCAATTTAAAATACAGGTTAAAATGCAATTTAAAATGCAGCCTCATTTTAAAAGTAGCCCATAGATCAAAACCATAAGGGGAGGGAAACATAAAGGTCAGACTGAGTCCAAACCAAAGGCCAGGCAGAACAGCTCTGTCTTGCAGGCCCTGCGGAAAGATGTCAAGTCCCGCAGGGCCCTGGTCTCTTGGGACAGAGTGTTCCACCAAGTCGGGGCCAGTACTGAAAAGGCCCTGGCCCTAGTTGAGACCAACCTAACCACCTTGCGGCCTGGGACCTCCAAAGTGTTGTCATTTGTGGACCTTAAGGTCCTCCGCGGGGCATACCAGGAGAGGCGGTCCCATAGGTACATGGGTCCTAGGCCGCATACCACTGTGGCATGCTAAATTTCATGCACACGGGCGTTTGCGGTGTGACACAACCAATGCCTTGTGACATGTTGCCACCCCCCCAGCTCTTTTGGCACATGTGTGCTTCTGTTCCCTGATTATCCAGAATACCACCCAAAATGCTATTACATGAGCGATGGGGATATCATCTATGAAAACCACAAGAAATTTGTGCTAAACGTGCTAGATTCTGTTAGATTCTGTGACTTTTCTTTTTAAAAAAATAATTTTTATTACATTTTCAATTTTTGTAATCACAATATCCTTGCTCTTACCAGAGCATCGACCTCCTCCCGCCCCTCTTCCTGACTTCCATATATATTTACTTTAATCTTAGCATTTCTATAACCACTTTTTTACCTTCTTATTTTTATATTTCCCTTTGTTAAATGTAAATCAGTTCCTTATATTGTCATTACAAAACATTTCAACTCAAAGCTACAAACGTTTTGAGATGTTTACAATATTCTTTCATATATAATATAAATTTGCTCCAGTGCTTTTGAAACAGTTCATCGCGCTAATTCCGGATCTTCCCCGTCAGATTTGCTAACTCAACGTATTCCACCATCTTACTCCACCATTCTTCCAGTGTTGGAATCTCCTGTGATTTCTAAGCCAGAAGTATCCTTGCGGTCATTGTGGTATACATAAAAATAATCAAAAAATTTTTAAAAAAATTGTCTCCAATTAGACCTAGCAAAAATAACTCTGTTTTTTTACAGAAATTATATTTAAAGATCTTTTTTAATTCATTGTAAATTATGTCCCAATAAGTTTTCACCCTAGTACACATCCACCACATATGGAGGAAATTCCCCTCCTTCTCCTTACATTTCCAACAATTTTTATCTTGATTTCTAACCATTTTTTGCAAGTTTGACCGGTGTCATGTACCATTGATACATCATCTTCAATAAGTTTTCTTTGAGTGACATACACGCTGTAAATTTAATTGTTTTGGTCCATAATTTTTCCCATTTTTTAAAATCAATATTTTGTCCCAAATCCTGGGCCCATTTAATCATAACACTTTTTACCTCCTCATCCTTTGTGTGCCACTCTAGTAATAGCTTATACATTTTCGACAGTATTTTCCTTTTACTACTCAGCAATTCAGTCTCTATTTTTGATTTTGTGCTACCAAACCCGTTTTTTTTGCTATCTTCTCTAAATACATCCTGCAATTGGTGATACTGCAACCAATCAGTTAATTTTTCTCTCAGTTCTTCAAATGGCTTTACCTTTAGTTTATTATCCACTTCGATTAACAGGTCTTTGTATGTTGCCCATTCACTTCCCATGTTTTTCTTTTTTACTGCAAAGGCTTCCAACTGAGAAAGCCACCACGGAGTTTTGCGTTCTAACAATGTTTTGTATCTACTCCAAACCTCGTATGATGATTTCCTAATAGTGTGATTTTTAAAACCTCTATGTATTTTAACCTTATCGTACCACAAATACGAGTGCCATCCAAATCTATTGTCAAATCTCTCTAAATCCAATACATCTGTATTATCCAATGTTATCCAATCTCTCAACCAGCAAAAACAAGATGCCTACTAATAAATTGTTAGGTCCGGCAGGGAAAATCCACCTCTCTCTTTCACATCCGTCAAAAGTTTATATTTAATTCTTGGCTTTTTTCCCTGCCAGACAAATTTAGAAATTTATTTTTGCCAAATATTAAATTGTCATGTTCCACTAGTAATCGGGATTGTTTGAAATAAAAACAATAATCTTGGCAGCACGTTTTTATGGCTGAGATTCTACCCATAAATGATAATTTCATTCTTGTCCAAATCTTCAGATCTCTCTTGATTTCGTTCCACACTTTTTCATAGTTATCTTTAAAGAGGTTTATATTTTTAGATGTTAGCCAAACTCCAAGATATTTTACTTTTTTTGTTACCGACATTCCAGTTTTCTGTCTCAATTCATCTATCTCTTTAGTATCCATATTTTTAGTTAATACTTTCGTCTTGGTTTTATTAATTTTAAAGCTGGCTAATTGACCAAACTCTTCTATCCTGTCCAGCTCTTCAGTTGCACTGGACATTGGTTGTTCTAGTGTCAAAACCACATCATCGGCGAATGCTTTTAATTTATACTCTTTAGAGTCAATTCCAATCCCTTTAATATTTTTTGTTATTTCTATTTTATTTAACAGGACCTCTAATATTGTAATAAATAATAAAGGCGATAGCAGACATCCCTGTCTAGTCCCCTTTGTTATTTCAATTTTGTCCGTGAAATTATTATTAACCAAAAGTTTAGCATGTTGTACAGAATATATAGCATGAATACCATTTAGAAACTTCATACCCATATCCATTAATTACAGATTTTTTTCCATAAAATACCACGACACATTATCAAATGCCTTTTCGGCATCTAAAAACATAAGTACAGCTTGTTTATCCCTCCTTGAATCCAGATATTCAATAATATCTATTATATTTCTGACATTGCCTTTCATTTGTCTACCAGATAAAAATCCGGTTTGATTTTTCCCAATCACCCCTCCCAAAACTTCTCTGAGTCTATTGGCTAAAATATTAGCGAATAATTTGTAGTCATTATTTAGGAGCGAGATTGGTCTATAATTTTTAACTTGGGTTAAGTCTGTACCTTGTTTAGGAATTAGGGTAATGTAGGCCTCCCTCCCCGACTCCGGAATTTTATTTCCCATTAAAATGTTGTTCATTACTTCCAGTAAGGGAACTGACAGCTGTTCTGTACATTTCTTATAAAATTTGGCTGTCAAACCATTAGGCCCTGGGCTTTCCCAATTATTGCTTGTTTTATTGGTGTTTTCACTTCGTCCATCATTATAGAAGAATTGAGCTCTTTTTCTCTGTGGGAATTTTCTGCAGCCTATTCATTTCCAGAAATTTTTCTATTTTTCCTTCATCTTCTTTCTCTTTTTTATATAAGATTCTGTGACTTTTCTGTTGTTTGAAAGATGACATGAAACATTGAAATTAATGGGTAACGAAATGTCAGGAAGATGGAATAAAGTGCCATCTGAATGCAGCTTTTGTTTATGGTGATACCCCATATGTGGAACTCACTGACCCAAAAGGTTAAGTTTCTGTGCTCTCTATGCCCAATGGATCTTAATTCCAGATAAGTGTGTATAGGATTGTGTCCTTATAATGCAACCCTGTGCATTAAGTATAGAATTAATTAGATATAAGCCACCTTGACTTCATCATTTTTACATGAAAAAGAAAGAAAGAAGTCAGCTGGCAACAGTCTGCTTAGCTGCTGCTTTCTGGAAACGGTCATGCAATAATGTACAATAAGCCATTCAATGTCTGAAATAGCAGCTCAATCTCATGCTTCAATTCCCATAACACAAATCAAAATAAGGGACCCCAAAGCATTATAAAACAGTGTGTAACATTGTGATCTCCTTGCAGGGCTGGTTCCAGACGCTTGTAATGTTGAACATTTGCCAAGACTCCAAGACCAGAAGGACAGCCTGTTCCAAAAGCACAGGGGTCACCAATGTCTTCTTGGTGTCCCTTGAATGAATCATATCCCACAGATAAATAAAATGAAATAAAATCTGGTTATTTTTTTAAAAAAATGCTTGTAGTATTTTTAGAACCTGAGATATGAGACAAAACACAGATACCCTCATTTTTTTGAGAAATCAGCCAGTTCAGCCCTTTCACTGCTTTATCTCCTCAAACACCTTCAGAAGAATTCCTGTGGGTGTCCATCGGAACATAGGAAGCTGCCATGTTGTTGTTTAGTCGTTTAGTCCTGTCCGACTCTTCGTGACCCCACGGACCAGAGCACGCCAGGCACTTCTGTCTTCCACTGCCTCCCGCAGTTTGGTCAAACTCATCCTGGTAGCTTTGAGAACACTGTCCAACCATCTCGTCCTCTGTTGTCCCCTTCTCCTTGTGCCCTCCATCTTTCCCAACATCAGGGTCTTTTCCAGGGAGTCTTCTCTTCTCATGAGGTGGCCAAAGTCTTGGAGCCTCAGCTTCAGGATCTGTCCTTCCAGTGAGCACTCAGGGCTGATTTCCTTAAGAATGGATGCATTTGATCTTCTTGCAGTCCATGGGACTCTCAAGAGTCTCCTCCAGCACCATAATTCAAAAGCATCAATTCTTCAGCGATCAGCCTTCTTTATGGTCCAGCTTTCACTTCCATACATCACTATTGGGAAAACCATGGCTTTAACTATACGGACCTTTGTTGGCAAGGTGATGTCTCTACTTTTTAAGATAGAAGCTGCCATATAATGAGACAAAGCATCACTCCATCTAGCTCAGTATTGTCTACACTGACTGGCAGGAGTTCTCCAGGATTTCAAACAAATTGGAGATGCCAGGGATTGAACCTGAGAAGTTCTGCATGCAAAGCAGAGGCTTTGTCCCTGAGCTAACGGCCTTCCTGAAAGATGCACTTGGTGAACTGAGGAAGGTGTTTGTATGTGTATGGGAGAGAGAGATAAAGAGAGAGAGAGGTGCATGTGTGTCTGTGACCTGTATCTCTCACCTACCAGTCCAGTGCCAGATCTGACAGAAAAGATGGCAAGGCTGGAGGTGAGGCAAGCCAGGACAAGGTTGGAGGCTGCCAGGAGTCCTGCACAGGTGTTCTCTCTCATTCGACAGGGAGAGCCAGGATTGAGCCAAGGTAAGGCAAGAAAGGCAAGAAAGATAACAGACAGCTCCAAGTGAACAAGGATTGGGAGCAGACTGGAGCCCCTCAAGCCTCTGTCCCCACACTGCCTCCTCCAGGCTCCACCCTCTCGTGGAGAATGCCTTAAAGGGCCAACCCCCTGCCTTGAAGCTAGGAACCCCCCCACACACACACACCACCTTCATTCCATAGCCTCTCTCTTGGTGCTCTCTCTGTGCTGCTGGACTGGCGAAGTGTGGTGGGACACATCTAGTTCCTCAGGCTCAGGAGAAGGCATCCACAAAGGTCTGTGACGTCCCTAGGGCAGGGGAGTTTCCGTCTGTCATTCTCAGACACAGTGATCCCCTCATCTCCTGCAACCAGCTCAGAGCCCTGAGCTTAATCAAACTGCTTAGCTGATACCGCTACAGCCCCCAACTCTGTTTTTTTATTATAATTATGCTTATAATTATTTTATTATTTTATTTATGCTTTCCTGCGTATTCCAAATGAACTTAATTTACTCATTTATTCATCTACTTCAAATATATACTCTTATGAAACTGCAGCCCCCAACTCTGGGTCTGGATTGCAGCTGGATTCAAGGGCCATGACAATTTGTGTGCATGACGAGGTGCATGTGAGTTCTCGAATATGTTGGGCTGCTCATTTGTGCTTTGTAGCAATGCAACAGCCAATCGTTTCCCTCTTCCCTCCTGATCCTTTATTTCCTTTTGTGTCATCTCCCTTTTAGGTTGAAGGTCTGAGGGCAGGCATGGTGTCATTTTAATTAAATTGCAAGCCACTGTGAGAGCTCTTATGGGTGAAGAACACAGTAGAAATGCTTTGACCGGATGAGGAATGAATGAATAGTTCACTATCACATACAGAAGCCGGCCTACTTAGTTATTGATAAATCATGAACAACGTGTGCATATCATCCTGGTTTCCAGGAGTTCCTACAGGAAAGATGATTCTCAGCAGAGTGCTGCCTATGGAAAAATAATCCAATAGCAAGCTAATAAGCACACCATGTCTTCATCAGCAGGACTCTGTTTCTAAGGCAGTTCCCATAGAGACATCAGCTGTGCAGGTCTGGGCAGCCAGCCACAGAACTCTTATTGCATCATTGCTCCGTGACCTAAATGAAGACGATTTAAGCTGTATCCTTAAGCAGTTTATCTTCATTCCTGAAACAGCATTTGACTCATGGCAGGACAAGACACACCTGCACACATAAACAGATGACTGAGTGGGACAAATGACTAAAAATCTTGTAGGTTAACTAGAAAGGGGAGTTAAAGCATGGATGAGACACTGACTCCATAGATCAAATGCTGCTCAGGACATTTATTTATTATTTATTTAAACAAATTACTTGATTGTAAGATAACCTCTAATGAGTTTACAAAAATATAAAATTAAACTAAAAGTATCAATAAAAACACATACAGGTATTTTAAAATATTCAAGAGATCGTGAAAATCAACAGTGCTTTAAAAAGAATTTTAAACGCATGAAACCTCCACATGTTTGGATAGGTTTAGCTAAGCAAAAATGTTTTTAAGCAAGCACCAAAAATAGAACAGTGCCTCATGACAATAGGCAGGGAGTTTAGGTGCTGCCCCACTAAAAGATTGATTTCTTACAAAAGCAGGATGAGTACCAAGTGGCAACTGTAACGGTGCCAGTACTTTGCCCTTCTTCATATTCAGATATCTGGTTGGATTACTGCAACATGAAAGACTTGGAAGACTGTGGACGCTTCAGCTAGTTCAGGTTGTGGCAGGCAAGCAATTCACCTGGGGCCTGCTGGGTGGAACAGTGTTAAGTATGTATCTTGCTCTCTGGGACTTTATGGTCCAAATCGGTCATATACATGCCGACAGCAGCTCTGGACTCACTGAGTCAGTGACTATGAATTTACTACTATTTCATAGGACTTAGAAAAACATTCTAAAAGCCGTTGACAATTAATCATGGTTTCCATGGTTAATACCTGTTGTTTCTGTGAGCAAAGTTTCTGAGTAATGATCATTTTCTTTGGAAATTCCCTCCATCAAGAGCCAAGTTCTTTGCGGTGGTGAAGACAATCACTTCCTCAACAAACATTTCCTCCTCTCTGGGTTTCTATCATCTTTCTTATCATGAATATGATACATTAATGTCCTCCATCAGCACCACGGAGAGGTTTCTGTGGTTGACCTCCTTTCCTATCTTCTATAATCAATGCTGGAGTCCTGCGTGCAACAAAAGAGAGCCAAATGCTTTGCAGGCCACTTAGCATGCAGGCTAATGTACTATCTGAGCACTCGGGGCTCTTTTTAGAGTGTTGCCATTTGTCCACAAGTTCAAAGATAGAGGAACACTCCACTTCTATTGAAATAAAGGAAGTTTTGCTGCTGCATTCCTGGAAATCAAATGTTTTGTTTCTGGGCAGTTCCACAGCGCTACCAACAGACACATCCAGGTCCAAATATTACTGGTCTTAAATAAGAAAAGTGTGCACTAGTTTCAGTCTATTTGAATGCATTTTATTCCATTATGTCTCCCTGCTTATTTAACTTATATGCAGAATACATCGTGCGAAAGGCTGGGCTGGATGACTCCCAAGCCAGAATTAAGATTGCCGGAAGAAATATCAACAACCTCAGATATGCAGATGACACAACCTTGATAGCAGAAAGTGAGGAGGAATTAAAGAACCTTTTAATGAGGGTGAAAGAGGAGAGCGCAAAATATGGTCTGAAGTTCAACATCAAAAAAAACGAAGATCATGGCCACTGGGCCCATCACCTCCTGGCAAATAGAAGGGGAAGAAATGGAGGCAGTGAGAGATTTTACTTTCTTGGGCTCCATGATCACTGCAGATGGTGACAGCAGTCACGAAATTAAAAGACGCCTGCTCCTTGGGAGAAAGGCGATGGCAAACCTAGACAGCATCTTAAAAAGTAGAGACATCACCTTGCCGACAAAGGTCCATATAGTAAAAGCTATGGTTTTCCCAGTAGTGATGTATGGAAGTGAGAGCTGGACCATAAAGAAGACTGGTCGCCGAAGAATTGCTCTGGTCCATGGGGTCACGAAGAGTCGGACATGACTAAATGACTAAACAACAACAAATGCTGGGGAATAATTGTGGGGGTTTTTTGCTAGCCTGTCTTGAGCTTTCAGAATCAGGCTCTTTGTTGAGAACCAGACCAGGACTCTAACCCTTCTGTAGTCTAGGCACTAGTTTAGGTTCTTGTGAGGCTTGTGGGGCTGCCTTTGAAGATTGTTTGGAAACTGTGGCTGGTTTAGAATTCAACAGCCAGATCGCTGACCACAGAAAATTGTTCTGATCATGTAATCTTGACTCAACAGCAAAGGTTACCAATTAGTTTCTGAGCTCAATTTAAGTTCTGGTTTTGACCTATAAAGCCTTTATGGAGTTCAGGACCTCAAATTTTAAGGGTCACCTCTCCCCCACATGAACCAACCTAGACATTGCATCAATCACTTTTTACATGTGCCGTCTCCAAGGAAGGTGCAGAGAACAGCAACACGAAAACAGATGCTATTGGATTCCAGCTCCCATCAGCCTCAGCCACCAGGGCTAATAGTCAGGAATTGGTCAGGAATTTCCTTTGTTCCAAAAGGAAACACAGACTCTGATAAGTGTGCCTGGTATCCCAGGAATCTCACACAACCCAGAGATTGGGGTGGCGTGTAATAATACATTGGTGGTTGAATTTTTTGCAGGGAGCTCTAGGCAGCAGCGTAAACAGTGATTGCTTGATTTCATCCAAACAGCAACCTAGTGAGGTAGGTTGAGAGAGTCTGAGAGATTTACATGGCTGACCCAAAGGCATCCTGACATCCTTCATAGGGCTGAGCAGGGGCTTGAACCCAAGTCCCCCTGACATTTAGGGCTCATTCACACTGACCTTTTGCCCCAGTCTTTCCAGGCACAGGTCTGTGCTTAAAAGCTCTGTGTCCAAGCGTTGTTGGTTTTTGCCCTGAGTTTTCCCTGAAAAACCTACTCTTTAGTGCTCAGTCAGACCAAACATCAATTTGGGTTTTCTGCAGATGGCTCTTTGCTCCAACTGAGCTTTCAAGAGCAGGTTTTCATGAGGAATACTCCAGTGTTTAAAAAATGGCACCCAGACACAGAGGTTTAATGTGCAGACCACACCTTGAAAGAGTGGATGAAAGGTACAGGTTATAGACTCCGCTAACCCAAAAATAGTACCTTGGGTTAAAAACTTTGCTTCAGGATGAGAACAGAAATCATGTTCTGGCGGCGCGGCGGCAGCAGGAGGCCCCATTAGCTAAAGTGGTGCTTCAGGTTAAGAACAGTTTCAGGTTAAGAATGGACCTCCAGAACAAATTAAGTACTTAACCCGAGGTACCACTGTAATTGTGGATAAGCTCTTAAACCACACCACTACCCTTGCTCTGTGTGAACTTCCCTGCTTATTTGATATCGCCTTGCATTTTTGACCCTGCCCAAATCTCCCTAAGTTAAGAGATGGCAGGGCATCTCTGTAGCTTGTTCTGAGCTTGGCCTGATGTAGAGAACAAGAAAAAAAAATTTCCCCCTCTCTGCCCAGCGCCCCTTCAGTGAAGCAGCAGGAGGCGCTGCACAGAGAGGAGGAGAACTTTCCCCCTCTTGTTTTTCCGCTCTAAAACAAGGTGCCTTTTAAGGTGCGTTCAGGCGGCTACCTTGGAAGCCTGGAGAGCGAGAGGGTCGGTGTGCACTGACCCCTCTCGCTCTCCAGGCTTCAGGTTCCTCAACCTGCTCTTTGGGGCTGGCGGGGGAGCCCACCACCAGCCCCAAAGAGCAGGTCAGGGAGCAGCGGAAAGGCGCAGCAGAGAGGCTCCTGCCATAGCCGCGTGTCACCTCTCCAGCCGGGAGAGGGTCGCAGGGCTATGGCTTCTTTAGTCCCGCGTGCGCTCTCCCGGCTGCAAAGGTGACGCAGGGCTGTAGAGGCTCCTGCCATAGCCATGCGTCACCTCTCCAGCCGGGAGAGGGTCGCGGGGCTATGGCTTCTTTAGCCCCGTGCACGCTCTCCCGGCTGGAGAGGTGACCCGGGGCTGTAGAGGCTCCTGCCATAGCCGCGCGTCACCTCTCCAGCCGGGAGAGCGCGTGCGGGCTAAGAAGCCATAGCCCCGCGACCCTCTCCCGGCTGGAGAGGTGACGCGTGGCTATGGCAGGAGCCTCAATAGCCGCGCGTCACGTCTCCAGCCGGGAGAGGGTCGCGGGGCTATGGCATCTTCGCTCCATAGGACGCACACACATTTCCCCTTCATTTTTGAAGGGGAAAAAGTGCGTCCTATAGAGCGAAAAATACGGTAAATTAGAATCCGTGTGCAGCTTGCAGGCTATGAGGCTTCAAGGACGCTGTCCTGGTATGTGCTGGAGCTCTGCCAGAACCAGAGTAATTACCATAATTAAAGAAATGGGGAAGTTGCATCCAGATTCCTGAGTGCTTTCATGTCACCTTTTTATTGCTTCCGCTTATGTTTTTCTTCTGCCAAGCCAGAGATTAAACAGTGGTGTTTCTGAAACATGTTTCTAAAGGATGCGTAAATCCCTTACTATCGCTTAGTGTAAATTTCAACTAAGAGTTCTAAATGAATCCTGCTAATGAATTTAGTTGTTTACAGTGATTTTTCAAATACGGTGGTACTTCAGGTTACAGATGCTTCAGGTTTACAGACTCCGCTAACCCAGAAATAGTACCTCGGGTTAAGAACTTTGCTTCAAGATGAGAACAGAAATTGCGTGGCGGCGGTAGTGGGAGGCCCCATTAGCTAAAGTGGTGCTTCAGGTTAAGAACAGTTTCAGGTTAAGAACGGACCTCCAGAATGAATTAAGTTCTTAACCTGAGGTACCACTGTACATTATATAGTATATGATGAGGAATATTTTCACCTGGTGCCCAAAAATGTACAGTGAAGGTGCCAGATGAGCCTCCCTGGGGAGAGCATTCCACAAACAGGGAGCCGCTGCAGAAAAGGCCTGCTGTGGTGTTGCCACCCTCCACACCTCTTATGGAGGGGGCACATGAAATAGGGCCTCAGATGATCATCACAAAGCCTGGGTTGATTTATATGGGTTTATAGGATGGGAGTTGTAGTCTTGCAACATCTGAAAGGTCACATGTTTCCCATCCCTGTTCAAGAGGGAGAATAATATGTTGTAGTTTGTTGTTGTTGTTTAGTCGTTTAGTCGTGTCCGTCTCTTCGTGACCCCTTGGATCAGAGCACGCCAGGCACTCCTGTCTTCCACTGCCTCCCGCAGTTTGGTCAAACTCATGCTGGTGGCTTCGACAACACTGTCCAACCATCTCGTCCTCTGTCGTCCCCTTCTCCTTGTGCCCTCCATCTTTCCCAACATCAGGGTCTTTTCCAGGGAGTCTTCTCTTCTCGTGAGGTGGCCCCGGAGTGCACACCGACCCCTCTCGCTCTCCAGGCTTCCAAGGTAGCCGCCTGAACGCACCTTAAACAGCACCTTGTTTTAGAGCGGGAAAACAAGAGGGGGAAAGTTCTCCCCCTCTCTGTGCAGCGCCTCCTGCTGCTTCACTGAAGGGGCGCTGGGCAGAGAGGCGGAATTTTTTTTTTTTCTTGTTCTCCCCCCTCTAAAACAAAGTGCGTCCTATTGTCCAGTGCGAAAAATACGGTAAACACACACAAAAGTAGGTTGTTTCATTAACCATTTATGGGGGAAATAGTTGTTATTATTGACGTTGGAGACAGAGGACTGGGCAGTGGTCAGTCCCTTTGCCGGCCAGCATCTAATCAAGGAACTAGCCCCAAACTGGGAGCAGAGAAAAGGCAAAGAAACGTGAAACCAGGAGCAGCCTCGCCCTCCTGTCCTTGTAGTGAGGCGCTCTGGGCAACACATGTTCCTCCAGCAGTGCTTCCCCACCTTCCTCTTCCCTCTTCCCTCCTTGGTAGCAGCAGAGCTCTCCCACTCCCTCCCTCTGGGCTAGCCCAGAGGCAAGACACATGTTGGCATCACAGCAGCCCCCCAGAAATTTGTGCTGGGGCCATGGCCCCCCCCTGCCCCCCACACCACACCACTGGTTGGAGGGCAGTAACATTTCCTGTTTCTTTTTTTTTTAGAAAAAAAGATTTGTTTTATTTACAAATATCAGGATATTGTCCTTGAGGTCTTACTTGAAGTTGGAAAATTACTAAGAATTCCAAACAGCAGGGAGGCATTTGAATACTGTTCTCATCATCTATACATGAAATAAATGTTTGCCATGTAGTTAAATTTTATTATTATTATTTTATCCTCGAGTTCTTATTGTTGTTGGAATCTCTCTGTCTTAAGAGACCCTGGTGTGAGCCTCGTGGGGTGACCTGGAGCATGGAGGTCCTGAGCTGCCCAGACAAGCAAGTCTGTTAAATCTGCTACCACCTTTGCTCTCACCCAAAACAGATACCAACACAGACTTTCAACTTTAACATCAAGCCCTCAGTTTTACCCTCCCCTCTCCCTGCTTTGTTTAACACCCAGCCTGACAAAGAATTCTGGAAAGACTAGAAACCTTGCTTACTCTTTTGTGGGCATTTCATCTTTTCTAATAAGGATTTTGGTCTCCTGTGGATTTTTATTTATATATTTTTTTCATGTGGAGCATGGAACACATATACCTCTGGCTTTTTCTCTACCTCACAGGATTGTCGTCAAGGCAGGGGGAGAACTACGTTGGCCAGTTTGAGCTCCAAGAAAGAAAGTTTGAATTATAAATGTAATAACTGTGGGTTTTTAAATGAATCTGCACTCTACTCGCGTTGCTCTAGGACTGCAGAACCAGACGGAGCTCATAAGGCCAAGAGCGAAAACCAACCTTGTTCCTCTCGCTGCTTCTTTCCTCTTTATATTGTGCCTTTTAGATTGTGAGCCTGCGGTCTTTTAATATAATATGTACATCACGTAGGGGGGAAAATAGGTGTATTATAAGTGCTAAATTAAGAATGAGGTGTGACTTTTAGAAGACATCTGAAGGCAGCCCTGTACAGTGGTACCTCGGGTTACATACGCTTCAGGTTACAGACTTCGCTAACCCAGAAATATTACCTCGGGTTAAGAACTTTGCTTCAGGATGAGAACAGAAATCGCATGGTGGCGGCATGGCAGCAGCGGGAGGCCCCATTAGCTAAAGCGGTGCTTCAGGTTAAGCACAGTTTCAGGTTAAGAATGGACCTCCGGAACGAATTAAGTACTTAACCCAGGGTACCACTGTATAGGAAAGTTTTAAATGTTTGATGTTTCACTGTGCTTAAAACCACCCAACCACCCATTATTATAGGAGCCAACTCCTAGGGGCCAAGGTCTCTTCAGCCCCCTCCAATAAAATATTTGAGGAGGCCCGGTCCCCCAAAGTTGATGGACATTGCCATTCTTGTGCACCACAACATGGGATCAGTTATGAATAAATTATTTTATTCAAGTTGGCACCCCTGATCTAATACTAGTCCTACTCAGAGCAGACCCATGACTAAGACTGTGTACACACTCCAGTTTATTCTGCATCCAGTCCACCCCTGCTACTGGTTTGAGAACTGGCATACACACATCAACGGCAACCTGTGTCTAGCCTGTCTTTTTCTCTCTTTTTACAAAAAACTACACTTTGATACACCCCACAATCAGCTTCAACCAAAATTAAAGAAAAGTAATCAACCAGCTGTGTTTTAAGCCAGTTAAATGTTCAGTCTACTCTGAACAGAACTAAAGTTGGCTGCAAACCAACCACCATCATCAGTGTCAAGCGCCATCTGGCTCTTATGCCACTATCTTAAGAGCCAGGGGGAGCAAGACCAGGGTCCAGGTTGAGTAACACTAAACCACCTTGGCTATGAGTCCTGAAAGACCCGCTCCCTGCCTTACAGGCCTTTTCCCACCTGGCCTGGGAGGGCAGGGCTGGACTGACTCCAACTGCAAAAGCTGAGGCTGCTGAACAGACTCTTCCACTAGGGCTTTTTGGGGGGGAGGGGGTTGTTTCTGGTTTGGATATTAATTTTTGGTGCCTTTATTTTAAATCTTACTATGATTTATGTGGAAATTGTTCAAGTTGGTTGTATACGTCCTGATGTTTTATTGCTTGACTTTTGTTGCATTTGCAACTACAATTTTTTCTCCATGTTTTGTGCAGCCTTGAGCATGCTTTTCACTATGTCAAGGCAGTATACAAATAAAACTATGTGCCATGCAATACTGTGCATGTTTTTAGCCTTTCTCTAATTTATCTAAAGAAGGCTGATCGCCGAAGAATTGATGCTTTTGAATTCTGGTGCTGGAGGAGACTCTTGAGAGTCCCATGGACTGCAAGAAGATCAAACCTATCCATTCTTAAGGAAATCAGCCCTGAGTGCTCACTGGAAGGACAGATCGTGAAGCTAAGACTCCAATACTTTAGCCACCTCACGAGAAGAGAAGACTCCCTGGAAAAGATCCTGGTGTTGGGAAAGATGGAGGGCACAAAGAGAAGGGGACGACAGAGGATGAGATGGTTGGACAGTGTTCTCGAAGTTACCAGCATGAGTTTGACCAAAATGCGGGAGGCAGTGGAAGACAGAAGTGCCTGCCGTGCTCTGGTCCAGGGAGTCACGAAGAGTCGGACACGACTAAACAACAACAACAAAAATTTATCTGCAAGCAGCCTTGAATTCCCGATCTGGGGGGAAAGCAAATGATAAGAAAGAAGAAGAAGAAGAAGAAGAAGCAGCAGCAGCAGCAGCAGCCCGGTCGCGCCCCGGGCATCAGCAGATGAATGGGTGCGAGCGAAGATGAGCGGCTTTGCGCCGTAGCTCCGCCCTCCCTCCGCGTTTTCTCCGCCACGCGAGCGCGGTGGCCAATCTCTGCCTCGCCAGCGCGGAGCAGCGGCGCCTGGCAGAGCGAAGGCGAGCGCAACTCCGCCGCCCTGGAAGCGCGTGCGCGGGTGTCTCATTGCGTACGCGGAGCCGGAGAGCGAGGCAGGCAGAAAGGTCCCCTCGGCCCTTGGGATCCTCGCAGGAGGAGGCGCGCAGGTGGGTTCAGCGCTTGGGGATGCTGGCGGTGGGGGAAGAGAGCGCAGGGAGGGCTCCGGGCTCCAGAAGCGTCGGTTTGTTGGCCCATCTGGCCGCTCTCTAGCCCGGAGAGGTGGGTTGGGGGGCACCGGAATTGCGGGGCTTTGGCGGCACCCCCGACTCAATGCCCCCGTTGTCCAGGTGTCTCTCCGTAGGCAGGCCGCGCTGGCCGAGGGAGGGCTTTGGCGTGCGCTTTTACGCACGTCAAAATGGAGAGGACGCGGAGGGGGCCCGGAAAGCAAGGAGACCGTTGCAACCTTCTGGAAGGGTGGGCTCGCTGGCGGCCGGGCGAGGCGGGGAGGTGGGAGGAAATGGGGTTCGAGGGCAGGGATGCGCCCCCTCCTCCGCGTGGAGAATTCTGCCTCGCCACCAGCTTTCCTCTCCTCCCTTCCTTACCCCCACAAACCCACACCAGCCTCTGCCCTCGCCATGTTAGCAAAGATGCGGGAGATGCTGCTTTAACGGCCGAGCGATGGGCCTAAAGATTGCTGTGGAGAAGGGAGGAAAGCTGCCCCACACATTCTGGGTCAGACCAGGGCCGGATTTACTTAGAAGCTAAACAAGCTGTAGCTTAGGGCCCCGCTCTCTTGGGGGCCCCAAAACAATTTTAAGGGGGAAAAACTGGATGTACATTTCCAAAATAGAAGATAAAAAAGAAATAAAATACTGTAAAACCTACATACAGCAACAGTGTTTTGTGTTGTGTAGGCTCCTATGATGTAAGCAGCCTGCTAGCCTGCTCCCTCACTAGTTTGCTCTTTTTTATGTATAGGGTGACTACATTCTGCATGGACTGGTTGCATTAGTTTGAGAAAATACATATTTTGTTATGTGCAAATGGCTTTAGATACCTATTAGGTCCATAAATTATATTATTATTATTATTATTATTATTATTATTAAGCATATATTCAACACAAAAAAACAGTGACAATTGGTTGTTGACAAAGGACAGCTGGGCATATAAAGGGCCCCATTACCTTCAGTAGCTTAGGGCCTCATCAAACCTAAATCTGGCCCTGGGTCAGACCGTTTTTCCATCTGCCCTGGCATTTTGCTGTATACACGCCATTTAAAGCGCACAGCCAGCAATCCTGGGAACTGTAGTTTGTTAAGGCTGCTGGGAATGGAAGCTCTGGGGTAAATTGCAGGTCCCAGGTTTCTTGTGGTGGGGGTGCTTCAAGGGTTTGTGCACAGCCAATGTCTGCTTTGGTTGGCAGTGGTTCGCAAAGGTCTTAAGCAGACTCCTTTCCCAGCATCTATTTTACAGCCTTGTATGTTCCTTACTACAGTGGTACCTCAGGTTAAGTACTTAATTCGTTCCGGAGGTCCGTACTTAACCTGAAACTGTTCTTAACCTGAAGCACCACTTTAGCTAATGGGGCCTCCTGCTGCCACTGCGCCACCAGAGCATGATTTCTGTTCTCATCCTGAAGCAAAGTTCTTAACCTGAAGCACTATTTCTGGGTTAGCGGAGTCTGTCACCTGAAGCGTCTATAACCTGCAGCGTATGTAACCCGAGGTACCACTGTACTGAATCACTGAAGCAAAGTGTCTGCTTTGCCACTGAACTATGGTGGTCCCCCTTCTATTGTGATCCCTTTTCTGGATAACATACCATGGAATTGCCCCCTTTCCCCACCTTCCAGACTTATTTTCTAACATTTCATTTCTGCATTTTAGCTTCTCTCTCTCATGGCAAGAAATCTTTGCTTGCTTATAGCATGTCAGCCATGCTTCTGGGCATTATATAACAACCTTTGACACCACGAACACCTTGGTTGGTTGTACAGCCCTCTTGGAGCAAAGAATGTTGCTTTTGGATCATTTTGCATCGCTCCCAGAGATTGCTTGTAGGAGGAATGAGAAAGATCCCCTAAAGGTTAGGCATTTTCCTGCGAAGGATTATGCCACAGCAAGCTTTAAGGTGCCATGCACATTTGCTTATGAAAACGTTTTGTCAGGATCATCTCAGAAATTTGGAAATTTGCAAGGGATGAAATGTGCATTGAATAAATGCATTTGCAATCGTTCTTCACCTCTCTGGGCATCAGAAGTGAATCCTGCTCACGCAGCAGCAGTTACAGGGTTAAAAAGACATGCAGTTCCAAGCCAGTAGTTTTGCCTGTCTTCTGGCTCCACAGAAACCCTGGTTTGTAAAGGGAGCTCCTGTCACTCTGCCAATGCCTGGTGATTCCCCTGAGCAGCATTCCCCATAGGTTTCCAACCATTGAAGACTGGTTGCCATCCTCACTCAAAGCAACTCCCTGTATGAGCACCTTGTGGCAAAACTGTCACTAGATCTGCTGCCATGATTAGTTGATAGTTAAGACAAGGATGATTTGAAGTTTGCTAAGTCAAAATAAGAAATAATGTATTTTCCTTGTGTATCAATAATGATCTGAGAGTACAGCAAAAAAACAACCACCAGCTAACACCTTTGCAAAGCTAAGCAGGGTCCATTATGGTTTCTATGACAACCATCAAATCCTGCACTTATTTAGTCATTAGCAGAATGCAAGCTGAGGCACACCGCTAATGGGCTTTACGATTAGAAAGGTCATAGTTTGCTATATCTAACAGTGCTCATGTATTTTTTTAATAGATGTGTATAGCTTATGAAGCAATATCCTGCAATCAGATGGTTGGGGTTTTTTTTAATATTTGCATAACAAAACTGAATAACTTTGTGAGTGCGATAAATACTTTAACAGATTCCACATTGATAGGGGCATTAAGTAAATTTTTGTTTGGTTGCCTCAAATGAAAGGTATAAAACACTCAAACCTGCAGTTAAAATTCATGCAGCATATTGCTGCCAAAGGCCTAAGGTCCAAAATTCATGTGACAGTAAAATGATGCGTCCCCATACCGAATAAAGTTGGACTTGTAGGTCACCATACCAAAAAGGTTGGAAGCCACTGCCCTAGAGAGCATGCCCCAGGGCTTTGCCAAAACACTCTCTTGCTATCATAACTGTGCCATGCTTAAAATGAGGTCAGAAAAGCTTTGCTCAGATTGATCTGTCAATAACATTCACCACAGATTTAAAAAACATGAGCGTTTGGTGAGAGCAGTCCAGATTAAAGAGGTGGTTCTGTTATTTTCTACAAATATTTCTCTACAGTTGTTCCAAATCATGAATTTAGTAGAGGCAGAGGCGCTGGTTAGAGCAGGGGTAGCCAGCATGTAATAATGTGTATACAGCCTAAGTTTGTGCATAACACTAGCACATAGCATTGATGCAGGCTGAACGGGCGATGGTTCTCCTGTAACAATAAGAGGCATAAGTAACTTGGTGGCAGCACTGCTGTTGCAAAACATCTTCCTCACTTTGAGCTTTCATAATACTGATGGGAATTGAGCTTTTATATGCTGTTCTGTAATTTGGCAGTCCTGTGTGGTCAAGGCCTTAATGCAACCTTTGGGTCCAGTGAGACTTACGTCTGAGTAAACATGGGATTGCTCCGTAATGGTGATGGCAAAGGAAATGCAAAAGGCTAGCAACTTCATTTATTAAATATTAAGTTCCCTTGTGCCAGAAGGAAACAAGTGGCGCCAGCGAAAAATGTTGCAGTATGGATTGCTCTTGTGCAGGGTGGCAGGCCAGCCAGGCCCTTGCCCAAGACACTCCATTCCACTCCTCCCCACCCACCCTGCATTCAGTCAGCATTTCATGGTCACTAAGCATACTTGATTCTCACGCAGTGCCGGATTCACGTATAAGCTAAACAAGCTGTAGCTTAGGGCCCCCCTCTCTTGGGGGCCCCCAAAAAAATTAAAGGGAAAAAAACCTGGATGTACTTTTCAAAAATATAAGATAAAAAAGAAATGAAGTAAATCTTACATACAGCAACAGTGTTTTGTGTTGTGTAGGCTCCTAAGATGGAAGTTATGGGCCCCGCCTGCTTAATAATTATTTCACTGTTAATATACTTATTAATTGTTTTTCACTATTAATATACTTCTTAATTGTATTTCAGGTCAACAATTACTTCGATAAAATACATATTTTGTTATGTGCAAATGGCTTTAGATACCTATTAGCTTAGATTACCAGATTTTTTTTCAGTGAGTCCGGGGACACTTTGCAGCTTTAATGGATTTTGTATGGGGACTGATATGTAAATCTGGGGTCTGTCTGGTAACCTTATATTAGGTCCATAAATTACCATATAGCATATATTCAACACAAAAAAACAGCAACAATTGGTTGTTGACAAAGGACAGCTGGACATATAATGGGCCCCATTACCTTCAGTAGCTTAGGGCCTCATCAAACCTAAATCCGGCCCTGTTCTCACGGGACAGTTGGGGTCTCCCCAGAACTCCTTGAGAGCTTTTGCCCCCTTAAAGGGTTCCCCCCGCTTTTTGGCGAGGAAAGTTGCACTTCCTCCAAGCTTTCTGGTGCCTTTCTCTTGCTTACTACATGAATCTTACTACATGATTCTCAGCAATGCCCCTTAGTTGAGGTTTTGGGGGAAAACATGTTTGTTTACATCAGTTATCAGTGTAATCCAATGCATGAATACTCAGAAGTAAGTCTTTTTGAGTCCAGCAGGCCCTTTTCCCAATTTCTGTGCGTAGTCATTAGGGATGCATGCATCTGCCAATTTCCATTTCTTTGTTTCTCATTTTTCCTATCTTACGTTCAGTTCTCCACATTTCCACATCACTTTGTTATTTTTTTCCTCAAAAAAAATCCTCCTCATGAAAATTCAGCATTCTGGTGCACGTTTCTCCTAATACACACATTTTTGCATATTGTTTTTGCACATTTCACCTGTGTATACAGATCACTCACAACTTGCACGTGTTTGACGTGTGCAGTTTCAGCTTTACACAGTTGAAGGCCAGCCAGCCGAGATCGCACAAATTAAATTCCTGAAAGGTGGAGAGCTTAAAAGCTCACAGACTTGCTTACTGGGTTCTTGCAAGATTTTGGAAGGCCCTGCAAGATCTTGCGAGAGCCTCCCAGAGCCTGGTAAGCAGGTCTGGGAAAATAAAAGCAGTTAGCATGTGCCATTGTGGGCTCGTCACAGGCCGTTTCCCAGTTTTTAAAGGGTTGTTTTGACCATATGAGATTTCAGCTATGGCCATACACGCTGTCCCTGAAACACAACACCTGCGTAAGGTAGGAGTCACCTGTATGCATCTTTGAACTCATTGCTTGACTGGAGAACTGCCTTGCAAAATTGGAAGTGTTTTGGTCCACATATTACCATTCTAGAAAATGAATCAGGTAGGATCTCCTTTAAATGCAAACAGAATCGAAATTCCACCCCAGCCCTAATACCAGGAGTAGCCTAAATAAATTAACATTATAAAAGCCTGCTTTTTCATTAAAAACATTGCTTTAAATCGTTGACACTCCTGATTAGTAGAAATGTATCTTCTCTGGATCTCCTGACCCTTAATTCTGCTGCCATCTTTACAGCTCATTTCACAATCTCTGATCTCCCCACACCCGACTTTACAGAGATATTAAGGTCAAGATAAGCCCTCCAACTAGGGATTACTGGGCTTCTAAACTCTGCATAGTGTTAACCCTAAATAGATGCTGCTTAATAGTGGTAGTAGTAGCAGCAGCAGTAAAATAAACTCTGCCCTGATATAATACAGCTAAAATTAACAGAAATTAAAAGCAAGGCTTCAGCTAAAATAACTTTTACACTACAAAGCTATGCCTGAGACTAGTAAGGCTGTGCACAAACCATACATTTAAAGCACACACAGAATCCTGGAAACTGCAGTTTGTTAAGGGTGCTGGGAGTTGTAGTTCATGAGGGGTAAATTGCAGTTCTCAGTTTTCTTTTTTGGGGGGGGCGTACTTTAAATGTATGGTATGTACACAGCCTAAGTCTCATTGAATTCAGTGGGAGTTATTCTGAGTAGAAAGGTAGGATTGTGCTGTCACTCAGTTTTGGCCATATATAGGATTCTCTTCTATAAGCTTCAAAAGTTGCTTTCAAAAGGGCTGTGCTTTGGGATCTTTGAGATTCAGTGCCAGCAGTATTTATATCTTGGATTCCGTGTGGTTTGTTCGTGTTTTTAACTGGCTTTCCCTGCCATTTTAACATGCAAACCACTTTGGCATTTCCTTTTTAACTGAAAATCGGTATTAAAACATTTTTGGAGAAATAAGTTTTTTTCTAGGATGCTCCCGAGTTTTGCAGCCCACAAATGCTAAGTTCTAAATACTACCTATTGCATTAATTGCATTTAATGTGGCGGATATATTTTTAGAAGCTAGCATAGGTGCCAAAGGGAGATCTGATCAGGACTGTGTTGGGCAGGGAGAGGGGAGATTAACTCCTTCTCCCCCACTGCAGTCCTGTTGAAAATCACGTCTACCCTCCCTCCCTGCTACCTGCTACTTGTATTGGGGGAGAAACTGTCATTGGCACCAAAGTGGACCATACTAAGGGCCAGGCGTTAAGTAAACTCACTGTCCATCCTGCTCTCTTTTGTTTAACAGGATTTGTATATGGTAATCAACAAAAAACTCTGAAGCAGTTTATCACAGCCTGCAAGTGGGTCATGTAGCCTGTGCTACTGGGTCTCAGGCTCTATAAGTAAATCTAAATAGTTTTTGCTTTTAATCCTCCATTAGTATGATGAATGGCTCTTGCAACTCTTTTGATTCATTGGCGTGTTTTATTGCTATGTTAGCGCTTGTAACCAAACATCAGAAAGGCTCAAGCCTTTGGGAAGGCTTAAAAACATTTGGGAACTTCACCATCCCAGGCAAGCTGTAATATGAGCACCTTAGGGCAACCGGTCACTGGATCTGCTGGCAGATTTAGTTAACGGTTAAGCCAAGGATGGTCTGAAGTGTGCTTCATCAACATAAGAAAAAATATATTTACCCCATGTATCTATAATGATCTGTGACTATGTCTGACAGCTGTCAGCCCATGCGCTGACCTACTCACGAGCAAAATTCAAGCTCAGCCACCCCACTGATACTTGCCATAATGGATTTAATTATGAATAAAACTACTAAAAACGTTCATAGTTCATTATATCCAGCTTTGCTTAGGAAACCAAATGTTTTTAGAATGGATTTTTATAGCCTATGAAGCAATATTCTGGAATCAAGTGGGTGGTGATCTTGCATCCCATAAACATAACTTTAACTTCGTAAGTGCTATAAATATTTCAACAAATTCCACTTCAATAGGAGCATTAAGCAAATTTTTGCTTGGGTGTCTCTAGTAACGGTTATAATGCAGGCAGGCTTGCAGTTTAATGCACAAAACAGATGGCTGCCAAAAATCTAAGGTCCAAAATTCATCACAATAGTGGGTTGTCATAGAAGACAGCATTTTCAAATTATATATGCATAATAATAATATTGCATGATCAAATCACATATCTGGGGTGGCTTTCTTTTTCCTTTTTTGAAGGGGGATTAGTTTTGAAATACAGTCCCATTAAATGCATGAAAACATTTAACATAACTCATAGTTCTTCTTTTCCATTTGAAACAAAGAAAATGGCTCTCATTGATTGAAAACAAAGACACCACGGGTTGCTTGATAAAAGGGTTCGTTCTTCAGTTAAATGTCGTGCATACTAAAGCTGCAGTTAGAGAAAAGCATTGTTTGTTTTTTAGAAATGGCCCTTCTAGCACACATTTGATTTGCCATCTGCTTTGGGCCTGTTGCAAAATCCAGCAAGTCATGAGAGCTATTTTTAAAATCCCTTCTCTCCCTTGGCAGAGGGGATGATGGTGAACTCTAGCTGCCCGTTCTACTGTATAAGTCAAGGCTTCCAACCAGCTACCATTTCTGCCAGAGAGATGTGTTTGTTCATGCTCTGCAGTACATGGTGTGCTGTAGAGTTGCATTAAGAACATTTTGCCCTGTAATTTTTTTGCATGAGTTGATGTCTACACACGCACCCTTCTCAGTTATGCAACTGACTATCCAACCAACTCCTGAGAAATAGCAATCCACTTTGAAAGGATTGTGTGGTGGTCCGTTTAGGTGACGTACAGTCATACCTCTTGTTACGTTCAGTTCAGGTTACGTTCTTTCAGGATACGTCCCGCGGCGACCCGGAAGTAACGGAACCGGTTACTTCTGGGTTTTGCTGCTCGCGCATGCGCAGATGCTCAAAATGACCGCATGCGCAGAAGCGGCGAATCACGACGTGCGCAGACGGGGGGTGCGTTCTGCTCATGTTGCGAACGGGGCTCTGGAACGGATCCCGTTCGCAACCAGAGGTACCACTGTATTCGTGTTACAGGCGTTTATTGATACTGTTTCACAGAGTAGTATTTAGGACCTTTAGCCTTTGGTGTTCATGCAGATTTCCGTTTCGTGTGCTGTTTAATAGCATACCATGTGACGGCTAAGGTTCTTCCTTATCCCATAGCTGTCACTCAGAGGAAGAGCTTCTCCTTTGTGCTCAGAAGGTCCCAGATTCAGTTCCTGGCACTTTCTCCTCAGAGTTCCCTGGGAAGAGGGATCGACTATTAAACCACTCTGTAGTTCTGTGAGGGGAACAGGGGTCTCCTAGCAGCTCTCAGCACTCTTAGCGCATTACTGTTCTTAGGATTTCTTGTGGGAAAACTTGACTGTTAAAGTGGTATGATGATGCTTTAAATCAGGCATAGGTAAACCTGGCCCTGGAGATGTTTTGGGACTACAACTCCCATGATCCCTAGCTAACAGGACCGTTGGTCAGGGATGATGGGAATTGTAGTCCCAAAAACATCTGGAGGGCCGAGTTTGCCTATGCCTGCTTTAAATGTATAGTGCAGATGAGGCCTGGTTTCCTTCTGAAGAAATGATCAGTTTAAAAAATAAGGTGCCTCAACTCTTTCATAGCTCCAAAACTGGATGACTGGATGAGATGCAAATTTAGAAGCAACTACTACCATTTGAATAGAAATACAGTTCCTCTCAATATAGTGAGAAAGATATGACCAGGTGACTGTGTACCAGCTCAGTCTGTTGCCCAGTTGCTGCAGATGCCCCTGGTCTCCATTTGTTCTTTACTCTTAAAAGGATTTGGACTGGACAGCTCTTCAAGTTGAGTACTCTCCTCTGTAAAGTAGGACACTTGGCCCAGGAGGAGTCTATATGCTGGTAACGGGAGGGGCATCAACAGAAATTGAGGTTTTAGAAGCCAGACACTATGTGCATGGAAGCCAAGACACTTGGCAAAGAGTAGCTTCTGAGAGGGTTCATGCGCCTTTCAGAACCGCTTGAAAGGGAAAGTTCTCCCAGTTACAACCTCTCCTATCATTAGGCCCTGTGAGTTCACAACGCTACGTGAGAGCCAAGCAGAGTGGTTGAAATCTGCCTATTGATCTGAATTACCTGGGAGGTTCACTGCCAGCAGAGGTCTGGTCTTACCTCTGAGGTTTCAAGCGACTGAATCTCTCTCTGGGTAATTCTACAGCCCAGTGATAGCATTGTTCCAATAGCTCAGGTTGTTTTCTGGGTTTGACGTCTTCTGCTTTCTCCGCATGCAGCTGACGGTGAGCAGAACACAAACATGTTTTGAGAGTGTGCCTGTGCAACAAGGGGAAATGAGTTGGTGGCAGTTTGCATAATAGATTGTGTATTGTACTAGATTGCCACCTGCTGTCTGTGGGTTGCATGCACAGATCTATGGAGAGTGCATTGTGGTTCATGTACCACTGGAAGATGCGGTTATTGAGGAATTAAGAATCATTTTAAAAAAATAAGGTGCCTCAGCTCTTTCATAGATCCAAAACTGGGGGTGAAAAATGGATTTCTACCTTAGCCATTCCAAGACAATATCTCATATATATCCTCTTTCTGGCACCTGTGCCACCAACATTTTTTGGGGTTGGGTGGGGTGGATAGTTTGATAATACAATTGCGTTTATAAAAGGAAGTGCCTTTTGTTACCTTGCAACTTCTTCCTTTATGCAGCTGAAGTCACATAGTCTATTTAGAAAGTTACTGCTGTATGTTGTTTACAATAGATAAAGTGCAGTTAAACTTAGTGTTACTGCTCTCAATGGCCACTCAGAAATCTGGGGATATGGTGGGCATCTTAATCTCTGTAGAGGATCAGCTCTCTGTGCTGCCGTGTTCTTCAGCCTTAGATCCCAAGGAGTTGGAGTACGATCCAGATAAGACTGAGGCACTGTTAGGAGGTGGTTCCCTAGACCAGATGGTTGCCTGCTTTTGATGGGGTTACACTCTCTCTGAAGGAGCAGGTACGCAGCTCGGGTCCATTGCTGTCGCTTGAGGCTCCAGTGGTCTGGAGTGCCTTCCATCAGCTTTGGCTGGTGGCCCAGCTGCGCCCCTATCTGCACAGGGATAGCCTAACTTCTGTCGCTTATGCTCTGGTAACCTCTAGGTTAGATTACAGCAACGGGCTATACGTAGGGCTGAAGATGGTTTGGAAACTTCAGTTAGTGCAGAATTCAGCAGACAGGTAGCTCTCTGGGGCAAGATGGTTTAAGCCAGGCACCCCCAAACTTGGCCCTCCAGCTATTTGGGGACTACAATTCCCATCATCCCTGACCACTGGTCCTGGTAGCTGGGGATGATGGGAGTTGTAGTCACAACTTGGCTGGAGGGCCAACTTTGGGGATGCCTGGTTTAAGCATATAATGCCATTCCTGGCCCGACTGCACTGGCTGCCAATTCATTTCTGGGCCCAAATCCAAGTGCTGGTTTTGACCTATAAAGCCTTAAATGGCTCTGGACTGCAGTGCCTCAGTAAGAACCTACCTGGACTCTTTGTTCATCATCTGAGGCCCTTCTTCATGTGCCTCCTCCCGTGAGGTCCAGAGGGCAGCAACATGAGAACAGGCCTTTTCTGTGATGGCCCCTTGCTTGTGGAATGTTCTCACCTGGTGCCTTCATTACATATCCAAAGGTGCCGGACAAAAACATTCCTCTTCTCCCGTGCCTCAGGCAGTCTATGGCCTTTAAAAGTGTACATGGGGGAGGGGGCATCGTTTTGTTTGTCACTATGGTATGTTTGTGTTTTTATATTGTAAACTGCCCTGTGATCCTTGGATGAAGGGAGATACAGAAATAATAAATATATAAATACAACTCCCATCCCCCCAGCCAGCTTAGCACAATGGTCAAATATTAGAAATGGGGGAGAAATTAGATTCAGTCTTCATTTAAAGATGAGCCTACCAGATTTGTACTTTGTGAACAATACATGGACAGAAACACAGGGATCCTTCAAAATGCTCACCTCTCCAAATTTTGCAGTGCAGTATTCCAGCCAAGTAAAATGTGCAAAAATGCATAAACTAGGGTAAAGTATACATAGAAGTGCATATATTAATGAAAATAGCATACAAACATGCATTATATAGGGGGAAATTGCTTTGTAAATATGTAAAGAACTGGAATGAGGAACCTCTAGCTCAGGGACCAAATGTCCTCTCTGTCTGGCCCTAGGGACACCCCCCCCCAACACACACATTAGGCTACTCCCCTCCCCAGGCTACCCCACTCAATGGCCTAGCTGCATACCCACCTTGAGTGTTTTTGCCTGGCTGGAATGTGCGTTTGAATTCTGGTAATGCCTCTTGCTTACCTGGAGGGAGGATTGGGGGGTGAGTATTTGTAAAGCTAGGGTACACCACAGGTGAAATCTGCATATGGCTCCTGGAAGGCTGCTCAGAAAGGAGAGTGTCTCACCCCCTGCTATAGAGAACCATTTCACTTTGTGCCAGAAACATTGTTCTTTATCTAATGAGATTTCTTCCTTTTTGGCTTGCAGAATGACCGTCATGGGGAAGTACTTGGTGACCTGCTGGGTAGCAGTTCTCTTGATCCTGCTGCAGAGTGATGTCTCCGTTTCCAAAAAAACCAAACCCAAACCCAGCGGTGGTGGCTGGAACACGGGAAGCCAACGCCAGCCTGGATACCCGCAGAACCCTGGCTATCCGCAGAACCCTGCCTACCCGCCACCACGCAACCCAGGCTATCCTCAAAACCCTGGTTACCCCCAGCACAACCCTGGCTACCCGCCGCGCAACCCTGGTTACCCACAGCAGAACCCTGGCTATCCTCAGCGCAATCCTGGTTACCCACAGAACCCTGGCTACGGTGGGGGCTACGGTGGGGGCTACGGAGGCAAACCGTGGAAGCCTAAGCCGGCCAAGCCCCCCAAGATGAAGCACGTGGCCGGAGCAGCTGTCGCAGGGGTGGCAGCAGGAGCCCTCGGCGGCTACCTCTTAGGCAGTGCCATGTCCAACATGAACTTTGGTTTCCGCAACCCCAGCGAGGAGCAGTGGTGGTATCAAAACCGCGACCGCTACTCTGACAGAGTCTACTACCCAGAGTACAAGGAGCGTGTTTCGAGGGATGTCTTTATGAGAGACTGTGTGAACGTCACACTGACGGAGTATATCACCCCTCAAGGGAACCAAAGTGCAGATGAGATGGAAGTGAAAGTCGTGACACATGTGGTGCGCGAAATGTGCACAGAGCAGTACCGCTTGATATCCGCGGCAGCTCTGCTTCTCGCCAGCCCTTCCGTGCTTTTCTTCCTCATGCTGGTCACGTGTTTCCTTATCCCCTGAGGTCCCCCTCAGGCCTGCACCTCGCTGTTCATTGAGCAAATGTCCAGAAGGAATGAGAACTATACAGAGCGACGGCTTGGGGGGAGATGACATTCTCGCTTATGCACCTCTTTGGTGGAGTGTCTTTCAAAGCTGTTACATCTGCTACGTATTAATGAACACCCAAGCTTCTGCCAAGCACCTGTTCCTTTTGCAGCCATCTTTGATTTCTGTCGTTTGTGGTACGAACGTTTGGGGGGGTGGGGTGGGGAGAGCATAAGGTCTTATTTTGTAATGAAGGGAGGGCAGGAAGAACTCGTCATAGATCAAACCCCTCCCTCCTTCAGTCGAGCCTAATGTAACGCGAACTGTAAATAGAAACACAGCGACTCCACACGGAAAAACGAATTGTTTGCTAGGGCCAGCATTAAGAGTTGATGTGGCTGGGTTTCTGTCGGAGAGCCCACAATTGAGAAGGGCACCTACTTTTCTTCTCTTCAGTGCTGAAACTTGCTTGTTCACCCGCCTCTAGACAGCAGTCAGACAGCGGTGGAGGTGAGGAAGAGAAGTCAGTGCCACAGCCTACTTGCTTGTTGGCTCTCTGGCAAACAAGGAGATGGGAGCTCTAATGGGGAAGAGGAGAAGTCGGTGATAATGGCAGTGAGGTGGAGGCCTGTGGAGGATGTCTTTGCCCACAGGCTCTGTAAAATCTTGAGCTGCCACAGTCCTTTGCTTGCCTACCCTCATTACACCGGCTCTTCGCAGAAACCAAATTGACACGTTCTGTAATGCAGCGATCCAGGGGTCCCCAAATCATTGTCTGCAAACCACCAGTGATCTGCAGGCTTCACTCAGGTGGTCTACGGTGTGTCGGTGGAACTATTGTCCTATTGGTCTTTAATTGTGTTTCTGCTGCTGCTTTAATTTTTTTATATATTGCATTTTTATTCTTAGCGTGGGATTCAAATTGTAATGCAATATATAAGAAATAAAAGAAGCAGTAGAAAGACAGTAAAAAATCTTACAGCATCTACCACTGCACATTACAATTGCAATAGCTGACAGAAAAATCATTTAAGTGGCCTGCGAAGAACTTCAGCAGTTTTCAAGTGGCCCTTCGTGGGTGAAGGAGGGCATTTGGGAACCCCTGCAGTAAACTGTTCTTGCCTTTAAGAAAAGGAAATATTTCCAGCTCTTATTTGAAACTACATTATATGATGAGAGGCAGGAAGCTGAAGTGAATCAGGTTTTAAGTTCTCCACTGTACATTGTTTAAAAATAAAAAATCCCACCCCACCATGCAGTAAGATTCTCATTCTAGACCCACATACATACTGAGATATTTATCTCAGTATATTGTAGGAGATCTATGGAAATCCCACTGTAAAAAACACAAAAAACACTTTTATATATTATAAACTGCCTTGAGAGTGTGGTTGGGGTTAAAAAACACACCACCAGGGTGTTAAATATATGAATACAAGCAAAAGAGGAAAAGCCATGCGCATCCCTTCCTACATTATGCAAGGTGAGAAGACTCTGGTGTGTCTTATTGGACACAATTCCAGGAACCGAGTCGTGTTAACCTCACAACAAAGAAGATGGATAGTGCCTAGAATTTCACGAAGCAAGAAGACACATCCGCAAAGAATTACCCTGCGTTCCTGATTTAGTGCTGTCCATGTGGAAAGTTGTAGGGCCTTGTGGGCTCTTTTGCACATTATCTGGGGTTTGTGGCCATTAGGCAGACCAGAGCAGCCCATATGGGATCCATGCAAATCATTAAGCGAACATTCCCTTCATTATCCATTGTACCATGAACATACTGTAGGTACTTGTCTGTGCAGTAATAAACCTGTTTGCCTATGAACCACAGTTATTGCCTACACAGGCGCATTACTGCTGATGACACCAAAATCTCTTGCTTTCCTTTTTTTTAATGAAAGATGAACCTCAGTGAAGTATTGTTTTCATGGAGAAATAATGGCTTATTACTGGAACTGATAAATCTGGGGCAGGTCTTCTGAAATGGTGTTGGCTGTCCCAATAGCACTTAGAATTTCTAGGCTGCAAAGAAAAGCATTTGGTTTTGCAGCATGGGAATATAAGTACACCATTCATCAGGAATTTTTAACCCTCTGTGATGCACAGACATTACCTTTCTGGTGACTATTAGCAATTGCATATTTTCTTACAAGAGTAGAAGTTCCTGATTATTGTCTGAACTAACCTTAACAATTAAACTGCTGCTGTTGTTGAGCATCTTCACTCGTTTGATCTCTTGAGTCCTCAAAATTACTGGGTGTTAATTGTATTGACCCTGCTGAATTTTGGAACTAACTTTAAGGGTCAACTGCAGATACCAGAGTCATTCCAAAGTTTCATCTGTGAGGAAACCTGTTGGGTGAACTGGTGGCAAATGTGACTTGAAGGCAGTCTTATAAAATTCAGAGCAGGTTCTCAGTCCGTTGGGAGACTCAAGCTGTGTGCCAATAACTCACAAAATATTCAGACATGAAAGCCATGTTGTCAAAGCCAATGGTGCTCTCCATAAAGGGGTTAAGCATCCCTCTATCTTAAACTGGATTCCAGCCTGTAGACTAATGCAAGTCCCTAGAATTTGAGAGACTTGCTTCCAAGTAAGTGTGTTCAGAATTGCAGTCCTATGAGTTCCTGTGAAGAGCCAATTCTTGGCAGTTGGGGAGGGACGCCACACACATCCTGTTTCTGCCACACCCTCCCCTTGCTCACTTTGGGCTTCTGCAAGGCCCTTTCTCCTTCCAGAGATGCTGTGTTAGTGTGCAAGAAACAAGGGTGCAATGCCACACCACCAGTTGCGATACTCTTCTGGTTAAGAGAGCTCATGTGCTTAATTTCCTTGGTTTCAATTTATGCAGCAGGCAGTGGGGCTGGGCAGTGGGGATGGGAGCACGCAAATAGTCACTAGGATTTATGCATTCCAGTAGTGTAGCTGGCTTCGAAAATGCCACATTTAACCTTAAGGCAGACATTATAATTGAGGACTACATTTTGGGTGGTACTAATTCTGTCTGTCCTACCGCTTTTGGCCTGCAGCGTTGGTAACGGCTACATTTTTGCTAACCTGTATTTCAGTCAACTTGCTGACAACTCCATGTTTGTTCAAGGGTATAGATATATTTTTTAAGTGTAGTCAAAATGTAAAGAGTACACAATTATCCTTCTGAGTATATCTTAATATATTCTCTGCATTTTGCTAGAAGATGATTATTGTACAGACACACTTTTAAATATTGGTGACTTGGTCCAAGTAGAAAGCACACAATAGTAGTAAAATTACAGGGAGTATTGGAGAGACAAGCACATTTGTACTTTGCAATTTTGTGTGTGCTTTTTTAAAGTAAGTGTTTGATATCTAGTAGAAATAAAGGCCAAAGGCCCCAGCTTTTGTCTATGAGCTTCTTTTTTGATGATGTAACTTTGTGCAGGTATGTGTACACACAGACAGACAAGACACTTCAACATGACGCCCTCAAGACTATAACTCTCATCTAGCATGGCCAGTGGTCAGGGAGTGGCAAGTGTAGTTCAGCAACAACTGGGACATCACAGGCTCCCCACCCCAGGATTAACATGTTGGACTGGGACCAGGGAATCCAAACTTCAACTCCGCTCCTCAGTCATACCATGATAGAGAATTGGCCGAGTGTTGCAGTGTTGGGAGAATAAAATCTCATCCCATCTGCACTATACATTTAAAGCTGTATCATACCACAGACATGGGTTCTCCCCAAAGAACTGTAGGAAGCATAGTTTGTTAAGGGTACTGGCAGTTGTTAAGAAATCCCAGTGGTCACATAGCTGCATTTTTCAGGGTGGTTTAACAACCATTCCTCCTCCTCCCCCCCCCCCCAAAAACACAACAACTCAGAACTGTAATTCTGGGATGGGAATTGGAGCTTCCTAATAAGTCTCAGCAACCTTAAACCGCAGTTCCTGAGATTCTTTGGGGGGGGGGGAGCAGGAGCCATGACTTTTTAAAGTGATATAATACTGTTTTCAATGTGCAGTGCAAATGGGGCCTAATTGTGGGGAGTTAAAACTCAGAGAAAAGACTGGATATAAATAAATAGTGCATTTGCAAGCTGACATGGATCAATTCACTCAGCCATAGGGGTGGAGGAGAAATGTGATTCAGTTCACATTTAAAAGTGACCCTACCTAGTTTGCCTACTTTCCAAACCAGTATGCAAACAGAAACGCATCCTTCAAAATGTGCACTTCTGCCAAGTATTGTGTACAGACATGCTTAATACTGGGTTAAAATGTGCACTACTGAAAATAACCTGAAAAAATGCATTTTATTTTTTTTGCAAAAACGTTTAGGAGAAATTCATGCTAAAATGCTGAAATTCCATGAAATAAAATGGAATAAAAATGAAATGGAATAAAAATAATAATAATACTGTAAACTTGTGGAAACGTGGAGAACTGAACCTAAGATTGGAAGAAATGAGAAACACAGAAACCAAAATTGTCACATTTGTCCCTTTCTAATCAGGACAGAACTTTGGAACAAAAGTCCAGGGCCCTGCTCTAAGGAGTAAGCGGGAGAGTCCTCAAATTTTTAATGGACAGAAATATTCTTGCAGGCAGAGGGGTGGGAGTGTAAGCACACTTTTGGACCTGGGGCAAACCTTGTCAGGCATCGCTATGTTTGAGAATTAAGCCAGCCAGAGATGACCAGTCAAAGCACAGGGGGCCAGAATGAATGCAGTGCTAGCCCTTTAGGATGGCTTCACACATCCCACACAGTGTGGTTGTCATTATATCTGACATTCCTTCGGGCCCAAGTGCACCATCAGCCACACCTATTGACATCCTTTATTTAACAAGATGAAGGGGGGAGTTGGGAGCTGTCTGCCTATGTGAGTGACAGACCAGTTCACAATATTTCTCTGATGAAAATGTTGTTTAGTCATTTAGTCGTGTCCGACTCTTTGTGACCCCATGAACCAGACATGCCAGGCACTCCTGTCTTCCACTGCCTCCCGCAGTTTGGTCAAACTCACGTTGGTAGCTTCGACAACACTGTCCAACCATCTCGTCCTGATGAAAATAGGGACATCCTACTCCATAATAATAATAATAAATTTATTGTTTATACTCCACCCATCTGACTGGCTTGCCCCAGTCACTCTGGGTGGCTTCCAACAAATATAAAAACTTAGTAAAACATAAAACTTTTTTTAAAAAAAAAACCTTCCCTATGTGGAGCTGCCTTTAGCTGTCTTCTAAAGGTTGTACAGTTACTTATCTCCTTGGCTCAGGGGTCACTTAACTCCATACCCGCCAACATTTCTCTGATGAAATTGGGGGCATCCTAAGGAAAAGTGGGACATTCCTGGATCAAATCAGAAACTGGGTCAGCTTCTGTAAATCTGGGGCTGTCCCTGGGAAATAGGGACGCTTTGGAGGGTTTGAAAGAGTACATGTGGCACAAGTCCAAGCAAAAACGCTGTTTACACTGAGGTGGTTTTAGGCCTCAGAAGCACGGAGCTGGTCAATATAGTTGGCCAAACTGTCTGGCTAGTGTGCAGGACAGGAAAGGAGACCATCATACATGGTTTTTGTGTTAAACAGGCCACAGCTTTATTTGAGGCTTTCGCAGGAGCATCATGGTTCAAGGTGTACAGGTTAGCAAGTCAGGAGCAATACAGTGGTATCTTGGGTTACAGACGCTTCAGGTTACAGACTCCACTAACCCAGAAATAGTACCTTGGGTTAAGAACTTTGCTTCAGGATGAGAACAGAAATCGTGTGGCAGCAGCGGGAGGCCTCATTAGCTAAAGTGGTACCTCAGGTTAAGAACAGTTTCAGGTTAAGAACGGAGCAAATTAAGTACGTAACCAGAGGTACCACTGTAACTGGTTATTCATCCAACATATTTCCCCCCTGTTCCCCAGATGCCATTAGCAACAACTTGTAGGTTTGGTTTTTTTTAAGAATTTGCACTGATCTAAGAGGATAGCTGCATAGGACCTTCACTTCAGAAATGGAGAAATGCAAACTCTAAGTGGGTTTCCCAAGAGCTGGATCCATCCTACACATTAGAACTGCTCAGAAAATGGCCCACACTTGGGATCAGCATGCGGATTCTAGTGCTTCGGTTTCCATATTCGAACCCGGCTTCCCTTCTCTTCCCGTCTCTCCTTGTCTCTAGGCCCATGGTGTGTCAAGGCACAGAACAGCTTGGCAGAGAGCAAGAAGCAGCAGCTGCATCAAACTCACAGTGCATTCGTTAAGCTTAAAGAGATGACAGGAGGCGAAGTGAGGAAGGCCAAATAGGCTGACACCACATCCATGAGCCAAATATCCGCTGGGGTCCAGGGGTCGGGAATCCTTCCCATTCCCGTGAATCAGAAGTGACCTCCCAAAGCATGCCAGGCCGTCTTGAAGGGTAGGAATGAGTACGGGAGGACCTGCCTCCCCACCCATCCAGTAGGGTTGCCATAAGCCTGGAATACTGCAGTTGGCAGCAGTGTCCGGGCAGAAACCGGAGAAATGCCTGGGAAAATCCGGGCGTATGGCAGCCCATGGCAGCAGGGCCGTTTTTGCCCTTTCTTCATAAAAATAGCTCAAAAAAAGCTTTGGAGTGGTTGTTGGGTTTTTTTGCGATTTTGCTCAAAAAGCTCAACAACTTTCACTGTTTGAAATATGGCAACCCTAGACTGGCCAATAAGTTATTGGTGTATGGTTTGAATTCTCCTTCCCCCCAATTGGTCTTTATTGTCGTCTCCTACAAAATCTCTCTCTGCTCACCCAACAAGGTCACCAGGCTCCCAATTTCCTGCACACACAAGCCCTGCATTCACACATATCATACAAACCCGCTTCCAGTAATCGCATTGCCCTGCATATTAAAATTTTGAGGAGGAAGGTTCTATCGTTAGAATGTGCTTCTCGAAGCAGCACCGAAGTGCAAGGGGAAGGCAGGGGCAATAGAAATACAAAATCTGGTACAAAATTGGGGCTGCAGCCAGAACTAATCCATCTGCTCACTGCGCACACCGGCAGCTGGTTTTAACCTGTTTACAGTGGTGCCCCGCAAGACGAATGCCTCGCAAGACGAAAAACCCGCTAGACGAAAGGGTTTTCCGTTTTTCGATGCGCTTCGCAAGATGAATTTCCCTATGGGCTTGCTTCGCAAGACGAAAACGTCTTGCGAGTCTTGCAATTTTTTTCGCTCCCCCCCCTTTTTCTAAGCCGCTAATAGCCTTTTAGCCGCTAAGCCTTTAATAGCCGCTAAACCGCTAATAGCGCTAATCCGCTAATAGGGTTGCTTCGCAAGACGAAAAAACCGCTAGACGAAGAGACTCGCGGAACGGATTATTTTCATCTTGCGAGGCACCACTGTATTAGAAAAGGGGAGAGCCAATCATGGTTTGGTCATCAGTCTTTTAGAACATGTCAATGCCACAGGCTTGCAGAATGGATTGGCAAAAACATACTAAAAAGAAGCACTGCTGGGAATATTAAGAATTGTATGTTGCTGCTACATGACCACCTCCAGCTGTTGTTCCTTCTGTGGTGCTGTTTATGTGGCTTATGACACTGAAGCCACAGAAAACAGACACAGTGCTTCCAGATGGGCTGTTTATTAGCACAAAATCTGACAGCCATTCCGCACTTTTTGTGCAATTATCCTGTTATTTTTTTTCTAACTGCAAAAAGTCCAATATGAAAAGAGATGGAAAATTGTGCTAGAAAGTGCAGGATAATAACTACTAACTGGCAATGCAATGAAACCTCTACCCAAGATTATCAGGATGAATGCTCAATAAACTGATGATGTATCAGATCCATGCAAGTTTGGTGCGAACATTATCAACATGAGTGCTCAATAAGCAGCCAGTCTGGAATCGCCCACAATCCCACTGGGCAAAGTTCCTTCTAGCTTCACTTTACAATAAAGAAAGCGGTCCTTATCACAAGTGGCTTTAAAAAAACCAACTCTACTAGTATCTTAAAATTAAAGAGTAAAGTAGCTGGCATTTTTAAACCCAGGAAAGACCTCCTCAGGCAGTTTTGCTGGGGCTAGATAGGCCTGGAAATCCCCTCTCTGGAGGAATTTAGATCAGGCACCACAACTAAGTGCTGAAGTGATATGATGTAAGAAAGATTTTCACAGGGATTGACTTTCCCAACACATGATGACCGGCTTTGCTTCTAAAAGACAGAAAGTGTTGTATGATTGTAAAATCCAGAGCAGCATGAACATGCAAAGGTAACAACTGTGGGTTCTGGGCAACTGGTTTATTTCTGTGTAGGCAAAAGACAATGAAAAACTCAGGCATGTCCACCTACAGATTTTAAGGCTTTCGTGCAGGCTGTTCCAGCGTATCCAAGGCACTTTCACACAGAAATTTATTGTGGAGGTGGTACTGCTAATGCATGCACTATTTTTTTATGAAATTCGCATAACGGCCTCAAAATGCATCATTCCCCCCCCCCATTTAATCTGTTTGGAGGGAAAGGATTACTTAACAGACTTTCCATAGAAACATTAATTTGGGATTAAATTGGAAGATAATGTAGGGCAGCATTTTGATGAGGGTGAAGTCACGTGGATGCTGCGCAAAACTTGCACGCATGTTTCCACAACAAGCTGCCACGTAGAAGGACTCTCTCCTCCCTCGACAGGAGCTCCGTGGCAAGTATAAAGAACCCACAGCGGCGCATCCCATTCCTCATTAGGCAGGCACATTTGCAAAGGCACTAAAATGAGAGTGCAACATATTTTCTGAGGGATAGACATCTCCCTGGTCCCTCCCCACCCTTGACATTCTAATCACATTTTGCCTTCTTCCTGTCCGGCTAAAGGTACTTCAAGACAGAGACGTCCCTGCAAACAGGTCACTGGCAACAGGTGAGAGGGAGAGAGAGAAAGAGAGAATATTTTGCACAGAAACAGAATAACCTGATGAACTGGACTGGCTTTGGGATGCTGGCAACTTTCGGACACGACAAAACGTGTATGCACCTGACCCACAAAAAGCACCCACATGGAAACACCCTCACATGAACCTACGCCTAGTATTTTGTTGAGCTAGGAGCATCCCACAGACTTCACATTGTGATATGTGGGAGGGAATGTCCTCTTGTATGTTCTGTGTTCTGCTCCCCACCCACCCCACCAGAATCTCAAGACATTTTAAAATGTTAAAAGTGTTCACTGCATTTAGGACTGTGTCCAGTGTTCCCTGTCTGCTAACTCAAGTGGGTGGGTGAGTTTTAATGTTTATTTACTTATTTATGTCATAAAATTTCTATACCTCTTGGTTGTAAATAATAATAATAATAATAATAATAATAATAATAATAATACCTTGAAGTGGTTTATGTTGCACTAGAGAGGAACCCAACCCAAAGGTTGTGCTAGCGGAACCTCAGTGTGCAATCTGTTGTGCAACAAATTAACTAAGAGCCTCTCTTCTGCAGCCATGGCGCATGGATGCAGAACATTTCACCTGTGGAACAAGTACCACTAGGTGACTTTAACTTAGTCTACATTGGATACAACCCAAAGGAGTGTCTCATGTGGAATTTTCACACCTCCAGTGAGGTACTCCCAATGTGGAGCCAATCTGGCACCTTGTTTACGGAGGTGAATGTGAAAAATTTCACTTTGGACTTCAGTGTGGCGCACATGGCACACAAAGGGATGGAGAAGAAATTTGATTCAGTTCACATTTAAAGGCAAACCTACCTAATTCTCACTTTCTCAAACAATGCACAAACCAGAATACATTCAGCCTTTAAAATTCACACTAAATAACCACATATACTAGGGTAAAGTGTGCATATAAATGCATATATTATTGAAAATAGCATGCAAAAATGTATTATGTTAGGGGAAATTGCTTTGCAAAAAAATGTGTATATGAGACAAAATTGCATACAAAATATGTATATGCAGATAAAATTGCACTAAAAGGCTAATGAATTTTCATGAGGTTGGTGGGGTATAAATAATGATATTTTGTTGTTGTTTAGTCATTTAGTTATGTCTGACTTTGTGACCCCATGGACCAGAGCACGCCCGGCATAATGATAAATAATGATATTATTAATAAATAATGATATTATTATTATTATTATTATTATTATTATTATTACAAATGGAGGTGGAATGTGAAGAACTGAGCGTAGAACTGGAAAAATTAGAAGCTGACATTGACAGATTCTGCCATCCCTATTCATAAGCCGTTTGGTCTCCAACCCCATCCCATTTCATAGCATTGAAAGTCACTCTTGGTGAAGCTACATAAGAACTGGAAATCCTTTCTTTCTCTTGAAGCCAGACTTTTGTATAACGGCTTACTGCACCATAAAGCTTTCTGTTCAAGCTAAGCAGCTTCCCATGAGGGGCCAGTGTACTGGGAGGAGTCTGCCACAGGATATGTTAAAGCTATGCAGGTTTCACTGAAGAGACTACGTAACAGGAGAAGTCTGGCAAAAGGTGTGTTTTTCTACGTGTTTCCATTAACTTGTTCATGTTTACACACTGAATATGCTCGACTAGCTATGAAAAAGGTCACGGCTTGATTCATGTGAGCTGGGGTGGGGAGGTTCCCTTCATTGCAAGGTTACCCTTGGCTTCTTTCCCTGGGAACTATTTTGGAACAGTGGCAGTGCCAAAGGTGGCTCTGAAGGAGTAAGAATTAGCACACGTAACAGCTATTAAAGACAGCCCACCTAACAGATGCAGAAGCGACAATGCACTCTTCACAAAACATTTCCTTTATATAAACACATCTCTTTCCTTCTGGACATTTCCTGTCTCAGTGACAAAATGGCAGCTTAAGGAGGCTGCCCAACCTCAAGGTATCAGGAAAGAAGTGACCATAATCAAAAGCACAGAAGACTTTGCAAAAGTGTTGTCATGCATGCGAGACGTGGCACTGTTGTGATGGCTTCCGGTGGCTCCTGCGCCAGGGGCGATGTTAGCTGCTTCTGGAACATGCTTCAGCCAGAGTTTGGTTGGCATCGGCGCTTCTGGCTTCTGATCATATCTGCTTCTTTCCATGTGATGGATGAAATCACTGTACAGCTCCCTGCACATCTCCCGCGCCACTTGCGTCACCACCCTGGCTTCCACCTCATCTGCCGTTTGGTTTCCGGTGGGCTTTATGTAATAGTTTGTGGTGGCATTCTCACAATCGCTCGCAAAGACATCCTTCGTAACAGGGTGGCTGTAGTTTGGGTAGAAAACGGAACTGGTAAAACGATTGCGGTTTTCGCTCCACCATTGCTCCTCATCGCTGTCATTGAAATGCAGGTGCATGTTAGACATGGAGCTGCCCAATCGGTCTTTCGCCACAGCGCCTGTTATCGCTTCTTCCGCCACAGGCTTCACTTCCGGCTTGGCCGGCATAGGCCCCTCTGGCCTACTCCCGGGACGTCTGAAGTCGCCTCCTGCGTGGCTGGAGTAGGTACGATACTGCTCTATGCACATTTCGCGCACCACGTGCGTCACAACCCTGGTTTCCATCTCATCTGCCGTTTGGTTTCCGCTGGGCTCTGTATACTCGCTCACAGTGATATTCGTGCAATCTCTCACAAAGATATCCTGCGGAACAGGCTGGTTGTACTGTGGGTAGTAAACCTGGTCGGAGTAACGGTTGCGGTTTTCATGCCACCACCGCTCGTCATCACGGTTGTTAAAGTGAAAATTGACATTGGACATGGCACGGCCTAAGAGGTAGCCACCCACAGCTCCTGCTGCAGCTCCCGCCAGAGCTGATCCTGCCATATGTTTCATATTGGGCTTGGGTGGCTTAGGCTTCCATGGCTTACTGTCATATTTGCCCCAGCTGCCTCCTTCTCCATACCTAGGGTAACCAGGGTTTTGTGGAAAGCCAGGATTTTGTTGGGGATAGCCAGGGTTGTGTGGGTTGCCAGGATTGTGGGGAGGGTATCCAGGGTTTTGTGGCGGATAACCAGGATTGTGTGGGTTGCCAGGATTGTGGGGAGGGTAACCTGGGTTTTGTGGTGGATAGACAGGGTTGCCAGGGTTTTGTGGTGGGTATCCAGGATTTTGTGGAGGAGGGTTGCCAGGATTGCGTGGGGGGTAAGCAGGGTTTTGTGGTGGGTAAGCAGGGTTACCAGGGTTTTGTGGTGGATAGGCAGGGTTTTGTGGAGGGTAAGCAGGGTTTTGTGGTGGATAGACAGGGTTAGCAGGGTTTTGTGGTGGATAGGCAGGGTTTTGTGGAGGAAGGTTGCCAGGATTGCGTGGGGGGTAAGCAGGGTTTTGTGGTGGGTAAGCAGGGTTACCAGGGTTTTGTGGTGGATAGGCAGGGTTATATGGAGGAGGGTTGCCAGGATTGTGTGGGGGGTTACCAGGGTTTTGTGGTGGATAGGCAGGGTTTTGTGGAGGAGGGTTGCCGGGATTGCGTGGGGGGTTACCAGGGTTTTGTGGTGGATAGGCAGGGTTATATGGAGGAGGGTTGCCAGGATTGCTTGGGGGCTTACCAGGATTTACTGGGGGATAAACAGGGTTGTGTTGTGGGGGAGCAGGATTGTGTACAGGTTGATTGTGTACAGGTTTGACAGGTCGATGTACAGGTTTGACAGGTCGATGTTCCACAGGTTTGCTGGGTCGATGATGTTCCACAGGCTTGCTAGGTCGATGATGTTCCACAGGCTTGCTAGGTCGATGATGTGAAGGCTTGCTAGGCTTTCTACTACTTCTACTGGATGAGCTTTTTCCCGAAACCGAGACAATGACATCCGTCTGCAGAAGAATAAAGAGAATTGCTATCGCGCAGGTCACCAAGTACTTCCCCATAATGGCTATTCTGTAAAACAAAGTAAAGGAATCAAGTTTTTTTTTAAGGAAAAAAAAGAGACAGGGAGGATATAACACAAAATGCAGAATATATAATTGCAAGTAGATGGTGGTGGTATTTCCAAAATGATTCTCTCACATTATATGTTGAGCAGGCTTTGGGTGTGCCAATAATGTGAATCTGACAACTGTCCAACAAGAGGAGAGACTGTAACCCAATGGAAGACCACACGCTTTGTATGTAGAAGGACCATGGGTCAAACCCTGGCATCTCCAGGTAGGACTGGAAAGGACCCTGTTTGAGTGCAGACAATCCTGAGCTTGAGGTACCAATACTCTGATGGGGTATTGGGCAACTTTCTGTGTTCCTAAGTTGATGTGCACCAGCTGACAAAAGTCTATACAACTTGCAAGGCAGGTTTTTTGGGGGGGCGGGGAATATAAAACAGCCCAGGTGTTTAAGTAGTTGACTTACAGGACACAGTTACATCAGACAGAAGTCAGAAGGTAGCTCTACTTCAGCTATATATAAGCAGCAAACTTCTCACTTTCACACCAGTTAGGAGCTCTTAAAAATTGTGCCACTTTCTTTGATGAATAATTCTGAGTCACTTGAAAACTTGCACATTCCAGCATCAATAGCCCAGTGAAAACCACCCAGTGAAAACTTGCCAATCTGGTGTTTTCCAACACTACTGCACATACCAAAATATATACCATAGTAAATCCTTTCCCCAAAGTCATCCAGCTCAATCTATCTCCCAGTTATATAAATTCCTGTTGAAGCTGTAGCAGAATTTTATTTTAGAAAAACACCACATTATAACTGTGATAGCCAGTACACAGATCCCAAAGTTTCGCAACATTTGAGTGCATACACATATGAACCACTATGGATTATAGTGCAAATGATTAAATGTGTTGGCAAAAAGGCAGCTCTGGTGATCAAATGGGTCAAGTATCTCAAACTCACTACCCTCCATCTCTCATTGTCAGAAGCACGCTGTGAAACGAGGTCCTTTTACAGAATTGCAAATGCATCCACAGACAGGGGAACCAAAATATAATTAAAAAAAATACGTTGAACCCATTGGAAAATCAAGGCTTGGTAAATAAAGTATAACAGAGATACCTTAAAGGTAAAGGTACCCCTGCCTGTACGGGCCAGTCTTGCCAGACTCTAGGGTTGTGCGCTCATCTCACTCTAGAGGCCGGGAGCCAGCGCTGTCCGAAGACACTTCCGGGTCACGTGGCCAGCGTGACAAAGCTGCTCCGGCAAACCGGCACCAGAGCAGCACACGGAAATGCCGTTTACCTTCCCGCTGGTAAGCGGTCCCTATTTATCTACTTGCACCCGGGGGTGCTTTCGAACTGCTAGGTTGGCAGGCGCTGGGACCAAACGACGGGAGCGCACCCCGCCGCAGGGATTCGAACCGCCGACCATGCGATCGGCAAGTCCTAGGCGCTGAGGTTTTACCCACAGCGCCACCCGCGTCCCATGCAAAGTGCATTTCCCTTACCCCTGAGCAATCACAATACGCCCACCCATATTTGTATTGGAAAGACGCGTGCTCGCCTTAGAAATTAAGCACTGGAGAATCCTCCCAAGGGAAAAAAAATACAGTTCAAGACTCTAATGCTCAGAAAGACCAAAGCCCCCTGCTTTGAGGCAGTGTGTTTTAGCGTGCAAACAACGCTCTCTTCCTCTTCTCCTTCCAACCTTTTAAATGGTTCCAAAGGCTTTGGGGCCGGTGCCAATGAGCTGCTGCAGTTTGCCCTTTCCCACAGATTCACCATAATCAGCTTACACTTTTCCGGCATGCAAAGTGGGATTTTCCAAGTCCTGGCGTGCTTTATAGAGAACTCGCACCACCTCACCTCACCCAGCCTATGGGGAAAGTGCTGTTGCAATCAGGCCCTGCTGTGGGCTTGCCATGGGCATCTGGCCCCTGTGTGGACAGGGTGCTGGTTTGCATGTGCCTTTGGTCTGATCCTGCAGCCAAGCTCTTCTGATGCTCTGATTTTCTCAACTGCAAGTTGCAATGAGATGCACGCAATCACTGTTGGCCACAGCAGGTTCACAGCTTTGCTTCACATCTACAGTGGTACCTTGGTTCTCAAACACCTTGGTACTCAAACAGCTTGGAACCCAAACACTGAAAACCTGGAAGTGTTCCGGTTTGTGATTTTTTTCTCGGAAGCCGAACATGCTCCATTCTGAGTGTTACGCTTCCAATTTGAGTGCCACACTTCCCTTTTGAGTGTTACGCTGAGGTCTGTCTGTTTTTGCTATTTTGCGTTTTTGTGGCTTTTTGTTTTGTTTTTGGGACTGTGTGGAACTACTGATTGATTGATTGACTGCTGTACATTGTTTATTGCTTTCATTTTATGGATCAATGGTCTCGTTAAATAGTAAAATTCATGTTAAATTGCTGTTTTAGGGGTTGTTTTTAAAAGTCTAGAACGGATTAATCCATTTTGCATTACTTTCTATGGGAAAGCGCGTCTTGGTTTTGGAACACTTTGGTTTTGGAATGGACTTCCGGAATAGATTAAGTTTGAGAACCAAGGTACTACTGCATTATTATTTAGCATGATTTGGAGGGATCCTTTATTGCTTTGTTCAGAGCCCACAAGCTGATTCAGAATCAGCACATTTGCCAGGGGCCTGTATCCCGCAAGAGCCCAGGAAGTTCTGTCTCCATTGAGACAGTTAGAAGGCTGGAGGCGACTTGCAATTCCTTGGAATCAATTCCTTGGAATCATCCACAGCCCGTCTCTGATTTGGAGCGTAATTTATGTTCTGGGTTAATCATCGCTTGCCATATGGAGCCATAACAGGAATGTCAATGGCAAAGTAGAAGACAAAGTGGCCCTCCTTCTATGGGCAAGGAAGATAAGACAGTGCTGTGGGGTTTTATTCTAGACAGCAGGGCGTCCCTGTATCATCTTGGTATTCCAACTTCCACTCAGAGGAGCTGTCAGGAAGAGCTTGTTTTGATTGCATAATGTTCCCTCCTTCCTATGCACTGTTGCTCTCAATCCGCTGTTTATCCCGCTTCCTCGCCCCCCTTTCTTTTCATTTGCACCCTCCTAACAATGGGGACACTGTATTCCACTAAAAATTCCTCCAGGATTGCCAGCAGGGCAGATATTCTGTTTTCTGGTCATGCCTCTGCTTGCTGAAGAGAGTCATCCATTCTTGGTAAACATGTGCTGGGCCTGGATGGGGTGAAGGGAGGGCCTTTGGCACTTATCACTAAAGAAGTGTCTAAACTGGAGCAGAGGCAAACAACTTTACCTTCCCGTGGGCTGTGGATGGTTCCAAGGAATTGCAAGTCGCCTCCAGCCTTCTAACTAGCCTGAGCTAGTCAAACCCAAGACAAAGTGTGTGGAAAGGTCTAATGGGAGGCTGTTGAGTTGAATTGGCTTCCAACTCGCCCTCATGGAAATTCAAGCTGGTATGCTAGGCTTTTTGTTTGGACCTTGATTGAGTTCTGGAATTTAGAATTGACCGGGGCTGTTGATACAATTTCTCCTTACTGCCCTCTCCCACCGTCCTTCATTTTCTAGGGAAGATGACAGAGATGAGCCTGTTGGGACAAAGGTTAGCAGAGGCACTGGGTTACCACCAAGATGGGGTGGAGCTGACACTCGTTGCACACGTGTGACATCACACATGGCATGCATTGCACCCATATGATGGCGCATGCATGATACAAGGAGCCGAGCACTTGGGAGAAGCCGGCCACTGGACCTGTGGTGCATGCCAGATGGGTGCAATGTGTGTAGGACCAATAGAAGATGGAGAGGGCCAAGGTGTCTTTGGCATGCCTGGTGGTTAGAGTGCAAGTGATCGAAAACTTGGCCTGAATCTGACTGGCTATGACTCATAACTCATCTGAGATTCTATTCTTTGATGATACCAGTGGCAAATAAATCTTATTTATTCACCAGCATGGTGCCTGCAAAGAGTGTTGACCAGTGGAAAAGCATTTTACTGGAAAGCATGGAGGGAACCGTTTACAAAAAAAACCCCCAAAATGTGAATTAATATGTCTCTTTTTTAGAGATGGGGAAACTCGCCATTCCCCAGCAAGATTAGGGCATTGACTGTGAACAGCCACAACCAAATGCTCAACTAACCACCCTCATCCAGCTACCCTCACATGTCCTACTTTTACCCCTCAGCCACACAACTGACCACAAATCCACAGAATCCCATTGAATGGACACGCCTTTCCAACAAACGACCAGCTCATAACCATCCAAACCATCTGTGCAAGCCAAACTTGTTTAAAGTCTCAAAACATACAAAAGAAGAACCTGTGACAGGAGTTTCTAGACCAGCTGCAAGATGTATACTCAGCCCTGCCCACACTCTGTAGAAACCTGACTTTTGTTTACTCTTCTGAGGTTTTGGAGGAACCATAGAATAAACCTGCAAGAAGCACCTCCGTGCTGACTTAGCAGCAAGATCCATGAGGTCTGCTTGTCACTGTAATATAAACATGAACACTAATAGCTGATACGTATAATACAGATATGCCAGAAGTCTGGCTTTTGCTCAGATAACTGAATTGCTTTTTAGCCAAGGAGAAGAAACTCCACCCAGCTCTCCAGATGAAAACCGTAGATTTGATCGCTCACAATCAGAGTGATCCGGGGCAGGGTTTTCCAAGTGGCATTCATGGGATCATATGGAACTTTAGTATGGCTTGCAAGGTTACATATGGCCGTTGTTACATATCTTTAAGCACCAGGCAAAAACATTCATCTTCTCCCAGGCCTTTGGCAAATTAAACAATCTATGGCCTTTTAAACTGGGGGGTATTGTTTTTCTTTGTTACTATGTGATGTATTTTTGTGTTTTTATATTGTGAGCCACCCGTGGATCCTTGGATGAAGGGCAGCATCGAAATTTAATAAATAAAACTAAAATAAAAATTTAGGTTTGCACAGGTGAAGTGGATTAAAGTGCCCTGTTGCCCTAGTGCGATGAACCAGCTTTTTGCAATTATGAAAGTTACAGGGAAATGCGAGAAAAATAGGTGGATGAACTAAGGATTAACGTGAAGACATGTGAATCCCCTGCAGGCAAACCAGGCCAAATTCTTATCCTGTGCTATAACCACCATGTAAAACAAACCAGAATGAATGTTCATTAAGGACTGGACATAATCTAACCATCATGTAAGTTTTGTGCAAGCACATCAAGATGAATGTTGTGTATAAACAAGTCATTTATTGTGATGTGTGAGGATTTTTATTTTATTTTTTAAGTTAAACTTGATACCTAAAAGGGTAAACGAAACCCTAGATTTACGGATTGCCAACCTTCTTGAGTCCATGGGCAAAGCACAACCTGCGTGCAAGAGCCCTCTACCCACTTGTGATTCCTAGCATACTGCCTCTGACTGTGGAGGGACAACATATAGCCATGAGGGTTAGTAGCCACTGACAACCTGATACTCCATGAATTTGTCGGATCCTATTTGAAAGTGTGGCGCTGTATGTTAAACCACAGAGCCTAGGACTTGCCGATCAGAAGGTCAGCGGTTCGAATCCCCGTGATCAGGTGAGCTCCCGTTGCTCGTTCCCTGCTCCTGCCAACCTAGCAGTTCGAAAGCACGTCAAAGTGCAAGTAGATAAATAGGTACCACTCCGGCGGGAAGGTAAACAGTGTTTCCATGCACTGCTCTGGTTCGCCAGAAGCGGCTTAGTCATGCTGGCCACATGACCCGGAAGCTGTACGCCGGCTCCCTCGGCCAATAAAGCGAGATGAGCGCCGCAACCCCAGAGTCGGTCACGACTGGACCTAATGGTCAGGGGTCCCTTTACCTTTACCTTTTATGGCATGTTAGGGGCGGATGGCTCTGTTAATTTTAGTTCTCTCCGTTTCTCATTTGTCTTTTGTCTGTTCTGGATTTTCCAAAATTCAGCTTCGTTGAATGTCCACAAATCCTAGTGGCGTGAGAGAGGGAGAAAAACATTTATCTGTTCCCTTTCTCCGCTCCTTATGCCATTTTATGCACCTCTGTCATGAGGAGAGAGGTGATGAGAGAGAAACCCAAGCAAAAGGGGACTCCAGCAGATCAGCTCCCCAGACAGCCACACCATAAAATATTACCTAATCGGTTTAGCCTCCCAGTTCCCCGAAATCATGTTGTCTCCTCCACTGTCTAAAATTAGATTGCAGGCACCTCAGGGTTCGTTTTGACTTTGTTTGTTGCTTATGTTGCTCTGGAAATTGCACCAGTAGAGCTAGATTAATAATAGCATTTCCATCTAATTCTGCACTTAGGTTTGGAAGCAAAATGGAGCCACCAAAAAAAGTAAAAATAAAGTGCTTCTATAGAGAATAGATCTTCCCAGGTATCCACAAGTGTATTAGTTTGTAAAAATCAAAGAAGAAGAGATTTTAGGCAAAACACAGACACCACAACAGCCTGACAAGGACCTTCCAGGACCTATTGAATGTTGACAGCAGTAGAGGCACAGCCTGTTGAGGATGGCAGATGAAAATGAAAATAGGGACTGGTTATCAGTACTCCTTAACAACGTACAGTGAGTGTTCAGGTGGTAGAAATTTGCAGAGGTTCCCTACCTTTTGGAAAGCCAAGAAACTGTCATAAAACCAAAAAATACCAGTTTCACAGAAGAAAAATGTGATGCTCAGAACTCTTCCTCCAAAGCAGGGGCAGGCAACCTAAGGCCCGGGGGCCGGATGCGGCCCAATCGCCTTCTCAATCTGGCCCGCGGACGGTCCGGGAATCAGCGTGTTTTTACATGAGTAGAATGTGCCCTTTTATTAAAAATGCATCTCCGGGTTATTTGTGGGGCATAGGAATTCGTTCATTTCCCCCAAAAAATATAGTCCAGCCCATCACATGGTCTGAGGGATGGTGGACCAGCCCACAGCTGAAAAAGGTTGCTGACCCCTGCTCCAAAGCAAGCAGAACACCTACGCACCCCACCCCACAAAAAAGCAGGCAGGCAGGCAGCAAACAAACCACCAAGAACATCCCCTCCCCAAAAAAACTGATTTAAAAAATGGGGAGGGGCAGAGGGCACTGGTGATAATTGCGGGTGCCATGGTGACCACCAGTGCCATACTAGGGGGGAGGCATAATTAAAGGGTTGCCCACCAGGAAATTAAAAACTCCCACCACCCTTCTGCATAATCTGGTGAGTCTTTGAAACTTCCCACATGCCACTTGCACCCAATAAAGTAGTAAGTTTCAGGGCTGGTAATCGACTCCAAAACTGATCCCATTCACGCTTCATAGCAGAGAAAGGGAAGGTTTCATGAGGATGGTAGAGGAAAAGAGGGCATCTATTCCTCCTCTTGGAACTCTTCCCACCATCAGCAGCAACACCAACCCAAATGCTGCCTTCTGTCTGAGGCTGGCTGGAGATCTTCCAGGAACACTCCTCTTAGGAGCTGGCAATGCACCGCACCATTTTGTTGCAGCCGGCCACACTTGTTATTGTATCAATAACTCCACAGGCAGAGAAGAAACGCATTGAGACAGAAACCAGGAGAGCAAGCGCAGTGGCGGAGCTTCATGCTCTGGTACTGGGGGATGAGAGCAGGCGCAGGTGTGGCTGGCGCATGTCCCGGGGGCGTGGCATGCTGCCCACAGGGGCATGGCATGTGTCCTGGGGTGTGGCTCGCGACCCACAGGGGCATGGTGCCCAGCGTGGGGGGGGCAGCTACGATGGCACCCCACCGGGATCATGGTGCCGGGGGCTGTGCGCTCCCCCCGCCCCCCTCTTCCTCCGCCAGTGAGCAAGCGTTATCCTGTAAAGAATTGTTCTGGGAGGATCAACAAGTTTGTTGGCGCTGTATTGATCCATAGATCACTTATAGATGCAAAGAGTCTGCACACAGCCTTCTTTCTTGTTACCCATTGGCTAATGTTCTGGCCAGTTAATGCTTTGTAGCTGTGGCTACTGGCTGAACCCTTAGATGAAGATATATACAGTGATACCTCTGGATATGCGGCAGCTAGACTGGTGACTGGGAGCAGCTGCCAAAACCACATAACACCAGTCTTGAAAGACCTACATTGGCTCCCAGTACGTTTCCGAGCACAATTCAAAGTGTTGGTGCTGACCTTTAAAGCCCTAAACGGCCTCGGTCCTCTATACCTGAAGGAGCGTCTCCACCTCCATCATTCTGCCTGGACACTGAGGTCCAGCACCGAGGGCCTGCTGGCGGTTCCCTCATTGCGAGAAGCAAAGCTACAGGGAACCAGGCAGAGGGCCTTCTCGGTAGTGGCGCCCGCCCTGTGGAACGCCCTCCCAACAGATGTCAAAGAGAAAAATAACTACCAGATTTTTAGAAGACATCTGAAGGCAGCCCTGTTTAGGGAAGTTTTTAATGTTTAATAGACTATTGTATTTTAATATTTTGTTGGAAGCTGTCCAGAGTGGCTGGGGAAACCCAGCTAGATGGGTGGGGTAGAAATAAATTATTATTATTATTATTATTATTATTATTATTATTATTATTAGAACTCTTCTGGTTCCGGTTGCGAACTTTGCCCCAGGATGTGAGTGGAAATCGTGCGCCAGAGGTTGCACCTCATGTTAAGAACAGTTTCAAGATAAGAACGGACCTCCAGAACAAATTAAGTTCATAACCAGAGGTACCACTGTAGTTCCTAAGAGCTAAGATGACAATCAAGCAGGGAATTATAGAAGCTCATTTTGCATAATCTGGAGACAGATTGTTGGGCGGTGGGGATGGTGAAGGTATGGTGAATATATTGTAAGGTAAATGCATCAAATATAAACTGTGTCTAGAAGCAATACAAGCATGCCATTGAATACAACCCCACACTGGTGCCCTAATTGCGTAGCACACAATTGGTGGTAAAGCAGTAAGATTTGGCGTGTAATAACAGTGCAGAGGGGTGGGGTCAATTTCCTCCCATTTTTACAAAACCAGGATTAATCTAATCAAATTTTCCTGAAACTATTTGGAATGTGTGTGCATGCAGGCGTGTATTGTATGTCTCAAAATGGTGGGAAAATAAAATGTGCATAATTCTACTCTTTCCTCTGAGTTTAGAAGCAGCTACAAAGGCAGGTTTCATTAAAAACCCAAACTGAAGGAACCTTGTGGTCATGTTTATATGTCATGCTCTATCTTATCTTCCATTTTTTCCTTGATATAAAAGGAGTTCCTCTTTGCTGAGAAGTCTCTACAATCCGACATTGTTTCAGAAATTTCTTGCACCCCATATATGCTATTATTTTGGGATATGTTTATAATGGCTGGTGAAGACAGCAAAGGATTTAAACATCCTGTCAACAGCTGCCTTAAAAGCTTTGTAAATGCAGAGCACTCACAGAATAAACCCCCAGACGGTTTATCTGTTGCGTTATGCAATGAAATACGACCGCCTCAAACTGCAAACCAAGGGAAATCCTTTTGCCTCCATTGCTCGTTTAGATGCTATGAGATCATTAGGCAGCCCGGCACTCTGATCCTAACATGAACGGACACCCTTGCAAATAATGTCTCCATTCAGAGTAGCTTAAAAATAAAAGGAAATTGGCAGACGTGTCTACGATTTATGCAACATAGCAGCTGCAAGGACTCAATTTAATTTAATGAAGCAGATTTAATAAATATGAACATTCAGGACTATAGAATGACAGCAGAATGTTGAAGATGGCATTTGGGAGGGGAAGGAAGAAAGAAAACCACAGCGTCTAGAATATTGCCCTCTTACGCTGCTGACAACTGAACTGTAAGTATCTAAGAGGTAGAAATTAAGAGTAGCCAGGATGTGACTGAGCAGCTGTAAGCCCTGTAAATTCATTTTAAAAGATGAAACGACTTACCCTTATTTGGACTGTTTGGACGAGCTTTTCAAAAACCCTCTTCTTTTGTACGTCAGGTCTCTCTGTGTGTCCGGAAATCTATGCGTCTCTCAAAATAAGGAGCAGTAGGTGGGGCGTGCTGAACGCCTAACAAGAACAGTTGTTTTTCTTGGGAGATACGTCACTTGAGAGCAGCCTGTGAGTCAGCCCACCCTTCTACCAGTAAATGCATTAGGAAATTAGAGTTTCTGGATGGTGGGAGGGAGCAGGGGAGCAGAAACCTCCCCAGTCAGACTCAGGCGTCAGGAAAAAGTTGTGCTTTCAGAACTAGCTTCTAACTTTCAAACATGAAGTTGAACAAGGTACATCTTTTCTAGCAGGATTTTAAAACTAGGACTATATTCCATGCAGTGTGTGATCACTGATTGTGGACATCTTTTTTGCACTCTTATCAGCTTCTGGTAGAATTCTACCTTTTTTCAGATTGATTCATCCTCTATTTAAAAATGGATGTTTTCTCCCCTCTGGTGGTAAGTTTTAAACAGAAGCGTGTTTCAGTCTGGTAGGGAGAATGTTTGCCGCTGACCACTGTCAAAACATGCCATTGGTGGTCCTTAGGATATTTTATTCCATGAGCTCTCAAAACATTTTCCTCTGGGCCACACATTCAGAATAAAGATTTGCTTGTGCCACACCGATTTTCTAATTGATAATAAATAACATTGGAAAACAAAAAGAAACAACAACTAGCAGTGCTTGATTTATAACATAGAACACAAATACTTTATATTGTTTAAATGTTTCTTTGATTGTTATTGAATCTTCCCACAACCCTTGCCTTCCTCTCCTCCCACATCCTCTGAGAATTACAGTTCTGAAGCAAAATGGGCAGAAGCCATTCTAAGTATGGGCCTGTTTGTAGTCAACAAGTGAAATCACCACTGTGATTGGTGGGTAGGGAATGGATATACTGTATGTGTCCATTTCAGTTCCTTTTGGTTTCTCAGTTTTTTCAGTCTTAAATCCAGTCCCCCACATTACTGTAGTAGAGCTTCGGGGCGGCAGCGGGGGGGGGGGGAGACTCCTCATGAATTTTTGTCAGCATTTTTGTGTGCAATTTTCCAAGGAAACATGTTATGTACTGAGTTGAATAGGATCCAAAATGCAGCAGTCTGATTGGTCCTAGAACAATGCAGCAGTATGATTGGTCTGCAAGAGCCACCCAATCCAGCTCCAGATGGAAGTGAAACCACAACCTGACTGGCCTACAGGAGAATTCCAGAATTAGCCAATCACGTGCAGCCCATTGTGTAAATAATGTATATAAGGCAGATACTTTGGGGAAACTTTTATTCCTTCTCACCACTATGAGCTGAATAAAGAGCATGAAATCCACTCTCGACTCTGAGTATATTTCAAAACACATCTTTGTATGCATTTTTTGATAATATATATATATATATTTCTGCAATCAGTTTTTCCCAGGGAAAGGTGGTGTATTTGCAGATGAAGAATGTGAACAGTAGCAAGTAATTTCTGAAGTGTCCTGCCTCCCACACAGGAGTGATTTAGAATGTTCAGATCCTGAGCAACTTTGCTAGCTGTTGCCCATTGCTTCTGGTATGGTGCAAAAACTTCTGGCAGCAATCACATCTCTCTCACCACACTTGCAAGCTAAAATAATTGTTTCCTTCCTGCATAAGCTTATAGTGGTTGACCCATGAAAGTGTATGACAGAGCTAACAGCTCTGAATGGCATTGGTATAGCTGAGTCTAACCTTCCGCTGTGCATTATAACTGAACCATTCAGATTTCATTTAGATTAATCTTATGGCCTTAGATCTTACAATAGTCTTGAAAAACCTTTAGTGTTTTCTCAAGATAAATTTCTTGATTTTTCACTCTTAGCAGTACATTGTCAGCAATAAAAGCTGGCATTACAGATGTTGCTTCCTATTCTAAGGCCTTCATTCTCTTAGCTAGATCTTACATTCTCTACCAATGACTCTATCATAGTATTGAACAACCAGGGGGGATAATGGACATCCCTGTATTGCTACTCTAGACTGCCTTTTTTTATCTTCTGCTGTCTACACATACAGTAGCAACTGGATTCCTGTGTATTAACTTAACCCAAATAACAAAAGTAGGTCCCAGTCCCAGTTCTGCTTAATTTGAACCTGTTATTCCCAGTTGACTCAGTCAAATGCCTTTTCAGCAGCAATAAATACTAAGCCAAGTGGATCCTGTTTATTATTACAGGCAACTCCTGATTTACGCAGGTCCAACTGACATGCAACTGCGACTGCATGCACTGTGCCAAATCCAGAAGTCACTTTAAAAATGGCCCTCAAAGAGCCCAGAAAGGGCAAAAGGGCACAATAACAGTGCCTAGCAATCCCACGATACTTTGCAAGTGCAATCCCAGAAGCCCTTGCACTGACCGTTGAGGCTGACCATTGTGGATGGGCTTTCCAGACTGATAATGCTTTCCTTTTTCCCATTTATTTTTTTATTTGCATTTTCAAAAACAGGAACAGAGCATATTTAACCCCCTCCCCTCCTCCTGTCCTACTTACAACTTTGTACCAAATACAGCATGTATACATATACCATATAACTTCCCTTCCACCCTTTTCCTGGTTCCTTTGCTTTTCTACTACTCCGCATAATCCACATCTTTTTAATCATCCAATTTGTTACCTATTAAAAACTCTATCTATTTCAATTCCGCTGGATTTACGTGAGACCTGCTAAGCTATGTACCGGTATTTGTTTTTAAAATATTCGATAAACATTTTCCCTTCCTCCTTGTATTCCTTATCTTTTTCTCTTATCCTGTTCGTCAAACCAGCCAGTTCAGCATATTCAAACATTTTATACTGCCATTCTTCCTTAGTGGGTACTATACTCGTTCTCCACTTTTGTGCCAATAAGGTTCTAGCTGCAATATAGTAATAAACCCTTTTGGTTTTGGGGGGACCTTCGTTGTTACCATTCCTAAGAGAAAAATCTCAGGTGTTTTAGGGAAAGTTTTTTTAAAAAAATATCTTTTTAAATTCATTATATATAATTTCCCAACATTCCTTAATTATTTTACAGGACCACCACATGTGAAAAAAGAACCCTCATTTCATTACACTTCCAACATATACCTTTTTTTATATATACATTTTTGCCAATCTGGTGAGTGTTAAATACAGATAATGCTTTCCAATGCTCTTTAAAAAACAAAACTTTGACATTTAAGTTCCAGCTTTAACTGACATATATTGGTAGCCCATTAACTCATGTTCATTCTGCTCATTAAAAAAAAAATGAACTAATGTTTCCCAAATGACTTTGTGGTTCTAAAGTTTCTAATTACTTTTAAAACATTTAAACATTTAGAACATTTTTTAAATAGCACTTAACAGTAATATCTGGGGTTCTAGTTGCTTTTACAGGTTTTTAGCCACTTTTACATGGCGCTGTGGTCTAAACCACTGAGTCTCTTGGGCTTGCTGATCAGAAGGTCAGCTGTTTGAATCTGCACGACAGTGGTGAGTTCACGTTGCTCTGTCCCAGCTTCTGCCAGCCTAGCAGTTCGAAAGCATACCAGCGCAAGTAGATAAATAGGTATTGCTGTGGCGGGAAGGTAAATGGCATTTCTGTGTGCTCTGGTTTCCGTCATGGTGTCCTGTTGCTCCAGAAGTGGTTTAGTCATGCTGGCCACATGACCCGGAAAGCTATCTGTGGGCAAATGCTGGCTCCTTTGACCTGAAAGCGAGATGAGCGCCACAACCCCATAGCCACCTTTGACTGGACTTAACCATCCAGAGGTCCTTTAGCTTTTTTTGCATGTAAAGGTAAAGATGCCCCTGACATTTAGGTCCAGTCATGGACGACTCTGGGGTTACGGCACTCATCTCGCTCTATAGGCCGAGGGAGCCGGCATTTATCCGCAGATAGCTTCCGGGTCATGTGACCAGTGCCACCCGTGTCCCTTCTTTCTTTTTACCTTAAGGTCCATAAATAGCAACACCCTAGAGGTCCTGGGCTCTAAGGAAGTTAGATTAGCCTCAACCAGAGCCAGGGCCTTTTCAACACTGGCTCCAGCCTGGTGGAACGCTCTGTCTCCTGAGACAAGGGCCCTGCAGGATCTGATTTCTTTCCGCAGGGCCTGTAAGACAGAGCTGTTCCGCCTGGCCTTTGGCTTGTAATCAATTTGATTCCCTCCCCCTCTTTCTTTTTTTCCTTTCTCCTTCTGTGTTGGAACTCCTATTTGGGGACTTCCCTGGCTTTTTTCTGGCCCATGTAGGACCAGTCTGGATAGTTAGCCTTGGTGAAGACTTGACGTTTTTATCCCCAAAAAAGTTTTTGATTGAGTTTCCACTGAAATGAGGCTGCATTTTAATGTTTTAATGTTGTATTTTAATCTTGTTTTTTAAGCAGTATGTCAATCAATTGTTTTTATAGTTGGTGTTAGCCACCCTGAGCCCAGTCTTGGCTGGGGAGGGTGGGGTATAAATAAAATTATGTATTATTATTATTATTATTATTATTATTATTATTATTACATGTAACAGTAGCTAAAAACAAGCAAAAGGTCTTTAGTAGTATGTCTGTAGGAGGGGAAATATTATATAGAAAAGGCACTAAGTATCATGAAGATAGCTGTTCCACCAGCATTTTCTTCAAGCAGAAACAAATCAAAGAAAGGACTAGTTGATAACGCCACAAATTATTGTTAAATGCTGCTTGCTTGGGTATATACACCCCCAAACCTAAAGGAATATATGCCAGAAACATAGGCTCAGATTATTTGGGGGTGGTTCAGAAAGATGGCTGGTCTAGCTAATGTGCAACAAACAAACAAGCAAACAAACAACCCTGACAACAAAAAGTTAGAAATGTGATCTGTTTTTGCAGCTGCTTCTGTTCTAAAGCAGAAGCCAGGAACTTCCATTTAATGGGTCTAATTAGGTCCACCAGACCTCCGCATTTGGCCTGCAAGGCTATTTTGGCCAAGCCACCCCCACTTGCTTTACAAGTAAAGGCACAGCCACAGCTGGGCAAAAAGGGGGCTTGCAGATATAATCCACTGGTGTATCTGACTTTAATTCTGCACGTGCTCAGTAAACAAACAGCTGCCACCATATGAGCCAAGGTTACCTACCTCTGTGCAATTAGGATAATCCCTCAGGCTTTCCCCTCTGCAAGGCCCCGAACCCTTAAGAACCAGTTAGTAGTGGGGTTTCCCTTAAAGTTCTGAATTTTCCCAATCTTGTACAGTACGTTCCTTGTCTTATGTTCTTTTGTGTTAGGGCCTCTCTGCACTTGCCACTTATAGTCATATACAGTGGTACCTTGGGTTAAGAACTTAATTCGTTCTGGAGGTCCGTTCTTAACCTGAAACTGTTCTTAACCTGAAGCACCGCTTTAGCTAATGGGGCCTCCTGCTGCCGCCTCACCACCGGAGCATGATTTCTGCTCTCATCCTGAAGCAAAGTTCTTAACATGAAGCACTATTTCTGGGTTAGCGGAGTCTGTAACCTGAAGCGTATGTAACCTGAAGCGAATATAACCCGAGATACCACTGTAGTTGCTTGCTTGATCTGACATGTTTAAGAATGAATTTGCTGCCGATGATCTGCCCCTTTGTTGCTGTTATCAGAGAATGAGCAGAGGTGTAGTGGGCAGGGTTGAGGGGGGTCAAAGATCTGTTACTATTTTTGCAGCGCGGTTTGTGCCAATTGGAGCCAGTCATAGTGAAAGGAACTGAGTCATCCACAGAGAATTTGCTCCTAGGGTCACTCTGGAGAAGGTGTGTGTGGAGAACACTGAATTGTTCTGTGCGCTTCAAAGCTAAGTATTTAGGAACACTGAAAACACACAAGGTGCTTCAATTTCAAGAGCATGGTGTGCATGTTCTGTTGTATACTATGGAACATTGGGGGGATGGGACCACAACTTAAGTCACTCTGCAAGAAGATACAGTCATACCTCATGTTACAGATGCTTCAGGCTACATGTTTTTGGGTTGCGGACTGCAGGAAACCTGGAAGTACCAGAATGGGTTACTTCCAGGCTTTGCTGCTCGCGCATGCGCAGAAGCGCCAAATTGCACTGGTGCAGACATCCAAGGTTCCATTGTAATGGGCACTCCAAATCATTTGTCCACATATGTGTACAGAAAATAGTAGAAATAGATCTACATCAATTGTTGCAATGCATCCTTAGTTTCCCCAGAATGGCTGGAGAAACCCAACCAGATGGGAGGGGTATAAATTATTATTATTATTATTATTATTATTATTATTATTATTATTATTATACAGTTGTTGTTGTTGTTGTTGTTGTTGTTGTTGAATGTGTGGCCCATGGATTCTATGTGGAAATATTCTTGTGGCCCACTTTTTTTGAAAAATTGGCTGTTCTACATCCAAGTGTTCATAGCAGACCAGCTTTTTTCAGCTGGTCCACATCACCCCCTGGTGTTCAGAGTACTTATTACAGTGAAATGTGAACCCAATGGGATTTATTCCCAGCTAAATGCATATCAGATTGCACCCTTAAACATTTTAAAAATATTGATAGCTTCTTTAACTGAACTGTTTGGAGTTGCAAGATTTAATTAAATACTTTGATTCCACATGATTAATGGACACCAAACACATTCAGCAAATATTTTTATTTCCTCTGCTGATTATACGTATTCTGCTGTTCTAGACCTTTGTATTTGAAGATACAGTAATTCTGCCAACATCATGTATCAAAGGACATGTTTCTCAAATATGCACAGCTCTCCTTTCTCAATTATTCCTTGACTGCTTTGAAGTCAGTATGTGAACAGGATTCGTGGGAGGAAATTGATAAGATGATCCACAAAAATGGTCCACAAAACAATTCTATTCAGTCTCAGCCTCTATTATAGAAAACTCGATGAAAATTGTTCATAAATGGTTCCTCCCTCACTGTTGGAAGTACAGGGATCAATCAGTTAGTAACCTAAGGGTTAATTCTGTTTACATTCAGCCAACTGAAGTGGGGGTGAAGGTGTTGCCTAGCAACCACTCAGAATGACATGATCCTTGCTGGGATAACTTGTGCTCTGATTGGCTCTGTATATCTGAGAGAGTTTCTCCACTGTATGAGTAGGTATATGCTGCCCTGCTGTAGACAAGGCCTGAACTGCTAAGAAAAACAAAACATTTCTGTTTGTTTCTTCTCGTATTATCTACCCTTTTTGTTCAGTTTACCCAATAAAGTATGGTCAATTTCTTTTCTCTCTGGACTCCATCTGCTTTATTCAAGTCACCCTGTTAACAATCAGTTTGATTTGGGTACCGAAAACAAGCCTCCAGTCCCAGAATGTGCTCACAGAGAACCCCCGTTTTCTAATTCTAACTGTATGCCTTTTGCACTGGGTGGTAGATCTTGCGGTTCTACTAAAAAAAATCCCCCCAAAATAAGGTAGATCCAGGAAGGCTGATGTTAAGTTGTGGGTGAACATATCAGATGACACAGCGATTCTTCAAACAGCTCTTGTTTATTCACAGGCCAGAACAGAACTGAACAGAAGGGTTCAGCCAGCCTGCTTATATAGAGCTCCACTAGAACGCAACAGTAACCATTTTCTGTAACTATCCAATCACTGAACATCACTTTTGATCCCTTATTTGCATATGTGGACCTGAACTATCTACAGTATCCCCCTGCTGGCCCAGGGTGAGAACTTCAGTACATAACACCCCTCCCCACCGAGATAAGGCGTTAGTTACAATCGTAATGGTTTCCTTAAATACAGTACTACACGTAATGGTTCAATTAGGCACAAAAGCATATCAATTACATTTCACCTACTTCCATTAGACCGACAATATTACATGTCCAACAACATAGTCCTTTAAATAAGTTGGGCACTTGGAAACTCTGCCAGACTGCCAGGGAGCCGTACCCAGGTCCGGAGGGCCGCCCGATTCTTGCTGAGGCTGTGGCGCGACCCTAGGTGGCGTTGAAACCAAGTCCCCTGAATCCGCTGCTGTGGGTGGAACCTCCACAAGTGGAGTTGGCGGAATGTCAGGCACGGCAGTGGTCTGAGTCTGTGGTAAGTCTGGCAGACCCTCTGAAGCAGCTTGGTTCGGCTCCACGCCGGCAGTTTGCGAGAGAGGTGTAGGTGGAGTCTCACCATCTGTAAGTGTCTCTTCCGGAGCCACGAGCGCAGTTGGGGGCACCACGGTAGTGTCCAAGTCCCCAACCCTGCGCCTAAGCTGGTCTATGTGCCAGTGCCACAAGCGTCTGTCTTCGAGTGCTACCTGGTATGAGCGAGGTCCAGTGACTCCCACTACTGTGGCTGGCACCCAAGGAATGTCCCCCACAAAATTCCGGGCAAAACCTGGTTTCCTGGAACAAAGGACCGTGGCGCGTTGGCACAGCCTGGGGGTTCGGCCACGGCAAAGTCCAGGTGCAGCCGGTCAAGCGGAGATCTGAGGCGGCAGCCCATAAGCAGTTCGGCAGGACTCCGCCCTGTGGCCGCATGAGGGGTGATGTGTTGCACGAACAAGTATTCGGCAACCCGCTTGTGTCAGTCTCCCTGGTCCAGGCGTGCCAGTGTCTCTTTTGCCAAGCGCACCATTCTCTCCGCTCCACTACAACGCAACAGTAACCCTTTTCTGTAACTATCCAATCACTGAACATCACTTTTGATCCCTTATTTGCATATGTGGACCTGAACTATCTACAGTATCACCCTGCTGGCCCAGGGTGAGAACTTCAGTACATAACAACTGAAGTCTGCCTGTGCTTTCTCCAATAATTACCAGATTAATCTGAGTTATGTAGAATTCTACCAGATCCCTACATGGAAACTTTGCAAAAAAAAACAATGGGAAGAAGCTGTCACTCAGTAGTAGAGCCACGGCCTTGCGTGCAAAAGACCTCAGCTCCGATCCCCAGCATCTTTGGGTAGGGCTGATAGAGAACCCATCCTATAGTGTGGCTGCCAGTCAGTGCAGAGATGGAACAACGCTCTGACTCCTGATAAGGCAGCTTCCTGCGTTCCAAAGATATATGGGGCGGGCAATATTTTTATCAGTACTGCCAGTGTTCCTATTTCAGCAGCCACAGCCAGTGATGGTCCTCTGTCCTCTGCTTCCATCCTATTTTTAGAATGAACTATACAATCTGTACCAGAGAGAAGCTAACAGGGAAAGTAACACAAGTTTTGCTTGGAGCCTGTGGTCAGCTAGTGAGGCTTTTGGTGGTTGTTTTCTTTCTTTCTTTTTCCTTTTTCCACAGTATGGGAGCGACCCCTGGGGAAAGTTTCCTGATGCATTTAGAACAGTGGCCGCAAAGTTGAGAGATGGTGTATGCTCAGACACAAAGGATTGGCTAAACTTGACATTGAAGGTTACCCCTCCTGCTGCTATATATTCTGAGGAGCACAGGCTTTTTGAGCTTAGAGACACCTGCTCTTCAAAAAGAACAGAGCCTCAGAGAAGCCAACCAGAAACCCTCTACAGAAGAGTAAGTTACTCCCATGTTTGCTAAGGGTGCCTTCAGCTTGTCACTGCTTCGTGGGAGGGATTCAAGAGCATACTGTAAATTTAGGTTTGTGCCGTTAAGGTGAGTTCAAGTGCTCTGTTCCCCTAGCACAACAAATCCACTTTTAAAAACAAGGGTTGGACTTTTTGCAGTTTGGAACTGGCAGGGAAAGGGTGGGATAAATGAATGATTAACGGGAAGCAAATCAGGATGGATGCAGGATGCATGCTCATTTGTCATATGCCCTCCCTGCAAATAAATCAGGATGAATGCTTAATAAAACTGTATAATTTAACCTCTGCATAAGCTTTGTGCAAGTGAATCAGGGCAAATGCTCAACTTGTCTGGAGGAACCCTGAATCTTTGCACTGCTTAGAAGTAATTCTTTTGTATTGCAGTTCAGGGTCATGCCAGTCCATTTTTATTTACTTTTCATATGTTTAGATTCAGGATGCCAGACGCAAAGTCAGCTAAAGATCTCATAGGATCCTAATGAGCAATGGAGGCAAACGGAATAGCCTTGGCTTCTGCTTGTGGGAGCCGCATTTCATTTGATAATGGAACATATAAGCCACCTGTTAAGTTTCACCTATGAGGTCTTGGCTATAACACTGGGAAAGTTTTTAAATGGTTGCAAGTGCACATTAAAAAAAGAAAAAGATCCTTAATAAAAGGCAAAAGATTTATACGATCTGAAGAGAAACGAGAGACAAGACTCTTTACAATACATATCCTGAAAATATTATTTTTTTCAATTTAAAACTGTTTTTATTCAATTGAGTAGTTTCAGATTACTTTATTGGTTTATAGTCCTGTTTAGACTACTCCAAAACAAAGTTTAGCAATGTTAAAGTAAGACAAGGTAGCAGAAATAGAAACTAACTTAGACAAAGATAAACTACAAGTGAACAAATGTAGAATGCTGAAATTCCTATGTTTAGACATTAAAGGTGGAACAGTTCTTACCCTTAACAAATATTGTGATGATTAAATTGATGATTAAATGCAGATCTGAATAAAAATATGTAAAACCACAGTGAACTTAAAATTCTGAATCTCTGTCCCAGTTTTGACTAATAATTCCAGCTGCAGTGAGAAGATATGATTTTGTCTATTGCTTGCTAAATTTAATGCTTGCTAAATTTAGTGATTTAACATGCCAAAATAACATGGCTAATGGATCTAATGGTAATATAAAGTGCTTTTTCTGGGGGTACCTAATGGGTATGCAGTAGCAGTACCTCCCCACCCACCCCACCCCAGTGTTAAAAGTGTGGCACTTACTGTGACAACTTTATGGTGGGTCCTAGCACCCTTTTTTTCTTTTTTTTAAAAAAAAAGGAAAGGAAAAAGCACTGGTAGTCTATCCAGTCATACCTTGTAGGTTGATCAACAGTCATTCCAGGGCTTCATACATAATGGGTAGGCATTTCCAGTAATGTGAGCTATATCATTCAAGCAGAATTACACCAGTAATTGTCATTAAACCCCTACATAAATCCGATTTCATCTCAGTGCAGAATATTCTAAACATTTATTGCATAGGGGGTACAAGCAGAAGGTTACTATGGAGTCCAAGTGATTTTGGAAAACAAGGCATGATCTTGATCTTAACAAACCAATTCGAACTGTACTATGAGAATAAACTGAGCTACCAAAATGCTGGCTGACAAAATTCCTTTTGCTTGGATTTATACAACATCTGCCCCCATGGAAGGATGAGTCACAATAAATTTGGACAGTCTCCTTAGATTAATCCTAATCTTACGAAAATAAGGCTTGCTTAACTTTATTATTTTACTGCCAATTGTATGCTTAGGTACCAGTGTGGAAGACTTCCTTCTTTAAGTCTTCAAGAAACACATTTCTGATGCATTTACACTGAAGTGTCGCCATATTGCACAAAGTGTTCTATATTTTCATCCCAACCTTCCTTCAAGGAGGTCAGGGTGGGGTATCTGTTTCACCCCAAACACTCACACACATTTTTATCTCCACAAGAACCCCGTGAGGTAAGTTTTACTGAGAGATGGTGATTGGCCAAGACCACCGTATAAGTGTTTATTTGGACATGAATTTCCACAGTCCCGGTCCAATATTCTAAATGCTAGACTACAAACTGTCTAAATCAAATTTAAAATATTTCCTGTTGCATTCTCACCTACTACCTATTATTTCCCACACCCCACACCCCATTACAGCATTATTCCTTTCGGGAACACAGCAATTAACCAGTTCATCACCATCAGTTTCTTAGGATCAACAGTCCAGAATAACCCGAAACAGAATTCAAAAAAAGTGTAACCACAGCTCACCTATATAGAAAATAGCCAATAACCTCAGGCAAAGATGGTGGAGAAATTTGATTCAGTTTGGATTTAAAGGTGAACCTTCCTAATTTCCACTTTTTGAAACAATACGCAAAGCCAAACACAGCCATCCTTTGAAATTTGAATCCTCCGAATTTTGCAATGCTGTTCTCCGGTCAAGTAACACGTACAAAAATAAATAGTGAAAATAACATTAAAGTGCATTATATTAGAGAAAACTGCTTTGCCAGAAGGGATACGTTATGCAGAATTGCATAGATAAAGGTGTATATTAGAATAAATATTCACTAAAATTGCACTGGCAAGAGCCCCCCGTCATCATTGCAACCTGCCTTTTCATCTGCCTCTTGAGTAAGAAGAAGGAGCAATGAATGCCATTGTCTGCTTGCTCAATGAGTCTCTACCTAGCAAGCAAACTGGGTGGTAGCCATGAGGAGAAAGAAAAGCAGCTGCGGCAGGGAGGGATTTGCATTTGAAAGAGAAACTACCTAATTTGCACTTCTCAAGTGAAGTGGGGGAGCATCTGCTTTGCATGCAAAAGGTCCCAGGTTCAATCCTCAACAGTTCCAGGTAGCACTGGGAAAGAACTCTGCCTGAAACCCACAGAACCACTGCCAGTCAGTGCAGACAGCATTTATTTTTAATTTCTTTATTTTTAGTGGTGGAGAAATAGGAACAACAATACATACGTGGTGGAGGTGTGAGGAGATTAAGAAATTTTGGATAGTAGTACATGAAGAACTAAAGAAGATGTTGAAAATATAAATAACAAAGAAACCGGAGACATATCTCCTTGGATTGATAGATGAAGAGATACCACAGAGGGGGGATGAATTTTTCTATATGCAAGTACAGTTGCTAGAATAGTGATTGCTGCTAGGTGGAAGTCACAAACTATACCCACAAAGGAGGAATGGATTTGTAAACTAAATGAATATTTAATTTTGGCAAAATTAACTGCTATAATAAGAAATCAGTCGAATCAAAAATGAAAAAAAGAGTGGAAATGCTTTGATGAATATATGGCAAAATATTGTGCAAAAAAAGATATGCTAATATGCCTAGATTAAAATGTGAAGTACTGGATGGAAGAAAAAATAGTAAGGAAAGATAATAAGAATATATAAATGATTTGAGAAGATTGTGGAATCCAAAGATTACTGTAAATTGTATAATGTGGAGGAAATTGAGTGGGGGTGGAAGGAAGTGGGAGGAAGGAGAAAAGAATAATATGATGAACTGAGGAAATATAAATGTAAATGTATGGGGGGATGGGGAAGAAATGGTGTTGGCTTTGGTACATCTGTATTGTAATGTAATATGTCAGTGCAGACAGTATTGAGCTAGATGTTCATACCCGGAGAACATATTGCCCAACACTCTGCAAAATCTAGAGCTGGCAGCTGCGCATTCACTCTGCTGCCTAGTTCAGCCGTGGCTGCTGCTTCCTATTTGTTGATCTGACGCTAATGGAGCAAACCTCTTTTCTCCTTTCCAAGACTTTACGATGCAGAGAAAACTGGCGGCAGCCGTCCTCTTTGCAGCCCTGTGCATTTGTCTCAGCCGGAAAGTGGGCGTTTCCCCATCTAAGCGGAACAAGAAGCCATACACCAAGCGGCCCAGCAGGACCACCTCGCCGGTCCAGAAATACCTGTGCCACGGGGGTCAAATGATTGACGGTGTGGAACTGCAGCCGAACGACACCGCCTATTACAGGGATAATTGGAAGGATTTTCCAGACGGACTCTTTTACCCCAACTGCTCCTTGTATCGAGAGCCTAACGTAAGCAAAGAAGCCCTGGTTGGCGAGTGTGTCAGTTTTGTAACGCCTTCAACCAAGTTGAACCTGTCTCTAGGAAAGGATGCAAATGACCCCAAGCAGAGAGTGATGTGGTTCGTGATTAACCACTTGTGTGCCAACGAAACATGCAGTCAGCCGTGTCCGCAGCGCTCTAACGCTGGAGCCCTCCATTTTTCCAGTCAAGCCCTGATTATTGGCCTGCTTGGTCGCTCTGTTCTTTCCACAAAATAAAGTTGCAGGGTCCAGGCTCCTGATGTGGAAGATAGAGCTGTGTAGTTCCCTCTCCCCACCCCAGTCCAGAACTAGCACTTTGGATCGTCCCCAATCTGCGCTGGGCTGACCCAAGGCTAACCCAGAAACAGGTCTGGAATCACTCCAGGGTGAGGAGTCCTAATGCTTAATTAGGGTTTCAAGTCCTTGAAACATTGCGTCTCCTCCCGCCCGCCCCTGCTGCGTTAATGAGATTTTTAAAACCCTAATTTAAAAATATGATCTGTAGGGAGCTGGGGGAAGGAGGAGACACTGTGTCTCATCCAACCGCAGTGCAGAGAACCTTCTGCACATCAGCTGATGAGTGGAGGTTTCAATGCAGTTGGGAGCTGCTCCACAGGGAATGTGCTACAAGAGCAGAGGTTGGAGAGGCTGCCAGCCTCTCCTCCTTTCCTACAACTGTCTGCCCTGCCTTTTGACAGCCCTGAATCACTCCAGCTGGACCGACATGAGGCAATCCAGGGCTGTCCCAACAGCCAACCTAACCAAAGCCCAGATCCCCCAGAATTGGCATGATATGGTTCAGGACCTGGGCTTTGACCGGTTCTGTTGCTCAGCCCTTTTTGTTGTTTAGTCGTTTAGTCGTGTCCGACTCTTCGTGACCCCATGGACCAGAGCACGCCAGGCACTCCTGTCTTTCACCGCCTCCCGCAGTTTGGTCAGGCTCATGTTTGTAGCTTCGAGAACACTGTCCAACCATCTCGTCCTCTGTCGTCCCCTTCTCCTTGTGCCCTCAATCTTTCCCAACATCAGGGTCTTTTCCAGGGAGTCTTCTCTTCTCATGAGGTGGCCAAAGTACTGGAGCCTCAGCTTCAGGATCTGTCCTTCCAGTGAGCACTCAGGGCTGATTTCCTTAAGAATGGATAGGTTTGATCTTCTTGCAGTCCATGGGACTCTCAAGAGTCTCCTCCAGCACCAGAATTCAAAATTATTAATTGCTCAGCCCTAGTAGAAACCAAAGAGGAGACAAGCAGGCCGCAAAGGCTTCTGATAACCTTGCCATTTTCCATGCTTGAATTTCTACTGCGTCAGGCGCACCACTTATATTAGTTGTAGGTATGCATGAGTCAGATCTTTCCCCCGCCATCAACTTTGCCATTATGCCCCGCACAATTGAAGGAAGCATGCAAAATGCTAGAGCAGCGCAGTGCTGAACTTCTGGCTTATTTGGAGCCACAACAGTCGAAGATATTTGCATTTGGTCCTTGCCGCACAGAACAAGAAGTGCAGGGCCAGTTGGATGGAATGTTTGCTGCTCACTCAGTGACTTTTGACATCTTCCCATGATGAGTGAGTGCAGTCCTGCCCGATTCAGCACAGATGACAGATTTACAAAGGGCTGCTTGGAGCTGCTTACTATAAAACCATCATTCCCTGCAGTGCACACATTCCTTTTGCTGTGCTCTCTGAGCAATAACTGAAAGGAGCTTTCAGCAATGTTCAGTGGTGTATATTATATACATGTATCTGCAATGATCCTTGGTAGTGTTTTTTTTGTTTGTTTGTTTTTAAAAAGCTGTTCAAAGTCCACCATTGTCCGTATTTCCTGCTGTGAAATGTCAAAATTGCATTGGCCATCTGTTTTAGCATATGTTTTATGTATTTTAAGCATTCACTTATAGTAGAATTCAAGATTTGTGAATTATATACCTCCTTTTGTTCACAATTTATTTTACTGCCTTCTTTTTTCCCCTGCCTTCCCTCCAAAGAATACGTTGCCCACCCGCTTTTATCCTCGCAACAAACCTGTGAGACAGGTTGAGAGATGGTGACTGGGCCAAGGTCAGCCCGTTTGTCAACCAAATAGTATGTGGAAAGATACACATACCAGAAGAAAGTGTGCATAAATGCGTATATTAGTTTTTTAAAAAAACTTACAAAAATGAATTCATTTTTATTAGATTTTTTTCTCTTATAACAATATCTATAATCATTACATTCAAATTTCAATTTCCCCCTTCCCTACTGACTTCCCTCAACTTCCATCCCAGGTTTATTACATCTCATATTACATTCTGCTGTTTGTATATACTTCTTGTTGTCGTACTGTTATGTTTCTTGTTTTTCATAAATAAAGTTGCAAATGTTTATTAAAATCCTGCCAATGGTTCTATGTTTTTTTGTTGCTTCTGCAAATATGATGTAAAAGGTTCCCATTATTTTTCAAAATCACTATTGTCTTTTTCACGAAGTTTATCTGTTAACTTTGCCAACTCTGCGTAACAAAAATGAATTATATGATGGGGACATCGCTTGCAAAAATTTGTATATTGGGCAAAATAGCACACCAAAATATGTATATTGGAAGAAACATGCACAAAAATGCTGACAAATCTTCATGAGGACTTTTTTAAAAATCTCAAGCTTTTGTGGAGAACTGAACTTAATGAGAAACCAAAATGGAATGATTCCTCCCCCTCCTAATTTGGGCACCTGTGGTAGAAAGGAGGGTGAGGAATGAACGCAGAAGCCTTAAGCAGAGACCTGAGAGGTCCACACACACCAAAGCACTTCCCTGTGCAAAACAGCAGATTATTTCCAGATGTATGCCTAATGCTTGCCTGGAACCTTTTAATATCAGTAATGGAAAGACCAGCGCTCAATTTTCCATGAACAATATCTTCGCTATCCTGCTGACCCCAGACTGCGCAGCAAGAATTAATCTTGCCTTTCTCATCAATCTCTTCTTCCCCAGCCAATACTTTCCTTCCCATTAACCTGAGCCACTTCCCTTAAGTAATCGCCAGATCAGCCTCCATTAGCAGAACCACAAAGAAAGAAATCGAGTCCCCACCCCCACGGCATATGACTGGGCTTTTGCACGGCTCCCGTTCATTTTATTTGGAATTGCTCAGAAGCAACTGCTGGCGGGGTGTGGCTTGTTTGTTTACTTTGTTTAAATGTATAGCCCCATTCAAAAAAACCCAAACTGAACACGCAGCCTGGCAAGACCTGCTGCCGGGAGGCCCTGTGAGATCTGCTGCCCTTGCAAGGGCCAGCAAAGCCCACCAATGTGTATGCTGTATGTTCATGAAAGTAATATTCAAACTTGTGTTGCATTAGGGGGAATTGGTTTGCAAAAATGTGGATATTAGGAGAAATTTGCACTTAAATGCTGATTACTTTTAATGAGGACTCAAAGACTGGAAAAAGGAGAAATCTGCCTGCTCACCCTGGGCTTTGCCTCTCCCACTCTTCAGGGGTTTGTTATTGCAAGTCAATTTGTGGTATTCAATTTTTCCCCTCATCCAGTTGCTCCTCACGACGTTCTGTTCCTTTAGGCTTCCCAAGCTCAGACCCACAGAGAGTGCCTGCACCACTAATTATACAGGCACACAAAAGCAGATGAGTCAAACAGCATATTGCTATTTATAACACTTGATACAGTTTATTCTTCCTAACAGGGACGGGCAGACTTCAGGCTTGGCTTTGTATTTTACTGTAACTCCCCCCCCCCCATGTTCCAACCCAAACCAGGTGCAAAACTGATGCACAGAGTGGGAGCAGACATACACAGATAGCTATAAGAACAGAGTGCCTCTAAGCACCTGCTCAGCCCAATGATTTATTTGCAACATCAGAACTGAGTTCATTGTATTTTCATACAAAAACCTGAACATTGACACAGCAGCTGGCAACTGCCTCCCCATCCCCTCCCTGCTTTTTGGCCATGGTGAAAGACTGGGATTTCAAGACTCCATGTTACAGCTGTGAAGCAGGCTGTCCTCAGGTCCCAGTTAAGCTACAGGTGATGGCTTTAGTCTGGAAAGTGAGGCCTGTCAGTTCATTCTGAATTCCACATGGGGATCTTAGCTTCTGTTTCAGGGGCACAGCCAGGCCAGTTCTGGAAAGAAGGTATCTTTAATGGATACCAACTGCTGAGACAAGAAAATCAGGTCCTTTGTTTTTGGACACGTACATCCCAACCCAGAGAGTTGGTACAAGAGAAATCCAAAGCAGAACTAAGTGAGATCCAGATGTTCAGCTCCACTCCTTTACCTCAAAGGAAACTCTATGGCAGGCATAGGCAAAATCGGCCCTCCAGATGTTTTGGGACTACAACTTCCATCATCCCTAGCTAACAGGACCAGTGGTCAGGGATGACGGGAGTTGTCCAAGAGGGAGGGCAAAAAATGCCACCTGAACCATCATGGCCCCACGGGGAGACCATGCTACACCCACCTCTGGTGTCATTTGTCCTCAAACTATTTGAAATAAGGGAATGAAGGTGAGATGCATAAGATCAGGTTGGGAAACTTCCCTGCACATGCCAGCAGATATTGGATGCTGCTGACAGCCAGGCCCATCTTCTCCTCAGCTTGTTATCATGCAAAGGCTCAGCTCTATAGGAGGAAAAAGCCCCTCAGAATCAAGACCACCATCCCTCTTGCACACCAGGAGAGAGAGATCCCTTGCCAGATATGTGGGCTAGTGCTGTTCCAGGGTGTTCAGCTTTGCCTGCCGGCAGTGGAAAGGCCCAAGGACTGAACGATGGGTGAGCCTCCCTGCCGGCTCTGCTGAAATGAGACGTAACATCACACCATCAACACATTCACCTCAACATGCATGGTAATGTCTTGATGGTTGGGGCCTCTGAAAGGAGGCCCCTCAGAATCAATTTAAATATTTCTTGGTGATCCTGATGGCGAAGATCATTTTCATACAGTTGGATCTGTAGATTCAGGAAAGGATGTGGAAAGGAGGGAGAGAGAACAGATTATGGATTTTTAGCACTACTGTATCAACCTTATCAAACCTCCGTTTGATAAGTATTCTCACTCCCCCAGGAATGCCTTCTCAATCTTTATGCTCCTCCTCAAACACTTCACTATGCAGAAACCTCCTGCGTGATCTGCCAGTTTCATGAGACCCTGTAGTGAAGGGGTTGACAAGGTTTACCAGCCATGGGCTGGATCACTCCCACGGAGATTGTCCGTGGGCCAGACTGGTGCGGCACAATGCTGGAAATTGCTTCTGCACATGCCCAGAGGCCGAAAATCGCTTCTGCACAGGCGTGATTTCCAACATCTGGGCATGCGCAAACATGATTTCTGGTATCTGCACATGCGCAGACACAATTTCTGGCACCACTCGGCGAGTCCCCACGCCACGCTGGTTTAGTGCAGCATGCGGGGACTCGCCAGGTGGGCGGCTGGGTTTGGGGGCGGCTTGTGGGCCAGAAAAACAGTCCATGGGCTGCATCCGGCCCATGGGCCGCACGTTGCCGACCCCTGCAGTAGTGCGTAAGCATCTTCTGCATTTTCACAGCGTAGTTTTACAGTTTAACAACTGCATTGAGGTAGACCCACCTTAATCCTTCCCTCACGCTTTTCGTTGTTGTTTCGTGGTTGCTGCCATCCCCTTCACGTACCTCTTTGCTCCTTGCTTTTTGCTTGTTATTGGGATGCAGTTGGTTGATTTTTAATTCCCTATTTTTGCAGAGTAGACCAGTGCTGTTCACTCGGGTTTCAAGATGTTGGCAAGTGTGAGTGCTTTTCGTTCAGAGCGCTGAGGTTTTCCCCTCTACTCTTTGCTCAGTTCTCAGTTTTGTTCAAATTTGAGGAGGGGAAACCCCTTGTTGTGCCGCCTGGAACTTTTGCCTCCTAAGAACCCCACTTGGGCGTTGGGGCAACTTCGCCTTCAGCTGCTCCCCCTTTTTCTCTCATCTTGCAACTTCGTCTGTCTCGAGAAAACAGGAGCACAGACCACAACCCGTCATGAAGCATGCTTGTCCCGAAGTCTCCAGGGTGTTCAGCTTGCCTGCCGGCAGTGGAAGGACCCAAGGGGTGAACAGTGGGTGATTCTGCTGACAAAACACGGGTTGAAGGGGTGAGCCGCTCTGCTGAAATGAGACGTAATGTCACGCCATCAACACATTCACTTCAACATGCACGGTAATGTCTTGATGGTTGGGGCCTCTGAAAGAAGGCTCCTCAGCATCAATTTAAAGATTTCTTGGTGATCCTTATGGCGAAGATCATTTTCATAGAGATGGATCTGTAGATTCAGGAGAGGATGTGGAAAGGAGGGAGAGAGAACAGATTACGGATTTTTAGCATTATTGTATCAACCTTATCAAACCTCTCCATATTCTCACTCCCCCAGCAATGCCTCCTCAATCTTTATGCTCCTCCTCAGACACTTCGCTATGCAGAAACCTCCTGCATGATCTGCCAGTTCCATGAGACCCTGTAGTGCACAAGCATCTTCGGCAATGCACGGTCTAACTCCAGGGAAGCAGTGACCACACTCTTCCTTTCCTTTCTGTTTTCCAGCAGTTTGACAAAGTGGGAGTCGTCCCCCCACCCCAGACAACTTGCAAGACTCTAATCTAAAATACCCACTTTAGTAACATGACCTCATCTCTAAATATCTGTCTAAAAGAAAGGACAAAAACATGCACTTGGGCAAAAAAAATGAGAGGCACAAATACAAGATGGGTGACACCTGGCTTGAGAGCAGTACATGTGAAAAGGATCTAGGAGTCTTGGTTGACCACAAACTTGACATGAGCCAACAGTGTGACGCGGCAGCTAAAAAAGCCAATGCAATTCTGGGCTGCATCGATAGTTGTATAGCATCTAGATCAAGGGAAGTAATAGTGCCACTGTATTCTGCTCTGGTCAGACCTCAGCTGGAGTACTGTGTCCAGTTCTGGGCACCACAGTTCAAGAAGGACACTGACAAACTGGAACGTGTCCAGAGGAGGGCAACCAAAATGGTCAAAGGCCTGGAAACGATGCCTTATGAGGAACGGCTAAGGGAGCTGGGCATGTTTAGCCTGGAGAAGAGGAGGTTAAGGGGTGATATGATAGCCATGTTCAAATATATAAAAGGATGTCACATAGAGGAGGGAGAAAGGTTGTTTTCTGCTGCTCCAGAGAAGCGGACACGGAGCAATGGATCCAAACTACAAGAAAGAAGATTCCACCTAAACATTAGGAAGAACTTCCTGACAGTGAGAGCTGTTTGACAGTGGAATTTGCTGCCAAGGAGTGTGGTGGAGTCTCCTTCTTTGGAGGTCTTTAAGCAGAGGCTTGACAACCATATGTCAGGAGTGCTCTGATGGTGTTTCCTGCTTGGCAGGGGGTTGGACTCGATGGCCCTTGTGGTCTCTTCCAACTCTATGATTCTATGAACAAACAAGGTATAAGTAACAAAGTAAACCAAGATCTAAACAGATTATAAGCAGCAACATAAATAAAATAAACAAAAGCCTCCTCTGCTCTCTCCTCTCTGACACATACTCAGACTCCCACCCTAGACACCCCTGGGATAGTGAATTTTAAGACGGCAGCAAGAGATGTCACAAAAGAAGGCAAGTCGCTGTTACCTTGCCATCCCACCAACCTGCTCAGGGTGCCTTGTTCCTCCCGAGTATGGATGTTTCTTCAGAACTTTTAGGGGCCTGCTATTCCATCTTGTTTCCATGCCTCCCTTCATTTTCACGTCCTTGTTTCTCTAACAAGTAAGAATATTCTTCATTAAGCAACATTTCTAAAGGGAGAGCATTCCAATCTCCTTTTACACATAGCCGAAAACCCGTAATTCCCCGGTTTAGAGGAAGGGCCATATCTCAGTAGTAGAGCACCTGCTTTGCATGGAAAAAACCCATTTTAATATCCAGGTAGGGCTAGGAAAGAAAGACCATCTGAAATCCCAGAGATAGAAAGCCAGTCACTATAGACAATACTGAGCTAAACTGACCAATGGTCTGACTCGCTAAAGCAGCTTCCTAGGTATATCACTATTTTGCCATTTATTCTAAGAGCAAGCAACCTTCTCCACAAGACATGAGGATGCCTTCCTTCCTGTAGCATACTTTTATGAGCTTTGGTGGGGGGAATCCCCCTAAATTATTAAATTAGTAGATGTTATAATGTAACTAATATTTGGAGTATTAAGGGAAATATTAGGAGTAATATTCGGAGTATTAAGGGAAGTATTTGGGCAATTGACAACGCAATTTTTTAGCAGGCAGAGACAGGAGGAGGAGGTTTCCAGGCTCACAGAAAGCAATGATGTAAATGGAAGCGGGATTTGCATTTGGCAAGGGGTTCTGGAAAGAAGCAGCAGGGGAGAACTCCATGTGGGTTGGCTGGGAGAGGCCATACTCAAGAGAGACTGGGCGCATGGTTGGCTTCTGCTTCCAGTTGGCTGGAGTTATGGGAGAAGCAACAAGAAACACTCTTTGGCTGCAATGTTCTGCACGCCCCTTCACTGAAGGCTTCAGGTTGTAAATATGTGTAAATACACCATGTTTCATAAAGACACTATAGCCTCTATTGTGCCTTAATCTTCTGAAGATTAAAGGGGTCAGCAGGGGCCGGACTGTATTTTGGAAAAAAAGAAAATGAACAAATTCCTGTTCCCCATAAATAACCCAGAGGTGCATTTTAAATAAAATGACAGATTCTACTCATGTAAAAACATGCTGATTCCCCGACCGTCCGCGGGCCGGATTTAGAAGGCAATTGGGCCTGATCCGGCCTCCGGGCCTTAGTTTGCCTACCCATGGATTAAACCCTAGTTAAGTGCCAATACCCTTGGTATCTCATGCACTGCTCAGCAGAGATTGGGTTGGCCAGTAACCATACTACATAGTCGAAATAAATAAAAGATTGTCCAGTAGCACCTTAGAGACCAACTAAGTTTGTTCTGGGTATAAACTTTCGTGTGCATGCACACTTCTTCAGATACCACACAGAAGAGTCATCTTACATAATAAGACAAGTACAAAGTTTCTGAATAAAAAGAGGAAGGGAGCTTTGTACCTCTTTAGCAAAGCCACAGGTGCTGCAAGGCTTCCTGCCCCAATGCAAACAGAAACAGACCCTCTAAAATTTAACAGGTGGAAAAGAGACTCAATGACAAAGTGCTTGGGAAGAAAGGGGCAGGGCAGCTCTGTAAGGTTGCCATTCTATGCACCCTTTCCAGGGAGGAAAGGATTCAGTGGGGCCTCATTCTGACCTAACCTGCAAAAGATGGAAAAGTAAGTTGTCTTCAGTGTATAAGTATCAATCCCATGTGCAGGCTGTTAGATAACAGTAGCTATTTGTGCTGGAGGTTCTTTGGCAATCAGCTTTTCTAATTAACACCAAGAGAAGCACTTACCCAAAGTCATGTCCAAAATCCTAACTGGCATCCCAAAGGGTTACTTTAATAATTAAACATGATGAAATCTGGTAGGATTTTTTCTTATGAGGTCAAACAGACAGGAAGATAAACCTCAAACACTGGCGTTAACAGCACAGATCCTAAGAGTGCAAACCCTGCAAGGAATCCATTAGCCTCCATAATTGCTTTGCAGCGAAATTAAGCAGCTACCAAGTCCAGAGTGAATTGTTGTTTATTTCATCACTGCCAAAAAGGAACATGTAATATTTTCCAGACCCTGAGCAGAGATGGAAAGCAGTGTATGTCTTAAAGCGACGAGCAAAGCAAATGTGGTTCAAATGGACCTTTGGGAAGTTGCCTCTAGAACAGAGTGTCTGATGATGTATGTTCCTTTGACATATAATCTTAGGCTGAGGTGTAGTGCCACAGGGTTGCGGGATGGGCTTAAAGTCCCATTTCTATTTCTGTGGCAGGGGCCCTGTTTCCAGCACCCTAGAACCACCAGGCCGGCATGAAAGGAGAGCTTTTTAACCACTGAATGAGAAGCCCTCTCGCCCTTTCTGCTGATTGGAGTCAATGATGATGAAAGGAAGTGAGTCAGCCACAAAGTATTGACTCCTAGGGTCACTTTGGAGAAGACGCGCAGGAAGGGCACCGAGAAGTCCTTCTGTACATAGCTGTCATCTTACAGATTTGAAAAGCAGCCTCGAAAATAAGGGATCAGCAGCCAAAATAAGGGATTTTCAGAGCACAGGTATGTTCAACTTCTGAGCCCTCCGAGCCAAAGGCAGAAAGCCCAGCCAGCAGCCAAACGAGGCCTCAAGCCTCAAGGAAAACCACCGTCACCTCTCCGCTGGGAAGCGCTGAGCAAAGGCGAGTCCCCAGGCAACGCGGCCGATTTGATCGGCACAAGGCATACAAGCTCCACCCCCCAGTCGTTCTTAGACTCCTTATTGGGTGAGCAACGCAGCCAAAAAACACAGTTGGAGCCTCCCTCCTCCCTGGCTGGCAGGGAGGGAGGGAGAGGAGCTGCTTCCATTGAAACCCAGAAAAATTAAGGGACATCATCAATAAGGGACAGCAGGGGGACTTTCCCGCCAAATAAGGGACGGTTGACAGCTATGCTTCTGTATGCTCCAAAGCTAAGTATTAAGGAACACTGAAAACACAAGGTACGTTAGCTTCAGGAGAAGCGCCAAGGAAAACACAACTTAAATCACTCCGAAAGAAGATACTGTAGCACTCCAAATCATTTGCCCAATCATCACTGCAGGAAATAGCAGATTTGGCTTAAAAGTAGCACGTGGACATCTGCACTGAACTTTGCAATGCATTGCTAATTATTATTGTCTAATTATAAGATTATTGTATGCTTTTAGAAGGTTGGATAATCTTAGAAGGGTGGGTGGCTGTGCAGGATTTGTCCTGTGAGTGTGAAGGAACAATGTACATCTGAATTTGTCCCTACACTACTGATCCAAGGCCATGCCCCTGTGGTAGAGTTCCTCCAGAGAAACCCGTTTAGTGATCATTCCTCCCGGTTTGCTATCAGGAAGCTTACATGCTGGTTAGACTATATCTGGTATTTACTGAGTATTTGTCCTGCCATACACGACAACGGGTATTCCTCTTGATCTGTATCTGTGGTGTTTATACATCTTCCCACTAATCATATGTTCATCCCACACTTTTCAGTGCATTTGCCCCTCCTTTTTCCATTTTCTTTTAAAAAGTGAATTTGCTGTGCATGTTCAACCACTTTAACTGCACATGCTTAGACGTCTGGCATGTGCTTGAATGCCTCCTGCAAAACATCTGGAGTTCCCCAGTTTTTTTAATAGGGCTGCAACTGCATTAAGAACCCACTGATACCTCCAAAGTGCAGAAGCCCTGTAAAATTTCTGTTCAACTTGCCTAAGAGCAGAATAGCTGAAGGACTACTTGCCCTCACATGGAGAATCATGTGGTTTTAGAAGCCGGAAGCAGCAGTTGCTGGTGCCCTTGAGGACACTGAGACTAAGGAGGAGGAACCTCCACCCTATGGACAGTCCCCACGGACCCCATACTGCAGTAGTCCAGCTTCCTAGGGCTGTCTCCACACTGCTTGCCCCCAAAGAATCCTGGGAACTGTAGTTTGTTAAGGGTGCTGGGAAAAGTAACTCTGTGATAGGTGAACTACAATTCCTAGGTGCTTTAAATGAACAAACCCACTCCATCTTATTCGTAACAACCGTTCAAACATTTGAAAACCTACTAAAAAGTCTCTTCATCTTCTCCTCTTCCAGCTAATCATACCCGACTTTTTCAACCATTTCTCATCTTGGTTCCGAGACCCCATAGCATACTCTGGACATGCTCCCTTTTCTTCATAAAATGTGGCACACAGAACCAGCCCAAGACATAATGGCACCTGAGGTGAACCACAAAACGGCAGTTCCGCTTCCCTGGCAGGCACAGGCGCCTGGTTCTGCCTAGCTTTGGAAGGGGGCGGCATCCGTGTGTGTCATCACATGCATGATGCGCATGCACGCAGTGGGAGGAGGCTGTGAGGCCCACCACAGCTGCAGGGAGGCCCCACACGGCCCAACAGGACCCCACCACCTGATGAGGCCACGCCCCTCAAGACTGGGGGGGGGGGCTCAGCCCAGAGTTGGTGTTGCCTCCAGGGAAGATGGGGTGACCTAAGGTCTACATCTGGAACATGAGGGTGGGGGGGACAGAGACCTGCTTTTGGATCTGCTGCCCCTGGCGGTGGCCTCACCTTGCCTTATAGGCAGGGCTGTTTTAAGCATAGGCGGTACCAGAGGGCAAAGATCCACCTGGCACCGCCCCCCCCCAGTTGCCTAGTCCCGGGCACACAGGAGGGTGGAGCCGGCCGGCCGCCTCAGCGTCTTGCTGGCTTGGCTGCCCCCAAACTTGAGGCCCAGCACTCCGACGGGTGGGCTCTTCCCCAGACTCAACTCTTGGGCCTGGGCTCTCGGCCTGGTGCCCGGCACCCCTAGCACCTATGGGTAAGACGGCTCTGCTTATGGGTGCACCAGCCCTGTCCGGACGCAGCCCAGGTGAACCTGCTTGCCACCACCAGCGCAGAGCGCAAGACAACGCTGGGCGATCTGGTCCCAAAGCTTCCGCTGATGGAGAAATGGCACATGGGCATAGCCAGGGGGGGCAGCTGCCCCCCTAATCAGTAAAAATCAATATAAATCTGAGGTTCCTTCCCCCCAACAAAAGCCTGCCCCCCCCAAACAAAATCCTGGCCACGCCCATGGGCAGCTCCCTCCAAATCAATTAAATCAATACCAAACACTTAACCATGTGAGGGTCTGCCCCCCCCTTACCTAAATCCTGGCTACGCCCATGAAACTGCATGGGCTTTTGCAGCAGCAGCTGCAGCAAGGACGCCCCTTCCCTTTCCACCCCCGCGCAGGCTTGCCGGAAGAGTGCGGCTGGGCTTACTCGGAAGTAAGTCCCCCGGCCCGTCTCCCCTGCGCGCCCCGCCCCGCCCTCTCCTCCTCCCCCCCCCCGAGGAGGCGGGGCCTGGCCGGGCAGGAGGGCGGCGCGTGGCTCCCGGGCCGGACCAGCGGAGATGCGGCGGGTCCCGCGGGCGGGGCTGGCGCTGCTGCTGCTGGAAGTGGGGGTGCGCGCCGCGCTGCTGGGGCTCTTCCTGTGAGTGCAAAAGCGGGCCGGGATGGGGGGGGGGTCGCGAGGGAGGCGCGGGCCTGGCATCCCCGGGGAAGAGGATGCGGGGAGATCTCTCTCTCTCTCTCTCTGCCGCAATGCACGCAGCAGGGAGCTTCCCTTTGAAAGCAACGCGGCGGTGCAGCAAAAGGCAAACTGGGCGATGCGCAGGAGAGGTGCCTCCCTCTGCCCCTCTGCGCCTCCGGAGGTGAGAGCCAGGCCTGTCGGTGCCTCGTTTTGGGCATGGGGTGGTACGCGATATGCGGCCCCCGGAGGACACCCTGGCACGTCTGGTCGTGGGTATCTGCCTGTGCATATTGTGTGGCTCGCAGGAGCTGGAAAGAAAATCCGCCGTGCCCCTTTGCGCCCCGTAGATGTCTGCCCTGCTGCGCGGCGTGCACTGCATGGGCCAAGGGCCCCAGACGATGTCCTCCTTCATCTCTAGGTCTACATGCCTCTGGTGCAGGTTTCGTAACATAAGGGCCTGGAAAGACGAGGAACAGGAAGCTGCCTTCTGCAGAATCGGGCCCTTGGCCCATCTCAGCTCAGTTTGCCAACTCTGGCTGGCAGCAGCTCTCCAGGTTTCAGGTCTCTCTGGCTGGAGATGATGGGGAATCTCCCTTCAAGGTGGACGCCATACTAGTACAGTGGTACCTCAGGTTACAGATGCTTCAGGTTACAGACTCCACTAACTCAGAAATATTACCTTGGGTTAAGAACTTTGCTTCAAGATGAGAACAGAAATCACACGGCAGCAGCGGGAGGCCCCGTTAGCTAAAGTGGTGCGTCAGGTTAAGAACAGTTTCAGGTTAAGAACGGACCTCCAGAACGAATTAAGTACTTAACCCAAGATACCACTGTATTCAGGAAAAGCCTCCTTATATCTGCAACACACTCCTGGCTCTAATTTCTGCTGAGCTTGATACTTCCCCAGTGCATGGGAAATATCGCCATAGGCTCTGTCTGACACACCCCTTTCCACCTGGTTCCTTCGCAGTGGGTATAACACAGGGGTCTTCAGGAAGCATCCTTATACTGAGTCAGACCACAGCTCCATTGAGCTGAGTGTTGCCTACCCTGACTGGCAACAACTCCCCAGAAAATGCCAGTGGCAAGCAGATGATATGGCAAGACCTGCTGGTCAGCTGACATTCCCGCACCCCTTGTGTTGACACAATGAGAGGAGTAGCTGCTCCTGTGTTTTGGCAGGGCTGTTGCCGCTTGTCTGACATTTGGACTGACAGGAGTCCAAGGCTGATGTGTTCTTTTTGGATTCGGCTCCAGAGACGTAGGGGTAGGGCTGTTCTGCTCTGCACTTGCAATGTTGAAATGGTTCCACTCACCGTTGTTTAAATAATTCTGCCGCGTTCTCACAGCCCAGGCTTTTACTGTAGGGAGAGGCCTGCCTCTCTGAGCAGCCCCATCTTTTCTCTCTAGCTAGGCTGTTGAAAATGAACCCCGTATTCCTGTTAATCTCACAGATGCCTCGATTTTTAAAATGGGTTCATGCCCACGGGAAAAGAGAGAGGAGTTGCCATTTTGCAATGAATCAGAGCAGACTCCGAGGGCATTTCCTTGCGCTAGGACAAAGTACATGTTTTAACCCTCACATGACTCTCAAGCCTCTGGTCCAACACTATTTTACATATTAAAACTCAATTTCGAAAACAGTGGGAGAGATGAAAAGAATCCCTTGTTGTTCGTTTCAGTTGTTTTAACTGTTTTTAAATTTGTATTTCTACATTGTTGTAGGACCTGGGGCCTTATGGTGAAGAGCAGGCAATTATTATAATCCTCATCATTGTCATCATTCTTGTTAATAGTCCTGTTGCAGAGAATATCCAAGAGGAGCCCATGTTAACTTGGTTAATCACATTGCATGCACCAATTTTAAGAGCAAAGGATTGACCAGGGTGGGTGAGGAGAGAATCACATTTTCACATATACAAAGTATTTCTCTTCGCTTAGAATAGGGATAGGGGAACTGTGACTCTCCTGTTGCTCTTAGACTACAGTTCCCATCATTCCTGACCATTGGCTGTGCTGGCTTAGAGGTGGTCAGAGTTGGACTCAGCAACTCTCCTCATTCCTGACTTGGAAAACACAAAATGCACGGCTTCAAGGGGAAGTCATATAGACCCTATGCAACCAATAAGTAGCAAATAGGAATTGATCATGTGTGTATGTGCACACACAGTCTTATCATTCAGACAGGCCTGAGAATGCTGAACGGTCCAATGCTAGCTTGCAGGTTTCTGCACGATCAGGGATATCAAGCCTGCTCAAAATTCATTGCTTAGAAACATAGCCACTCTCCCTGCCTTCAGAGGGCATCCTCTCTCCTCACTTAGATGAGATAAATACACCCTCCAGGCTGCTGAAATCTGTAGTTCATAACCTGCAGAAATCCAGCTCTAGAGCTTGCACAGGTTATGCCCCTCTTATCAACCACTGTGTAGGTCAGAGGTGGGGCAGAGTCCCTTATATGTGTGTGCATGCAGTGGGGAAAGCACGCCTTGAAATTTATCATTTGTTTATTTAATGTGCTTACACACTGACTTTTGTCACAGGTGACCTCAAAGCAGTATTTTTAAAAAATCATGGATTCCAAATCATAGAGCACAATTTAAGATAACGGTAAAACATCATCAATATCAATACTAAAACCACGAAGCAGATTCAAGACTCGGAATCAGTTTTACCAAACCTGCAGCAAAATAAAAAGGGCAGTGAACTCCCAACAAACTCATGGCTGTCCATGCCTAGAGGAGGAGGGTGTTCCAGGACCGGGGCACCTCTGCCACGCTAGAGACATTTGGTTTTTCCTCTCCTCCCTCTCCATACGCATCCAGGACTGGCATTCCATGAATCCCGTCTTCTGGGCGCAGGGAGCCAAATCGAGGTCAACGCAGTGACTGGCTGCCTGTTCCTCATATGATTGGAGCTCCTGTATTATTTGTAGTTATTTGGAATTTTGGTTTCTTTACGAAAACAATATGATATTTCAAGTGATAATAGGAGACCGCTTTGAAAATGCCTGCTGGAAATGGTTGCATCATTCTTGTTCCTCAGATCTCCCTGTGACCATATTGGGAGGAAACCCCAGTACTGGCTTTCTGCTTTTTCTTTAAAATCACCACCACCCAAGAGGTGTTCACACATTGCATCCAAGGGGTGCACAGTCTGCGTGGACAAGGGTTGTACACGTGAACAGGCGCACACTCTTTCACACACTTAACGTGTGCGTGGAGGCTGCTTGTACCTGTGTCCAGTGTATTGTGCAAACGCGCCTTTAGTCCTTGGGTTGTGCTTCCTCTCCAGGTTCACTGAGCTGCTGCCTCCGTTCCAGCGAGTCATACAGCCGGAAGAAATGTGGCTTTATAAATACCCCTATGTGGAGTCCGACCATGTACCCGCTAAGCCCATGTTTGTAAGTATTTGTTCATGCCAGCCGTCTTGTACAGTGTAGGCTGTGCTTGTAGTTATGTGTCCTTTGCAGGCAGATGCCGCTTCAGATTTGTCTCCAGTGCGTGGTACGTTCGGTGAAGCACACATCTATGTAAGGGTTAGTCAGTGGGATGCCCTCCAGATGTTGTGGATTGCAACTCCTATCATCATCACCACCACCATTTTATTAAATTTAATAACCATAACCAGAAGCTTTTATTTTGGGAATTATAGGGATAGAGCTACCTAAACCAAGGGTCAGCAAGGTTTACCAGCCATGGGCCGGATCACTCTCATGGAGATCGTCCGTGGGCCGGGCTGGTGCAGCGCGATGCTGGAAATCGCTTCTGCACATGCTCAGACGCTGAAAATCATGCCTGCGCAGAAGCGATTTTCAGCGTCTGGACATGCACAGGCGTGATTTCTGGCATCTGTGTGTGCGCAGATGTGATTTCCGGCGCCGCATGGCGAGTCCCCACGCCACACTGTGTTGGTTTACTGCAGCGCGTGGGGGACTCGCCAGGCAGGTGGCTTGTGGGCCGGTAAAACAGTCTTTGTGGGCTGCACGTTGCTGACCCCTGACCTAAACCATGGGTAGGCAGACTAAGGTCTGGGGGGCAGATCCGGCCCAATTGCCTTCTAAATCCGGTCTGCGGACGGTCCGGGAATCAGCGTGTTTTTAACATGAGTAGAATGTGTGCTTTTATTTAAAATGCATCTCTGGGTTATTTGCGGGGCGTAGGAATTCGTTCATTTATTTTTTTTCAAAATATAGTCCAGTCCCCCACAAGGTCTGAGGGACCGTGGACCAGCCCCTCGCTGAAAAAGTTTGCTGACCCCTGACCTAGACTGTATAGAAATTTATTCATGTATGTGACTAGAGCGGCAATAATGTTACGCGCCCCAAAATGGACAGAAGCAGAAGTCCCAGCGAAGGTAGAATGGATACAAAATCTTAATGGAATATACAGAAATGGTGAAACTTACCGGAAGAATAAGAAATCAAGATAACAAACTTTTTATAAAAGAATGGAAATGCTTTATTGAATATTTCCAGATAAATTGTACACAAATAAGAACATTGGCAGGATTATTGTAATAACCTGCAGTTCTGTAAGAGTATATATTTAAAGCAGATGAATAAAAGAGCAAATTAAGTTAATTTGGACAGGCAGAAGATATTAAAAATACATTTAAGGAACCACAGAGAGAGGGGGAAGGAAGTCAAGTTTTGAAATGTTAAAATGATTGCAAAATTAGTGAAATCATCATTTATCATCATTTTTTATTTCTATGCCGCCTTTCCACAAGTTAAAAAATCAATGCTCAAGGGGGCTTACAGCATAACAAGATTTACATACCGTATTTTTCGCTCTATAGGACGCACTTTTCCCCCTCCAAAAATGAAGGGGAAATGTGTGTGCGTCCTATGGAGCGAATGCAGGCTTTCGCTGAAGCCTGGAGAGCGAGAGGGGTCGCACCAACCCCTCTCGCTCTCCAGGCTCCAGGAAGCTATCTGCAAGCCTTCGGAGCGCGGCAGGAGCGCCTGCCGGGCTTCCAAGGCTTGCAGATAGCAGGCAGCAGCCCGAATCCCGGGGAGCGGAGCGCTGCACACCCCAGGCTTTGGGCAGCTATCTGCAAACTCCGGGAGCGAAGGCGAGGTTGCGCACAACCTTGCCCCCGCTCCTGGACCTGTTCTGGGGGCTGGGGTTGGGGGAAGCTCGGGCTTCCCCCGCCCCAGCCCCACAGCTAAAAAGGAAGTCAAGACAGCCAGCGGGATCCATCCGCTCGCTGTTTTGGCTTCTGCCAAAGCCGCGCGCAGCCTCTCCCAGCTGGAGAGGTTATGCGTGGCTAAAGAGGAAGCCAAGACAGCCAGCGGGAATTTTTTTTTCTTTATTTCCACCCAAAAAAAACTAGGTGCGCCCTATGGTCCGGTGCGCCCTTTAGAACAAAAAATACGGTAATTACAAAAGTCATAAACAATAAATAAGCCACATCAAAAAAATACAAACCAAATGGGAAACAATTTCCACATAAATTAAAATCTAAAACTAAGAATATAGCATTAATATCACAGTTTAAAATAACATAGGTAAAAAAATAACAGCAATTTAAACAAACAAAACAAAACAAAATGGACTCCTCTTTGCCCAGCAGCAGCAGCAGTCCTTTATAGAGCCCATCAGGCCCCGTCCTGGGCCAGGTGGTGAGTGGCAGAACTGGGGCCCTCAGGTGCTGAGCAGGGGAGGAAATGTATAAACCTGAAAAGCATAAATAAAATAATAATAAATAAATAAATAAATAAATCATCATCCCTGGGCATTGACCATGCTGACTGGGACTGATGGGAGTTCCTCTTAGTCCCCTTGGACATAGGATACGAGGTCTTTTCCCAATAGGTAAGGGGTGGGGATCCTGTCTCCCTCCCAAAGTCGCTTGATTACAAGTCTCGTCATCCCTGACCGTTGGCCATGCTGCTTGTTGTGGATGGGAGACAGGGTCCAAAACCCTTCGTGGAACCATGGGATTGTAGCGTTGGGAGAGACCTTAATGGTCATCCATTCCAACCCCTGCAATGCAGGATCACAGCTAAAGGATCCCTTTGCTCCAAGGATCTCCTATAAGCTGGAGAGTCTTAAATACCTTAGTAATACCTTAGTAGAATATCAACTACAATCTCAATGTTTAATTGATTAAAATGAACTGTTTTCTCTTGATTTATCAGGCAGCATACATTTTAATATAGTACTTATAAAAATTATGGGTGGCAAGCACCTTTTTCCTTGATAGGTTGTATCCAATGAAGATCTACCCAGAATAGACCCTGTGAACTTAATGGCCATAATTTAGGCCTGCCCATTATTTTCAATGGGTCTGTTCTAATGCTGGATACAACCCTATATGTTGCTCTTGCAGCGCTGCTGACTCTATTTCTTGTGTCTTCCCATCTCATTCCAGCTCATTTCCTTTTTGTCTCCCCTGATCTTGATTCTCCTGGCGAAATTCTTCATGAACGCGGACCAAGAGGATACACGGGAAGCCTGCTTAGGTGAATACATCTTTGCACACCGCAGTTGAACTATGGGGTTCGCTCCCACAAGATGTAGCCCTGGCCACCAACTTGAACAGCTTTGAAAGTATCACAGTGGATAAAGCTATCTGTGGCTGCAAGACGCAAGGACCTTGTATTGCTTGCAGTGTCAAACCCAGTACTAGTTTCTGGGCCAGGAGAGAGAGATGCTTTTGGGCTCATATTCTGCTTATGAGTTCCCTTAGACAACTGGAAAGGCAGAAACAGGATGCTAGATGTGAGGGGTCCTTCGTCTGATTTAGCAAGTCTCCAGATCCACTTGTCTATGGAACCGCCTCTCCTGGTATGCCCTGCAGAGGACCTTAAGGTCCATGAATAACCATAGTTTAGAGGTCAGACTATCCTCCACCAGGGCCAGGGACTTTTCAGCGATGGCTCCCACCTGGTGGAATGCTCTGTCCCATGAGACTTGGGTCCTTCAGGATTTAACCTCCTTCCATCGGGCTTGTAAGACAGAGCTATTCTGCCTGGCCTTTAATTTGAATTCAGCCTGATCTTTTATTTCCCTTCCCTTCCCTCCCCCTCCCCTTTTATGAAGATCACCCGCTCTGAGACCCCACAGCTAATTCTCCCCTGGCCTCCTCACTGGCCCAAGTAGGACCAATTCAGCCAGCTAGCCCTGGGGATTATCTAAGGCTTATTTCCCCTAAACTGATTTTTGAATTTTGAATTTTATTGTTATTCATGTTTTTATACTGTATTTTATGCTTCTTTTATAATTAAGTGTTTTAAATTTGTTGTTAGCCGCCCTGAGCCCGGTTTTTGAACTGGGAATGGCGGGGTATAAATAAAATTTATTATTATTATTATTATTATTATTATTAACTAATTATAAGCTTTGAGTCCAACTTACCCCCTCCACAGCAGAAAATGCAAGAATACATCAATGAACCAAAAGAAGGATCATCTATAAACTTAGAACTGATTTGAGTGTTCAGATAAACCATGCAGTCCGGTCCGGATGGGCCTTTTCTGTTTACTTCTTAGGGCACAGCAGCACCACATATTTAAAGTGCTTTAACAATCTTCCCAGGAAACTCTGGGAATTGCAGTTCTGTGAAAGTGAAAGGTGTCTCCTAGCAATTCTCAGTGCACTTAACTACACTTCTAAGGATTCTTTGTGGAAAGCTCTGACATTTAAAGTGCTACAATAAATTGCTTTAAATGTATACTGTGGATCAGGCCCCAAACCCCTACCTGCCCCCTGAAGCAGTCAAAGAAGTAGGCTTTTATCGCTTGTTTAATTTGTATTCCCCCAAATGGTGGTCGAGGTCGACTAACAGCAATAATTCAAACAAAATAAAATAACAGTAAAATATAAAGTAAAAAAAATTAAAGCACAACAGGTGCAACATTCAGTAAAGTCAATCTTCTGATGGTAAAATTGTTTTAACTGATTTTACCATTGTATTTTTATATTGTAGTAACCTGTCCCAGGACCTTAGGGTGAAGGGTGGATAATAAGCAGTATATAAATCCTTGCTAAATACACAAGCCAATTGCAATGTATTTCCAAGACAGCTTCCTGTCCACATAAAAATGTATTTGCTTGCCAGTGGAAGATGCTTCAGACAGGGGACTGGCTGAGCTTCCCTTGAGAAGGAGTTCCAGAACTTGGGGCCAGCTACCAAGAATAGCCATGTACTCGCCTGTTCTAGCTTTCTGGCTGGGGTGCAAAGGCACTGGGATAACTTGAAAGAGTAGCTTCTTATTTAATGTTACAAAATATAATTTTACTTCATTTCTATAGAGTACAATTCAACCACTTTAAACATATCGAGCTTCTTGGGTGGGGTCCAGTATATGTGAAGGAGCATCTCCACCCCCATCATTCAGCCCAGACACTGAGGTCCAGCTCCGAGGGCCTTCTGGCGGGTCCCTCACTGTGAGAAGCCATGTTACAGGGAAGCAGGCAGAGGGCCTTCTCAGTAGTGGCACCCGCCCTGTGGAACGCCCTCCCACCAGATGTCAAAGAGAAAAACAACTACCAGACTTTTAGAAGACATCTGAAGGCAGCCCTGTTTAGGGAAGCTTTTAATGTTTGATACATTACTATATTTTAATATTTTGTTGGAAGCTGCCCAGAGTGGCTGGGGAAGCCCAGCCAGGTGGGCGGGGTATGAATAATAATAATAATAATAATTTATTATTATTATTATTATTATTATTATTATTATTATTACCAGCCCCATCACTGGAAGCCCTGAGCTAAAATTTGTGCAATGGGGCTTTCCCTCCCACCCCCATCCATTCCTCCCAGGAGAAGGAAAGGAGGAATCTCTCTGACAAACTTCAATGCTTGTGCAGATGGAATGATGGGAAGACCATGGCTTGAATTCCACGATTGTGTTTCACCTTTGCAATAATTCTCCCCCTTAAGACAGCCCTCTCGCCACAACATTTCTGACAATAAGCCTGACTAGGGTTGAATCAGTAAAGATGATGAAAACAATGGGTTCTTCCTTCTTCTTTCCTCCAGCTGCCAGCCTGGCTCTTACCCTGAATGGTGTCTTTACCAATGCTGTGAAGCTGGCCGTGGGCAGGTGAGATCCTGTTTTTCCTTGTGTGTGTTTGTTCTAGTCCTTTCTGTAGAGTGTGTATTTTTGCATTTTGGCTGCCGGTTGCAGAAGGTTGGACCGGGCTGTCTGCTTTTCGGAATGGATTGCATAAATATCCTGAGAGTGGCAGAGTGGAGAGTAACATTTCAGACTGCAATGGGTTTGTCTCTGCCATTTTTGAATGCCCGTCCCAAATGTGGAATAGTTCCCCAGTGCTGGAGAACATGGCACAATTTACGTATTTATCTATTCATTAAAACTCTTTCTGCACATATATACACAGTATATAATGCCCTCTTTCATTATGAGAAGTGGTAACATGGTGGTTCATACTGAGCAGAAAGGTTGGAGCACAGGGCCTGTCCTCCTAGTTTTCTACTTGCAGGGACATTCCCACCACCACCGATTCTATAGGGGAGTATTTAAAAAGAAGAAGAAGAAGAAGAAGAAGAAGAAGAAGAAGAAGAAGAAGAGGAGGAGTTTGGATTTGATATCCCGCCTTTCACTCCCCTTCAGGAGTCTCAAAGCGGCTAACATTCTCCTTTCCCTTCCAACTAATTTCTACCCAGACTATAGAATCAAAGAATTGTAGAGTTTGAAAGGACCCTCTAGTCCAAACCCCTGCAATGGAGAAATTCTGTCCACGGCTATCCCTGGATGGGCCCAAACCACAAACCTTCTGGTTCACAGCCAGACACATTGAGTAGGCCTATTGAAATGGATAGACAGGCTAACTTAGGTCCAACTCTGGATTTAGATTGGTCTACTCTGAGTAGAAATTAGTTGAATATGACCCAGTGGGTCTACTCTGAGCATGGCTGACATTGGAAACAATCCATGATTTTCCTCCACTGTCAATCTGAAATCTTAACAGTCCAGCAGGCCACCTCAGGATTCTGCTATCACTTGTCACCTAGTTCTGCTCTATGGGCAAGCCAGGCAGTCTGTTTCCTAGTAAACGTGGCTCCTGAAATCCCATTTGCCTTCTATTCCTTCATCTTTCTTTCTTATCTCCTTCTAGGCTACTGCCTGGAGACTAGAGAATGAAAAGGCAAGGTTGGGGGTGCGGGCTGGGCAGGGGTCTCCTAGATGTTGCTGGACTCCAGCTCTCATTCTCTGTCAGCATGGTCCTTGCCAGCTGGAGGTGATAGGGGTTGGGATTTGGTATTTATGTCCTCTGCTGCTGCCGCCTTCTCCAGAGCAATTTTCAGCCAAGCAAAGGCCTTTACTTGCAAGACGCCAGGGTGGCTTATGGAAGGGCCAGTAGTTGTGGAGTCTGCAAGAGGAGCTGCATGGTCAGGTTGTGGAGCGCAGCGCTAGATTTCGCCTTGCTTCTTCCTCTCCGCACTTATCGTTCAGAGCCCCACGCTTTGCATCTCTTCCTCACTTCAGGCCTCGACCGGATTTCTTCTACCGCTGCTTCCCAGATGGCCGGGAGACCCTTCAGCTGCTGTGCACCGGGGACGCGCAAATAGTGACCGAGGGGCGCAAGAGCTTCCCCAGTGGACATTCCTCTTGTGAGTGCGCAAGCTGTCTCGTTTAGGGGCTGCAGCCGGGGATGGGAAGCACCAAATGGGGAGATGGGATGGATCCAGGGTGAGTTCAAGGCAGCCATGCGCAGATCTCTCCAGGGTGCATCTGCAGAGAGACTGTTTTGTGAGCAGAAGAGTGTCCTGGCTACAACCATATGGTACACTTGCAGCATTATAAATCCCCATGACGGCTCCTCTGCCCCATCTCCACCCCTGCAAACAGGTGATCTTCATGGTTGCTGCTTTGCTTCATCTCCACCCCTACCCATGCTATCTCCAAAGACTGCTCGTTCACCCAATCCCCAACCCACACAAACCCCAAGCATTGCTCCTTCACCCGATCTCTACCATGCACAAGATCCCCAAAGACTGTTCCTTTCCTCCATCTCCACCCTCCCACCGGCACAATCCCTAAATACAGCTCCTTTGCTCATCCCTACCCCACCGGTGCAATCTCAAAAGACTGTTCAGTTGCTCAATCCACATCCTCCTACTCATGCAATCCCCAATGATTGCTGCTTTACCCAATCTCCACCCTCACCTGTACAATTCTTCGCCCATCCCCCCCACTAACCTGATCGCCAAAGATTGCCCAGTCCCCACAAGTGCAATCCCCAAATACAGCTCCCATTTGTAGCCCCCACATGTGCCATCCCCAAATATTGTTCCGATATCCACCCCCCCATCGTGATCTCTAAAGACTACTCCTATGTCCAATCACCAACCCCTCACCCACACGATACCCAAATACTGCTGTTTCACCTGAGCTCCACACACACACTCCCCAATCTGTGCAGTAAAAAGGTGAAGGTACCCCTGACCATTAGGTCGTGGACGACACTGGGGTTGTGTGCTCATCTTGCTCTATAGGCTGAGGGAGCCGGTGTTTGTCTGCAGACAGCTTCCGGGTCATGTGGCCAGCATGACTAAGCTGCTTCTGGTGAACCAGAGCAGCACACGGAACGCCGTTTACCTTCCCTCCGGAGTGGTACCTATTTATCTACTTGCACTTTGACGTGCTTTCGAACTGCTAGGTGGGCAGGAGAAGGGACCGAGCAATGGAAGCTCACCCGTGGCGGGGATTCGAGCCGCCGACCTTCTGATCGGCAAGTCCTAGGCTCTGTGGTTTAGACCACAGCACCACCCTCGTCCCCCAATCTGTGCAGTGCAATCTCCAAAATCTGCTCTGTCGTCTGCTCCTTCACCCGATCTCCAGCCCCCAATCCCCAAAGACCCCTCCTTTGCTTGATGTCCACCCACACAACATGCCTATTAATATACAGGCCTGAGTTTCCACTTCCACTGTTCTCTGTCTTTATTCCTCCCTCATCCACCCCCTTCTCCCTTCTCTGCAACTGGAACAACTTAATCATCTCCCTCACTGACAGTGAACTCTCAGCTGACCGGAACCTGCAGCCAACCACCAGATCAATACACCTGATCCAGGCCCTGTCTATTAAAATCTTAAAGCGATCACATTTCCTCTGTTAGAACCTGTCACCACAGCTCTTTGCAGTCACAGAATGTTTCTTCAAAACTTAGAGCAAAATGAACCACATAGAGAGAGTTTCTCTACAGACTCCAACTCCCATCGTGCTTGACCATTGGCCATGCTGACTGGGGCTGCTGGGAGCTGGTCTCCATGTTGGCTTCCGCTGCTCTGAATGTTCCCCTCAATGTGGCTCACCTGAGAGCCTGTGCCATTGAAGTCTACAGGGCTAACTTTTGAGTCCTCTTGTATAGTGTTGCCTTGCAAAGGCATTGCCCACCTTCTGAGCTCAGCCTCTCCTATAGCTTGCCGAGAGATCAGGGACTATTAGTTCCTCAGGTGTTTATGGATCTGTCGCTAATGTTAGCGGGGACTCTTTGTCTTGCTGGGTCTTGCAGTGATCATTCCTCTCTTCCAGTTGCCTTTGCCGGCCTCGCCTTTGGCTCCTTCTACATCGCAGGGAAGCTCCACTGCTTTGCGCCTGGCGGGCGTGGGCAGTCCTGGCGCCTCTGTGCCTTCTTGGCGCCCCTCTTTGTGGCGATGCTCATTGCTTTATCCCGCACCTGCGATTACAAGCATCACTGGCAAGGTGAGTGAGAAGTTGATGGAGAAGTGAGGCACATGCCACGAAGATGGCAAGTGGCTGTCTGCCTGTGGCTAACCTGTGATGTTGCTTGACTACAATTCCCATCAGTTGTAGCCAATGGGCAGTAGTCAAGGAGGATGGGAGTTGTAGTCCAGCAACCCCTGGAAGGCTTCAGGATCCCCAACCCTGGAGTAATGGGTGGAGGTTGGCTGTACTCCCTACTTAAGTGCATGTCTGCGTCCACGCCAGGGTTTGGAACAGGATAGAGGGCTGAATCCCCTCCTGCCCATTGCAGGATTTTTACTCCACATATTCCTCTGGAAAAAACCAGCTGACAGATGTCAGGAATCCCTTGCTCCCTGCCTTCAGACTTACCGTGTAAAAGACACAGCACACAGGGAAAAGTGATTGGGAGGGAGGAGGGGAGAAGCAAACTATGGCACCGGTTCTTAGAGCAGCAGCCAGTTGCTCTTGCCACTGCTGGACTGGGTTTTCCCTCCCTGTCACCCAGTTAGATGAGCTGCATATCTGACCAAGCATGGTGCCGTCTTGTATTTTTCCATTCATTCATTTGGAGAGGAAGCATAGACCAGTGGCAGAGCACATGGCTTTGTATGCAGAACATTCCCTGCTCAGTCACTGGTATTTCCAGTTTAAGAGGCAGGTAGCAGGTGATAGGAATGACTTCCCTTCGCTTGAAGCCTTGTAGAGCTTCTACCGGTCAGAGTTGACAATTCTGGGTTAGATGAACAAATGGTCCAAACCGGTATAAGGCAGCTTCCCCTATGAGGAAGGAAGAGCGTTGCTTTGCATGCAGAAGGTCCCAGGTTCCATCCCTGGCAATGGACAGGGAATGTCCCATCTGAAACTCTGGAAAGCCACTGCCAGTCAGGGTCAGGAATACTGACCTAGATAGACCAGGAGTCTGACTCTGTATGAGGCAATTTCCTACTCTTCTCCCTACACACGAAGAGGATAGGAGCAGAGTTCTGTGCTGTTGCTAGCCAGCCCCAAGCTGAAACCATCTTTGCATTCTCTCCTCTTTGTGTTTTCTTCCCAAGATGTGCTGGTTGGTTCAGGAATGGGCCTTGCATTTGCCTACCTGTGCTACAGACAGCATTACCCTCCTCTGACGGATCCCGAGTGCCATCAGCCGCTGCAGCGCAAATCCAGGTTCTCTGCCCCAGAGAGACAAAAGCTGACAGTCTCTGGTTTCAGCCTCGATGTATAAAGACCTCAGGATCCCCACCTGCGTGTTCTGGGTGCTGGAAAAGGAGGGAGGCCACAGCCTTCGGTGTTACTTTGTGCCTGGAGGAGGAGTGAGGTTGGATCACACCATTTTTAAATGCCGGCAGTCCAGTTGGGGGGCTTTGAGATCTGCTCTGGCCCTACCAGTCTGTTTACACAGGGACCTAGGGAACAGTGCTGGGCATTGCATGGCAATTCTGGAGGCAATTCTCTCCTACTAGACAGCAGGGCCTAGACCAATCGCATTTCCAGCCCAGCCCATGCCACTCTTAATAATGCAGTTGCCCTAAGCCAAAAGGCAATCTGGTCCAGTCCTTTGCTGTAAGGCAAAACCATCACCTGCCGCTCGCCTCCACACAGATCACCAGAGCTCCGTCCCAGCCAGGGTGACTCCTACACTGAACACCACTCCCTTAAAGATGACCCACATTTTATTGACCAGCAGTGGGACACACTCCCTCCCATTTATTCTGGATGGAGGAGAGCTGTTGAGAGCTTCTCTCTGTGAAAGGGTGTGGTGATGCCTTTCCCCCACTCACGGATGAAAGGCGGCACGCCAACACGATTTTGGGGTCCTGCCTCTTTCTCTGCCCTTTTGCGTTATGCCACACCCAGTGACAACCATATTGGGACTAGAGTTGATGGCACATTGTAAAAATTTCAGATGAGCCCACTGGGCCCCGAGAGTTTGACGACCTCTTCCTTAGCGTAGACAGGGTCCCTGGTCGGTTTTCTGCCCTTCCAGCTACCTCCAGGCTTTCCCCATTCAACCTGTACATTCCCCACACAGGTCGGCTGGCTTTTATGTTCAGAAGCCTAGCAAGCCTAAAAGCGTGTGGGAGCGGAAGCATTTGTGGATCTGAGCCCACCTCCTTCATCAGATGCATGAAATGTTACCCTCGGCTGATGGGGTGTACGGTTCCTGGGGAAGCGGCATGCAGCTTACTTGGAGAGCATCTTCCTTGCATGCAGAAGGTGCCAGGAACAGCTCCTGGTGTCTCCAGGTGCAGCTGGGAAACAGCACCTGCCTGAGACCCTGGGAAGCCACTGCTGGTCAGTGAAGACTGAGCTAGAGGGACCCAATGATCTGACTTGGTATAAGGCAGCTTCCGATGTTTCTATAGTCCTCTCTCATATATACATATGAGAGCCTGTCACTTGAACCTCAAGCATGTCTACTTAGAAGTCCCTCCCAGTTCACAGGTGTTTACTCACCAGTGAGCGTGTTTAGGATTGCAGTTGAGAGGAGAGCAAGAAAAATTTTGGGCAGAGTTGCAGCTAATGCATGTATGATGCAATGGACTAATGAATGAAAGTTCCTGCCATGATGCATTTGATTCCGTTTTTGGTACCAGAAGACTCTCTCTCCTTTTGTTTGCTGCAGCAGATAAGCCCCGTTTGCCCCTCTGCTACTCAGAAGTATCTGCTCCTTTGACCTCCTGCAAAAGCAGGTTCTGTGCTGTGCAGACCAGCTCTTCCTTAGATGGATGTGCATATTCCAGAGGATGGGTGCGCAGAGATGCAGCCTAGCGCCCTGAGAACTGCAGCATCTATTCTGAAAAAGGCAATTGTGTCCCTAGAGCTAGGAAGAAAAGCATAGAAGCTTTTTATCTGTTGTCCACTTAGAAAATCAAACAGTGCCCCTTGTGGCCTTTAGGTGGGCAGGGCTTCAATATACTCCTGGTTTTAGACAGGTGGGGAACTTGTAGCCCTTCATATGTTGGACTACATTGGCCACTATTCCTGACCATTGGTCATTCTGGCCAGGGCCGAGGGGAGTCCAGCAACATCTGGAGGGCCACAGACTCCCCATTCCTGCTTTAGGCTGTGACGAGTGTTTCCACCACCCTCATTGCACATCCATTCTGATTTTCCACATTTCCTTCCCTTGATCCCAGCCCTGAAAAATCTAGACTATGAAAACCTGAGTCTTAGCGACATTAACTTATTATATAGAATGTGGGTAATTTATTCTAAATGTCAAATGTGCACTTTTTCAGTGTAGAGTCAATCCTGCTTTTATCAGGTCATTGCAGACTATGGACTCCAGGCTTGTAGTGATGTGTGGAACTTTACTGTGAGAAAATCATGTTCTTTATCTGTTAATGTTTTATCTTCCTAGTAGCATATCTTGATTTCAACAAGATTCCCCATAATATTCTTGTTGACAGATTGGTAAAATGTGGGCTAGATCAGTGTTTCCCAACCTTGGGCCTCCAGCTGTTTTCGAACTACAATTCCCATCATCCCTGACCACTGGTCTTGCTAGCTGAGGATTATGGGAGTTGTAGTCCAAAAACAGCTGGAGGCCCAAGGTTGGGAAATGCTGGGCTAGATGATGCTACTGTTGGGTGGATTTGTAGCTGCTTGACAAACTTTACCCAAAGGGTGCCCATCAATGACTCCTCGTTCATCTGGGAAGAAGTGATGTGTGGGGTTCTGTCCTGTTCTGTTATTTGACACCTTTATCAATGAGTTGGGCAAAGGAGTGTAGGATCCTTATGAGATTTGCAGGTGACAGAGCTGCATGTAAAGTTCTGCATTAAGTTAGGAGGAATAAGGCACTCATATACAAGATGGGTGATGCCTCGTAGAAATGCAAAAGATTCAGGGATTTTAGTAGAGCAGAAACTAAATGTGATCCCCCAGTGTTGTGCGGTATCTAAAAAGGCTAATATAGTAGTACCTCCGGTTACGTAATCCTCTGGTTACGTAAACTTCGGGATGCTGAAAAGGCCTTTGACAATATATCATGGGACTTTATGCTAAAAAATTTAGAATATATGGATGTGGGTACGGAATTCTTCAACGGAATAAAGGCAATATATACAGAGCAAAAAGCAAAGTTGATAGTAAATAATACTACGACAGAAGATATAAAAATAACTAAAGGTACAAGACAGGGATGTCCATTATCGCCACTATTATTCATTCTGGTACTGGAAGTCTTACTAAAATCAGTAAGGAAAAATGAAGAAATAAAAGGGGTCTGTAGGAAAAAATGAATATAAAGTTAAAGCGTTTGCGGACGACTTAGTAATAACGGTAGAAGAACCATCGGGAAGTGTTAAAAGAATTTTAGAAGAAATAGATCAATTTGGTCAAGTTACAGGATTTTATTTAAATAAAAAAAAGACCAAAATTATTGCTAAAAATATGAATCAAGAACTAATAGAGGTAATGCAACAACAGACAGGGATTGAAGTGGTGAATAAAGTGAGGTATTTAGGAATATGGTTAACCCCCAAAAATATTTATTTGTTTCAAAACAATTACTTACCTGTGTGGAATGGAATAAAGAGGGATCTGGATGTGTGGGGAAGATTGAAGTTATCTTTTTGGGGGAGAATATCAACGATTAAGGTGAGTGTGCTGCCAAAGATGTTATTTTTATTTCAATCACTACTGATAATCAAGGGGGCATCAGTATTTAAAGAATGGCAAAAAACAATTTCAAGATATATCTGGCAGGGCAAGAAGCCAAGGATTCAGTTCAAGTTACTAACAGATGCAAAGGAAAGAGGTGGCTTCGCTCTGCCAGACTTGAAATTATATTACGAAGCATCATGCCTCTGTTGGTTAAAGGAATGGATTAAACTAGAGAATGGGGAGTTGTTGGGACTTAGAAGAGTTTGACAACAGATTTGGTTGGCATGCATACGTATGGTATGAAAAGAAGAAAATTCATAAAGGGTTTGAAAACCACATCTTTCGAAGATCACTGATAGAGGTATGGGAAAGGTATAAAAATTTGTTGGAACCAAGACTCCCCCACTGGATTTCACCATTAGAAGTATTGAGTGTGAAAAAGATTAACATGAGGGGGGGGATGGATAACATATGGAGATTTGATAGTGAGGGGGGGGGGGAATGGAAAATGAAATCTTATGAAGATGTGAAAGAATTTGTTTATGATTGGTTGCATTATTACCAGGTTAATGAAATGTTTAAAAAAGACTGTAAAGAGTGTGGATATGAAGGAAAAGATTCAAAATTTCAAACAGAGGTACTGAATAGTAAGTATAAAAATTTATCAAAAATGTATAAAATGTTGCTGGAATGGCATACAAAAGATGAAGAGGTTAAATCGGTAATGATACATTGGGCCAGAGATTTTGGGTACAATATACAATATGATGATTGGATGAAATTATGGAATGAAAGGTTAAAATTTACGGCCTGTACTGCGTTGAAGAAAAATATAATGAAAATGGTATATAGATGGTATATAATGCCAGTAATGTTATATTACTGGCCAAAATGTATAAAACATGTAATAAGTGTTGAAAATGTAAAGAAAAAAAAGGAACATTCTATCATATGTGGTGGGAGTGTAAAAGGGTGAAAGGCTTCTGGGAAATGATATATAATGAACTGAAAAAGATGTTGAAATATACGTTTGTTAAGAAACCGGAAGCCTTCTTACTAGGATTGGTAGGTAATGAAATAAATAAGAAAGATTGTAAACTTTTCCAATACGCAGTAACAGCAGCGATAATACTTCTGGCTCAAAGATGGAAACAAGAAGAAATTCCAACGGTGGAAGAATGGAGAACGAAATTGACTGAATACGCAGAATTGGACAAACTAACAGGGAAGATTCGATACCAGAGAGACCAAAAGTTCATCGAAGACTGGGGGAGATTTACAGATTATCTGAAAAGCATATGTGATGAACAGATAACGCTTGTTGGTTTTCAAGAGACTCTGTGAAAAATTAAGAAATATTGTAAAAAAGAGAGTAAGAAGGGAGAGGTGATATTTAAAGGCAATATTAAGTTTAGAAATGTGTTAACAATATAAATTTAAACGAAAGATTGGCAGAGAAACTGAGGGAAGTCAAAAATAGACGAATGTGTGACAAAATGTGGATTGATTGTATAAAATTGTTTTGAAAATGAATAAAAATATTATTTTAAAAAAGAAATAAAAAAAAGAAATCAATGTCCTAAGTTAATCATGCCCGTTAACTTCAGTGGGTCTACTCTTAAGTAGGACTAGGATTGACTAAACCTGATTCTAGACCTTAGCAGGTTGCAAAAAATGAAACCCATTGACCCATTATAGTAGACTTTTGCAAAGAAGTGCCCCAAAATGACTACCTCTCAAATAAATCACTAACCTGTTCACCAACATAAACATCACACACAGTTGCATGTATACAACCTGCTGCTCTCTGCACCAGGATTTGTGGAACTGGGGCATAAACCCAACAGTAGCATTGCAAAAGACTCTTTAACAAGGTATCTCCAGGCTACTGTTTAAAATCAGTTTAAGAAGCAAAAGTCAGGAGGTGCACATTTGCTGTGAGCTCCCAAATTCACCTTCTGCAGCTTGCACCATTTGCAAGGTGGTTTGGGTGACGGCTGTGATGAGGTCTCTGCTGCAAGATCTCACTCTCAGACTTTTGCTTCCTCCCCTTTGAAACCGCCTTGCGCAAAAGCAGCTCTTAGGTGGCCAGCTGTCTACTTTGCATGTGCATGTGCTATCACACTGGTGATCTTTCCCTTCCGTGGAGTTCAGGGGGAGCTGTATATAGCTGTAGACTTAACTGCTTGTGACCCCTGCTCTATCAGTGTTGGAGCTTGTCCTTCTTCAAAGATGCACTGGCCTTCATCCATGCCCACAGCTTTTGTTGGTTGGTGCCTGTGCTAGGATTCCGCTGTTGTTAAGTTGGTGTGCTTGGGACAGTCAGAAGTTTCTTAATGTTGAGAACAGATGGCCGCACCGTGACCACAGGCTGGTTCAACTCTGTTTCTCTGGGATTTGGGACCTTAAATCTGGAGAGGTTTCCCAATAGGTGTTTTACTTTCAGGGGACTTGGGATGGCATGGGAGAGACACCAGCAGCATAAACAGCCCTTTCTGCAGGGTGGGCATCCATTGGAGTGCCCCCATAGAAGGGGTGGGGGAGAGGTAATTAGCACAAGGCTTCCCTCCTCTACAGAAGTTGTTCCACAAGCAGAATGTCACCTTGCTGCTCTTTGTCATACTGGATGTGCCACATTTTCTGCTTGTTGTCACCCCCAAAAAATGGTCCCCGCATACCCCTAAATAGGATAGCAGAAGGCCATAACTGGCATTTACCTACATCAGGAGTGGCAGGCTCCCAATGTCAATTGACCTTTCTGGCTGAGGCTGGTGGAAGCCCAACTAAAGCAGGGTTGGCTGCCCAGATGCTGCTGAATTCTGGATGTGGGGCACATCCCCAAGCAGTGCCAAGTGCTTTTCTTTTCTTTTTACAGGAGTGATAATGGTTGTGGCTTCAAAAGACTATTTAAGGCAGGAATAGCCAACGTTGTGCTCTCCTGATGTTGCAGGACCACAACTTTCATCATCCTTGACCTGTTGGTCAGGCTGGCTTAGGCCGATGGGTGTTGCACCCCAACAACATCAGGAGGGAAGCACACAAGCTACTTCTGGTTTAAGCAAGGTAACAGTGGCAGGGAGATGGCGGTATTTCTGTGCAAAATGGCAACTACGCATAACATAGGCTAGCACATCAGTTGTCAGCTTGTGGTTTGGTACCCAAAACTGGGTCATGGGCAAATGAAGGGGACACAGTCTTCATTTTATTTTAAACCTCTTTTTAAGAGCAAAGAGACAAGCAAAAAGGCAGAACACCGAGAGAGAGAGAGAAAAGGGGGAGAAAAGACAGGCATATATCTAGCTAATAAAAAAGAAGTTTCATCCAGCAATTGGAGGTTAAAGGGAGGCCCCAGAACTAATGTTGGGGGACACAGTGAAGGAAAAAAGACAACTTGTGTCTCTAATGAAAGCAGTCATGGTATTTTAGAAAGGTGATGAGTAATATTAAAATTATACAGGAAAGTCCGGCTCAACCAGCCTCCTATTTCCAACAGTCAGTCTTGGGTGACCTAGAGCCAGCCACTAGCAGCCTAACCTACCTCAAAGGGTGGTTGTGAGGATAAAACCAGCCGGGATCATGTAAGCTCCTAGGAGGTAGAATAAAAATGTGATAAAAGGGGGAGGGGAGCAGAACGAAATAGTGGCCAAGCAGATGTCTCAGGAATACTCAAAACAATTTATAATGAATGGCGAGTTTTCCTGTGTTTACCCATGTGGGAATCTCAAGGTTTTGCTCCCGTCATAGTTAAACCACTATCATTCCTGGTATGGGGCATTTTCGGGCAGTTAATTTTGTGCCTGCTTTGCAGATTGGGCTAGTCTGAACCATTAGTAGGTATGGAAGGATTGTTGCTGTGATAAAGATTATTTTACCTTCATTTTTCACATTTTGTACATTTTTAGAGGCCAAATCAATGGAGTTGTGTTTTCATTGTTTCACGGTTTCGTTTTTAAAACTGTCTTAATAAAAATGCTAAAACTTCAAAAGAAAAAGCACTGCTGTATCACTTCTTTGGTCCTCAGATTAGGACTAAATGGGGCATGCGAGGCATTGCTGAATGTGAAACACTAACTTCTCATTCTCCCTTACCTTGTGCACTCTGTAAAGTAGAAGTACTTGCCGTCTGTCTTTCATGTTACTCATGAATGACTGCAAGGTGCTATAAACTCGGAAGCTATCAAACTGGAGCTCACAGAAAATATTTACTTCATTTTAGGCTTTTCCTTCAGATAGTTAAGACTGTAGTGTATGGCAGGGACTGGATTTGGCAAAGGAGAGATTAACTATAAGGTTACAATTCTGCACACTTACACCAGAACACTGCAGGACTTAAGTCTGAGCAAACATGCATCAGAAGAGTGCACTAAATGAGACTTTATAGCTTGCTCCTAACCTGTTTACTGGCATCTGTTTTTCACATTGTGCTCAACATGTTTTGCATTTACCAAGCTTAAACGGAACCCTATGTGTAATCTCTGGAAGAACAGTTGTGTTTCCTTATACAAAAGAAAAACTAAATTCATCATCCACACATTTCATTACTAAGACTCTTTTTGGCCCACAAGCATCACAGAAATTAGACACTCTCATCACTAGCACCTGCAGATCTTAACACTGGGGTGCAAGCTTGCAGCTAAAGCTGGTCATACTCAGAGTAGACCCACTGAAATGGCAAACAGTTTCATGAACTTCAATGGGTCTACTCTGAGAAAAAAATTGGTTTGATACAAACCATGGTTCTAAGAGAAGTGCTACTGCTTTGACTTATTGCACAGTACAACTGCACTGTGGTATAAAAAGTGTGACAAAAAGGTTTAGGTATGTAGCACAGTCCTAGAATGAAAGCAAGAATTTTTACTTCTGCAAGTATCAAACTAATGTCTATGATAAAGACACAGTATTTCAGCATGTTTTCCTGATGTATGAAGCATCTACAATATGGCAACTTAGACTGCAGTGAGTGGTGAAACTTACAGGTGTACATCCTTAAACATTCATAATTTTAAGGACCATTTCTGTCATTTGCACTTCAGGATTTTCCTACAACACAGACAAGATGCACACAGAGCAAACATCAACTACTGCCTCAAATCTAGAGCTATGGTATTTGGCCTCACAGAGGGGAAGTGGGAAAAGGGAACAGGAAATTCAGGCAAGTTCTGTATTTGGAGGCTGCTCCTTGTGGTATTTATCTTCCAACACACAGGAACATGCTGGGGAAAAAGATGTGCATCTTTTGCAAGTTGACAATTGCTGGATGAATTGCTGATTTCTGTCACAATGCACAGAATGACAGAAGTCAGGTATTTGGCTAAGCAGTAAGCTATAATCACTCGTGGCCATTCTCTAATTACACGAGAAAAGCATATTCACTGCTTTTTTCCAACCTTGCTTGGGTTCCTATATTGGAACACAATAAAGTGTCCTTAGGCCCTCAGACTTCCAAGGTTCTCCTTACAGAGGCCAATAAATGCACCGAAGTCAGATATTTACTGGAAAAAGAATTAAATAACTTTTAAAATAGACATATTTTACAAAGTGCATAAACTTCAACAGCTGTTTGAGAATTGATTGACCGAGGCTGGACTCTTCCTATAACTGCTGCTAGAGATTCTAATCCAGAACTTGGTTGTGTCAAATAGCATCACTCAGGGTCACCCAGACTTCCTTTTGTGTTGTGCTTCCTAGGCAGAGGGGTCCATGCTTTAAAGCTCCAAAGTCTGCTTTTTTTTTGGCCCCAGCACTTTCCCTATGAAAACCTGCTCTTTACCCCTGAAAACAATTCCGCAGAAAACCTGAACGGCTGTTTGTGGGTTTTCCTGGGGAAAGCAGTGGTGGGGGTGGGCTTGGGAGCTGGGACCTGTACCTAGGAAGCACAGGGCAAAAGGTGAAGAGTGGATGAGCCCTCAGCTGCAGCACAAGTGGGTGAGATGATGAACAATGCAGAAACAAATAGTGCAAATACATAGGATGAATAACCAAACTAAATACTGACAAAGAGTTTTGATACACAATACAGAGAGAATAATAGCATGACACATTGTTTGCTGTTGCCTTTGTAGAAGGGGCTTTCTGAAAATATGAGCAAATCCTCTGAGGCCATGCTGAGACACAGGTGAAGTGAGCCCCTGCTGCATCTGGACTCACCTGACGGTTACCTGTTTCAGGTTACAGTTCCACATTTTTTTCCAGCAGCAAGTAAGTTCCCCTTGCCCTCTAGTGTGGACCACCCACCCCCAGCAGTGCATTCAGCTTAGAGAAACAGCACTGTTTCTTTCCTTACTCAACCTTCAAGGGCAAGGGAAGCAGAATTCGCCTTTCTCCTTGCTTACTACAGGACTTGAAGAACTGGTAGCAAGGAGAAAATGGAGGTGAGTAAATATATTAGTGGCCTCCTGTATTCAATATACAGCTCAGCATATCAACTTGGTGAGCAGTTGGCCAACCACCTTCCTATGTTTGATCAGGAAAAAAATATGATCTCCTGTGTGAAAAGTGCAGGTGCAGAGCTACTGCTACTCTGTTTTAAAACACAACCTACTAAATGGGCACAGGCATAGTTTTAATTCACCACCAGGATCTCTTGGTAAGTAGGTATAGGTTTAAAGGGTTGGGAAACATGATTCCCCTTGACCCAGACTTATCCCACTCACCCGCTGACAAATGAGATCAGAATTAGCTGTAAAGTGAGTGGATGTTCAGTCACAGACACCATCTTTGCGATGCATAATCCTTTCCAAACACTTGTAGTAGGGCATCCTATTCTTATTGAACTTAGCTCAGGGGAAGAGCCTGCCAGCAGCTCAGGCTCTCTTCCTTATTGCATAGCTGCTGGATCATTGCAGCTCTTAACACAGCATGGACAGCAAAGATACAAATGAAATGGAGCTTCTCCAGTATGCTAAAGCTGTTTGGATAAGAACTACACTAAGCAGACAACAGAGACAATTTCAGAATCTGAGGAGTCACCTGAGCCAGATACAGATTTACAGGGTTTTTCCAAGCACCTGTCTAGTTTATTCCTAAGTGAGTGCCTATGTGCTTTTCCTGTTGTAGCAAGGTTGGTACAGGACAATACATGGGAATTACCAGCACAATAGCGCTTGCTATGGTAGGGACAGGAACTGGCCTTTTTGCTTTGGTCTGTAGCTCCACCTGTTGGGCAAAGCAGCAGCAATAAGGTTTGAAGGAACAAAAATCTACTCAAAAACGTCTGGTGATGGGTGTCCAGTGCAGCCACAAAACAAGCATTTCCATATGCCCACATTCCTCACAGCTTTACTCAGCAAAGTGTGGTATCTCCCCAGTTTGGTATCAACATCCTGTATCATGGCTTTCCAACTCAAGAGGAGGTGTGAAGTTCTAGCACCGATTCCTGGCCCCGCCTAGTGCACCACTAGACCTGATGCGGGTGGTATTGCAACTTGACACACGCTAGCCTCTAGCCAGAGGACACAGCCCAGAGAGTCAAAGTGCTTGCTGCACTTCCCATGGAATAAGACTTGGGTGGTGAGTCCTCCAGAGCTCCAGGCAGTGGGGGTGAAGCATGCTGGGCACAGCAGCAACAGAGGAGACAAGAGGAAGGTGGACAGGAGCCTTGATGAGTTTTCAACATGGAGCAAATCTAAGGAAGCAACAGGTAAAGATTAGCTAGGCCAGTGATGGATGGATGGATGGATGGATGGATGGATGGAGAAATCAAAGCGGGATGGGAACTACGTTATGGCTATTTCAAAACTGCAAACACTGGGTAAAAAAACATTTAAGTGTCAACATAAGTGACAATTAGGAAAAGGATAGTACTGAATGCATTGTGTAGCTCTATGAGAAATCTCTAAAAAATACAGTAGCATTCAACAGTGCAACTTAGACTGCAAAAAAATTGAAAAACAAAAGATAATGAATTGTTTTAGTGACTTTTGGCTAAAATATTAAATTTGCATTGTTTAAACAAAGTATATTCATTTGGGAAGAGGTTATGTGGCAGTTGTCTACGCTTCTTTCACAAACAGTAAGCAATCAGAAAAGCAGGAAATAGGTCTGGAGAAAGGAGAGTGCCTCTTTCTGCCCTGTACTATCAATGGAAAAAGAGATTTCACTCAATCATGTTATATTCTGAGGACAACTCAAGACAGCCACTGCTATTCCTACCATGTTTCTTGGAGGATAATGGGTGCACCCCGCTAAAACAAAAAACTACAAGTACATAGACATGCCCCTACACCAGCTAAACATCAGTACAGTATGATGAAAATAAAGTTTGCTGCAATCAAAAAGATTTTGATTCACTGTAATGAATTAACCATTACTTCACTGTATTGTTTAGGATTGTGGAATTAAGGCTGTTACTGTTCCTTCACGGCCATTTGACTCTGAGCCGCTTTAGCTGTGGACAAACAAGAACGCTGAAGGTGGTATGAGAAACACATATTAATTTGTGGCTTACACATTCATTTATTGAGTCCTAGGGTCATGCTTGGCCAAACCGGCTTGGTAGGTTTTTGAAGCACTACCAACAACCCACAAAATCTGCAAACAGCATTCATTGTCAGTTGAGTGCACACACCACAGCCAAAATAGTTTTTTGCACTTTTCCCAACTGGGTGATGAGTAGAAAGACAGGGCAACTTACATTTGGTGGAGCTGGTTAGTCTGGCTTTATGGAAGGGGCTGGTCCATGCCGATGCCCATTGTTTGGTAAATCTCTTTCAGGAGCAACAGCACTGTGTCCTCTGACTCCCTGGAAGTTAAATATTTATACAATGAATTACTTATTAGAACTACATATAGAGCAAGTGTGCCCAAGTGGCAGATTTACTTAGGCACCAGGAAAAAGGACAATCCTAACACTTAACACACACACAATCATCTCATCCCACAGATATAGTTATGATTGTTGAAGACACAACTTTGAATGAAGTGTTCAGGACAATAATAAGGATGTTTGCATTACTCTTGTCAGTTTCCTATGTCCTCCCAGATGTTATTACTCCTGAAAGTGGTTGGAAAGTTATGAGACTGTCCCACCCCACCTCCTTGGCTGAAAGTGGTGGAAACCCCTTGTTTGGCTCCTACTGGGAAGTCTTCAGAGAACCTTGTTCTGCCTATTGATAGATCTTGCCCCCAGTAAGGGAGAACATAGATATCGCTCTGAGCTTCTTGGAAGATGAGGGAAATTGCTAATTAATTTAAAGACACATTTTTAAAAAACTTGTTTACCAGTAGCAGAGATGGCCTTGCAGTGCAAACAGGTACTCATTAAAGCTTTCGATTGGCTTCTCTTGAAGCACGTAGTCAATGCGGTGGCCACCATTGAGCATACCCACGTTAACTGGGGCAGATTCTTCTTTCACTGGTGTGGTTGGTTCCTCAAGTTTCCCATCTGAATTGTTTAAGAAAGAAAGACAGCATTAATATACACAGCTAAAATTGGTTACCAGGCTGGGTTGGTGAAGGCATGACTGTCCAATGCTAACAGGTATTGCAAGTCATGTTTCCTGCCTAAGGAGGAGTAAGATGCTCTGTCACACACTAGATGCAGACATCTTTGCAAGCATCACCATAGGCAACTGAAAACAAGGGGTGACTGCTGCCAAAACAAAACTAATTTGACATTTTGGCAAGAGTTATACCAGTCCATGTGCAGGCCCAAATATTACAGAGCACAAATTCAAAGGGAGCAAAAGTCATCAGTATCTGGCCAAAGGATACCTAAATGAATTGACAAAATTATTCAAAACTCTAACATGGTTGAGAGTCTAAGGAGTAAGAGACCACCATCTTGCAGAGAGCTGAGCAAGTTCGGGTCAGGTCAGTGCTTGAATGGATGAAACCCAGGAACCTCATTTATGTTGCCTTTAATGTGATGTGCATAGGGCTGTCCTTAAAAACAGTTGAGAAGCTGCAGCTGGTACACAAGGCTGCTGCCAGTTTGGACTGACTCAGCCAGCTAGAAGCATATAACATGGGTTGTGAAGGGTCTGCGCTGACTGCCTATATGCTACCAAGCCAAATACAAGGTTTTAGTGCTGATGTATGGAACCCTGAATGACGCTGAACCCAGTTAACTTAAGGAGCATCTCTCCCTGCCCTGCCAAGGAATTAAAATCTGTTGGGGATGTACTGGTCATGTCATCTCTGTGTGAAGCCTGTAGTCTGTAGCTCTTTGGCTCAAGACAAGGCCTTCTCAGAGGTGGAACCCCAGCTGTGGAACATCCTTCCCCTTAATATACAACTGGTGGTGACACTGCTTAACTTCCAGTGCCAATTAAAGACTCACCACTAGTCACCTGGCTGGGGTGGAGTCGGACATGATTGAGGTTACTTATTTTAACACTGAATAGGAGCAGGTTAAGTGAGCTGCTTTTCATTCTGTTTTATGTTGTTCACTTTTATGTAACATACTTATCTTGAATGCTGATGTATACATTTGTTTTTACTGTATATCTGGGCAGGGCAGTACAGATATTTGTTTTAGCCAGCTTAAGATCACTTGGCAATGAAGGGCAGAACAGAACTTGTATAAATGCATCAATGGAAGCATCTTGCAAGGACTTGTGCAGAGCAACAGGCAAAATTTTCCCTTGGTTGCAACAGGAAGAATGGGTGGGTTCTGCTGGATTCTGCACCTTGTTCTTCCGTTTACAAACTACAATTAAGCCCCTGCTCACCAGTCTGTTTCTCTGAACTGGCTTCAGCTTCCAATACTTGTTCCGTATCTCCAGTGGCTCCTGCCTCCACAGCTGGAAGTGAAGTCCTGGTGAATGACTGCCAAGCTGTTCTCAAGGAGCCCAGTAAATTGTTTTTGAGGTCCATGCTCATTCGCGTGAGGCCTTCCTTCAGTTCTGAAAAGGAGAAGGTAAAAACAGCCTTACAATTAAAAAACCAGCCTGTTCTGAAAGCCTGCAATTAAAAATATGTCATCAACAGGTCAGGATACATCTCTCTTACCCGTGGACCCCTTGTGGCTTATCCTCATAGCTTCAGCACCGCTCAGTTCCTAACACCCTCTTCTTTTTCTTCCCCCGTGTCTTCAATCCTATCCTTGAGTCTCACAATTCCACCATCTCTCTCTCGCCCCTTCCTCCCTGCCCCACTGGAACTTTCCTCAACTTTTCTCCAATTCTCTTGTTTCCCTGGATTATTTCTCACATATTGTTTTATTTCCAGAAGATGGATGGCTGGAATTATTCATCTTCGTACACAAGTGAAAACATTATTTCAAGAATAATTTGTATCGCTTGTTGAGGTTGCCAGAGGATTGTGGCTAACATTCTGAGGAAGTAGAAATATCTGAAGAGCAACTTTGGGAGGCAAAATGTGATATGGGAACTTGGCACCTAACTCTTGTTTTGTCCCTGGTAGCATGTAATGAGTCATAATTATTGGTCTGAATTGTAGCATGTGAATTGTAGCATATGTAGATAAATTACAGAAAGAGCATCTTCAGTTTTGGTACCTAATTGCATAAGCTCAGTTACAAAATTCTCTTCTAAGTTATCAAAAGCTTTGAATGTTTTAAGTGTCAAAATGGTAATTGGTGTTTCGTTTTGTTCAATTTCCTATAGGAAAGAACATTCAAAACATTTCTAATTAGGTCTAAAATTTATTATTTTGTTACAAATCCCACTTGATCTGAGTTAGTATAATTATAAATAATTTATCAAGTCTGCTAGACAATAAAATATTTTTAGACCCAACTCTTGAATGTCTCCAGGTATATAATATTTGATCAATTTCCACATTCCACAAAATAACCTTCAGTAATTCCAGAAAATTATTTCTTTAACTGAGCTATTTAGATATTGTTATGTTTTTAAATAAAACATTTCCCTGTATGGACTAGGGATTTGTTATTTAATCAGGTTGATAGTTGCTTTTTAATCATGAAGGGCTAGCACACAACTTTCTAAATGAATCCTGGGTCTCAGGATAGGTGTTATGAAGACAATCTGTATGTCTTGTGTTCAATCACTAGCCAGAAATATAAGGTGTTTTTTTTGGAGCGTACTTAGATTCAAAGGGCGATGCAAGCAGAAGGAAGATTCTCTCTTTTACCTAAGTGCATTCTCTTCCTCCCCTTGTGGTGAGGGAGCAGCATTGGATCAAACTCCACATCAGGGACAATCATGGGCTCAATTCTGTATGCTACCGGATCAAACTGCAGAAGAAAGAAAGCAGAGACACTTCACTCTAATTTATATATAACATCTCCTATCCAACCTTTTGGTTCCAAATGACCACTAAGGTGGCTTATAAACAATTCTAAAAACAATATAATGATCAAATTCAAAATCATTCTTAAAATATACTAGCAAAACCAGTGGCAATATATAAATATATAAATCACATTGCATTAAAAAATAATATCTAGCAGCAGCATATTAACCCTAAAAGGTTCAGGACTAGGATTTCTGAAGGACCCCATTCTTGGCTTGAACCTGCCTGCCAAGACCTTCTTCCAAGTTCAGTTCAGGTGTATGTTTGGTTAGGACAGTGATGGCCAAACTTGGCCCGCCAGCTGTTTTAGGACTACAATTCCCATCATCCCTGACCACTGGTCCTGTTAGCTAGGGATGATGGGAGTTGTAGTCCAAAAACAGAGATGGGTCATGACAAATGGGTTATTTATTTATTTTTCTCTCATTTACACCCCACCTTTCTTTCGTCATAGCACCTGAAAGCTTATAGAAAGCCCCTCCATTCCTAGACTGCTCCTAGGCCAACAACGTACTGGAAAAACTGCAGAGCTGCCCTCACATCCATGAAATCCTGAATTGCTGCTGACAAGGCAGCTTCAGCATGTCCCCCATACAACAGACTGTTGGATAGCACAATAAGTACACCAAGAGAATCCCAGTTCTGTCCCTCTGGCGCAGCATCAGTATCTGGTCTGCAAGAGGACTGGTCTCCTAGCAAAGAAGATGGGATTTCTAGTGATGCCACCCTGCCCAACCTTTGCTGGTGCTACACTGAGTACCTAGAAGAATGAAGGATTCCTAAATTCACTTATCATTATTAAGATAATGAAATAAAAATGAACTTCAGGCAAAATTGTCCAAAATGGTCCCATTTTATGTTATTTTCAATGAATTGAATACTTGGTATTTAACTGGGCACAGTAGGGACGCAGGTGGCACTGTGGTCTAAACCACTGAGCCTTGGGCTTGCCGATCAAAAGGTCAGAGGTTCGAACCCCCGCGATGGTTGCTTGGTCCCAGCTCCTGCCAACCTAGCAGTTCAAAAGCACCCCAAAAAGTGCAAGTAGATTAATAGGTACCGCTCCGACGGGAAGGTAAACGGCATTTCTGTGCGCTGCTCTGGTGTTGGTGTTCCGTTGCACCAGAAGCAGCTAAGTCATGCTGGCCACATGACCTGGAAAAACTGCGGAGCGAACACCAGCTCCCTCGGCCTGTAAAGCAAGATGAGCGCGGCAACCCCGGAGTCGTTCGCGACTAGACTTAACTGTCAGGGGTCCCTTTACCTTATCTTTAACTGGGCACAGAACTGGTATGTATCTGTTAGTGGTTTTGTTTTCTTCTGTTTTCATTTAATAATTTCTATACTACACTTAATGCCAAGTACCAGTATATTTTCCAATTACAATCCACTTAAATTGGGTGGAAACATGTGGCCTTCCAGATGTTGTTAGACTCCAAACTGCATCAGCCCCAGTTGCATGGCCAATGATCAGGGATGATGAAAGGAGCAACCAGTTCCAGATTCCTGCCTTTAATGGAAGCTTTGTGGATCCCATGACAGCAGTGCATTTCACATTTAAGTTCACATTCCACATTACGCAGTAAAGCCACTGCAGGGTATCTAAATATCTTGAGTTGAAATCAGACCAAGTTAATTGCACTTAAGCCCCATTGGAATTAATGAGACCTAATTTAGTCATTATGAATCTTATAGAGATTGCACAAAAATAGATGTGTGAATAACTTGGGACGGCACCCAATAATTTGACCCTCCGGAGGGGGTGGGAGAACAAGACATTGCTGCTCATACATACAGGATGGAATACATTGAAGAAGCCTTTGCAGGTAGGCAGGCTGTAGTTCGGATCAATCCTTTTCACCCCTCGCACAGTGAGAAACATCCCAATAGGGGAGCCAAAGGCAAAGAAGATCTCTGGTTTGTAGATTAGCTGAGGATAGTTTGCAGAGACCTAATGGAGTTTAAATACAACATACTGTTTTTGTGGGAAATAAACTTCATGCGGCAAATTTATGAGAGTGTATTACTTGAAATTAAGCACAAAGCAATTATGAAACAAGCAATCCCTCCCTGCACATGACACACAGCTGACCTGTGGAACTCACTGCTGCAGGACATTATGGTTTTTATTTTACTCTCCTTCTAATGACCTTTGAGTGGCTTCTCAGGCAATCCTTTCTCCAAGCTTAAACAATTTAAGCTTCAGATATTAACTAGCTCGGGAAACTTCAGATGGCTCTCTAGGTTACATATTATCTGGGATAGACAAATATTTGTTAGACTAAACACCTGAGTTATCCTTTGGGATGTTTAAAGACTCAGAAGCATGAAACTTATTAAATCACCAGTACTGAAAACCTCAAACCAAGATACTGAAAGAGAATATAAGAAGACTTCTACTGCAAAAGGCCCATCGAGTCCAGCATCCTGTTCTCACAGTAGCAAACCAGATGCCTATGGGAAGCTTGCAAGCAGGTCCTGAGTGCCACAGTGCCCTCCCCACGATTCTCAGCACATGCTATCCAGAGGCATACAGCCTCCAACAAGGGAGGTGGAATATAGCCATCCATGAATGTGTCTAATTCTCTTTCAAAACCAACCAAACTGAGAGCCAGTGTGGTGTAGTGGTTAAGAGCGGTAGTCTCGTAATCTGGGGAACCGGGTTTGAGTCTCCGCTCCTCTACATGCAGCTGCTGGGTGACCTTGGGCCAGTCACACTTCTCTGAAGTCTCTCAGCCCCACTCACCTCACAGAGTGTCTGTTGTGGGGGAGGAAGGGAAAGGAGAATGTTAGCCGCTTTGAGACTCCTTAAAGGGAGTGAAAGGCGGGATATCAAATCCAAACTCTTCTTCTTCTTCTTCCTCGCTACCTCTTGTGGGAGCAAATTCCATAGTTTAACTATGTGAAGAAGTACCGTATTTTTCCGTGTATAAGACGATATTTTTTCTTTAGAAATAACTGAAAAATTGTGGGTCATCTTATACACGGATAGCGGCAGGCGACTGGTGGCAGCAGCCAGCAGGAGATTTGCAGTGGCGATTGGGTGTGTGATTGGTTGCTGCGGCAAGGCCTGCTGATGATTGTTGCAGTCCCAAAAATAGGGGTTGTCTTATACATGGGGGCGTGTTATACACAGAAAAATACGGCACTTTCTTCTGCATCTTCCAACATTCAGTGTCATCGGATGTCTCCAAGTTCTAGTACTGTATATATTGAGGGAGACAAACCCATCCTAATTCCTTTTTGTTTTAAACACCCTGAACCATATCACCAGCAAACCAGGCTACCTCATGGCTCTGCCCTAACTCTAAATCACTTATGAGCAAGTTAACAACCACAGTGCGTAATACTAATCCTTTGAAGATTCCACTTTCTACAGAACCCACCATATACCTGTGACAGTGATTTAACAGCTTTTATTTCTAAATTTTAAACTGTGGTAATCCACCTAGGAACCAGCTAGTGAAGGGTTTAATTATCACCAACCCTCCGTTGGGAGAATTATCCATTTATTTCTACCCTTTGCCTGCTTCTGAACCAGTTTCCTAATCCATAAGAGGATCTCTCCTTTTATTCCATGACTGCTAAGCTTACTCAGGCTTCTTTCACAAGGTACTTTGAAATAAGCTTTTTTGAAAGACTAAGCACACAGTGTTAATTAGGTATGCTTGTTAATATAGGAGAATAATAGAAGTTTTCCCAACCTAGCTGTGAGACTGGGCCAGGTAAATCCAAAACAAATTTGGCCTGGACTTGGGGAACTTAAGTAATACTTTTTTAAAACAGTTCAAGAGTCACTCAAAGCCCAACAGGTCATCTGTTGATTTATTATGCTCTTAAATTGAGGCTGGCACAGAGTTGTGTGGGAGGTGGGGGTTACCTGCCCTGTCACAACATCCAGACGCCGGCAACTTGTCTCTGCATTTGTAGGCTTTACAGGTACCTCCTGCTTGACATTTCCACCTTCCCCAGCAGCTGCAGGTGTCTGCCCTTTAGAATTCTGCAACAAAAATCAGACAGCCATCTCCTGTAGCATTCCTTTCAAGCACACTGCTGGCACAACTGCCCAACCCACTAGGCTACTGCAAGAGCAGAAGCTCACTTTGCAAAAAGGTTTCAGTGTTGCACAATAATTACCATTTAGCATTTCTACAGTATAAACAATATGCATTTGCCAATGTCACTGGTTGCTCAAGTTATTGTATTATTTACTTTTTGCCCAGGACATTCAAAGGCTTGGGTCAGTTTCCACACAAACATGCGCTTAAGATCAATCTCTTATTTAAAAATACAATAGTAACAAATGCAAATGCCTCTACCTTAGTTCTACCAATTTTTATGCTATTTCCCAATATGAACATCTCATCTGGAAAAGCTACTGGAGGCAGAGACAATTTTTAAAGGAAAACAAAGCAGACAGGGAAATATTAAGCACATCCATCTTACCACTCACTCCAAAGTTTGGCCTCCTAACAGCTTTTCATTTGAGAAATCAAAAGGGGGAGGAGACACTGGGACTTTCTTGCATGCTTGTTTGTATAACATGTAGTCTGTCCCAAGGTACATCAGTAGTAGCACACACATGAAGAAAAACTGTCTCCCTTCCAAAGTGGTAGTCCAAAACAGAAATAAAACCAGCAAAACTTAGTCCCCTCCACATCCTAAAGTATATATGCATAAGGTGTCAGAAATTTCTCAATTTCCACTTCCTCTCCAATAAAGAAATAACGAAAAAAACACACATAGAGATAGATTCAGGTAGGTGGGGTAGAAAAACCCCACCCCACCCTCCCACTATATATAAGGGTTTGGTGACTTCTGTTTCAGTGTATATGAAGAAGTGTGCATGCACACGAAAGCTTATACCAAGAACAAACTTAGTTGGTCTCTAAGGTGCTACTGGACAATTTTTTGGACATAAAGATGTATTGCCCAACTTACATGCCCCCGTCGCCCCCGCCACCCCCGCCCTGAGAACAATGGCAGGTCAATGCAGAGCCATCTGCAGCTTTTTTCAACCAGTTGTGCTTCCTGACCATTCCAAGATTTTAAGTTTAAAGCAGGAAATATATGTAAAAGGCAGCCTGCTCAGATCACCTTGCAGAAATGAAAGTAAAAGAAAAAAAATGTGTGTGTGTGTGCAGAATTAAACACACACATATTTATGAAGAAAGAGGACCGAATGGCAGCGTGGAGGAAACCAAGCGAAAGAGGAATAGAACTGGATAGGCCTGGTCTGCCCAATCCTACCCCAGAGATTATGAAATGTCCTTGCACTGGAGCTGCCTGCCTGCTAACGAACTAGAATAGAATAGACAGACAGAAGGGGGAGAGAGAAGATACGATTGCCAAAAGTGGTGGTGGGGAGAGAGCAAAGGGCTGGATGTTCCATTTGGTTCAAGTCAATAAATATTACCAATATCCACAAAATTATAGTACAAGGAGATTCAACGCATTCTGCATTTTTCCAATCCCTAACACTGAAGGTATGGATTTAAATCACTTGAACAATTACCCCAAACATACCTGGTTGTTGCTTTTGTTCCTTAAATAATGCAGAATTTTCATTCTGGGTCCCAGGGGAATTCCCATGTCTTTAAGTTCCTTTTCTGTGCACAAGGCCTGTTACAGTAAGAATCACACACACATATATGAGCTGTGGTTCTACAATAGATAGTGACTTAAATGAAAAGAGCCCTTGGACTTTAGTAACTTGTGTTTCAGTGCTATCCTTTGAGAAACACAGAGGGTTGAATATGGTCACGTCACCCTTATAAAAAATACAGCAATACTGGTAAATGTAGCTTCAGAAACTCTTCATGCAAATATTCTTCCACCACTAACCATCTATAAGACTTGGGCAGCAACTTAGCTCTGTCTTGTAACACTGTTGTCAAGTAGTTGCTTCCTTCGCAGATTGAGCAAGTTCTAGTTGCTCATCCCACTCCGTAGCTTCAGAGGACTTCAGTGGGACCTGCTGTCTAGTTGTCAAAAGGCAACACCAGAGAAGATCAAGAATGAGGGCAGGAAATGCTTCCTGAATAATCCTGGCACCATCTGGACACAGGGTTAGCTTTGCTGCTGATACCACACTTGAACGCAGTTGTCTTGTGACCACTCCTTGCAAGCCGCTTTCACAAGAGATCAGAACAAAGACCTGAATGGATTTGTTCCCTCCCCATTCCCCCACAAACTACCATTATTGATCTTCATGAAGGAGCCTAGAAGCTGAAGAAATAGACATACAGGAGCAAAGCAAGTAATGCAAAAGTTCTATATTTACCAGTGCTTGCCTGTCCACATTTTCCTTCTCGAATACAGAGCAATATTCAGAAAGCTCAAGCTCCGTCAAAATGTCTGTAACAGATCCAATACCTTCTTGGCCAGTTGCTGATATTTGTGACTCCTGTTAAAATAGATACCACTTCTGTACAGCTTTTCATTTGCATTGATAAAACACTTAAGACAGGATAGTTACCAATATATAGCTACTGGACTATATTGCTAGAGTACTGATTGTATCACAGTGTGTACATTTCTTTTATTACTGTTATAAATGTTATATTTTATTATTTGTTTATTTATTTCTTAGATTAATATACTCCCTTCATTGTAAGATATAGTATTATCAAAGGGTGATTTTAGGCATTTGCTTAACTTACCTGCTGTAAAAGAGCAAACACATACGTGATCCTTCTTTATTAAAATCAACATCTTAAAAGTCCTTAGCTTTGGCTATACCAAGGATTTGGAACCTGTGACCCTCCAGATGTTGTTGGACTCCAACTCATTACCCCATTCAATGTTGATGAGAGTTCTAGTTCAAAACATCTGGAGGCACCAGGCTTGCCATCTCAGGCTAGACTGTGCAGACATTTTCCCCTATTTTCTGAGAAACATGCAAAATAGGAAAACAGCCAGCCCTGACACAGGAGCTTAGGGGCACTTTTTGTGGAGTCACCTAGCTTTTGAATAAGTACAGAGTGCTGAGCTTTGAAGAATAGCAGGCTAATCTGCACAAAAGCAACAAAGATTCCCCAAAACACAGGGAACTTACAAGGCCAGCTTTAAACTCAGGAAGTTGTTGAATCATGTTAACGCATACCTCATTTTTATCTTCCTCTCCATCAGATGTACATTTTTGATTCGTGAGAAGATCAAACAATATAAGTGATCCTAAGAAAAGAATACAGTCAGTGTCTTGGCGGAAAGGTCATAAATATAACATCTAGGGCACCGCAAATGTCTCGTCTTCCCTTTCTAGGATGGAGCTAGTTATCGTCTGTAAGCTTGTGATTTAACTCCCGGCCCACCTTTTTTAAATAAAATGCAATTATTGAGGCTGAGATTAGGAAGAGGGAGACTGACAGGGAAAACTGCCTTTGTATACCTTTCACCACCGGAAATCCTACCCCCAAGCTGCTTTTTCTCCCCCAGAGGAAAATATGTGGCAGTGTTCTTTCTCTTTTTCTCTTTCCCCTTTGAATTGCAACCTCAGCAGTGTAGTTTGTTTCATTAAATCATTATATTTGCACCTTGAGTACAAAAAGAAGAATAAAAGGGGAGCTACACTTATTAAAAATTGAGAGAGGTACAAGGCTTCAAAAAAAGGAGAACAAATTAAGCTTATTGCAGCTTTATTCAGCGTTCCTATTAGCCTCTAAATTCCTTGAGGCAAGATGTTGGTCAGATGTTATCAAGTAGGAGGAGCCCCTGCCCTCTTTGGGCACTAACATCTTGTGTTTGTTGGGACTGATGTCCTGATGTAAGTAACACAGGGCAGGTGGGCTACTCCTCTGTAGCCCCTGAGGATCTGCCAAGCGAAAAAACAGCAAAGGAGGGCTGAGAAGAGAACATTTCTAGAGCATTGTACTCCCAGGACCTCCAACAGTCTCCTCCACTGAGACTTCTGAAAGCTGGGAGCTTCTGGTACTGTTTCTCCCATCGTGCTCCAAATGAAAATTGTCTTACATGGTAGCCATTACTTAAAAACAGCAACAACACTATGGCATGGCATGTTTGGCCTTCAGCGGATGCATTTTATATTTAAAAAGAAGTCTGTTAAAATAATCATGGAACTAAACATCACATGCAGCTCTGCTCTTAATCAGATTTTTTAAAAAAAGTTTAAACTTTAGACTGTAAAATGATAAAGGTTTTGAAACATTTGAAATAAAAGCCAGAGGAAGCTGCTCTGGAAGTCTGATTTCTGCACTAACAAACCCTCTCAATCCCATGACCTCATGGGGGGAAATGCATTTAAAAATTGTTGTTGTTGTTGGAAAGTGGAAGAGCGAAGAAGTTGGATATTGCAATGAAAGATACTAAACAGAAATATATTCACATTTTATTTATTTCCATGTATAGAATGTTGGAGTTCTGGTTGGAGATTTTTGAGACAGATTTTGAATGTAATTCAGCCTTTCCAAACCTGTATGCAGCCAGCAGCTGATATATCTGAAACTTAGTCACAATAGCCACAAAATGAGTTATTTGCTTGTGAATGGCTGCTTTGATTGGCAACCTATCTTTAAATGGGAGTGAAACCTTATGCTCTGAAACTATAGGACTGGGGGGAAATGGAGTAACAGGTTACAAGGATACAAAACATGTTGTATTCCAAGACACAAATGTCTCCATTCAATTAAGGTACTAGAAAAGGAAATGGGAAAAGGGAATTTTGACCATATACCTTTACGTTGTTCAGGGATAGGTGACCTGGTCAGGTCCCACAGAAAGAACACCTCTGTGAGGAAGGATGCGATGATGATAATAATATAATAAATAAATAAACATGTCTGCATGCATCAAAATAAGAGAAAGGTATATATACCTAAGCTGTGACCTGCTATTGAGACTCCCCCTTTAAAATCAGGGTTCCTCTCCAAGAAGAGCAAGTAGATACGGTTCATTTCTGAAGCAACTGTGTCCACAATGGTCTGGCAGTAGGTGGAGCTATTATAGAAGAAAACATCTAGGATGGTGTCATTGATGAAATGACGCAGGCGATTGATGCTTGGCAAGGTGATTCTCTCCAAGTCTCTGTAAACAAAACAGAGAAGGGCATGTAGCCTTCCAGATGTTCTTGGCCTCCACTGAAGCTTTGTTATCCTACACAGATACCTGATCTTAGAAACCAGATAAAAATAAAGTTTGCCTGTGAACAGTACAAATCCAAGTACTGCACTCTGTACTCCAGTGGCTACACTTGCTCACTCAGAAGCAAGCCCCGTTGAATTCAGTGGATTGCCAGGACACAAGACTGGGCTACAACTAACCTGATGTTAAAATCCTCAGCAAACACAATGTCAATGAAAGTAAGATGGAAAGGATCTTTGAAAGACCTTCCTTTGCATCACTGTATTCTAAAGCAGTGTAGGGAACCTTTCCCAGCCCAAGGTTCACATTCTTCCAGGGAGTATAGAGTATAGAAGTACAGTGGTGCCTCGCAAGATGAAATTAATCCGTTCCGCGAGTGTCTTCGTCTAGCGGTTTTTTCGTCTTGCGAAGCAACCCTATTAGCGGCTTAGCGGATTAGCGCTATTAGCGGTTTAGCGGCTATTAAAGGCTTAGCGGCTTAGCGGCTTAGCTGCTAAAAGGCTATTAGCGGCTTAGCGGCTTAGAAAAAGGGGGGGGAGCGAAAAAATCTCAAGACTCGCAAGACATTTTCGTCTTGCGAAGCAAGCCCATAGGGAAATTCGTCCTGCGAAGCAACTCAAAAAGGGAAAACCCTTTCGTCTAGCGGGTTTTCCGTCTTGCGAGGCATTCATCTTGCGGGGCACCACTGTATAGAGTTGGAAGGGACCACTAGGGTCATCTAGTCCAACCCCTTGCAATGCAGGCATCTTTTGCCCAACATGGGGCTTGAACGCACGACCCTGAGATTAAGAATCTCCTGCTCTACAGACTGAGCTATGTCAGAGCACATAGCTAGTTGTGGGCAAGGCCAGAGGCAAAAGTGGGAAGAGCAACAAGTGTGAATTCTACTTTTTGTACAGTAGGCTAATTTCTACACATCCCTCTCTATCCTCCATCCAGGCAAGCAAGAAACATTTTCAGAGTTCAAAAATATAGTCTACCCAGGCAAAAGCAATCAATCAATCAATTTTTATTACGGCAAACAGCCAGCATAAGCACTCATGGATGGTGCAAAAGCATGGTGTGGCCTGGAGAAAGGGTCTCTAACCGAAGAGAGTTCCAAGGTCAGAGAGGTCAGAGAGGCCCCATTCAGCCCCCGGGCTGGGGGCTTCCCGGTCCCTATTTTGAAGCAATGTTTCCCAATACAGGCTGTCTAATACTAGAACAAAGAAGCCTGGGGAGCTGCCCAGTTTTCCAATTAACCCTTCATTAAGCATATGCATGGGACAGGTAGGCAGACAGATTGCAAGACCTGATTATAAGGTGTAGTGTTTTGTTTCCATCCTCCAGGCAGAACAGGGTTTTTGAAAGCAGCTCTATTTCTCCAGAGGATTAAAGCAGGAGTGGGAGATGAAATACTTGGCAAAAAGTTTACCAAAGAGGATTTGCTGGATCCTTCAAGCAAAAAGTTACAAACAACTCCCTTGTTCCGGTGCTAATTTACTACAGGAGGGTTGTAATTAGGCACTCATTTGCTGAAAATAAATGCAAGTGCCTCCATAACCATTGCCAATACAGAGATTGATCTAGGAGATTGTGGGAGCGGCACTGGGCATGTAAAAAATTTGAATAGGGGGCAACTATCTTCTGATTCCTTATTTGCAAGGCTGTTCTAGAGCAAAGTAGCAACAGCCAACTTAAAACACCATTTTTGGACACGCTGAACAGGATTAGGGTATGCCCAAAGTCCATAACATGCACTTCCCTTTCTGTCTCCACTGCTTTGTCATTATTACCAGGCATGGCAGCTCACACCCTGTAGGAAATAGGAGTATTATCATTATTTAATAAATCTCTATACTGCCCTTCACCCAAAGATTACAGGGTGGTTTGCAATATAAAAACACAAAAATAAATACAGTGGTGCCTCGCAAGACGAAAAGAATCCGTTCTGGGAGTCTCTTCGTCTAGCGGTTTTTTCGTCTTGCGAAGCAAGCCCATTGATGGGATTAGCGGATTAGCGCTATTAGCGGCTTTTAGCGGCTTTTAGCGGCTTTTAGCGGCTTTTAGCAGCTTATCAGCTTATCGGATAAGCAGATAAGCGGCTTAGCGACTTAGAATAAGAGGGGGACAGGGACAAAAACCACCCAGGAACTCGCAAGACATTTTCGTCTTGCGAAGCAAGCCCATAGCAGATTCGTTTTGCGAGGCACCTCCAAAACGGAAAACTCTTTCGTCTAGCGAGTTTTCCGTCTTGCGAGGCATTCGTCTTGCGGGGCACCACTGTAACATAGTAACAAACAAAAAAACAATAACCGCCCCCAACAGTTTAAAAGGCCATGGATTGTTTAATTAGCCAAAGGCCTGGAAGAAGAGGAATGTTTTTGCCTGGCACCTAAATATATGCAATGAATGGGGAGAGCATTCCACAGTTGGGGAGTCACTGCAGAAAAGGCCTGTTCTTGTGCTGCCACCCTCCAGATCTCTTGTACTTTGGCAAACTCTAGGCTGTCAGCATACAATGACTGGCAGGCTTGCTGGGAACACTCTTGGTTCACTTACACATCTACTCCAGTATGTAAAGTACTGTGCCAGTTCACTGGGAGGAATTCTACTCGGCCAATCTGTTGCTGCTCCTGAGCGTTCTTGAAGTGGGCAGGCAGCATACTCAATGAAACATTGCGGAAGTCATTGACTGTAAGAAAAAAAATCAATTCTGCATCAAGGCACAGAGCAACCACCCCACATTGAGGGCCCGACTAGATGTAATGATGGGATATGGATAAACAGATCTCCCACGTTTTTCCAAAATAGGAACATCCATTGTGGGGGGCAGGGGTGGGTGGAAAAGAAGGAAGGAGTATTTAATAAATTCCCCCTGCTCTGTTTTCCAAATCTGGACTGCACCCCAAAGCTGCTATTTGACTGAGGAGAAGGAAGATACACAAATATCATATTATACTTGTACATCCCCCTATCAGTGGGTCAAATAGCAGCTAGGAAGGGGATTCAGATTGGGAAAGCAGAAAAAGAGAAAGGGGCTAACCCCCCAACCCCTCAGGCCCAACCTCATGTCAGGGCTTCTATCTTTAGAAAAAGAAGATGAAGGAGGGGAGATCTGATCATGGATGTCACAGCATCTCATCTGATATGTACCCAAGGAACTTATTAAGTTTATACATATTTAATTCAACAGTTCACATGTGGAAACTCAGTGTGTTAATCCATTTCCTGATTTCGTGTTTCTACATATACTGCAATCAGCTTACAAAGCTCATGGAGCATAGCATTTGGGAATCATAGCACTGGCCTGTAATTGTAACAGGGTAACTTCATACTTTTTGAGATATAGCCCTTCCAAGAAGCATTTTACCCATCTTATATTGCAAACCAAGATGAACTGGAAACCAAACATTGACAGACAGCTTTGCACCCAAGGTTAACTTCTGAAAAAATATACTCTCTTGTTTTCCTAAAACTAGTTTTGTTGCATATTGAATCATATGAAGATGCACCTTTTTACCCTGGTCTCTGACACCCAAAATTATATGGTTTAGGACCCACCCTATTTGGATTCTAAATTGTTTTAACCAATTTTAATACTGTAGTTTTACACTGTTGTAACCTGCCTGGGTTAAGCCATTTAAGCACTGCAGTGTCCTTCATCATGACCAAGGAGGAGCTGCTGCTAGGCAAGTCCTGTTACAGGGAAGAGACTGCTGGAACCATAAGGGGCAAGCAAGACATTCCCAAGGCAGTTTACAGTTAAAATAGAAATACAATAATACAGCAAGACAGTAAAATGAATACAACAAAACAGCAGCAATCGAATCTTGGTCATATTAAATTATTATTAAATATATAATAAACCTAAAAAGCCTCAACGGTGTGTAGCCTGTTCACACCAAACAGGCTGGCACTGCAACTGTATTTTATTGAAGAAAAATAAAAGCCACACATCAAGTCTGCAAACACACAATGGGTAATGCAGAAAACACAAGAATTCAGCATTTTTGCAATGATGACAACTGGATTTCTCATAAAAAGAAAGCGAGCAAAGGTTGGCAATTCTAGAAAAACCCCTAGTGCAGAAGCAACCTAGGACACAGTAAGCCCCAGTGATTTGTTACATCTGTAAACTACATTTGTGTTTTATGCAACTTTTGCATCCATCTTGATTACAAAGCAAGATCAAGCAAAGCTGTACTAGTTGCAGAATAAAGTGCCCTAAGGTGAAAGGATTTTGAAGAACTTTTGCATCTATACTCTATTTTTTAGTACCATCACCAGTTTCTGTTGAAAGTATCTCAATTTCCAATGTAATTCCCAGTGCCAAAGAGAACTTATATGTAATAAACATCTGTAAACGACATTCTCTAGAGACTCTTTTGGCCCACTAAGCCTTGCAATTTTCCTATTTCAACGTTGATGGGAAGAGAATTATATATAATTTAAGGCTGCTGTAATATGGAGGAAGTACTGTACTAGTTTAGTTTGGATATATCCTCCTTGGCAATCTTAGAATCATTAGCCAATTGATCTTGTGGACAACTTGCTTCTCCATCTCAAACAGAATCAGTCTGAGTGACTTTCTAGTCAAATACAGTCATCAGTTAATTTCCTCGTCATATGAACAAAACATATATTCAGCCTTACACTCTAGCAAATAGCTGATATTCACTGGACCAGTGGGCTCTGACATCATCAGTTTTAGATTCCACTGCTATTGTTTTTATTGTATTCATTTTACTGTTTCTGCTGTATTGTTCTATTTCTATTTTAACTGTAAAGCTGCCCTGGGAATGTCTCTCTGAAAAGTGGAATACAATTAAATAATATATAATGGAATAAAATGGTTATAAATACATCGCAATAACTCTGTCTGTACAACAGACCCACATCTTTTGTGGACCTCCTGGGATGCAGAACCAACAAGTATCTTTTATACTGCAGACTTACCGCACTGAACAATACTCCGGAACCGAATATCACATGCAGGTCCAATTCCATGAACAACAAAAACCAAATGGTCTATCTGCAAAGGTTCCCCTGAAATAAATAGAAATTGCATACTTATCAAGACACTATTTTCAAACGGGAGTGACATTCTCTCAAAATGTAAGATTTGGTCCTGGCCCCCCCCCCCCACAAAAAAAGCTTACATTTTTCAAAGAAAAGTTATGGATTCTATACTTGAGCTAAATCAAATATTTGATTATGCTTTGGCTTCCCTAATTTTTTAAAAATAAAAAAAAATATTAATAGATAAAATATATATACAGTGGTGCCCTGCAAGACGAATGCCTCGCAAGACGGAAAACCCGCTAGACGAAAGGGTTTTCCGTTTTTCGATGCGCTTCGCAAGACGAATTTCCCTATGGGCTTGCTTCGCAAAACGAAAAAGTCTTGCGAGTCTTGCGATTTTTTTCGCTCCCCCCTTTTTCTAAGCCGCTAAGCCTTTAATAGCCGCTAAACCGCTAATAGCGCTAATTCACTAATAGGGTTGCTTCGCAAGACGAAAAAACCGCTAGACGAAGAGACTCGCGGAACGGATTAATTTCGTCTTGCGAGGCACCACTGTATTATAAACGTGCCTATTTACTTTTCAGTAGTAGTATAACATCTTTAAGAATTATGTTCAAGTTTGGGTTTGGTTTGGTTTGGTTTGAAGCAAGGGCAGAAGTACCAGGCAGTTTTCTAATCATTTTAGTCACATCTGTTTATCCTGTTTAATGAACAATCCCTGTGTAAAATCATATCAAGAAAGAAAAAGCACGTAAGTTTAAAATAAGCAAGGGGGGGGGGGACGCGGGACGCATGTCATTACCATTAGGAATTTCAGCAGAAATATTTTCCACTCCTCTCTTCACAGTTCTTGGCCGGCCTTGCTCTGTGGGACTTGCGCCCCAGTCATCAGTGGTTGTTACTGGGTGGTAATGTACCATCAACTTGAAAGGACCACAAAAATAAAATATGTTAGCACTACATAAGTAGGAGAAACAAACCACAAAGCAGAGACAATCAATTTCAAAGGTGGGTAATAATTTAAATGAATCTCCCAAATATGGGCATGCAGGAATGCTGGAGGAGAGGCAGACATTCTCCTCTCCCGGTGCACACTCATTTTATTTATTTGGAAACTTTATCTACTGCTCATATTTACGCAAATCTCTAAGTGGTTTACAACATAGATTAAAACATTTTTTTCCAATGACAAATACAAAGAATGCCAGAAAATGTCCGCATTCTATCAGAGACAATTAAGAAATAAGCAGAGCATCTTCTTTAGCATCAAAATAAGCATTACATAGAAAAATTAGCTACAAAAATAGAAGGAAAATGCCACATTGTGGAATACAGTACATAGCTAATAAAAATACCCTTTAAACATAGGAAATGAAATATTACAAATGAAAACCAACTAAAAATATATAAATTCCACATTTTAAAACAGCATGATTGACAGCTAGACAAAAGAAAAACCACCTCCCATTTGCAAAATACCATATCCCCATTGATCATATAATTAAGCAATTAAATTCCCAACAATAAGCACAACATAAATTACAGCTAAAAATACCTTCCATTTGGTTCTTCTCAAGCACACCTTTTCATGATCAATACACTCACATCAATTCAGCATATACCAATATATGCATGCCTACCATTTTGACACTCCCTCAAATCATACTCTCCACACTCAGAAACCACAGGCATAATTCAATCTCACACCTTCAAACAACCCACATGCATGTCTACACCATAAAACCCAGAAAATGGGTAGAATATAGAAACTCCTTTCTCCAAATTTCTAACAGACAAGGCAATAACACTTCACCTATTCTCCCCTCTAGAAATGAACTTTTCTTTTCACAAGTTCCTGATTTCCTGAAACAGAGTCAAAACTGTTTATTAAAAGATAAACGATGCTTGTAATACTTGAGAGGCACAAAGAGCAAACTTTTAAATTTCACTATACCTTTGGGTTATGCAATATGATGATTTCTCTGGTCGGAGACTCCAGTTTCTTTTTCCACTCATCTAAGGTGACACAGATCATATAGGTGTCCTGAGAAGAAGAAGAAAATCTTTAAAGAGTCAAATATATGTCTTTAAAAAAAATTAAAAAATCTATCAAAGCACAATCCTATGCATATTTACTCATCTTTAACTGGACTACTATTCTGAGAGCACAATATACAAAATTAAATGACTAGAATCAGTTCCAAAACTATAGTTTGAAGAACCAAGCCAATAAAGTCCTAATTAGCCTCTCAATACATGCCTTTGGTGGGGTGGGGGGGGACACCTCAATCGAGACTATTAAGAGAAAAAGCAAAATATGTAGGTATTTTATTGTCTGGGAGATGGTGAGGCAGCCATGAGGGAACAATCACCAAGAATGCATGTCTATGTCCTTACAATATAAATCTGGGGGCCAAACAAAATACAGCATCAGGCAATTAGGTCTTCTGCTGTAACTGACATTATTATCAACTGAGGGGAGAGATGATTAGAAATGTAGAATGGTGGGGGGGGGGTAGCCTTTCTCCACACACACCATCACCTTGGCCATTTGACTTGTAGGTGAAAATTTACAGATACCGGTATCATACATATAAGTTTGAGCTCCCATGTCGTTTTGCAAAGTTACAAAACTTGGCATATCCAAGATCAAAAAGACTTGCCAAAAATGGAAACATTACAATCGGGGTATGCCTGGTCCTTGCCGGAGGCAGCAGTTATAATTTACAGTTACCTCTAGCTCTTCACTGAAGCTTTCAGGGTATGGAATATATCTGTTGTCTTTGTCCCCCTTGTAAAACCAAGTGCAGCGCCTCACTTCAGATTCATCTTCTTCCCAGTAAACAGCATAGCGTAACCTCTTCTTCAGATGTACATCGTATCTTCCCCCCTCTGTTGGAACAACTAGCTCATCACAGTACTTGCCTGCAAAACAAAAGGACTACTATAAAGCAGGAATTAAACCCAAGATAAGGGGACACCTGACCTCCACAGCCACACATTATTAACGGAACTTTGTAAAAAGGAAAAGCAGGGCTAAAACCAGATTCTAAAAGAATAAGTAGCCTATTTATTTTATTTTTTTGCTTCCTACAAAATATGGTATCTAATGCAGAATTCAGAAGACTGCAGCTTTATTCTTTAAAGCAAGTGCATCATCTTTGTAGTTGACAAAATAGCTATGAAAGCATACCAAATAATGTTTACAAAATGATAACAATTTGTGGATAAATTCTGTATGTCCAGCATATTTTCCTGTCCTTCCCCAGGGACCTGCTGTTAAATTTCTCCACTCATTTCTCACACATTTACTTCCAGCCACCAACACTCGCAACGAAGTACAATTGTAGAAGGTAGGTCATTTTTTATAATTCCCTGCTTTTGAAACACTCCCTCTGATCCCTTGGTATTCACAATTATACTGCAGATCATAGTCTTCAGAGTCACTTAGTTAATAAGCCACTATATTAGTAAATCACTGGCTTTCTTCCTTGTCCTATACCAGAAGAACTTTGATACATCCAATGAAATTGATTGGCAACAGATTTATGATGGACAAATGAAAAGTACTTATTTGCACAACACAAAATTTATAGCATGCACTGCCACAACATATGGCAATGACTATATGGAGTTGGGGAAATTTATGAAGGCTACCTCTGATTTTTATGCTTCCCTGCTTTCTGGGCTTCCCAGGTGTATCTGATTGGCTACTGTAAAAAACAGAATCCTGGGCTAGGGGATTTTTGGCCTAACCGAGTGGGGCACTTCTTATAATCTTAGGTGCAAAATAGCCATCAAATTAATTAAATTCATTGGGAGTATATCTCATTGAACTCAATGGGACTTATGTATGAGTAGTGACATACATAGGATTGTACTATAAGGGTGGCCATGACAATGGGTTTCTGGCTGGAAACGCTCATATTTCAAACCCAGTTTCAAGTCGTCATCTGATGATTTAGTATTTGAGTGAACCATGCAACCACGCCAGTCAGAGAGATTATTTTCAAGGAAAGATGACTTAGAATTGGATATAGTCATATTGTAGGAAACCTCTGAACACCACTAATGCAACAGAGGATACTGGGAAAGATTGCTAACTAATAAGGCTTAGTGTTAAAGGATAGCTCCCACCTCCCCAGCATTTCAACTTACTGGATTTATGAGCATTTTCTAACTTCTCTGAATCTTGTCCACTGAAGGGAATCCACCTCTCTCTTGAATCTACTACCTTGCAATAAAACCAATGAGGGCAAACTGCCTCATATTTATTGGCTGCATCTGTTTCCAGTGCTTCAGATGAGCTGGCTAAATTAGGCAATGGAGAAGGCTCTGTCGGTTGATGCTCTGCTGCTGACATTGCACTGCCTGGAAGAACACAAGACAGGAAACAGAATATGGTTTAAAATACCTACAGTTTATTTGATAGCAATGAATGAAAAGGTTACGTAGGAATAAAAATGACCCCAGACAGCACAGTTTCTGAGAAAATGAGCAAGATAAAATTGTAAATTGCTACAAATGAGCCAACAGCAACCACACTGACATCAAGCCTCTCAAACCAAATCAAACTTACAATTTGGACTGCAACTTCAGCACAAAGCAATTCAGTGGGACCACTAACTAAACATCTAAGAGCCCACAACTGCATCAGAACTACTTTCCCTTCTGCAGCTTTATAAATTATTTTTAAATGCATCATTCTAAAATTCATGGACAGGCATATTACCATCCCTTTGAATTACACCTCCACATCTGAGAACCAGAAGAGAAATTATAACTGAATGAAAATAGGTAAGTGAATCAAAATACAAATGAAAATAAAAAGAACTACATCACTCGCAGACAGGTAGGAATCCCCACCTAACTGACATGAAAATGTACCCCAAATGATAATTTAAATAAGATACTTACAGCCACAGAATCCTAACTGCTCAGTCTTTACTCTACTACAGGGTGGGGAACAGGTTTTATTGCTTTAAAGAGACCCTAGGCGCTTGCTAACACATTAAATTTCAGTCTTGGATATACATAATGATAATTAAATAAGCTAATATTAAGACATTTTGACTTCTTGCAGTTGCGAACTATAGATGCCTTCACATATTCAGTTTTGTGATGGTTTTGCCTCCACATGGCAAAACACACTAACCTGTCACAAGGCAATTGTTCAAAAATATTTCTCCAGAAATCTCCAATAGAGACAATGGTTTCAATGCACATATGGACAGTGACAACTAGACTGGTGCTTTCAGCATCAAAAACAGTAAGCTAAACAAAAATATGAATAATGATCCTAGTCCTTGCATAAAATTGTCAGAAGGGTACGAATTAGACATGCAAACACTGCTCCAAATTCTTAGTCAGCAAAATAACAACACTTTGGTCCCTGTGAGGCAGTGACCCCATCTCCTTTTAATCACAGGGTATTTACTACTAAGCACCCAGATACCAAATACAAAAGCCACAAGCTTAACCAATCATTTCAGCACATGCTTCCAGTTTCATAATACTGGTTGTGCCGAGCAACAAACAGCAAATGTGACAGATTCCCCTTAGGAAGAAGAGGGGGCTGGATAAACACCCATCGCTACAAAATGAGTTGTGCACACAGCTGCTCCCAGCCATTACTGACGCTACGGATGCCACGTTCCAAGCCCTGCTGCCCCCCTGATCCAGTAACCCACTGTTGCCCTTGTTAGTCTAAAGGCCACCCTGTCCTCCTCAGCACCCGCCACCTCCTACCTAATCCCTGTACCATCTGTAACCAAGGTTTCTCCTACCTGGTACCCAGCCTTTGAGAACACCTTACAGGAAGGACCCAGGCTGTCTTTCAGCTTCTTGACACCCAACCAATCGCAATCCATTTGATGGTCCCCTGACACCATCCCTCCCAAAAATAAAAATAAAATATGGGCACTTGGACACTGGGCAGCCCCCTCCCCCCAGACCACTGCTGGCTGGGCAGGTATTGATAACCTCCTCCTGTCCGTTACACCTGGGGTGGCAGGTGCAGGGCTCAGGTAAACCTGCGTCTATCTGCGTGTGCAGGCACACATCCTTCCCCTGCCACCACATGGGCATCGATGGCCTCCCCGCCCCACAGAAACACACACGTCCCTCTCCATCCTGTCACTCCCCGCAGGAATCCATGACATTTTGCATCCCCGTCCCCCCGTCCCTTTTTACCCATTGCTGGCGAACCCGCCTGGACATCAGGCGCAGCGACCGCAGAACGGACCGCGAGTCCCCGCCCTCGCCGACACGCATTCGCTGAACGTCCGAACGGGGCTCATCGTTCCACAAGCCACGGGAGGCTGCGGATCTGGCCCCCAAACCCGCCCCGCCCGCCCCTCTTCCTCCTGACATCAGGGAGGTCAGAAAGTCCCCTCCTTTTCCATGATGTACAGCGGAGGCGGCAGCAGCATCCCCTTCGCCGCCCCTTCCGCCGAAACACATCGCCTCAGAGAGGCGCCGCGCTCGGCCCTCCGCCCCGGGCTCGCCTGTCGCGAGCAGCCCCAGCCCGTCCTCCCCGCCGCCTTCCTCTCGCACTGACCCCGGGCGCCCAGGCCGCGACGTGTCCTCGCCTTGCCGCTTCGCCGGCCGGCTGAGCTGTCGGCGGAGAAGGAGGAGGCTGGCTGAGGCGAGGCGGGGCCGCCTGGGGCGCGCGAGGCAGGCCGGCTCTCCTCGCAGCCCGCCTCCCACTGGGCCGGGCCTGGCCGGCCTGGCCCGCCTTCCGCCGCGAGCCTTGAGGGGCCTCGCGCCTCGGCAGCGCCCGGCGGGGGAGGCTCTTCGGAGAAGGAGCGCGGGGAGAAAGCAAGGCCCCGCCTCCGCCCTCGGGTGTCTGTGAGAGGCCGCCGAGGAGCCCCGCGCTCAGAGCCTCCCTTCGCCCGGCGAGCGGGCTGCGCGCCCCTCGGCCCGCCGCGCTACCTCACAGGGTTGCTAGGAGGAGGAGGAGGACGCAAGAGGAGGCCCAAGGCCGCTCTCGCCCTGGCCAGACGGATCGTTTTAAGACCCCGCCTTTGTTATCCCAAGGAGCTCAAGGTGGCGCAGTGACCCTCACAGACAACCCTGCGAGGTAGGCTGGCCTGAGGTAGCCCGACCAGGTGGGGATTTGAACCCAGGTCCTGACTGCGCCACAGTGGTCCTGTGGCGCATATGGGGAAGCCCGTCAGGAGGACCTGCGCACGGAATAACACTCCCAACTTGCGATTCCCAGTCCCTGACATGGAGAGACATACTCAGGTAGAACCTAGCCACCAAGAGCCTTAAGAATAAAAGGCAAGAGGGAGAGTAAACTGTGTATTTTCCCTGTTACTGGTTTTTAGTGGAGAAGGATATGGTGTTCTTCTCTTAATACTAGAACTGAGAGCCATTTAGGACTGGCAGAAGGAAGCAATTCTTCATACAGCACATTGTTAAAACGATGGAATTGGCTCCCGCAACATTTAGTGACAACCACCAACTTAGATGGCTTTGAAAGAGGATTATACAAATTTATGGACAATAAAGCTGTCGATGGCTGCATTGTCATGGCTGTGTGTTACCTCTTGTATCCGTGCTTCTGAATATTTGTTGTTGGCATTCACAAGTGGGAGAGTGCTGTTATGGTCCCATCCTGCTTCTGGAGCTTTGCATAGACACCTGGGAAGCTGCTGTGTTCTGCAATTGCTGTTCTTCATTCAATAAGCTTTACTCCCAGGAAGTGCGTAAAGGACTTCAGTCTTATGTTTATATCCTTCCCTCCAAGGAGCTCAGGGCAACATATTTTTATGGGGGGGGGGGTATATACCATCCAGTTAATCATTCTCCACTGGGCAGTTCACAAATTAAAAGCAATCAAATACAAATACAAGCAATTGACAGCTGAAACAATGCAGAGGGCTGCATCAGCACAAAATTAGCATACAACCATATGGAACTGGGGAAGTTCCATAACCAACAAGTCCTGTTACCCAAAGACAACCTATACTTCTGCTTCCAGAAATTCTGGTCCTAGTTTTTGCCCTTTGGACAATTCATTGTTAAAATGCTGATTGTAAGAGCTGCTAGACTTGGGTGCAGGATTTGACTCACTTAAGTCTTTGTGAGGGTGTGCATCTTGTCTCTGGCATGGGCCAGGGAGGGGGACATTTGGCCCTCCAAATGTTGATGAGACTGCTGGGGCTGATCAGAACTGGAGCCCCAACAGCTGGAGGACTGACTGCAGATTCCCCACTTCTGCACTGTTATACATAAAATGCATGTGTGTGCACAGCCTGCTATTATACATAGAAACTGAGCAGCCCTAATACTAAACAAACATAATGTGACTGACACTTAGACTTGTGTATTCCACTTCCCTTTCAGTGCTTCAAGGAAGAGAGCTGGAACATCTCTATTTTCAACTAACCACATTTTGTCCTTTCATCCGAACCAGGACAAAATGATTAATGTACACTGGTTTGTTGTAACAAAATGTGATTTCTGGTCCTACTTGTTTCAGCTAAATCTTCATTAAAACTAACCACAGTTGGACCCAGTTAGACAAAATAAAGTGCACTCAGTTGAAAACATTAGTAGATACCTTGACTGCTTCCTCGAAGTCACTCTGGAGGAGGGAGATAAGAACAGGCTTGTTCATGGTTTAATATTGTGTCCAAACCAGTTTATTACAGCTTCAGAGGTACATTGCGAATTGTTGGGAGCATAGGACAGTTATGCTCCCCCCTCCCCCCGCAATTGTGAGAGGGCTTTTCACTTATATGTTGGTTATTGGCTTCCCAAAAACTGGCCATTGTGGGAACAGAATAGCCTTTGGTCTGAACCAGCAGGTCTGTTTTTCTTTGCTTGACCAAAAGAACATCTCACTTGCTGAGCTTTTAAATCCATGGAAGACAGGAACCATTTGAGGGCATTCAAATGGACAAGGAACGTGTGTGTCCTCTGGCATATCACCATCAAGTTTACAGCCCTCTATGAATTTCAGGGCAAAGGTCTGTGACAGAATGTCTCCTTTACTCATAGAGGGGCCCTGATTGCATTTTGGACCTTTGCCCTTATACTGCAGAGCTGTAAATAGGATGGATGATGGTCATGCTTTGGAAAGGGTGGGGCTTAGCCGATTCTCCCTTGCTTGTTTGTATGATTGTTTGCACATAAGTAGGGATGGAAGGATCTGTCAGTTCCACATTTTTCCCATCTTAAATTCGGTTTCCACATTTCCGCAGCAATTTGCTAAAGAAAGAAAGAAATCCTCATGAAACTGGTATCATTTTAGTGCAAAATTCTCCTAAACATATCCATTTTAATGCAGTTTCCTCTAATAAAGGCATTTTTATAAACATTGGTTGGTTGGTGACGTACATTACAAAATTTGAATAGGTGTGTATTTCAGAGGATGGCTCTGTTTTATTTCTGCTGTGCAGATTTGGTAGAGTCATATTTAAATATGATCTGAATCAAATTTCTCCTTACCCTAACACTAACCCATGTGTAATCTGAATGCTACAGTAAGGCGTTTTTTCCAAGTAAACCAATACAGCAGGCAGAGAACCACTTTCTGTAACATGGCATTCAAGGGAGAAGCCTAGGCAATAATTTTAGTGTAGAAAGTGAGATGTTGCAATCACATCCCCATTTTTGTGGAATGTTGGGGTGGTGTGCAGCTGTTGCTTTCATGTACTGCCATAGGCTTTCAGGTAGAATTCATTGGCCTGGTGTGGAAAACCAAAGCTCCATCCCAAATCGGAGATGCAGATTTGGAGACGGGTTATAGCACTGTGGTAGAGCATCTATTTTGGATGCATAAAGTCCCAGGTTCGATGCTCAGCATTTCCAGATTGGTTTGGGAATGTCACCTGCCTGAAACATTGGAGAGCTGCTGTAGACAATACTGACCTAGATGGACCAATAGGTCTGACTTGGTATATGGCATCTTCTGGGTTCTATCCAATGTTTGTTCTACTCAGAGTAAACCTGTTGAAATTTGTGGACTTAAATTAGTTATGTCCATTAGTTCAATGGGTCTACTTTGTGTAGAACTAACATTGGGTACAAGCCTATTTCCCTAAATTTTAGGACAGCTTGGGAGTCAGAGGCAAAGTCTGGTTCGTGCCATCAGGACTTAGTCTTAGCTAAAGAGTTACGGCAGGATTAAGGTACCAACACCCACAATCTGTTGACAAGAACAGATAGGCTAAAACAGGCTTGGTCCAACATCAGCATAATCCCTAATATCACCACCACCCTTCTCTTAGGAAATTCCCTCAAAGTTTCAAAAAAATAACTGCAGTAAGTTAGTTACCTCATTGTTGACCCTTCATATACTTTAAACTGCTGACAAATACAGCTTGCACCACACATTGTTATTTCTGATCCGTGGAGCCCATTTTAGAAAGAAATGCTTTGCAATTTGATGCTAATCTTCCTTTTCCAACCACAATACAATTCACAACCCATCTAAAAATAGAACATTTTACCGTCTCGTCTCTGCCCAAAGTCCTACCAATGACAACTGTGTTGGACCTTATCTGCAAAGACAGAGAAGAGTTAATGGCTAACCAGACTATTACGTATTGCCTATACAGAATTTTTTCATGAGCTCCTGATATTTTGGGGATAGAACCCAACTCCAGCTAATCTGCATCCTTGGCATATAAAGGGGGCTCTGAAATTCAGAAAGGTGGATATTATCTGGGACCACATGCACACACATCCTCCATTAGAAGATTATTTGAAATCATCAGAAATAGTCAACAAAAAGGACACATTAGTTTTACTTAAGGTGTGATACATTAAAATATATATACATATTGATATATGATTGTATCCAACACTGGTCATACTTGGAGTAGACCCACTGAAATTAATATACAGTGGTACCTCGGATTAAGTACTTAATTCGTTCCGGAGGTCTGTTCTTAACCTGAAACCGTTCTTAACCTGAAGCACTACTTTAGCTAATGGGGTCTCCTGCTGCCGCCGCGCTGCCGGAGCATGATTTCTGTTCTCATCCTGAAGCAAAGTTCTTAACCCGAGGTACTTCTGGGTTAGCAGAGTCTGTAACCTGAAGTGTATGTAACCTGAAGCGTATGTAACCCGAGGTACCACTGTACATGGCTAACTTAGGTAGAGAGTAGCAGTTGTATACAACCTTTCTTCTACCTTTGCATGTACAAGATGTTTTTAATGCTGTTGGGTGGAATTAAGCCCAATCACAACTGCTCACTGCCTGCCTCTACCATCGCAAGTCTTAGTAGCAGAGCTCTGAACATTTCCCTCCCTAGTGACTGGACTAAATTGAACCTGAGGAGTAGAATAACTTGACAGGAAATGTTCTGTCCCTTCCTTGGACAGAGGTAGCTAGTCTTTTTTTTTTTTTTTAATAATATTTATTAATAATTTCAGAATTACAGGAAAAAAAATAAAAAACAACACTGCAATACATAAAAAGAGGAAAAAACGCAAAACATAAAAACCAATACAACGATACAGCAAAAAAGAAAATAAAAAAGAGAAAAAAAGACACAAATCCCATATTACATATCTTTAACTTCCATTTGCTTGTTTCGTTGACCTCCTCACACCTCCCTTTTTGTATTCTAGTTTAGTTAGTTATTTCAGCAAATTCTTTCCATCTTTCTCAATTTTTATTAAATAATTTATCTTAACAATTTAACCTATTAATTAACTCGGCAGATCATTTCCATCTTTCCCCATATTCTGTTATTCAAATTACCTTAATTTATTTAACCTTATCTTACCATAAAATACCTTAAAGCTTAAAACTTAATACTCAGTTATACTTAACTCCTGATATCATTTCTGCTAAAGTCATATAGTTTCATTCCAACATTTTCCCTAATATTCATTAATTTTAGGCTAATTCCCTAAATAAAAAATTTTCTTTATAAATTTTCTTCCAATCTTCATCCAACGTCTCTTCTTCCTGGTCTCGGGTCGTGTCAGTCCTTACTGTCCATTCCATCTAGTCCATCAACCTGGAAGTCTTATGTCCGAGGCCCTTAAGTCTCTTCCATGTCCCTTCTGCAGATCTTCTTCTTCTTGTTTATACTTGCACTTTTCCTTGTCTTTTGTTGGTCTCTTTCTTAATTTCTTTCCTTTCTCATTGAGGAGTAGGTCTCTGGGGGGTTCCAACCCAGAGTTATCTCCGTCTCCCTTCATCAAACCAACCCATTCCCCACAGTCCCACTCCCCACAGTCATCAATATAATCCAAAAAATATTTACGAGCATATTTCGAAGTCTCTCCAAAGTTAAAAGCCTCCTCAGCTCCAGACTCCCCCTGGCCGACTCCAACTTCAATCTTCAAAAACAGCGGCTTATGCTCCTGTAGGGCCTTGGGCCTCTCCATTTGTATTATTTGAGGTGCAACCGCAGCCTCCTCCATTATCCTCTGCACTTGCCCAATCAATACAGGTTCCTGAGTTGGATCCTGGATGGTTTCTGTATCACAATTCACTATTTGTCCACAGTTATTGGCCACAACAGTCATCAAATCCATTTTCTCATTCATCAAATCCATCTTCTCATGCATCTGTTCCAACAAAGCACTTGTCTTGCATAAAGCAAGCACCAAAACTTCCTTCCAGCTCATATTTAGTCAAGGTCAAAAGGACTAATCCCACGATCTTAATCTCACAGCTGTGGAATCCTCAAGTAGACTGCAGCAACAATTTAGCAGGCTCCCTCTAGAGGAGACAATTTCTATTTGTATCCATCTTTTTTTTAAGGCAAATCCAACAAAGGAAAATTACTTTCATTTTTCAGATATTTTGTTTCTTTAGAATGCAAAAGGCAACATTGGAATCAGTTTATTTCTCTTCTTCAGCTATCTGTCAAAGTATTCCATTCACAGTCAATGAACCTCTCCAACAATTTCTGTCTCTGACACCCCGTTCCCAGGTTAGAGACGGTGGAAACTTATCTTTCTTCACTCCCTCTCCTGCAGGCGTTACACAAAGTCCCCCCCCTTTTCTCCTGCTTCCAAGGGGGTTTCAGTAGTTATAAATGAAGGAAATTTAGGCTTTTTTAATGACTTTCCAGGCTTTAGCTTACAAGGTTTTTGCTTTAGTCTATATACAAAAAGCGGAAGGCGGACTTCCTGTTTTGAACCTTCCCGCTTCGATATCAAATTAAGATATTTCTTGATCCAATTTTCTGTTTCTACTCACGGGTACTTGTTTTAAGTCCAGTTGTCCACAGGAAAAAGTCAGCGCTCTCCGGCGATGGCTGTGCGGCTTCACTCCGTGAAAGTAGCAGTCAGTTCGCAGCACCGCGCTGCTCACCCCACTTCACTCCGGAATCCCAAAAAGGGGTTCCCCGTGAGTAGGGGGGGCGCTCCTGGTGCCCTGCCGAACCCCACGTTCCCAGGCTTCCTCCACCTGGGATTTCTAGCAGGTCCCCACATTCACCGCGGCGGGAAGACCCAGTTTCCACGGAGCCAGTTCCTCCGGTCGGAGGAACTCCGCCATTCGCCGATGGTGCTAACCCGTAAGTCCCAGAGGTAGTTAGTCTTTTGGGGCCTGAAAAGCTGCATTTGAGTCGGTGGAAGAAGATTGGAAGAAATTTAAAGACTACTTACAGAAATATTGTAAAATTAATGAATGTTAGAATGATGTCGGATTGAAGTTAAGTGGTTTCTAGCTGTAATGGTATAAAAGAATATGGAAAAATTGGTTTTTAATACGTAAAAATTTAATGTTATAATATATCAAGATTAAAGATCAGGATTAAAAAGGAGGGAAAGGAATTGCTGGACTAACAAACTGAATTGGAATACAAAAGAGGGTGGTATGAGGAGGTCCGGGAAATAAGTAAATGTAAGAGAAGTGATGAAAAGATGGAATTGTTTTTAACTGTTTTTTCTTTTTTTGTATTTTGTATTTTTCCTTTTTATTGTTAATTTTTCCTTTTTATTGTTAATTTTCTTATTAATGTAATCTCTTTCTTTTCTTTGAAATTTTAATAAACATCATTTAAAAAAAAAGAAGAAAAGCTGCATTTGTTCTTGGCTAACCTGCCATTGGCCTCTTGTCAGTGAAAGGTGAGACCAAGACTAAAGAGAGTGTGGAAACTCTCAAGCACACGCATACACACACACATCCAGGGGGCAGATGTTGAAAACTCTCAGCTCAGCTCATTACCATATGGGGATTAACTAGTCTAGGTGACTGAAGCAAAGAGGAGAACTGTTGAGGTGTTTCCCAATTTAAAGCACCCTAATGCGGATAGTTACTTTCCCGGTCTGGAGAGTTCTACAGGTCGTCAAGGACAAAGCAGCAAGTTAAAAATACGTAGCTAGGCAGACTTGTCTCCATAGTATACATCCCTTTGAGTCTCTGGCTGGAGTCTTGTACGTAAAACATAATTGTACTTAAATTGTGTTTCAAAGTTGGCATAAGTAGTGCCAGAGTTGCATTGAAATTCAGCGATACTGCCTTTTGACTAGGCTGGGTGGGGAACTTTTGGTCCTCCAACTGTTGGATTACACTCCCATCATTCCTGGCCTCTGGCAACACTGCTTGGGGCTGATGTAAGCTGGAGTCCAACATCTGGAGGACCAAGAATTCCTCATCCCTCTGTAGGCTGTGGTATTCTGTCTCTCTGAAATAAAAATTATGATTTTAAGTTGCTGGTCTACTTTTTATTATTGTAAAACCCCACCTCAATTTAGGAAAGCAGAATTGAAATTGAAATACTTTATTGTCACTTTTACAACTTGTATACAGTGAGATTACACGAGCACCCCCCACTCAGCTCTCTTAGTCTTAATTCCCCTCGTTTATTGACGCACACCCACCAAACCCAAAAGTCAGTTGCCCTGTTGTTATCTTTTCATTCAGCAGCCTAACATCCCACGGATAGAATCTGTTCTTTACCCTGTTGGTGAGACTAATCATGTTTCTATATTTTCTGCTCAAAGGCAGGAGATCAAGAAAGTGCCGGCCAGGGTGTGAATCATTCCGGAGAATTTTCCTCACTCTCCTGAGGCAATGTTCTTCCGTGATGTCATCCAGTGGATTCATGGGATAGCCCATAATATCTTGTGCTGTATTCACCACCCTCAGTAGGCACTTCCTATCAGTTGATGTCAAACCAGCGTACCACACCATGATGCAGTATGAAAGGACACTTTCTATTTTGGACCGGTAGAAGGAGCTCATCAGATGTTGATTGACATCATTCTTTCACAATACTCTGAGAAGATGGAGAATACAGTGGTGCCCCGCAAGACGAATGCCTCGCAAGACGGAAAAACCGCTAGACGAAAGGGTTTTCCGTTTTGGAGTTGCTTCGCAGGACGAATTCCCCTATGGGCTTGCTTCGCAAGACGAAAATGTCTTGCGAGTCTAGAGATTTTTTTTCCGCTTCCCCCCCCCTTTATCTAATCTGCTAAGCCTTTAATAGCCTTTAATAGCCTTTTAGCAGCTAATCCCCTAAGCCTTTAAGCCTTTAATAGCCGCTAAACCGCTAATAGCGCTAATCCGTTAAGCCGCTAATAGGGTTGCTTCGCAAGACGAAAAAACCGCTAGACGAAGACTCTTGCGGAACGGATTAATTTCGTCTTGCGAGGCACCACTGTACTAAGGATCTGCCCTCTCGGTTAAAATACTGGAACTATTACTCAGCAAAAAACATATTTGCCCAACTTGTGATTCTTAGTGTCCAAGACCAAAGTGGCAGATATATTCAAAAAGATGCCCATTTTTTCCTTCCATTGTATTTTTTCTTCTGATGCATCCTATCTAAAGTTGCATCTGCCACTCAGTCTTGTGAATCGCTTGATCAACATGGGATGCTAGATTTTGTCCTTCACCACAGGTTGATTTCTAAAATGTTTGTGCAGTGGCTGGTGACTTGGGAGTATACATACACTTCACGTCCAGCTAAGTGAATAACAGGGGTATTAAGAAGTAGGAGCTACAGGGAAAAAGGAAACGTATTTGTACCTCACATCTTCTAGATCAGTCAAAGGCTTCTTAAAGAGCAACATTTACAAGCAGTGGTTGCATTATTTTGCAACATGGAGGCAGGAGATAAACAGCCTTCAAATCTGGCCATGGCAATGACAGATGCCTTAGTTACATCACATCTGGATTACCGCAGTTCGCTCTACATATAGCCTTTGAAGTATTCTCAGAAATAACTTGTCCAGAATGTGAGATATATAATTTGGCATTGAATATCTGGCTTTTTTTATTGTATCATAATTTGGAATGTTTTAATGTGGTTTTTATTGGATTGTTAAAATGGAAAACTTAAAATTATAAAACAATGTGGCAGCCAAGCTGTTAACAGGAGCTGCAAATAGGGAGCATGTAATTCCCTTGTCCAGCAGCTGCACTGGCTTCCCATGTTTCTGGACATTAGTGAAAAGTGCTGGTAAGAAGTTTTAAAGGCCTGAACCATTTAGGACTGGGATATTCAAAGGGCCACCTCACATATGAGCCAACTTACCTTTTGAGATTATCTTCAGATGCCCTCTTGTGTATCCCAACCAGGGACAGAGGAGAAATGAGATTCACTTTGCAGTTAAAGGCAACTGCGTTCCCAGCATTCCCAGAAACAGGCTTAGTTGTGAACAAGGCAAGGGCTTTTTTCTGTAGCTGCACCTAGACTTTGGAACTCCCAATGGAAGCCCATCTCATCTCTTCTCTCATGGTCTGCTATATCCTTTATTATAATCTCAGCAAGTGTGTTGATGAAAGCTGTATTCCAAGACATCTAGAGGGCACCAAGTGGGGGAAGGCCATTGTAAGCTGTTTTACACTGCTGATTTATGGTTTTCCCTTGTTGTTAGCCACCTTGAGTTATTGAGAGGAAAGGCAGGAAATAAATCCATTTTCTTTCCACACACACCCAAAGGCAAGATGGGTCTTTACTTGACAGAAATTCAATGAGTGGCAAACTCATTGTACTAATACATACTGGCATGAAATTGATGTAAATGATGTCATAAAACCCTTGTTTACAAGGAACTGAAGACCAGCCAACAATGCACAATTTTCATGCCCTTTTCACTGTACTGCCACTTAGGGTTACTGCAACAGGGCTGTTGCATAAAAGGTACCAGTTAGTGCTAAGATGTTTCACTGCCATCCATTCATTCACAAAGGCTCATGGCTTTCAAAACAAATCAGTCTCAGACCAGTTTTTGGCAACCCTGCTGCTCTTTCATTTGTTAGAATCAAGTCCGTGAATTGCATGACCCTGCACAATCTTTCCGCTCAACAGTCTCAGCAGAGTTGTAAATGGACTGCCATGAAGTGTTGGGTGAAGAAATGATCATTTGACCCATCAGCTAGTGCAAGATATTGAAGACATTGTTTTACATAACACATACTCATAAACCACATCACACAACAGTAAGTCCACAAAGGATTATTGTATTCCATGCTTCATTGACTATGCAAAAGCCTTTGACTGTGTCAACCACAGCAAACTATGGCAAGTTCTTAAAGAAATGGGAGTGCCTGATCACCTCATCTGTCTCCTGAGAAATCTCTATGTGGGACAAGAAGCTAGTTAGAACTGGACATGGAACAACTGATTGGTTCAAAATTGAGAAAGGAGTACGGCAAGGCTGTATATTGTATTCCTGGTTATTTAACTTATATGCAGAATTCATCATGCGAAAGACTGGACTGGATGAATCCCAAGCCGGAATTAAGATCGCCGGAAGAAATATCAACAACCTCAGATATGCAGATGACACAACCTTGATGGCAGAAAGTGAGGAGGAATTAAAGAACCTTTTAATGAGGGTGAAAGAGGAGAGCGCAAAATATGGTCTGAAGCTCAACATCAAAAAACGAAGATCATGGCCACTGGTCCCATCACCTCCTGGCAAATAGAAGGGGAAGAAATGGAGGCAGTGAGAGATTTTACTTTCTTGGGCTCCATGATCACTGCAGATGGTGACAGCAGTCACGCAATTAAAAGACGCCTGCTCCTTGGGAGAAAGGCGATGGCAAACCTAGACAGCATCTTAAAAAGCAGAGACATCACCTTGCCAACAAAGGTCCGTATAGTTAAAGCCATGGTTTTCCCAGTAGTGATGTATGGAAGTGAGAGCTGGACCATCAAGAAGGCTTATCACCGAAGAATTGATGCTTTTGAATTATGGTGCTGGAGGAGACTTGAGAGTCCCATGGACTGCAAGAAGATCAAACGTATCCATTCTGAAGGAAATCAGCCCTGAGTGCTCACTGGAAGGACAGATCGTGAAATGTATGTTCATTTTAATTGTTTTACTAAACCTGTTAAGAAATTCCAATCTTATTTGTTCTAATAGCTACTTTAATTTCTTCTTTGATGTTTTCCAAAAACTTTGATGGCACACAACAGAGAATTCAATTAACTAACAGGTGAGGCTGACAGATTATATTGGCCCAAGGTCATTAGGTAAGTTTCATGGCATAAGCTTCAGGGAACTGAAACCATGTTTTGCCGTTTCAAGCCAAGACTATTTCCTAGTACACCAAAGTGACTCATAATGGGAGCTGCCACCTTCAGAAGGCTTGCATTCAGCACTAAATTTAAATTTGGCACCAGCTGTAAGCCCTGCTTGCAGAGAAACGATTCTACCACTCCCAATGGTTCCTTTGCAACCATGACTTTTCTTGTCCCAGAACTGACATGAGATGTGGGCCTGGTAAGGAAAACAACCTTGCAGGCAAATTAGGAGCCCAGCTGGCCTAATCCGGCCCATAGGTCCGAGGTTCTCCCATGCCTGCTCTAACCCATCATCTAGAAGCAGTAAGAACAAGCACAGCTCATTTTAGCACCATCATTATACATCAACATCTTTGCATATCACTAACACCACTTATTGTACTTCCTCGTAGTAAAAGCTTCAAGTTGCTAACATATTTATGTATACCCTAGGGCTTGATGCCCCCGCTTGCCAACCCCCCTTTCCCACACACACCTGACCAACCCTGTCAACTATCCTCTCACAACTCATCCAACCTCTTTTAAATGATGGGTGGCACTTCAGAGAGCAGTTTGGCAACCTCCTACTCTCCTCTAAACAGCTTGTCTCGATCTCTTGCCACCCACACTGCTTACCTGATGGTTTTTCATGATGCTGGTGTTACCAAGGCCACATACAAATTTGTGTCCCCTCAAACACTACTTGTAGAAGAAAGGTGGTGCAACCTTTTGAAATAAAACCCAATGAATCTAAACATAATATTCTGACACTTCATAAACTCACTGCCAGGACAGCCAATGGTGCAACTGGGCATTATGGATGACTACACAAATTCATAGACGCGCGATTCAGTAGCCAAGTATTAAAAACCAGGCCATACTTTCTCTTAAGAAAGACGTCCCAAGTATCATGCCACAGGAAACAACTTTAGTGTATCTAGGGTGTAATTCCATTGTGCCATTATAAATGCCCCTCTCATTTATACAGACAGGCATTCGCTCATAAAATTGGTCACTCAAAACAGAACACTGCACAATTCATTTAATACCCAATTCATCATTTTTAATGATCTGATACACCAATACTGTTCTTACTTGAAGATGCCTTGCAATAAGTGTATGTTTTAAAACTAAGTGGTTTATTTCTTGTGTTTGGAGCAACAACCACTTTGTGAGGAGTTAAAAGATTCACAGCAGTAGCCCTCCCTGCCAACTATAGATAGAGTTGATCATACTCAATCAGTTACAAGATTAAAAGTGGAATACAAAAAACTGCAACATATGAAGTGACATCACAATTAAGTACAATTGTCCTGAAATGCCTCCGGCCCACAGTTCCTACAATCAGTCTTTTATTTGCAATGATCAAAGCATTTCCTTCTGCCTACCTTATGAAAAAGCAGTGTGGATTATATCTGCATGATAAAGGAGAAAATATAGCATAAAACATCTATTGGTTTTGGCTGCCATACTGTATGGTTGCACTTTAACAGAAAGTACCCGAAAAGTTACCAAACACTACACAATTTATATGGCAAGGAGTGAGGAAGGCGGAAATAATACACAAGAGCAGCAGCTAGGGAGACGAAGTCTTGGTTTTACTGGCGCTGGGTTGTGACTGAAAAGTCTTTGTACCTTACAAATTTTGGCATGTTACTTGAGCAGCTGAAGTCCTTGGTGTTCCAAGAGATCTCTTCAGAGATGCACGCTCTGGTACCAAAATGTCTTTTACTCGAGTGTTTTCCTTCTGCGGCTGGAAAAATGTGGCAATATCCACCGAGGCTGCTATAGCTGAAGTCTTCAGTCACCAGGGTCAGCACTTCATCCCTTCTCCTGCATTCATTGGTAGGATCACCAAGACTTTGGGTTTGAAATCGTCATTTAGTCACAACCAACTAACCAGTGGTGTTACTTTAAAATTAAAATGCAAGTCCCCACTTATTGCTTTGGGTGGTAAAGAGGGCTGAGAATCGGACAAAGCTAGATATCTCTGGGCATTCAAAGACTGGAGGCCTGAGGATTATTACCTACATTAAAGCCCCTTTCTTTCCAGTTCTTCCAGTATGGCCTGGATTCTGTGAACGGCCTCTTTCCTTGCCTGCCGTACATTGTCCTGACCACCCGTCTCCACAGAGTCCAGCTCCAACAACTTCTTGGTCAGCATTTCCTCCAGCAGCCAGTAGTCCTTGTCTGTCTTTTTCCCTACAAATTCGTCCACCTCCTCCTCCAACTGCTCAACGCCCTCCATAACTTGCATAACCTTTTGTATGCCTGATGGCACATCTGGTATCTCTGATGGAGTCTGAATACTGGTTTTAGATCCTGGTCCATGGTCAGCAGTCACAGATGGTTTCCTATGTACATTATCATACAGCTGGGGCTGCGCACTATACTGCACTTTGGGGTTGGAAGCAGATGGCTTAGTATCAAACTGCGCCGGCTTGTAGTCATTCATGGTCCCAGAAGGCAGGTTATTGGCTTCAGAAAAGTAGCCCTGCTGGTCACTTCCTTGCTCCAATTGGTTATAAGAGTCCTAAAGAAGAAAACAAGAGCCTTCAACATGGTGTCCAACTCTAACAATCCCATTACCCCACATCCTGAAGCAAAGGTGCTGTGCACAGAGATCCTTGGGCTGCCAATACTGCCAGGCTGCCTCTGTGCTTATCAGTAAGGTCTGCATGCTCAGGATGTCAGTGCAAAAAGGTCCAAGCACTGAAAGACACTAGGGACAGGACTTGCACTTTGAGCCTGTCAGATTGACATCACAATGTGGAATGACATAATAACTTGAATCCCAGGTGACCTGCATAGGCCCTGCAACCCATAAACAGTTCCAAAAGGGGGGGAAGAATACTAGATACGTGGCAGACTAGGCTCTTGAGGTTTTTTCTCTCTCAACTGAATAGCAAGAAACAGCTCAGCAGCAGGGAAGTGGGACCTTAAAGAAATGACCAAGAGGCTGCATCCAGCTCATGCACTGAAGGTTGCCCACTCCTGTAATTAATGAAGGGTGGCTTCACTAGCCAAGGGGGAAATTGCTCCTATCCTACTGAAAATGCAAACTAGATCTGTCTATGCTATAATGTCTACAGAAGCATAAGAGGGCCTATGTCCTAGCTGAGAAAATCCCTTGGCTGATAAAAGGAACAAGGGTACAAGTTGGGCAGGGGATAATGATGTAGACTGTTCTTGTGTACCTTACAATAACAAGCAAAGGGGGAAAGCACAGCCCTTCCAAGAAGGTCCAGGTAACAATTCACAGCTCTTGGAAACGGACAAAAGGTCACATCTGTCTGCCTATAAGCAAGTACACAGGGAGGGTTAAGGGCTGGAAAGCTTGCCTGTGGGTTCCAAGCTTAGGAGACACTTGAGGAGAAAGTTATATTCCCGTTTCAGATGGCTTAAGGTGGAACTGGACTAAGCTAGCACCTACCACTTTAGGCTTTGCTAGAGGTGAAAGGTGATCTACAGAAAAGAACATAAGCTTAATATAGCAGCACCAAATTATTCCTTCACTACTTGCATTAAGCAAAGGATGCCAGAACTTCAAGATTTGTTCATGTATGAAGGCCTGAAAGGTATGAGATGTAGGTACCTTCTTCCAGAGTGATTCCCTTCATATCTGTTCCATCAGCCCTACTCTGTATTCCTCAACCATGTGAAGCCTAATGGGTGGCAACAAGGAGTAGGATCTTTGTGGTGGCGGCATCCACCCTGTGGAACACTCTTGGTTGAATTTCATAAAATCTGAAACTTTATGGTTTTATGGGTTTGGTCAAAGCATGTTGTTTCATGAAGAACTTTAGCTGGGAAAACTTCTCATTACAGTGGTACCTCTGGTTACGTACGTAATTCGTTCCGGAGGTCTGGAACTGGGCTACAACATAATCAGATCAGCAGATTTAAAAAAGCCAATGAATTGACCAAAACAGTGCCAATTAACTGGGCACCATTTCTCTCCCCACTGCCCAAATACAGATGCCTTAAAAACTGCAGGTGGCAGGCATCATCCTAAGAAATATTCTCTCTTCCCTCACACTTAGGCAGAATTGCTCTTCTAAATATGATGCTTGCTACAATACATTTTGATCTAAAAACAAAGAATCCTGTTTTCTACAGCAATACTTTTACCCATATACAAATTTATTCAAAAGATAACCCATTAAATAAGCTAATACTGATGATAAACTTATTTGTTTCTTTAGTTAGGAAGCAGATTTTATATAATAGCCATTGATACAAAAAGCTTCCCAACAATGAACAGAGGACAAGCATTGGGGAGAGACTGCCTCCCCTCTAAAATTACCTTTGCATTGTTATTTGGAGCATGTGGAGCAGGTACTCCACTAGGAGGCCATGGAGGAGAGGATTCTGCAACATATTGATTCCCATGTCCTGTTGATGAAGGAGACCAACCATACGGAGGATGCATTCCATACTGGAGAGGAGGTCTCCAGTTTGTATCCTGAAGTCTTGGCTGAGGAGGTGGCGGGGGCCTCTGTTGTGGAATGCTGTGATTGCAGTCGCCATACGGATAGGGTGGGACTGGAAAGTTTGGTGTCTGCAGGCCGAAGGAAAAATGAGATATGGTTTCTTCATGTAGCCTATGAGAACACATTGATTAATTAAATGTTGAGACCCACCAAATAAGACTAAGCTGGCAGTTAACTGCAGAAGCAGGGATCCACAATTCGGCTTGTCAAGGCAAGAGTTCACACGTTTTGGTGAGGGTGGCGAGAAAAACTCAAGCCTTGTGTCTCCAACTTAGAGCTGATGAATAAAGGCAAGGAATGTCCTTGTAGCTGGCCTGAGCTTCTGAGGGTACAATAAAACAATGGGAGGGAAACCCTACTTCTCTAACCAGTTCCAAACTGAAGACAGGCTAGGGAATATCGTTTGGGCACTGGGTGTAGACAGTGCTGTTTGTGCCTATATGACACCTAGCCAAGCCCCTGCTCCCCTCCACCACTATATCAGCAAGAATATGTAGCTTTTCACAATACAGTGATACCCTGGTTCTTGAACGTCTCCGTTGACGAACATTTCGGAACCTGAGCGCCGAAAACCCAGAAGTAAATGCTTCGGTTTTTGAACGCGCCTCAGAAGTTGAACGGCTTCCACTGCATATTTTTCAATTTCTCAATTGAATATGCAGTCAGCCCTTTGTGCTTCAGTTTTCAAACATTTCGGAACTCAAACGGTCTTCCAGAACAGATTACGTTCGAGAACCGAGGTATCACTGTATTTACTAAATTGTAGTATTGTCCTGACATGACTAAACGACTAAACAACAACAACAGTATTGTCCTGTGCAGGGAATTTGCAAAAAAAGTTTAGTTTTAAAAGTATCTGATCATGCTGGATACTGAGAGTACAAAATAAGCTGTAACTTAAAACATGAATGCCAGGAAGGAAGTCCCATCACCTCAATCACCTCATGAACTCCGAGTAAGCTTGCAAAGGATTGGAATGGAGATAGTTACCAGGAAAAACAGTAACTTATAGGTTTTGGAGCTTTAAGAGATGGTTGTATAAGCATCTGGCATAACAGATTAAGGTCTATGAATGTTGAATACAATAATAATTTAATAGTATGTCAATGGTAGAAGGATGCAGCCAATCAGTTATATGAGATCATGTCACCAGCCCACACTAGATCCTTACCTGTGGAGGAGAATATCCTGGCATTTGCCTCCTCACCATGGAACCTTCAGCTGGGCAGTCTGGTGGTGGGTAGTTCCAGTTAGAAGCTGGTGATGGTGATCTATATACATTGGGAGACTCTGTGGAATATGGTGCATGAGGATGCCCTGAGGAATAGTAGGCATTTGATTGTGGGATATTGGAATATGGTGGTCCAGTCCCAGAAGTAGAGTATGGAGTGCCATAAACACCATTTGTGTAGGAAGGATCAATTCCCTAGAAGATAAGAGGGTAAATTATTTAAAACCAACCTTGATTGCACAGCAAATCAAGTATTATGTCTCAGGAACTCCTGGACAAGAGCTAGTTATGCTATCAATTCCTGGGCCAAAGATGGTTCCTTTATTTTTTATCAAATAAAGCTCAGTAGGTGTCATTTCTGCAGTGAATGTAGAAGCCACATCCACTGAGCTTTTTCTTGACCATGCAGGCCTTCAGTTACAGGTAGCATAGAATGCTGTGTGGGCCCTGCTATGCACAATCCTGTTTCAATGCAGAATTTGTTGCATCCCTCAACATCAAGAATTCCCTTTGGAACCAGGCAAGGCAGCAATACTATTCCAACAGCGGCTAGTACAGACTCTGCTTACCTAAGCAACACGAAAACTGGCTGTCAGATTTCTGCCAAGTGCCGAGGGATCCTGAGAAGTCTGCATTCCTGGTCATTTAGACCACACATTTTCATAGGGTTTGTTATCTGGGCTTAATGAATCACAGCTCTCTTATTCATATTGTAAACCCAAAAGGATGGAACCTCATCTCCTGGTACTCTGCCTTGCAGAGTTGCAGTACTCAATAAATGTGAAATGGTCGCCCTGCCGAAGAGATAGTAAACCACCAAGTGCCCTCTAGTGGGAATATATTAGAAGTTTTAGTGCCTCTGAGAAGAGATTTGCCATCTTTCCATCAGTGATTTCTGGAAATGTTTGAACAACACTTACTTGCAAGAGATTGCGCACTCTTGCAGATTTTCTCTGCAATCACCCAATTTCTAGCTTGCATAACCATTTTGGAAACAATTTCCCACCTATTTTGGTTGGTTGCTTTCAACTCACATGTTCTCCAGCTCTGAAGCAAGTTCTGCTTTTTAAAATGTATTAAAAATGCACCCTGCTTGTCCTCCAAAGAACTTAATGTGGCAGGTGGGGCAGCATGGTTTTATTCTTATTAACAAGCTGATGTTAAGAATTGGCTAGGTTGAGAATTGGTATAAAGTAGTGACTAAGACCCTGGTTTAAATTCTTGCCTATGCCCAAACTTCACCTTAAACCCTTCCCATCTTAAATATGACACAATGCTCATCTATGTTATAGCCTCAGATCTGTACTAAAATCAGGCCCACTTGTTTAATCCAAATGGAAAATAAATGTTTGAGGGAAACATTTATAACATAATTTAGTGTACAAGTTACAAATATAGCTTACATAAATATGTGTATGTATACAATATTTATATAGCATATTTTTAAAAGTAAACGAAACACTATGAACACCCAACAGTGCAACAGAAATATGTAACAAGTGTACTTTGCCTAAATCCATTGGTTGAACTTCAGATCTGAGCATGGTCTGAACTCAGATCTCCAGATCAAAGCCACAATGCCACAATTGCCCTTAAGTAGCATTTCTTTATTATTGTAGCCCAGCAATAATTAGCAAACTTCAGTGCACATTTACAAACTGAACTCTTATCAAGTTCTTTATTAATCAGATAACAACCTTTATCTGGGAGGTGGCAACAAATGAAATACTTATACTTAGGGATGCACTTTGAAAGGACTATTAAAGGAGAATGGCATATTACTGGTACATGGTGCTATTAGCTTGGGCCTTCAGGTTAATTTATCCTATCAGAATGTATGTAGAAGATGATAGCAGCAAAGTCTTGATTTCAAAGACAAAGCTTAATGGTATTAATCACTGCTAAGGCATGCTCACTTTTTTACAATCCTTATTTCCCCAAGAATCAGTTATTAATGCTCCTTTCAAAGTCTATACTAGTATTATTCTAAAGAAGTAAAACTAAGATATAGTTGCTTCCGAGGATATCACCAGTCTCCAGCAAGGCTGCCTTTAGTAGCAAAGGGAACAAGATGTTTTTGAACCAATTGAAGGGTTTGTTAGAACCACACGGGTACTTTGGATAAGGAAGAACTTGTTCTGTACAGAGCAAACAGCCTTGTATCAGTATTATTCTGAACAGACTACACTGTTGTATGACAGATCTTTTAGTGGGAAATCTGAGACAGGTCATCTAATGAGCTTTACAGGCTGCTGGGTAAGGCAAGGGAACCTGTGTAAAGGTCCTCCTTCATCACTGCAACATGATGGGTCATGGCTTTTTACACCCGGATGCTACACCTACACAGGATGGTACAACTGTAGTTTACAAGGTCTTCCACAAGTAGTAAGCCTTATTATGATCACCACTTGTCAGTATGAAAATAACTAACATTATTTTAACATTGGAGTGCCATCCACTCTGTATTCAGTAACCAAATATTTCCATGAGACACCACTTCTCAGACAAATTGTCCTATGACTATACCTGGCCTTGAAGCTCTGGTCCAACAGAATATGGGCTTGGGTAGGGACTTCTGGAAGATGAATTCCAGTAATGCGAACCATATCCATGATAAGGGGGGTGCTCCTAAAGAAAGAAACAAGATATTCACTTCCTGAAAATCATCATGTCTTGAAAATGTATCAAAATATTAGAATCTTCTAGTTCCTTGAATTATTGTATGTAGCCTAAAAGGACTCTGAATGTAGAAACTGTTAATGAGGGTTTCAACAGACCTATGCATAGTCAAAAATTATTTTCTGCCAATCCATGGCAACAGAGCTAAATTCAGCAGACTTCTGGTAATAGGAGGTTTTGCTTCCTTCTTTCTCTTGCAAATACAGTCGTACCTTGGCTCCCAAACACCTTGGGAGTTGAACGTTCCGGCTCCCAAATGATCAAAAACCGGAAGTGAACATTCTTTTGGAAGCTGAACATCAGCCAATCAGAAGCCGCGCTTTGGAAGTCGAACATTTCGGAAGTCACACTGACTTCTAGAACAGATTCTGTTCAACTTCCGAGGTACGACTGTAAAGCCCAGTTCTTCCAATAAGCAGCTGGGCCAGCCTCTTAGATAGTCTTATAAGCCAAGCCCCAGTGGAGAGGCAGGTTGAGCCTGACTAAAAATTTGTGGTGAATGGTGCAGTTTAAAGAGTAACAAACTTTATTTCAGGCACCGGTTAGTATGCAGGGAATGATGCTATTGTAACTTCAAATTCAGGGTCAAACTAGATGTGAATGCAAATAGCAGCTGCCAGGCTGCTATAATTTTTCTGCTCTGCTGTGGTTGTGACAGAAATCATTCTTCTTACACTGCTGTTTGCATTTACGGTATATAGATATAAAAATAGTAGACAGAATCGTATCATTGTCCAAATAAACAACTTCTGGTTCACATTAAGAAACTTTGTTTTTAATATTCCCAGGGACAAGGATGAAAACAGTCTACACAAATGAAGAAATTCAAGTTTTTAAAGAAAAAAGAAAACCAAGCAGCTTCAGTGCACAGAATGCTACCTGACAGTTGCAGGAATGGTATGACTTGAACCAGAACAGACTGTTCATATGACAATGTTTTGTTGCAGGAACCCCAATGGTTCTACAAAATTTTAAAATAAGGGCCTGATTCTCATTTCCAGTAATTCTGTATTCACTCACCAGAACACTGGAAGGCAGGAGATTATTCACATCTCAGTGAGCAATTACAGAAAAGCTTGCTTGTACACCTCTTGATACATTTTGTTTTTAAGTGAAAGCTAAAAAATCATTAAAAATTCCAATATATTATTATGGCTATGACATTAAGTTGGGTCAAGCAAGCTTAGCTACCCCCTCAAAGGTGTCCAAGTACAAAAATCCCAAAATATTAACACATTTTTGTATAATCCTTAAATTTATTTTTTCCATGGCAGTTTACAAGACTTCACAAGATACACAAAAGCAGCAAACAGCAATAAAACAGTGAACAATAATATACAGTATTAATAGCAATCTCAGCAAATATAAAATACCTTTGAGGTTAAAAGTCTGGGAAAATAAGATGGACTTTGCTTGGCCCCTAAAAAGTGGAAGCTTAGTGGTAAAGAATCTGCTTTGCATGCAGGAGGTCACAGGTTCAATCCTTGGTATTGCCAGGGAGGGAGGACTGAAAACATTTGCTGACCTAAATGCTGCAAAGCCAATGCCAGTCAGTGAAAACTACTAAGCTAGAAGGGCAAATGGCATGACTCTGTATAAGGGACTGTCCTATGTTCCTAAAAGACATCAACATTGACACTAGATGAGCCACAAGCTTGGCACTGTAACCTCCACTGTTGCCACCCCATTTCGCTTAAGATAGCAGAGGCAACTGGAGAACCTCATCTGGGGAAGATCTCTATATATAGGTATCTTGATATGGCAGATGTTCACTCAAGAATACAGTCACATGCTATGTTGGGCTTTTAAACATCAGCACTTTTGTGTTCAAAAACAGACTGTAAGCCAGATGAGCTCTGGCAAACTGGGTTTCCAACATCCACTCCTAGTTAGTAACCTAGCAAATGTATTTTGAATGTAGTGCAGTTTCTGGATAGCTTTCAAATGCAGTCCTACATACAAAGAATGGCAGGAGTAGAACCTGGAGGTAATCAGAGCTTGGTAATTAAACAGCAACATACAAATCTGTGGGCAAAACTGCACTGTTGTATTTCATGCTGGCTTCTTTTTGCAGTACTTGAGATACCCCAAATACAATTCACTATTTTATTAGTCATAGTTCCTCCACTGGCTCCCTCAGCCAATAAAGCAAGATGAGCACAGCAACCCCAGAGTCGTCCGCGACTGGACCTAATGGGTCCCTTTACTTTTAATTCCTAAGTATAGATGACCTAACTAGGAATATGGGTTGGGGAAAATATACTCAAACCAGCAGAGAAAAACTTCATCTTTCCAGTGAGTATATTCCCTATCATTGTAGAAAGTTACAGCAACCAAGGCCTATATGCAGCAAGCGTTGCTGTGACGAAGTAGCTTTAAATACAGACACAAAGCAGTCTTCCCAAAATAGCCATTGTACAAGAATCACACACAGTAATGGAAGGAATCAAGATTAGAGGTCAGTCTTGCCAGAAAGCTTTGTAGCAACTGCCTGTTAACAAAATGATTTCTCAGTTTTGGGTTTTTTAACACCATATACAAAGCACTGATCATAATTAAGCCTATACAGCACCCTTGTATCATTATGATACTATAAAGATAGGCTAACAACTCCAATTAAAATTTTAATAAGGGAAAACTAGCTTGGTTTGGGGTTGCTTCAGATACAATGCTAAAGGGTAGTTGAGCAGAATGAGAACAAGTCATAGCAAGCCTGAGACTCGCGCTCTGGTTACAGGTAAAACATTTGCTTCCTGGTTTGTAAATATTCCTGGTCAAATAAACTATGGTTTAATGTGAATGCGTTCATCACTGCTCCATTATTCCTACTTGTTTTCTCAGTCTGGAGGGAAATTACAAACCAGAGACTGGTTTCATATTACATACAAAGTACTGTCTTTGGTTTGTTCCCCTCCCAAGAAACCACTAGCAAATCCTGGCTTACTGCTCATGGGAGGGGAGGAGAGAAACAGCAAGTGCTGTTCATATGTAATGCGAAGCCAGCCTCTTGTTTGTTGCCAATCCCTCCCACTCCAGCCTAGGAAAGACAGGAATGGAGCCCACAATTCCAGCAATGTGCACAAGCACATTAATATTACTTCTTTACCAAGAGCAAAATAAAGATTCTGAAGGATATCATACACTCAACTGAATATAAGGAATAGCTTCAGATTCAGCCACATCTTCAAACTAAATAGGACTGGTGCCTTATGCACTTTTCTCACTGCAGGTTTGACAACAATAAAATACAAGCTAAAAACACAAGTAAGCAGTTAAAACAAAAACAACAATACCCCTTTCCCACAAAGACATTTAAAAGGCTGTAGAATATTAATCAGCCAAGGGCCTGGTTGAAGAGGAACATTTTTGCCTAGCTCCTAAAATATATAATGAAGGCGCCATGCGAACCTCCCTGGCGAGAGCGTTCCACAAATGGGGAGCCACTACAGAAAAGTGCTGTTCTTGTGTTGCCACCCTCTGGACCTCTTGTGGAGAAGGCACATGAAAAAGGGCCTCAGATAATGAATGCAGAGTCCAGGGTGGTTTATATGCAGAGAGGCAGTCCTTGAGGTATAGCAGTCCTGAGCCATTTAAGGTTTTATAAGTCAAAACCAGCACTTTGAATTGAGCTCAGAAGCTAATTGGCAGTCAGAGCTGTCAGGCTAGGATAGGTGTAATATGCTCAAATCATGTTGCCCCAGTGAGCAACAAGGCCGGCAAATTCTTCAGCAGCTGCAGTTTCCAAACAGTCTTTAAAGGCAGCCCTTTTAAGTAATCCAGCCTAGAGGTTACCAAAGTATAGACAGCAGAAGTTAGGAGGGCAACAGGGTCACCAGCTGAAGCTGATGGAAGGCACTCCGTGCCACCAGAGCCTCAAACAATAGCAGAGGATCCAGAAGTTCTCCCAAGCTGTGTACCTGCTCCTTCAGAGGGAGTGTAACCCCATTAAGAGCAGGCTAACTTCCAACCACCTAGTCTGTTGGGAGGCACCCATTAACAGTGCCTCAGTCTCATTTGGATTGAGCTTCAATTTGTTGGCTCTCATTATCAAGGCAAGGTAACAGTCCACTATAACCACTGCCTCATCTGCAGATGTAAAGGAGAGGTAGGGCTGTGTGTCGTCACATATTCCAAAACTCCGAATGACCCCACTCATGTAGATGTTAAATAGCACGGGGAAGAAAATTGAGCCCTGAGGAACTCTACTGAAGGCTCCATGGGACTGAAAAGCACTCCCCAAGCAACTTTCTCTAGGAGCAACCATCCAAACAGGACCAGAGCAGATGCAAAGCAGTGCCACCTAACCACCCCCAACTCAGAGAACCACTCCTGAAGGATACCTTGGTTGATGGTATTGAAAGCTGCTGAGATGCTGAGAATTAACAAGGACATATTGCCCCTGTCTCCTGACAAAGGCCATCATACAGGACGACCAAAGCAGTTTCTGTGCCAAATTTCACACACCATAGCACAGCTCTGCCCTTACAAACTGTTAATCAGTTTTTGCAGTCCTCCCACCTGCACACAAGTGGCTCCAATGTACAGTGGTACCTCGGGTTAAGTACTTAATTCATTCTGAAGGTCCGTTCTTAACCTGAAACTGTTCTTAACCTGAAGCACTACTTAAGCTAATGGGGCCTCCTGCTGCCGCCGCGCCGCCAGAGCCCGATTTCTGTTCTTATCCTGAAGCAAAGTTCTTAACCCGAGGTACTATTTCTGGGTTAGCGGAGTGTGTAACCTGAAGCATATGTAACCCGAGGTACCACTGTATTAAAATGACGGCTTGCGAGGGGACGGGATGGGACACCCCACATAATTCAAAGGAGACAGAAAGCAGCATAGACCCAGTATCACTATTACAGACATCAGGTTTGCTTCTCACCCTCCTCCTCCTCCACTTCCCTTCCAACTTCTTTTCCTTTTGTGCCATGCCATTTAGATTGTAATGCCGAGGGGCAGGAACTGTCAATAACAGTTATCTGTTCTGGACTGGAGTGCAGGGCAAATCAAAATTTTAAGTACGTAAGGGGGGAATCGCCTGGATTGAGAAGACAGTTATACAGTACAAGACTTACCATTTTACTAGTGTCAAGTGGATTGTTGTTATTTTTCTCTCCCCTCTTTCCCTTATGTGGACCCAGCCAGGTCGCCTGTCCCTAGTTCAGTTTGAGCGTGAAACGAGGAAAAACCAATGCATCTGCCCTGCATTAACCAGCACACATTTTCCTTTCGGCGATGGGGCGGCCCGGGCGGACCAGTCTTCCTTCCCTCTCGCCCCGCTTCGGCTCCCCCTCCCTCCCCAAGGGGGTCAAAGCAGCAGAGGAGACGTAACAGATGAGAGGCGCACGTGGCGACGCTCAAGCCTCGAGGACACCGGGGGGGGGCCGCCTACGTCACAGACCCTCATAAAAAGGAGGGGGGAGGACTCGGCCGTTACCTGAGAGCCGCCATAGCCGGACCGAACCGTTCTCTCGCTGCCGCCGCCGCTGCGATGCCGCGGGCACCTGCGGCCCTCCGCGCCCCACGGCGGTGGCGGAGGAGGCTCGGGCTCAGGCCGGGCCCGCTCCACTTCCGCCCCGTGTAACAGTCTCCTCAGCGCCGCCGCCATTAAGGGCTCTTAATTCTCTCCTAGTCCCCTTGAGAAAGCAGTGCGCCTGCGCATCTCCTTCCTGTCATAGACACGCCTCCTCCTCCCTGCCTTATCGTAAACAGGCGTTTCGCCAGCTATAGCATTCCCGGATGAGGGGAGTTCTGAAAGATTTGTGTGGGTGTTGTTGTTTTTTTTGCCTCTGAGCGACGTCACCAGCCGTTGCTGACGTCTTGCGAACGAGACCCGTAGAAGCATCCCGCGCGAAAGCATCCAATCAGGAAAGCTTTCGCCTCCGTCAACCCGTTAGGGTAACCCTTGAAAACCTGGAGAGAAATGGAATGGGTCAGCAGTGCACACCTTATCTGGGAGGAAGTTCCATTTACTTCAAAGGAGCTTGCTTTGCTGCCCAGTAGACACGGGCAGATCTGCGGTCTTTGGTGATTCTAGCCTACAATTATGCCAAAACAGGCATTCAAAAGCAGTAAACTGACCTTTAAAGGAGCATAAAAGTGAAACTACCACACTGTATTAAATATAAAAAGCATGTGGAATGCAAGTTTATTTCTACAAATGCATACCGTACATCCAAAATTAGCCAGACTTCATCAGAAAGTACTGAGCTTTCCTGGAGCACGTGCTGACTCAGAACAAGTTCTTGGAAAGCTCTATTTTCAGAATCCCTGCAGGTGTTGCTACTACTATGGTACTTACAACTTCCCTTAAAGTTTTAGAATGTATAGCATATATAAACACAATAAACCTTTGGGAGCTGTTCAGCCCTTCAGAAATTACAGATTACACACAGACCAATTTTGAGTATCTTAACCAGGTAGTCAAGGTGTAGGGAATCTTTTGCCTTCCAGATGTGCTCTGATCATGCCTGGCCATTGGCCAAGCTAGGACTCATGGGAGTTGTAGTTCAATAACATCTGGAGGGCCAAAGATTCCCCACACCTGATCTAGTCCATATACTTATTATTAAGATCAGTTGATGATTTCTAAGTCCAAAATAAGCCCCTCTGTAACAATATAGTGGGAATCCTTGGAGTTTCATCCTTTCCAATAGCTTTAATGGTAGAACCTCAGTTTGTGAATATGCAACTTAATCCCACCTGCAAAATACCAAGCCTGAAATAGTTTGTGGGGGGATGTAGGTGGCTACTAGAATGACGACTGTACTCAGTGAAATCTTCTGCCATTATGAATGTGTTAGTCTTTGCTGCAAGAGACTAGCATGTCTATCCTCGAAAGAGTTACCGTATGATGCTAAGAGTGCTAATAATAATACCGACACAACACAACTGTTTATTTGCCATCAGTATTTGCAGTAATGTTAGCAACTAAACCATTTACATAAATAAATGAAGATAAGCTCTCACATACGTGCATATACAAAACCCAGAAGCAAGCTAAACCCTATCAGCAGAGAAGATACATGCTCTGAGTGCACTTTTCAATGGTTTTGTGTAGAGTCCAGAAGACCTTGTTTGAGAAGTAAATATTGTCACAATAAAAAGGAATAAATTTTACAGATTAAATGCAGAGTAAACAAAGGCATAAGATTGCAAGGCTTCAAATCTAGGCCCTCTTGGTCTCAAGCCTAATTCAGGAGCATGGGATCTGCAGGTCTCCAGATGTTACTGAGCTGCAACTCCCACCATTTCAAATTCACAGACAGGGCTGGCTGGCGCTGGTAAGACGAGTCCAGCAACAGACACCTGCGACTGCATAGTTTTAAACTGATTTTATTTTTGTTGCTGAGCACCCGCCTAGGGTGCAGACCTCAGAGAGGTGCAGTACTGACATTTGAGAGCCAGCTTTATACAAATTAGTTTTTGTTACAACTTTCTGATAATATTTTCATTTCTCCTACAAGACATCTGTTTTTGAAAACTGAGGTTACCAGTATGAGGGGGTGCGAGCAGTTAGCCTTGCCTTGGGCGCAAAACAGCCTTGCACCGGCTCTCTCTGTGTGTACTGTAAATACACCCGTGCTTGCTCAAAAGGAAGCCCCCGCTGGGTTAGGCTAGACCACGATGGGAGAACCGGCGACCCTCTCCGTATATATGCGTGTGTGCCAGGGGAGGCTTCCTTCTGAGTAAGCCCGCATAGACTCGGGGCTGCCGCTTCGGAAGGAGCAACTAAGCCATTGCAAGGGTTGCCAGCGACCCGCTTCCTCTCCCCTCGGCTGCGTGCGCGCCGCATCCCGCAGGCGGAGGCTTCCGACCGCGCTCCAGCGGGGCCTTACTTAAGCCTGGGCCCGGCCTCGGCCAAGCCTCTCCCGCCAGCATGCAGCCGCCCTCCGGCGAGAGCCGCCTCCTCCTCGTCTCTCCCCGCCCCGCCGGAGCAGGCGCTTCCGGCCCGGGCGGGGACAGGGCGCGGGGAGGTTCCGCTTCTCCCAAGGCAGATGCTGCGGGCGGCGGGGGCGGCGGCGGAGCATCCGCGGCGTCTGCGGGGAAGATGAACTACATGCCGGGCACCGCCAGCCTCATCCAGGACATCGACAGTGAGTACCGCGGCGCGACGGAGGCGCCTGGGCGCCTTTCCTCCACCCGAGACCGGCGCTCGGCGGCTCCTCCTCGGGAAGCCGTGCCAAGCGCCGCCCTTTCCTTTCCTTCCCCCCGCCGCCTCCTCTTCCCTCCTGGCTCTCCGCTTTCGTTATGCCCCCTTTCCCCTTCGCGACCCCTTTTTCCTTTCTCAAGCCCCCCCCCCCCCGCATCCGCAGCTTGGAAGCAACATAGAGGCTGCCTAATACATCTTTGCGCGCACGCTGCACCTTCGGAGCACAGCTCCTGATGCCTCGAAGAATTCTGGGTACTGTAGTTCGCTAAGGGTCGCTGGGCGCTGTAATTAGGTGAGGGGGCAAACTACAGCGCCCAGGATTCTTTGAGGGAAAGAATGCGATTCAGAGGTATAAGGCAGCAGCCTTTTCAGACACTGTTTCGTTTACAGTGGTACCTCGGGTTACAGACGCTTTAGGCTAACCCAGAAATAGTGCTTTAGGTTAAGAACTTTGCTTCAGGATAAGAACAGAAATCATGCTCTGGCAGCGCGGCGGCAGCAGGAGGCCCCATTAGCTAAAGTGGTGCTTCAGGTTAAGAACAGTTTCAGGTTAAGAATGGACCTCCGGAATGAATTAAGTACTTAACCCGAGGTACCACTGTAACTGCAAACGCGTGTTTGGGGTCCCGTTTCAAACCCCATGGGTGGTTGGCATCGGTCTGTCTCAGGAGACAACGGAGGAGTGTGCCTCTGGGGGTGAAGTCAAACCATTGGAGAGTTACAGCGCCTGCTGTGGCTGCAAAGACGTTTTGTTTCAGGTGCGGCAGATGAAGGCATCCCACTTTGCTGCTGCAACGGGTACCATGGCGCTTCTCTCTGCACTCCTCCCAGCAGTCATTCCTCCGCTGGTCAGGTGGTACCTCAGATCAGTCCGTGACTCACCAAGCCAAAGACCAGTGGTATAGTACGCACGCAGCCTCCCCAACCACGTTGGGTTAGTGTTGGCAACACTGGCTGGCAGCCGCTCTCAGGCTTCCAGGCTGGGAACATTCAAAGCCCTATGTAGAGATGCTGGGGGGATTCCTTTGGATCAGCCCATTCCCCCAAACATAGGAAGCTGCCTTATAGTCAAAGCAGCGTTTCTGTCAACTGATCCACAATTCTCCCCCTGCCCCATTATGCATCAGTTCTGCAAGGATGGGGAGGCTGTGGCCCTCCAGAAGTTGCTAGACTCCCAATTCCTATCAGCTGCAGCCAGCATGGCCGATGGGAGCTGCAGTCCGGCCACATCTGGAGGGCCACAGCTTCAATAACCCTGCCCTATTGGATCACACTTCCAGCCCAACACCTGGTTTTCCCCATAGCCAACTGGAGATCTTTAGGAAGCCCAAAGCAGGGCATACGGCTCTCCCACCTATGTTCCCCAACAACGGGCATTTCAGCATTTTCCGTGGGAAAAACTTCAGTGATCTAATAAGCAAACCTTTAGTTGGCAGAGTGGGTGACACTGGCCGCCACTAACTTGCTTCTACTGCAAAGCTGAACTTGTGGGTTCTTCTTTTTCTCACAGTTTATAGTCAGACTATGGAACTTGCTCCCACTGGAGGCAGTGATGTCCACCAAATAGGATGGCTTTAAAAGACGGTTAGACAGAGTCTTGGAAGTGAGGGCTATCAGTGGCTACTGCCTCCACAGTTGGAGGCATTAATGCTTCCAATTACTAATTGCTGGAAACTATGGGAGGGTGGTGCTGTGGTCTAAACCACTGAGCCTCTAAGCTTGCCGATCAGAAGGTTGGCGGTTCGAATCCCCGTGACAGGGTGAGCTCCTGTTGCTCGGTTCCTGCTCCTGCCAACCTAGCAGTTCGAAAGCACGTCAAAGTGCAAGTAGATAAATAGGTACCGCTCCGGCGGGAAGGTAAACAGCATTTCCATGCGCTGCTCTGGTTCACCAGAAGCGGCTTAGTCATGCTGGCCACATGACCTGGAAGCTGCACGCCGGCTCCCTCGGCCAATAAAGCGAGATGATCGCAGCAACCCCAGGATCGTCCATGACTGGACCTAATGGTCAGGGGTCCCTTTACCTTTTATGGGGGGGGAGAGGGCTTGTGTTCTGATTGCTGATTTCCCACAGGCATCTCACTGGCCACTGTAAGAACAAGATGCTGGACTAGATGGGCCCTTGGCCTGATCCAGCAACCTCTTACATTCTTATGTTCACTAATGAAGCTTTCCCTTTTTATTTTCTCCCAGAGAAACACTTGGTCCTCCTCCGGGACGGTCGGACGCTGATTGGATATTTACGCAGCATCGATCAGTTTGGTATGCCAACATAAACTTACCTTTTGGGTGCTAGCCTGTTTCATTCTGCTTTGTGTGGGCTGTATTTGACCATGATCAGGAATCCAGCAACGGAATATGCATGTGTGTGAAGGGAGAACTTTGCATTCTAATTTACTTGACTGTATTTATTTATTTATTTATTTATTTATTTATTGCATGTATGTGTCACCTTTTGCTTCCAAGGAACTCAAGTTGCCGTGCATTGATCTCCCCCTCCCCATTTCACCCTCAAAGCAACCCTGTGAGGTAGGTTAGGATAAGAGATGGTGAGGGGCCCAAGGTCACCCAGTGAACTTCATGGCTGAGTGGGGACTGCAGCAGTTGCTGTCCCCAAAGGGAGTGGTTATGGAATAGTTGTGAAGACTTGAGATACAAATAAAGAGGTCCCTGATCAGACTCTCATCCTTTCCATGAACGCATCAGGTTTGACTTAGGAAAACTCCATTCTTTCCTCAGCCCCATTTCCCATTGTCACATAAGGTCAAAGTAATCTCTTATCTTAGTGTTAACATTAAGCATAATAAGATGATGGTGATGATTATTATTTATACCCCACCCATCTGTCTGGGTTTCCTCAGCCACTCTGGACAGCTTACAGCACATTAAAAATTGTAAAACATTAGACATTAAATTTTTTCCTAAACATGGTTGCCTTCAGATGTCTTCAAAAAGTCAGATAGTTGTTTATTTCCTTGACATCTAATGGGAGGATGTTCCACAGGGAGGGCGCCACTACCGAGAAGGTCCCCTGCCTAGTCTAGTTCACAAATAGCAGTAAATTTCTGCTTATTAAACTACAGTTTATTAAATCACAGCTTTGTGTTCTAGATGTGAACCTAGCTTAACTGGGGTTTGTTTACTGCCAACAATCTGAAGCCATGGTTTTCTTGACTATTGCACCCCAAACACTCACCAAACTACCAAGGCACGAGATGAGAGCAGCTGGAAAACAAACTAAACTTTAGCAAAATGGAATGTGGCTTGTTTGATCTTTTGTAGGGCAGCTCATGGAATGTTAGAAAGTATTGGAGGGTTTTGACCAGGTGGCAGGTGTGGTGATGACTCTGCTTAGGAAGCCATTGTTTTTTCACTCTCTTCTCATGACACATTACTTTCATCATTTGTGTAAGAAGTTTTGCGGAGTCTCCAGGAAGTGCTAAATAAAGATGGCAGATCGGACTCTGATCTAGGAGCAGGGCGCTGGGGAACCTTCCAGGGGCCACCTGCTGGTGTGGCCAGAGGGAGAAGTGGTCATAATAGTGGATATGGCTTTGAGCAATAGGCTGAATTTTAGCCCCACAAAAGTCAGGTTTCTACACACTTCTTCCCTCCAGGCTCCCACATCTCTCCTTTTGCCATCCAGGCAAAGAGGCATTCTCATGGTTTGAGGACATATTCCAATCATTAAAAGCATTCAGGGAAGGTGTAGGGTAAGACTGGGGAGGCGTGTGGCCTGGGGAAAATCCCAAGGGCCAAGTATAAACGTCTGGAGGGCCACCTTTGGCCCCTGGACCTGAGGTTCCCCACCCCTGTCTTAAAAGCATGCCCACACACTGAGATCTGCACTTGCACAGTCGTGATGGAGTTGGAGGTCAGACTGAGCAGCTGCTGTTTTGCCCGAGCGCTCTGTGTGTTTGTCCTCCCTCAACTAATTATGATCAATATGAAGCCTGGTGCTGCTTGTATGTGTATGCATTCTTTTGGGAAAGAAAAAGCCAGCTTTCTGCTTTCTAAACACTGCATGAGGCCTGGGAGAGCGTCTCTCCACCCCCACTCCCCGATCAGATTAGCGTCAGAGAATCCTTGAACCTCATGTGGCGCCTTCAGCAGAGATCAGATCTTCCCAAGGCTGGCTACAAGGTTAAACAGGATTTTTTATGCAAGGTTAAACAGGGTTTCAGTGGAAGACAGGAGGGCCTGGTGTGCTCTGGTCCATGTGTCGGACATGACTAAAGGACTAAACAACAACAAAAACACAGGGTTTTGTTTTCCTATAGCCTGCCCCCCTTCCCAGGAAGTGAGCTTATGTGGTGCCAGTGGCAGGGATGCACGAAGCTGCCATCTTAAATTTCCCACAGTGCCCTGGGAACAGCGCTGCATTAAGTGCCCTGGGGCATTATGGGGGATTTAAAATGGCAGCGGCTTGCTGCTGCTTCCAGGAAAGCCTGAAGCCAAGAAAAGCCCACAACAGACATTGGTGCTGGTGGGTCCAGCTGCGGTGTTGAGGCCCTGACAGCTACTCAGAACACAAGGGCTATGCAAGGACCTGGAGGTGCCTAAACTGCCTCTGAAGCTTAGCAGGATGTGTAGGGATCAGCTAGAATTCTGTGGTGGGCAGTCTGCTTGCATGAAGAATGTCCCAGGTTGAAACTCTTCTAGTTAGAGGGGTCAAGCGTTATGGAAGATGGCTGTGTGAAATCCTGGAGCGCTGGTTCCAGTCAGAAATGAGGCGGCCCTGTAGTCTGACTTGTTGCAAGGCAGCTCCCACCTTGTGTTTATTTTACAGTCATACCTCGTGTTACGTTTGCTTCAGGTTGCGTGTTTTCAGGTTGCGTCCCGCGGCGACCCGGAAGTAACGGAATGGGTTACTTCCGGGTTTCGCCGCATGCGCAGACACACAAAATGATACCACGCACATGTGCAGAAGTGGCAAATTGCAACCTGCGCGTGCGCAGACGTGGGTTGCGTTCTTTTCAGGTTGCGAACGGGCCTCTGGAACGGATCCCGTTCGCAACCAGAGGTACCACTGTATTAGATTTTCATTGCACTTACTAATTTATCCCAACTTTTTCCACAAGACATATGCGGTTAATCCCTCATTTAATCCCTGCAACAACCCTGTGAGGTAGGTCAGGCTGAGAGGCTCTGGCTGGCCGCAGGTGACCTGGCTGAGGGGGGAATTTGAACCTTGGTCTCCCAGCTCCTAGTCTGAAACTTGAGCCACTATGCCACACTGGAACCCGGGGACAAAAGTGCCACAGCCATGGAGATCTCTGTCAGCCTGCACCACTAGAGGGAGCCTTATGCTTAAAAAGGAGCTTTTGACTCAAGAAAAAAACAGGGAAAAACAGGAGTCTCTTTTTTAGATGAAATCCTTGTACAGTGGTACCTCTGGCTGCGAACAGGATCGCAACCTGAACAGAACGCAACCCGTGTCTGCGTGTGTGTGGGTCGTGATTCGCCGCTTCTGCGCATGTGTGTGACGTCATTTTGCGTGTCTGCGCATGCGCGAGCAGCAAAACCCGGAAGTAACCCATTCTGTTACTTCCAGGTCACCGCAGGACTCATCCTGAAAATGCTCAACCTGAAGCAAACGTAACATGAGGCATGACTGTACTAGGCAGCCCTAAGATATCTGGGTAGGCCTTTTAAGAAGTGGAACCATGAAGCTCCATCCAACTGAGTTTTTCTCAGAGTCGCTCCATTTAAGCTAACAGATCAAATCATTGGGTCTGCTCTGAGCAGGACTAGCATTGTGTCCTTCTAAAAGCTTGACACAATGCAGTTAAGATGCAATCCTCCTCTAGCTCTCTTCAGAAACTCGGCTGCAGGCCTTCCTTCCCTGTAAGGGTGAAAGTAGCATCTTGAGAGCCAGCACAATGGATGTTGGGTTCGGGGCTGAGGGGACTTGACTTTAAATCCCTGCTCTGCTACAAAGGCGGCTGGTTGTCCTTGAGCAAGTCCGGCTCCATCTTCCTAACCTAGCCCAGCCCTCATGGTGGTAAAATAATATTATGCCCGCTTCCTTTCTACGAAGGAAAGGTGAGGTAAGAAGAGTCTTGCTGGATCAGCCATATGAGAACCTCATCCAGCGTCCTGTTCCTATGATGGCCAGTCTGATGCTTCCACAAAGCCCAGAAGCTCTGCTTGAAGGCAATAGCTCTTTCTCATGGAGTGCCTCCGGTTACTGGTGTTTAGAGGCATATTACGGCCACATTCACAGCATACATTTATAAAGCCCTATGATACAGCTTTAAAGTCATAGCTTCCCCCAAAGAATTCTGGGAACTGTAGTTTGCTAACAGTGCATAGAGCTGTTCCCATCACTTGGCAACGATTCTCAGAGTGGTTTAGTAGTCAATCCCTCTTCCCAAGGAACTGGTTATTGTAGTTCTGTGAGGGGTGAATAGGGGTCTCCTTAACAACTCGCAGGACCCTTTCTGTACCCTGTTGTGTCCCCATCTTCTTTCCTCTGGGCCAGAAAATTAGATTTCTCGCTAAGAACGCATTGAATTCCTACTGAACAAGAGCCATTAGGTTGATGAAGAAATCATTATTATTACTCATTCTTGTTGGTTTTTTAGAACCTCTCTTCCACATTGTACTGCTCAGTTCAAAATACAAACTTTAGACCAGCACTGCAATTTAGAAATTGGGTTTTTTGAATGAACAAAGTTTGAACAGAATGTGCCTAGTGGAAACTAATTTACAGGGAAATTCCTATTAGGATGGATCCTCCACAATCTTCTCAGTTACTTATAAACTAGGAACTACTTAGATCAGCTACAGAAAGGGTGGGATACAAATTGAATAAATTGAATAAATATATAAAAATAGACTTGCAATACATCCATGATTTTTGAATTATTGTATGACGTTAAAACAATTACACTAAGGCGTTTCTAAGGACAATTTATTATATGCCTTAGCAACTAGCTTTCTTGAATTGCCTCTGTTGATGTTTAATAGGAGACGAAATGAGAGCAGGGCATTGGCAGCACTGGTGTAAAAAGTAAGGAGCAATACATCACAGAATGTTGAATAACTCCTTTTTATAGTTTCAAATGTGAAATGCCCCCTTTTGATTGCATTTGATTGATGATATTAACAGTGAAGATAATAGAATAGAATCCCTCAGTACTAAACTGGAAGGGTTTAGTCTTAATGTTTTGTCTTAATGCTGGCTTCATGCAGCCTTGCTCGTCATGCTATAAAATCAGATTACCATGTGCAAATGTAATAGAACTAATAAGAGACATCATGTGTCATATTGTGCCAGTGAATCCTTTGGTTGTCTTGTTGGGTTATGTGAAACAACACTTAGCTAAGGAATTTGAAGATCAGTTTTTGCGTATAAGAACATGGGGGTGGCGTCATGACTTCAAGAAAGCCATTGGATGTCCCTGCAAAAATAGAAATCAAAGTCATGGACTATGGTGGACTTCACAAAACCAGCCAACTTGATTTTGATCAGAAATTGAAGGCAAATGAGTGGTGTTGTGGTGATTAATAGAGTTTTGGCAGGAAAAATCTCAAAGTTTGTGCCATCTTTATATTTATCATTTCACAATGCAGGTTCTCTTTCTTTGTTAAAGAAGCTTGTATCATTGAACTAATGCAAAGCCATAATAGATGCCAGCTTTGGTAAGGTCTCTGCTGCATCTTGGTTATTGAATTTGCTCCTTTGAGGGTACAGTGGTACCTCGGGTTAGGTACTTAATTCATTCCGGAGGTCCGTTCTTAACCTGAAACTGTTCTTAACCTGAAGCACCACTTTAGCTAATGGGGCCTCCCGCTGCCGGAGCATGATTTCTGTTCTCATCCTGAAGCAAAGTTCTTAACCCAAGGTAATATTTCTGGGTTAGCGGAGTCTGTAAACTGAAGCGTATGTAACCTCAAGCATATGTATCCCGAGCTACCACTGTATTAGAATTTGCATACGGCTGTTTTCTGTCTACACTATGAAGAGCAAAACTGGGATTATGATATCTGGCTTTAAAACTCCCAAGTCCGAAGATTTGGTCCATTTTGCTTAATATTTACACCATTGTAAATATGGTGTTCATATTTCAACTAGTGGGTCCAGGGAACTCAATATTGTGTCTCAGATTGACCTAAGGTGGGTCATAAGAGCAGCATTATCACAACACAAATATATGGCAAAAGTAGTAAGAAATGACACTTCCATGTCTATGTTGGGCTATAGATAGGTCCTGGGAAAGGCTGAAGATTACTCACTGTCTGACTGTCAGCAACTCTCCAGAACTTTTTCAGCTCTGCATGGGACTTATACCAGGAATATTGAACCTGGGACCTCTGCAGGTATCCATGTACTTGGCCACTGAGCTAGAGACCTTCTATGTGAAGGAGATCCAGTTGAAATGGACTGCCTCATGATGTCCAGCCCACCCTCCTTCTCAGGGAACAAGGGTTTAATGCTTTCCCATTCTGTCCTGACATGAATAACATCCTGAAAGTTTTTAATTTTGACGAAGGGCTGTAGCTCAGTGTGTAGGCTGAGTGCGTACTTTGAACATAAAAGCTTCCAGATTCAATAATTGGCATCTCCAGGAAGAGTTGGGAAATAATCCATAGACTCTGGAGAGCTATGGCTTCCTGAAGATCAGCTGTCAGTTCCAATGCAGCATCTAGTTATTCAGAAAAGTTGTGAAATCTATGGGCAACTGTGTGCCAGATGAAGCTTTGTCCAAGGCACGGACATGAGCACAAGCGTCCTCTGGCATTGCCTTACCTAATTTCTCTGCTGCCGGCTATTGCTCCGTGCCCCTTCATTACTTGAAGACCTGCCACATTGCCGGAAAATCCTAATATGCAAAAATCCAAATATTACAATACAGATGTATGACAATTTCCCTAGGAAATTCTGTATAAAACCTTGCCTTTTCTAAGGGGAGCGTGCGGGGTTTGTTTTGCTTTGTTCCTGGGACAAAATATATGCCAAAATGTTTTAACTGTTAAAACCAAAGGTTGCATTCAGCTAAGGCCTACTCTAGAGTACACCAATTAATGAACTTAATGAACTTCAGTTAGTCATATCCATTAACTCCACTGGGTCTCCTCTGAGTAGCACTAGCATTAAATAGTGCACAAAAACATTCAGCAGGCTCCTCTTTTATTCCTATGAAAAGAAATAAATTCAGGAGCTGGACTACTGATTTCTGCCCACAGCAGCAGGGCTGTGACATAGTCCTCGAAATAATCTCAGGCCAGGAACATCTTGAAATCTGAGTATCTACACACAGATGAGGGATCTGTGGTGCTCTAGAATACAACTCCCATCATCCCTGAGCACTGTCGTCTTGCTGGTTGTGGCTGATGGGAGTTGTAGTCCAACATCATCCGCAGGACCACGGGTCCTCTGTCCCTGATCTAGAGGGTGCCCTAAGTCTTCAGAATGAGTGCCTGCGTGCCTGTAGCCAGGAACCAGCAGTCAACGTTCTTATCTGAATAATCTTCCACTTCACTTTACACGCTGGGAGCTCCTGGCTTTCTTCAAGATAAACTAGTTTATAATTAAGGCCTTGCTTGGCAAATAGTTGGGTTTTTAGTCATATGCAGCGCATAAGAACATTGCTCAGTAATTTTTAAAAGCCCTTGTAAACACTGGAGATAGTGTCAGGATGTACTTTCTGTCCGGCTAAAACCTCTTGAAAGCTGCCTAATAGGTCCTCGTGATTTTTTGGTTCTTTAAAAAAAAATTACTGTTGCCAGTTGTGACATTAGAGCTACAGGACTGAAATAGTTCTCTTCTCTACACACTCCCCCCTTCCCCTCCCCGATCATTAAAAAACAACCACCATCTAGGCCATTGCTCTAGAATAAGCAATGTTGTTCATGACTATGGAATAGAATAGGGCCTTCCGAAGAAGATTGTGGCTGCCGGGCTTACTTGCATTTTTCCCTTGAAGAGCTGGACATTGTTATTCTGTCTGTGCATTTTTATTCATCTTGCTCTTACGACTGTTTTTAAATTTTAATTATTATCTATCTATCTATCATCTATCTATCATATCTATCTACCCATATATACATATATATATTTGTATTTGCAAGTCTCATTAAAGAATGAAGAAACCAAAAAGAAAGAAAAAAATGGATTTGGACAAGGCTGTAGAATGGTAAAGGTAAAGGGACCCCTAACCATTAGGGGTTCCTAATGGAACCCCTAATGTTCTTGGTAGTTCTTGAAGCTACCAGCATGAGTTTGACCAAACTGCGGGAGGCAGTGGAAGACAGGAGTGCCTGGCGTGCTCTGGTCCATGGGGTCACGAAGAGTCGGACAAGACTAAACGACTAAGCAACAACAACCATTAGGTCCAGTTGTAACTGACTCTAGGGTTGCGGCGCTCATCTCGCTTTATTGACTGAGGGAGCTAGCGTACAGCTTCCGGGTCATGTGGCCAGCATGACTAAGCCGCTTCTGGCGAACCAGAGCAGCGCACGGAAATGCCGTTTAACTTCCCACCGGAGCGGTACCTATTTATCTACTTGCACTTTGAGGTGCTTTCGAACTGCTAGGTTGGCAGGAGCAGGGACTGAGCAATGGGAGCTCACCCCATCTCGGGGATTCGAACCGCCGACCTTCTGATCGGCAAGTCCTAGGCTCTGTGGTTTAACCCACAGCGCCACCTGCGTCCCTTTGTAGTGTTACCCCTCGCTTAATTTCCTTCCCCTTCTGCAGCTGATCTGCATCTGCTTTGATTGGGGCAAGGACCTGCCGTACCTGTTCTTTGCAAAGTGCCACATACATAGGTGAAGCCAACAGCACTTCAGTATGTTCGCTCCCCAACACACACGTAGTGACAGTAAAATTCAAACCCCATATAGCTTCCACCCCAGTTTTGAAGCTGTCCAAAGCAAGATGGCCTTTACTTATGGTTGTCCTGTAAGTTGTCAAGTAACCTCGGAAGGCAAACAGCCATCTCCTTCAGGTCACCAGGCCTGAGAGCTTTTGGGGAACCATATGGGGGTTCCTTCATGGGGTTGATGTTAACTTCACAAATGACTGAGATTGATGGGTCTTGGCACATACTGATTAAGAACAGAGAGTGTCCATAGGCATCTGTTGGTCAACATGATCCTGGATGAGATAGGCCTTTGGTGTGATCTAGGAGGGCTCTATATATTTTATTTGGCTTCCGACTTGCATGGACTTTGTCTTCAAAGTCACCAATGTGATTTAGAAATTAGAAATACTTTGTCACTTGTACAACTTGTATACAGTGAGATTACACGAGCAACCCCCCCCCTCAGCTCTCTTAGTCTTAATTCCCCTCGTTTACTGACACACACCCACCAAACCCGAAAATCAGTTGCCCTGTTGTTATCTTTTCATTCAGCAGCCTAACAGCCCATGGATAGAAGCTGTTCTTTACCCTGTTGGTGCGACTAATCCTGCTTCTGTATCTTCTGCCTGAGGGCAGGAGATCAAGGAAGTGCCGGCCAGGGTGTGAATCATCCCTGAGAATTTTCCTCTCTCCTGAGGCAACGATCTTCCGCTATTTCATCCAGTGGATTCACGGGACAGCCGATAATATCTTGTGCTGTATTCAACACCCTCTGTAGGGACTTCCTATCAGATGATGTCAAACCAGCATACCACACCGTGATGCAGTATGAAAGGACACTTTCTATTGTTGACCGGTAGAAGGAGATCATCAGATGTTCTTCCGCAATACTCTGAGGAGATTAGTGCTTGGGATATCAACATGGCATTACTCCTTGATTGTCTGGCCTTTGGCTCATCTTGCCCAGTACTCTATCCTGTGGTCCCTTGCAGGAGCCTTTCCAGTTAGAGGATGTCTGAGGGAGGACAGGGGTGGAACCTGGAACCTTCTGCATGCAAACTACGGCCCTCTCAGAGCACTCACAAAACTGCTGACAATTGCTGTCAGAAAATGAGGGGGTTATGTCTTTTGGTTCTAGTGCCATTCCACACCGGGGGCAGGGGCGTTTTGAGAGAAGATGGTTCTTAGAAGCTTGAATCATATTGAAGGCTGGTAGCTGCACATTCAGTTTTCAATGCCTGTATTGCCACACATTTCTGTCTGATTTTCCATCTCCATTCCTCTCTGTCTCTCCCTGAACCTTGTAGCAAACCTGGTGTTGCACCAGACAGTGGAGCGCATTCATGTGGGCAAAAAGTACGGTGACATCCCTCGGGGCATCTTTGTGGTGAGAGGCGAGAACGTCGTACTTCTGGGAGAAATTGTAAGTAAACCCTGTCACATAGACTTCCTTTGGGGCTTATTGGGCAGTGGTATCTCCTGCCGTGCTCAGTTTTGTCGGTGGAGAAAGGCTTGTCCTCAATGCCATTTTTCCTTCTCGTGCAGCCCTGCAGTTAAACACTAGCCTAGCAAGTGATTATGAATAAATTGCGATCCGAACTTGAAAATGATGCTAACCAAATTAATAGAGAACTGGTAATTATAAAATTGTTTATACTGGTTATGTTAAGTGCTTTATTAACGTCAGTCCTATGTTAGTTTGCATCATTTGGAAGTTCAGTCTGTTCTTAATTCCTTCTCTTGGTTTGTTAGAGGTTCCTCCTTTCGCGATAAGCACCAGCCTGGTAGCCACAAGGAATTGCGTGCAGGCGAGTGAGTAGGCTTGTAGAGGAAGGAGAGAGTCCTCTGTGCCCCGCATAGAAACCAAGCGGGCTGGTGGAGCCCCCTTTCCCACACCAAAACAGAAATTCAGTTCTCAATCCCTCCTCTGCCATTCACCAGAAGATGTGTGTGTGTTGGCAGGTTAGTGACTTTAGTAGGCTTACTTGTAAGGCTGTTCTAACACTGAAACCAGGTGATCCCATGCAAGCAAAAGAGGGCCACTTAAAATGATGGCTGTTTATGAATGCCTGTGAAATATAGGCTACCAGGACCTTCCGAATGCTGGAGGTGAGCATAGGCCGCACCTACACAATACTCTCAAAGTGTTTTGATGCCATTTTGACAGCTATGGTTTCCCTCAAAAGGGAACAGTAGTCTTTTAAGGGTCCTGAGGATTGTTAGGAGACCCCTGATTGACTGTTAAACCATTCTGGAAATGGTAGCTCTGTGAGGGAAATAGGATTTTCCTAGCAACACTCTCCTCTCCTCTCAGCACTCTTAACAAGCTACAATTCCCAGGCTTCTGTGGGGGAAGCTATGGCTGTTAAAGTGGTATCATAGTGATTTAAATGTATGGTGCAGATATGGCCAAAATAGGGGGAAATAGTTCTAGGCTAGCCATCTCTCTAAAAGGGACGCGGGTGGCGCTGTGGGTTAAACCACAGAGCCTAGGACTTGCCGATCAGAAGGTCGGCAGTTCGAATCCCCGCGACGGGGTGAGCTCCCGTTGCTCAGTCCCAGCTCCTGCCCATCTAGCAGTTCGAAAGCACGTCAAAGTGCAAGTAGATAAATAGGTACTGCTCCGGCGGGAAGGTAAACGGCGTTTCCGTGCGCTGCTCTGGTTCTCCAGAAGTGGCTTAGTCATGCTGGCCACATGTACGCTGGCTCCCTTGGCCAAGAAAGCGAGATGAGCACCGCAACCCCAGAGTCGGTCATGACTGGACCTAATGGTCAGGGGTCCCTTTACCTAGCCATCTCTCTGGTAATGTCAGTTTTGTAGACGCATGAGATTATTTTAAAGTGAAGAAATGCATTCCTGTTATGAGTTGCACAAGACACAGGATTGCAATCTCCCTGATTCAAAAGCCTTGTCTGATGGAATGCGTCACATTCTCAAATCCGAGCTCTGATCCCATCTGCAACCAAGGCATAGGCACTTTTCACACAAGTTTTAGATGGTCTTGCATTTTTTTCTGGATGAGGGATAACCAAATCATGTGATCATTGCATCCATTCGTTTTGGGAGGCTCTTCTCTGCTTCGCCTTAACCACTGTGATGAATGATGCTCCCCCTGTTTAAGGGGGGGTGGTCCTTGTAATTGTTTGCTCTTCTGTCAGCACAGAGACTTGGCAATTGTAGTTCATCTCAACAGACAAGGGGCAAAGTTTGGAGTGGCAAGGAGCCGTGGGGTTCTTATCTTTCTTTACCTCCCCCCTGGGACTTTAGCATTAAGCATAACAGAAGGACCCTTTTTTGACATTCTTGCACCATTTTGGTGCCTTGAATCAAATTGAGGCCTTTTACTCAAACCATGCAGATTGCTTGCATTCAGTCTCTATCTACTATGTTATCCTGGTGGAGAGCAGCCTGGTGTCTAGACTCCCTTACAACCTGTCAATTTCATTGCTAGACAGGAAGATTACATCCTGTTTCGAGGGGGGACAGGACACAACTTGATACCTCTTCGGTACATGGCTCCCTCAGACACCCCTTGGGGCCCACAAAGACTCTCCTCCTTTATCTCATTTTTTAAGGGGAGTTGGCCTGTTTGGGCTGTTGTGTGTGTAAAATTTTCATTTGATTTGGGATGTAGGGCAGAGTTTTTATCCCATTTATAGGTTGGCCCTTGAGACAACTAGCAATTTTCATTCTCCCCCGCCCCATATCATGCATTGCTAAAGTGTCATCTGTTGTAGCAGCAGCAACAAAAACACATTGGACAACTTACACGGTCATTTTGTTTGTTTGTTTAGAATGTATAACCCCCGCTTCCTCCCAAGAGGTGCCCAGTGTTTAAAAAGAGCTGTTGCAAACAGCTGTTATCCATCATGGCTCAATAAAGCCTCCATCCTCAGAGCGAACATATCTCTGTGGACCAGATATTGGAGACGTCCCTTGTCTTCATCTTCTGCTTTTGATCACTTGGTTGGCAGGTGGCTGGCAGCTTTGGCGGGCACAGTGTTGGCATCAATGGCCCCTTCCTCATTAGCCAGGCATCTCGTTGTAGTTCGACTTTGTCCTTTTCATGGAAATGAAAAATCTTCCCTAGGCATTTTACCATTCTCTGTAGCAGGGGAAGGGAAGCTTTTCCAGCCCACGAGCTACATGCTAGATGTCAGAGGCAAAAGTGGCCAGAACAAGTCATGTACGTTTGGCCTTTGTACAGTGGCAGCCCTCTCTATCCTCCAAGCTAGGCAAGCAAGAGGGACTGTCAGAGTCCAAAGGCACATTCCAGCCAGGCAGAAACACTAAATCAGGATGTGAAACAAAACTGATGAGCAGTGTTGCCTGCAGGGAGTTCCGAGGGCCAGGTGTCGAGGTCTTGGGGTCCACATCCAGCCCCTTGGGCCTGAGCTTTGTCACTCCTGCTGTGTGCTCGACGCAAACTCGGCAGTGGTGCACCCACCAGGATCTTACGCTGCTGAAAGTGGGGTGGAGATACTTTAACCCTCCTCTCCTCAACCTCAAAAAAGGTGGTGTGGGTTGACAAATTTGAGTGGCGGCTGAGCCTTCCTTTTCTGTTGCAGGACCTGGAGAAGGAAAGCGACACGCCTTTGCAGCAAGTATCGATTGAGGAGATCCTGGAAGTGCAGCGAATAGAGCAGCAAGCCAAGCAGGAGTCGGAGAAGCTGAAAGTGCAAGCGCTGAAGGAGCGGGGCCTCTCCATTCCACGGGCTGATACACTAGATGAATACTAGGCATTCAGTCCAGACAATCACAGCTGCCCCCAAGATTGAATTAGCATTTAGGGCCCCCTCGCGATGTGCATTTCCCCACCAACACCTCTCCCCCCCCCTTTCCCTGCGCCCTGAGTGCGAAACACAATTTAATCATGATTTATCATTGTTGCTGAAGACCTGAAAAGATCCCAGTGTTACGTAATCCAAGGTGATGGAGCAGCTGTCAACAATCCTGGCTAGGGATGAAACTTTTTTTTTAAATATAGTTTTCTTTCTTTCTTTTTTCCTTTTGTGACTTTGGAGGAGGTGGAATTAAGCCTCCCCTGACATGTAAATAAAAACTGACTCTGCGAACCCGGGTCTTGCTTAGGCTAGAACCCTTTGAGAGTTTTGTGCTCACCTTTTCAACTTTTAGCTTTTCTCTAAAAGTGTAAAGTGAATTCAGTGAAGGCACCTTTGCCTCTTAAAAACTGGGCTGGTGGAGATTTTGGTGCCTGAATTGGAGGCAGGTGTGTGGGAAATCTGTGCCCTTCCAGAGGTTGGTAACTTGTGTTCAGAAGCTTGGGACTTAGAAATAAGAACCTGGACTCAGGCTATGTTTGTTACATTTATTTTAGAGTCCTTTCCTCTCCCTTTCAGAGCTCTCTGTGCATCCTGGGGTGGACAAGTCCATGCTTAACCCAGAGCATTCTGGGCATCCTGGTCTGGATCAAGCAATGGATCCTGCCATAAACATTGCAATGGCCTAGGACTCTATCACCCCTGACAGTTGAGCCCTGGCTAGGGCTGATGGGAATCGTGGTACGAAAAGACATCTGGAGGACTTGACTATAGGTTCCCAATCCTCGCTTTAAAGATGTCCATCTGTCAGTCGGGACTGAGAAGGCTTAATACCAGGCAACTAAGTGAATCTCTGAATATTAATTCCCAGTCATTGGTATTGGCATTGATCTTTGTGGAGTGTTGGTTGAGATAGATAAATGGCTTCTATTCCTCTACGTGCATCATACATAGCATATCTACAAGGGACCTTCTGCGCTGCGTTCTCCCATACACAATTATAATCATTCAGAGGGGGAAAGTGGAGTCACACTTCCTGGGCCAGCCTCCCATTGTCCCACTGTGGCCGGGTCTGTGAGTATCTCACGGGCTTTAAGGATAAATGTGGCAGCAGAGAGACAACTGCAAGCAACCAAACTCTAAACCATATAGGGTGCCTGATGCTTTACAAGAGGCTTCCCGCTTTAGAAGTTGCCTTTAAAACATGTGACAGGAGGGTGTCCCAAGAAGCATGCCCTTGTTTTCTCCCTGTGCACGATTTTTGCTACCTAAGCGGGGTGGTTATTATTTATTTACCTTTTGTACACTGCTTTTCCACATGAATGTACAGTCATATCTCAGGATGAATACACTTCAGGTTAAATATTTTCGGGTTGCGCTCCGCGGCGACCCAGAAGTAACGGAGCGTGTTACTTCCGGGTTTCGCCGCATGCGCAATCGCTCAAAATGATGTCATGCGCGGAAGCAACAAAACGCGACCTGCTCAGTTGCGTGTTACGTTCGCTTCAGGATGCGAACGGGGCTCCGGAACGGATCCTGTTCGCATCCAGAGGTACCACTGTACTCGAAGCAGCTCAAAATGCCAACGAAAATGCAATAACAGTCTAATCATTTGGAAACAAAGCGGTCCATCTAAAAGTGGCTCCAGTACAGATGCAGACTGGACAAAGAACTTGCCTTAAAAGGCTTTTTAGAAGAGGAACATCATCAGTAGCTGATGCTTGTTCTTTCCCACTTTGCAATTATGTGCCACCTGTGTGCTCCCAAAGTAGCTTACGAAAGATACTTCACTTCACACTCATCCTTGTTTATTTACCTAATTTATAAATGGGTTCACAGCCTGAGGTCATCAACAAGAGAGAAGACAAATTCCCACAACTGTTAACACCATTTCTGCAAACTAAAAACAAAACCATTCCTACAAATGTGCAGTTAGTATTTCAGAAATTATTGGGTCATATCTCGGGGAAAGCCTTCTGAAAACCAAACCCTCTTCAGTATTGTCTAAAGAGCCTGTCTGATTTCAGCTGGTTGTTGAATTTGAGAGGGCTGGAGCTGCAACACTAAGAGCCTGATTTCTCTGCTGTGCCCCATCTGAGGAGCACAGTTGCTGGGCAGGCAGGCAGGCATAGGGCAAGGCAGTCCCTTAGCTATCCGCGGCCCAAGCAGTTTGGGGCTTTAAATGCTAGACACAGAACATGCACAGAGCAGCCCATGCAGCTCCCTCAGCAGAGGTGTTCCATGGTGTCGGAAAAGCCCATCCAGCAACCTAGCTGCTGTATTCTGCACAGGCTACAGATTCTGGGTAGAGCCTAAGGCAGGGTTCCCAAGCATCATTCTAGTGGTCCACATTGTCTCTCTGAAGTCTATGACATTTGAATGCCAAGAGAGCATATACAAAATAAGCAATAAAAACACAAAAATCATGCAGCATCCAGCACAGCGCATTACAATTGCTACCCTTTTTGTTGTTTGTTGGCATCTGTCTCGAGAGACAATGGAGTGTGCCTCCAAGGGTGGAGTCAAACCATTGATTTCATTAGCAGCACCAAAGGGACCTCCCATGACACAAGCCTGGGCAGTGTGTATGGAGGTCCTGGGCTGCCCAAACAAGACCAGCCCTCTTGGCCTCACAGATGTGGTCCAATGGAAAGCAGAGCAATATGTTTGGCACCAGGTTGGCTGCAGGAGCTGCTGGAAGGAGGAGTACAAGGTGCTATCCAACCTGTGTGTAGGGTTCACCCTTTAGCTTTTCCTTCTGAAGATGTCCTGCAAGGCAGTGGAGGTTTAGGAACAGCGTTTTCCTTCTACGTGGGCTGCCTTCCCAAGTTGATGAGCCCCATCTGCCCCTCACAATTGCTACAACAGGCTAAAAAATATTTGTGGTTCATCAAGACACCATTTTTAAGTGGTCTCTGGGCAATGGTGTGTGTGTGTGTGTGTGTGTGTGTGTGTGTGTGTTTTGGGGAACAGCTGACCTAAGGGAAGACCCACCTAGAGCACATTTCACTAATCTATTCAGGAAGTTGCCAGAACATTCCACCCCAATCATCTACATATATAATAATGAAGCTAAGCAGGTTTGGGTCTGGTCAGTGCCAGGCTGGGAGACTGCTTGTGGACCCAAAGTATGCAGCTTTGAGTTTCCTAATGGAAGAAAGTATAAAAATATTAAGGAACCCCACTAAGCTTCTATTATTTTATAAGCATTTAAAATGGTTCTATCTCTTGCCTGCGTTAGTTCAAAAAAGCATTTGTCTAGGCTTGGTAAATACAGTAGAGAGGAAAGTGCAAAGATCACCTGCTCAAAAACCAAACTTACGATCTTTGGGAAGAAATCTTTGGGAAGAAACACCAGAGACTCAGACGGTCAACAGATGAGCAACCAGTTTGCCAAGTGACTTAATCTTAAGTATCTCGGAAGTTATTTTAAAGATAAGGGGCAATAAACCTTTTCCAGCCTGAGGAATCTTAGAGGATAATTTCTTGGGAAAGTTGTTAATTCTGCCCCCTAGTGTGGTTAGAGTGTAAGACTACGACCTGGGAGATCAGGGTTCAAAAAACCTGGAAAACTCGTTTTCTAAACGTTACTTGAAGTTACCTATATAGTGCAGATGGAGAGAAAAGAAATCCTGATAACACCTTACTGAGGAAAACAGTATACTAATTCGAGGAGAAAGGAACAGAGGGGTTTTGTCTTTCATACTTCAGGCCTTGTATGTAGCATGGAGACGTTCAACCAAACCTATAGAGGAAAAACTCTCAAAACTACCCAGTATGCTATCTCAGCCAAGATCATGCCATTCTGCCTGGTTGCTAAGCAACACCACACCCCTCCCTCTCTTGGCTAGTTGACTAACACAGAATTAACCCTTTAGTTGTACACAACATGATTTCTGCTGCTGTACCTCCAGCAATAAGAAACTCCAATATTGTTGTCTGTGCACATTCTTTGGTCAACCCCAATGCATTTGTTAAGCTCAAGGCTTGAAGTACAAAGCACATTTTCTGATATAAGTTCAAAGTGTTCCTGGTCCTTTTGGCAGCATTAAAATTGCAACTTCAGAATTTCCTAGACAGTTAATTTAAGCTAATGTAAGCCTTTGTGGCTATCTCCTCTGAGACTATGCCATTGGCCATGACTGGTGGTTGATATTGTCATACTCCTTATTGCCCACAAAGATAGATTTACAGAAATCCTGAGATGGAAGATCTCAAAAATAAAAAAATGAACTTAGAGAGACAGTTACAAAACAGAACTAGTTCTTGAACTCCCTCCACCCACTTTTACCTCAACTCCCTGCCCCACTTCCTGCTTTGTGTATCATCTTACTTGGCAAAGAGTTCTTGAGAACCTGAAAGCTTGTCACACTTTTGTGACATTTCATTGGCTCCCAATAAATGTATTGCCCAACTGTGGATTTGGAATTTTTTCTTCTTTTTATTTTATTAGGCTTACCCTCAAAAACCATCCCAGAAAAAAATATACTGACTTTTCTGTGACTTACAGTGTTTCCTCTTGCTCTAGCTACTGCAAGGATCTGTGCAAAAGTGCCAAAGGGGTGCCTTGCTTTCATGGTAATTTTATTGCCTTTTTGCCATATGCTTGAGTGTTGGTTTTTCCTATTCTTTATGTTACTGCTTTTAAAATAATCATCCTTAATTCTGGCTTTTATGTACTGTGATTCATATACATTACATTCTTAGTATTTGCAAACATAATTTGATTGCTGTGCACCAACAACTTTTCCATGTCGATCTCTACAGTCACAGCAGCTGCTGCAACCTTCCAACAGTTTGACTTCACTCCCAAAGGTCTACTCCTCCTCCATTATCTCCCGGGACAGATAGATGCCAACTTTGGGGAGTGGCTGGATCTTTGCAAAGATTTTTGACCCCAAGCAATGCAAACATGCGGGTGGCACTGTGGGTAAAACCTCAGTGCCTAGGGCTTGCCGATCACATAGTCGGCGGTTCGAATCCCCGCGGCAGGGTGAGCTCTCGTCTTTCGGTCCCAGCTCCTGCCCACCTAGCAGTTCTAAAGCACCCCTAAGTGCAAGTAGATAAATAGGTACCGCTTTATAGCGGGAAGGTAAACGGTGTTTCCATGTGCTGCGCTGGTGCTGGCTTGCCAGAGCAGCTTCGTCACGCTGGCCACGTGACCCGGAAGTGTCTCCGGACAGCGCTGGCCCCCAGCCTCTTAAGTGAGATGGGCGCACAACCCTAGAGTCGGACACGACTGGCCCGTGCGGGCAGGGGTACCTTTACCTTTACTTTTAATGCAAACATGACCCACATACAAAACAAACAAACAAACAAACAAACCTCTTACTATTGTGCCAAGCTATGGGTTGTTTCCTACTCATAATAGTGTCAGGAGTGCATGCTGGAGCCAGGCCCTGTGACCGGTAGGGCTTCGCAGGACTGGGGCCTTCCTAAGTTTGTTCTGGAGAGGCAAGGTGCAGCCACACAGGTGAGGCCGCTTGGTAACTCACTGCACCTGGTGGCAAGAGCTGGGAAGGGGTATGAGGTCAGCATTTCCCTTCAGTTCTTTGCCACAGCAACATGTTTCCTGCCTTGGGCTTCTTGCTTCCTGATCCTCGGACCTCGGCTTCCTGACTCCCTGCTTCTTGATCCTTGGATCCTTGACTTTGTGACTCCTTGCTTCCTGACTCTCGGACCCCTGACTTCTGGACTCTCGTTCCTACCACCCCGCCATCTTGCCCCTGGTCCCAACGTCCTCAGCCAGGACTTTGATCGCCCGTAGACCGGACCTTGACAAATAGCCCCAATGAAATTAATGGACCTAAGTTAGCAATGCCTATTAATTTCAGTGAGTCTTCTCTGAGTACGGCTAGCATTGGCTTCAATAATAATAATAATAATAATAATAATAATAATAATATTTTATTATTTATACCCTGCCCATCTGGCTGGGTTTCCCCAGCCACTCTGGGTGGCTTCCAACAAAACACTAAAATACAATAACCTATTAAACATTAAAAGCTTCCCTAAACAGGGCTGCCTTCAGATGTCTCCTAAAAGTTTGGTAGTTATTTTTCTCTTTGACATCTGGTGGGAGGGCATTCCACAGGGCGGGTGCCACTACCGAGAAGGCCCTCTGCCTGGTTCCCTGTAACTTGGCTTCTCGCAGCAAGGGAACCGCCAGAAGGCCCTCGGCGCTGGACCTCAGTGTCCAGGCAGAACGATGGAGGTGAAGACGCTCCTTCAACCCATTGAAAGGCTGAGTGATCCACATCCAGCAATTGTTTAGGCATGTGAAAGAAGCCACAATGCAGAAAACATACCCATGATCCTCCAGAGCCATAGAATGCCAGTACATTGTTCAAGCTAAGCTGGCTTTAGCACGGGCAGTGCTGAGACCAGTGTCTGAACTGGGGCAATCTTCTGAAAGAGGGAGATGGAACAGGGTGTACAGAAACATGTAGAAAGACTGGCTAAAAAAGGCGCAAGGTGTGGAGCCCTGCATCTAATGTGACACAAGCAAGATCAGACACATTCATCACAAACACACCTAGTTTTGTCCTGTGCACTTCTCTGTCTGCTGCGACTTATTTACACCTGTCACAGAGGGAAGCGAATGGCAGCCATTCCAGGCAGTCTGTATGTGCACAAGCCAAGGCCTGACTTGGGGCAGGCAGGCACCACACCCACAAGCACAGGAAGTTGCACCTTCCTTAACAGTTGCTTACGACCACAGGGGCAGAGCGCAGAGGCGGCACATTTTTCAGGCTGTAGGACCCAAGTGAAATGCCAGGTTTTCTTACAAGGCATTCACACCACACAAATTGTAGGGAGAAAGTTTGATGCAAGTTATGGGCGTTGCAGACAGTGGCGGAGCTGCATGCTCCGGCACTGGGGCTGGAGAGCAGGTGGGAGCGGAGCTGGCGCATGTCCCGGGGGTGGTGTGGTGCGCATCCTGGGGGTGTGGGACGCCGCCTATGGGGGCATGGCGCCCAGCACGGGCAGGGTGCAGCCGCAATGGCACCCCACCAGGTTTGTGCTGCCGGGGGCAGTGCGCTCCCCCCCCCAACTCTTCCTCCGCCAGTGGTTGCAGATCAGCGAATTTGCACCCATAAACCAGTGGCTCTTCATCTAATCCATCTAAGGCATTTTGTTCTTGGACCTTTTTATTCCTGGATAAATGGAGCAATGGTGAATGAGCTTTGCCGCAATTGAAAAAAGATAAGAAACTCACGTGATTGTGCAGAGGAACTCTTGAAAGGATTTTTGTAAGGTTGTCACAACTTGGAGTAACTGTTTGGTGTTGCTGGAACCTCTTAATGACCCCGGACTATTCCATTTTCACATTTCAGAAGTAGCACTAGTTGAATAGATGATATAGAAAAAAGAAGGCATCTGCATACCCTACCAGTCTGGACCGGTAATTAGACACTTTGAAAATTGCTTTTCTCCATGGTAGACGTAGAATTTAAACTTTTTGAGTGATACATTCCCACTCTTCTATTAGGCCAACTAGCTTAGAGCTCCAGGTTTGCAAAGCTTACATGCCAGGGACACAACCTATGTCAAGTTAATAATTCTCTCACTGGTTGTAAGGATAGAATTATAAGCAGTGAAATCAAGGGAACTTAAAATAACTCAACTTGAACTGGCTTGTACTGCGTAAGATTTTACCTAGTAGCTCCATGTATTCAGAGAAAGAAAAACTCATGATGTTAAAAGTGATGTTCTTCCAGTGATTGAGATATCCACTGACACTTATTGCCAATAGCTTCAGCACAAGAGAATGGCTTTCTCCAGGCAATACAGAAGTAGTCGGTGTGTGTGTGTGTGTGTGTGTGTGTGTGTGTGTGTGTGTGAATTTAATAAGGTAAGTAGCAGCTATTAGCTTAGGTAGCTTTAGCAAAAGTCAAGTCATACATTAAAAAAAGAGAAATAAATCAAAAAATTGTCCAGTAGCACCTTAGAGGCCAACTAAGTTTGTTCTGGGTATAAGCTTTCTTGTGTATGCACACTTCTTCAGATACCAACACGGCTACCTACCTGAATTAAAAAAGGAGAGTTGAAGCAGCAACTGTTACCCTTCAGAGATGTAAATGAGCCTCCACATCTGGGAACAATATATCTGAGCACCAGAAGCCAATGACAAAATAAGGACCATCTTCATCATACCCTGCAAAGGAGGAGAATCTGATTGGAAAATGTGGGTGGTAAGAAGACTATAGTCTGTCAATTTTAGTGCAAAAGCCTTTACAATGGACGGCAGAGAATAAAAGGAAAACTTTCATCTGGAATCAATACAATACAGTGGTACCTCTGGTTATGTACTTAAATCGTTCCAGATGTCCGTTCTTAACCTGAAACTGTTCTTAACCTGAAGCACCACTTTAGCTAATGGGGCCTCCTGCTGTTGCTGCTGCTGCGCCGCCGGAGCCCGATTTCTGTTCTCATCCTGAAGCAAAGTTCTTAACCCAAGGTACTATTTCTGGGTTAGCAGAGTCTGTAACCTGAAGCGTATGTAACCCGAGGTACCACTGTAATGTAATTGTTGTGATATATCAGAACAGAAGACACGGTGGAGGTTGATCCATTGAGGCAAATGGGGCTCTACCCCACCAAACCTGGTCTCCAGGCCCACCTGTAACTGTATCTCCATCTCCTTCCACCCTCCAACCAGGAAAGCAAACAAGAGACTTTATGTTTCTAGGACATGTTCCAGCTAGACAAGAGCACCTGAGGAGGTCGAGGATCAGGGCTGGTGAGGCGGGATGTGTCCTGGGGAGTCTCTTGAGGACCAGACAGAGGGGCCTGCATTTGAGACACGTGTGTGTCTGTGTGTGTGTGTGTGTGTGTGTGTGTGTGTGTGCCGAGCTTCTCCTTCCCCGCAACCCACACCTGACTAGTGTGACCTCGCTGGCGATGGTCTGCCCGTTCTCTCTGCGCTCAACCTAAAGAAGGCGAACTACATTTCCCAGGATGCACTGGAGCGCAAAACTTTTGCACGCTCTCTCTCTCTCTCTCTTTTTTGGAAGAAGGTGGGTAGAGGAGGTTACATAAGTCCCAGAACGTTGACACATCGCTGCCCCGCCCCCGCGGGAGCGACGTCACCGGCCCGGAGCCCCGCCCTCGTGGAACGTTTGGTAGCCAGTTTCAGATTGCTACAGTCGCGCTCGCGTCCACGCTATTTCCTGCTGCCGCTGGGGGGGTGGAAAGATTCCTGCGCTCTGGCTCGCCGTCTCTCCCCCCCCCCCCAGATTCTTGCGTGGGGGGCCCCCGGATTCCTGATCCCCTTAAACAAAAATAAATCCTGCTTGCGGGGGAAACGACGGACCGAGCCTCTGAGCTGCGCCTCCACATCAGAAGGACTGCATTTAGGATCTCTTCGTCTCCTATTTCCTTCTCCCCCCATCTGGGCATGGTGCGCTGGGGAGGGGGGTGAAGGGGCTTTTCCTCAGCGCTGCTGACCCCCTCCGCCCCCCCATCCCTACCCCGAGAGGGGTTTTACCGGCGCCGGAAAGCCTCCTTCCGAGGGGAGGGGGGGCGGTGCGCGAGGGAAGGGATCCCTGGATCGCATTGCATTGCGGCTGTTGCTCCTAGGAGGAAGGGGGAAAAAAGGCTTTGCTCCTTTTCGTCCAGCCTTTGCCCACTCCTTCCCCCTCCCCCTTCCCCATTTCCTCTGCGCTCTTTTTTTTCCTTTTCATTTTAATCATCTGTTCGATTTCGCCTCGGAAGGAAAAGGAAGATATATATATGAATGACTATGCTGCCTTGAGGACTCGGATGCTGGCGGCCTCTTTTTAAAAGGGGGAAAAAATCGGGAGGCGGGGAAAATCACCTTGCAGAGGATCTTCGAAGAAAACAGCTGCCCCTTCTGCCTCGTTTCCCCCTCGACCCTGCCGCCGCAGCATCACTCACGCTGGAGCATTATGGAGCTGGAGAATATTGTGGCCAACACAGTCTTGCTCAAAGCCAGAGAAGGTAAGAGATGGGGGGGGGCGTGTGGTACAGGCGTGGGTCTTTTTCCTGGGCGAGCGGGGGCTCGTCTCCCCTCCCCTCTTCCCTCTCTCTTCCCCCAACCCAGAACTGGCATAATGGTTTTAGCAGAAAGAAAGTTGGGCTCTTGTCTCCGGCCGTTCCTGTGTGGCGATGGGGGTTTCCTCGGTTTCCCCGGAGCGCCCAAAGAAAGCGTGTGCGCCCGTGGGTGTAACTTTGTGCCCGTGCAGGTAGGTCGTGCCCAGAGGTGAGAACTGGTCCAATGGCACCCGGTGGAGCTGGAGGGATTTGAACTCAGGCCTAGGCCAACAAGTGGAAGGAGGGGGGGGAAGCCCAGGGGGCATCTGCAGAGAGCAGGTCCGGAATGGTGGACCAGCAAGAATTATTTTGCTTCCCAAATGAAAACGGCCAGAAAAAGGAGCCACTGCCTTCTTTGTGGAAGTGAGATCTTAAATTAGCAGTATGACCCTAAGCATACTTCTTTAGATTAGAAGCAGGCTTCCTGGAGTTCAGTGGGGCTTATTCCCAATAAGTGTGTGCAGAATCATAGCCTCAGTGCTGTGACCATTATGGTAATTTAGCAGCCTTTAAAAATGGGGGTGGACTCTGTTTTATATTCCAGTCCGTCCCCCCCAATTAGGGTTTTTTTTAATTAATGGGGGTAGACAAAATTTTGAATTTACCCAAGGGTTCAAATCCCACTGCAGCCAAGGACCTGTGTGTATGCCTTAGGCTAATGTGCAGTCTTTTAGCCTCTGTACTCCCATCTGTAAAATGGGACTATTAATCATAGTCTATCTTCTTATAATGCTTTGCAAGGATGGGCAAAGTAAAGACTTTGGACACTGAAAGCATACATCATCATAATCATCATCATCATCATCACTTCTACTACTACTACTACTACAAGATGCTTTGGACATACATTATCATTGTCATCGTCATCATCATCATCATCATCGGTGCCCTTACTGGGCACCTTTTGCAAATGAGAGCAATAAAGTGCATCTCACTTTGGGGCCCACATAGCACACTGCACCAATTCCTGGATCAGTTATAGAGCATCTGTCCTGCATGCAGAAGGTCTCAGGTTCAAGCAATTGCTGCCATCTCCAGGTGGGAGGGAACCCTGCCAGAAGGCATGGAGAGTCACTGCCAGCCAGTGTAGATAATACTGAGCCAGGTGGATCAATGGTCTGACTCAGTATCCATCAGCTTCCTATGTTCATGCATACTGCCAGGGTTTAAATGACATTGGGTATAGGCAGGGCACGTGCTTTACACAGATGAGGTGTGTTTCCGATGCTTCAAATTGGTGCTGATGAATGCAATGAAAATGAATTCTAAATTTCTCAGATAAATTGTGTCTAACACAGTAAATACTGTGTATATCTCTCTCTCTGTATTTTTGGCCGTTTGGTGGTTAGGGATGGAGATTTCACATAGCTCTGCAGGTCAGAACTATGCTGCCACTTACCGGTATATGAGTGAGCTAAATACTACCATGGCAATTAGAAAGCTTTACCTGATGCTCACAGCTCTGTCTAAAATCTTGGCATATTGAGAGAGAGAGAGAGAGAGTGTGTGTAACCTTTGCCGAGCCCTTTGATTATTCCAAGATAAAGGAGAAAACCTAAATCACAGGGAAACAGGTGCTGCAAGCTTTATCTTTACCTCCTCAACATTGGTATTTATCTTCACCAAGATGCAGCAACACCAGCATGTTGATTTGATCCGAGTAGCCCTACTTCAGCAAACTTGCTGCATTGGCCATGTTGATATGTGTGGCGGGTCTGTCGGGATTGTTCTTTTTCGGGATGCTCAGGGCAAATTCAGAGGAAGCCCACTCCTCTGGTACAATGAGAACATTTTCTTGACCATTGGAATGAATGGGGCATATGATGCAAATGTAACTCATTACTGAAATAATGGTTGTCCCTACATAACCTTTACAAAACAGAATATAAAGCAGTTCCAGAATTCCTAAAGGTTTTGTAATTGGGCTTCAGGCCTCTTAGAGTGACTAATTTTGTTGGGACTCAGAGCCATAAGTTCTGTCTGGTTATAGTGTTTCTGAAACAAGGAACACATTTTTTTCCAGGTTTGAAGGGCACTTTTCCTGGAAAGCCAAAATTTAATCCAGGTGGGAAGCATGTTGGCAGCATATGGAGCGATTGGAAGTGGTAGCCTCTCCCATGGGGTCCTGCCCTGAGTTAGATATACGAACAGGGAATGACGGAAGCTGACTTGCGCCAAGCCAGGCCACTGAGCCATCCAGTCCCGTATTGTCTATGTTGCCCCGCGGCACACTTTCGCCCTCCAGATGTTGTTAGACTACAACTCCCATCTTCTCTGACCCTTGATCATTCTGGCTGAGACTGATGGGAGTTGAGGTTCAAAACCAGGAGGCCACAGTTATCTCCCCCTTGTCCACAGTGACTGGCAGCAAGTCTCCAGTGTTTCAGACAGATTTTTCTCAGGCCTGTCTGGAGGCACCAGGGATTGAACCTGGGACCTTCTGCCTGCAAGGCAGATGTTCTACCACTGAGCTATGGACCTATCCTTATTTGTTCTACACAAATTAGAGGTTTCAAAGGACTGTGGGTAAGGCTGTTCCATGCCCGCCCATTTGGCAAATGGGCGATATTGTTTCAAGAATGTTTCATGCGCAACACATTTCCTATGCAGCTGTCACTTCCATGGAGGAAATTGCTGTAGCTAATGTGGCTGATTCTCTGAATATGCAAACAGTGGGAAACCTTGGCCAGCAAAGATCACACAATAGGTACACATTGTAAAATGGATGTGTGTGTGAGAGAGAGACATGCAGCAGGTGCAGTTTCATCCCCTGAAGTGATACAACCAGGCCCAACCTTCCCAACCATTTTAGCCAGTGTGGTGTAGTGGTTAAGAGCGGTAGTCTCGTAATCTGGGAAACCGGGTTCGCTTCCCTGTTCCTCCACATGCAGCTGCTGGGTGACCTTGGGCTAGTCACACTTCTTTGCAGTCTCTCAGCCCCACTCACCTCACAGAGTGTTTGTTGTGGGGGAGGAAGGGAAAGGAGAATGTTAGCCGCTTTGAGACTCCTGAAGGGGAGTGAAAGGCGGGATATCAAATCCAAACTCTTCTTCTTCTTCTTCTTCTAGCCAGTCTTAGAAAGGAGCGGGCTAAATTGTGGTTGCAAGAAAGCAGCCAAGTCTTCTTCTCAACCACCTTTGGAGGGAGAAGTGGTGTAGTTGGGAGGTTATCAAAGACCTGTAAGAAAGCTGCAAGGACTGTAGCTCAGAGGTAGAGCAACTGCCTTATATGCAGAAAGTCCTAAATTCAATCCTGTACATTGCCAGGTAGGGCTGCTGCCAACCTGTGTAGATAATTCTGAGGTACATGAACCAATGGGACAAGGCAGCTTCTATCTTCCTACACAAGAGTGTGTCCTGAAAGGGAATGGGTCTATGTGCCGACATGCTAGAGGCTGCCACTGGCTAACACTTGTGTTGCCTTGCAAATAGGAGGATTGGATTCCACTCTGTCCAAACCTGCATTTAAATCTAGTCTTAAGAAAGCCATTGTGGCAGAGGGAATAGTGCTGGATTCAGAAGGTTGACTGCATGATACTGGGCCAATCTCCATCTCTCAGCCAAGCCCCACTTAGGGGGGGTGGGGGGTTGTGAGGATAACGTGGAGCAGGACACCCAGCCAAGTCTGCTTTCTTAGTTCCTCGATAACTATCCCAAGGATGCACTGAAATGAATGTGCTTAGCTGTCTCCTTGGTGATGGAAAGCTACAAACACATCGGCTGTAGGATTGAGCTTTCTGCTCAGTGAGAATAGCCTCCACCCCCATCTTTTGAAAACTGTATGTTTCCCCCCCTCTCTGTTTATTTAAAATGAATACACCATGTATGCCTGCAGCTGCAAACAGAATTTTGAATAGGAAAGTTTTTTTCTTGAGGTATTTAGTGAATAGTTCTGCGCAAAAGAGTTGCTGTCATTAGGGCCTGGAAGGAATTTGCCTCCTGAGCTGGCCAGCTTTTAGCTGTGCCTTAGCTGTTTCCTCACTGCCCAACTTGTTCTATACATTTAGAGCACTATTATACCACTTTAACAGTCCTGGCTTCCCCCAAAGAGAAGTATAGTTTGTTAAGGGTGCTGCAAGTTGTTAGGACACCCCAGTTTCCCTCACAGTTCTCACAGTAGTTTATCAGTCCCTCTTCCCAGGGACTTCTGGGAATTGTCACTCTGCTAGTATGACCTCCTTAGCACCTATTGGCATGTTTCTTTTAACTAAAGCAAATGGTTAAATTTCCATTGGAACACAGATCTAAAGACATGGAGAGGCTGCTACAGGGACAGACATTCCTCAAGGAATTAGGTTACACCAGGGCTAACCCATATGGGGTGGGTCTTTCGTTTCTGGACCACATGGTCCCTGACCATTGACCCTACTTGCTGGCAATGATGAGAATTGAGAGCCCAAATCATATGGAGGGCAGAAAGTTAGATACCCCTGGTTTTAAATAAGTGTGTGTGTGTATGTGTGTGTGTGTGTGTGTGTGTGTGTGCGCGCGCGCGCGCGCGCAACCCAGCCACTTCTTGCTATATCCACAGCCTTAAGCAGCAGAGTGGAACTTCGGTTTTCGAATGTAATCCGTTCCAGAAGACCGTTCAGCTTCCGAAAAGTTCAAAAACCAAGGATCAAAGGGCTGGCTGCAAAGTCAGTGGGGGAAGAATGAAAATCATTCAAAAATGGAAGCATTCACTTCCGGGTTGTCGGTGTTCGGGTTCCGGATTGTTCGGCTTCTGAAGCGTTCGACGACCGAGGTTTCCACTGCTGGAAACGAACAGCAGTAAAGCAAAACAGTGTAATTTCCTCTTAGGAGTCATCAGTTTTGGACAACAAATTGTGTAGGTTCTTGTCCCTTATGCCAGGCTCTTTATAGCAAGGTCTACCCCAGCCTTTTCAAGGTTTGTAGGGACATGTGCAGGTGTAAGTTAACACAAGTTTCCAGGTATGTTCACACTTCCCTTTCCACAGGCCAGTAATTTTTCAATGGTGGCTCCCCTTGTGTGGAATGCTGTCACCAGAGAGGCTTGGCTGATACCACTGTTACTTGTCTTTAGGCACCAGTCCAAAACATGCCTCTTTACCCAGCCCTTTGGCTATTAAATAATCTATGGCCTGGTAAATCTGAACTGTTGGTATGGTTATTTTATTATTATGTTATGTAGTATGGTTTTTTATTATTATGCTGTGTAAATTACGTTCTTAATGTTGTACGCTGCCCTGGGCTCTCTGGATAAAGGGCGGTATATAAATCAATAAATAATAGTCCCAAGTTGGGTTCAGCAGCAAAGTCCTGTCCTTGCAGGAATCCAGGTGTGACTGTTCTGCTTCACTTGGTGCCCCCCCCCCCCATGGCAAAAGGAAAGGGAGCAGCTGCCCCACATTGAATAAAGTTGAAACTGGTTGGCAGTAGCTTGTGGACAACCGAAGGAAGTACTTATTTGCCACGACACAATGTTGATTGTCAAAGCAATTCACATTTCTTCTAGATGTGGCGATAGATTGTCAGAGCTGAATATGAATATATACAGGGGTACCTCGGGTTACATATGCTTCAGGTTACAGACGCTTCATGTTACAGACTCCGCTAACCCAGAAATAGTACCTCGGGTTAAGAACTTTGCTTCAGGATGAGAACAGAAATTGTGCTCCGGCAGCAGCGGGAGGCCCCATTAGCTAAAGTGGTGCTTCAGGTTAAGAACAGTTTCAGGTTAAGTGGTGAGAACGCTGCTGCGCTTGGGTCCTGCTTCCCAGCTTCCCACAAGCAACGGGTTGGTCACTGGGAGAACAAGATCCTGAGCTAGGTGGGCCATGGGCCTGATCCTGCAGGCTCTTCTTGTGTTACTGGGTTAATAGTCTGCCCTGGTGTAAAGGCTTTTCCTATGTTCCTTAAGTCTGGTCTGCTGAACTGATTCCAAATGAAACCTGGAAGTTTTTCACCTTTGTTTTATTCTGTGGCTGTCTTCCCACCAATATTCACTCTTCTTCCCCCCACCCCCCCTCCCCCCCCCTCCTAGCCCCCTGGTGTTAGCAGTGGGATGCGACCCCTCACTGTGCTAAGCGAGGGTTTTACTCTGTTGAAGCTGACTCAGATAAGGATTGAAAAAGACCTGCACTCTCCAATGCCCTAGATGTAATTCCGTTAATTAATTTGCGTTGCCATTTTATTCATAGTAGTGAGTTATATTCTTCCCAGAGGAGCACTCTCAGCTCTGCTCCCTTGGTGGCCTGCAAATATCTGTACAGAGCAGCATAACTGGAGTGAGGATTTCTGGGGTTTGCTTTTACCTTTTTTTAGGGTGGGAGAGGAAGGCATCAGGAGATCACCGTGCAGCGAAATACAACAACTCTTTTATTGAGCATCTCATACATATCAATAGCTGTCTGTGTGGCATACATACACCTTTCCCTATAATGGGGAGTTTTTAGATTGTGATGGTGTCAAACAGGGGTAGGGAACCTTTTTCAGCCTGAGGGGCACATTGCTTCCTAGGTGACCTTCTGAGGGACACAGGCCCATGGTGGGTGCGGCCAGGAGCAAAAGGGGGTGGAGCAACTAGTTAATTTACCTCTCCCCTCCATTTTCTCTGTCTAGGCAAGCAAGAACCATTATAAGAGTTCAGAGAAGCATTCTGGCCAGGAAAAACAGTCACAGGAGAGAGTTGGTGAGGGTTATGGCCTGGGGAGAAGGGCTGTGGCAGGGAAGAGGCCCGAGGGCCACGTAGAGAGACCTGGAGGGCCGCGTTCGGCCCCTGGGCTGGAGTTCCCCCTTCACTGGTGTGAAACACACACATGTAACTGTGCTTATTTTATGCCGTAGTGAACCTGCTTCTTCGACGCCATGCTTAGAAAGGTTGGCACTTACTCGCAGCCATCCATGGGCATGAGAGCAGGTGGAATGGGATAGAAAGGTAAATTTTTGCACACACACACCTGTGGGCCTGTGTCCTCAGTGGGGGCTGGTTTTGCCCACCCCTAGGTACGCCTTTGAGCTCAGATCTCTTGAAACCGGCAGCTGCAAACAGATGAGCTTTGAGACACAGCTGTGTAGCTGGAAGTTCTGGCTTGACTCTCACATGTGCAGCAAAGTTACTAGGTAGCTTCAGGAAAGCCACTCTTTTTATAATATGCAGACAATAATACCTGCCTACCTTTCATGGTGCATGTAAGGGATGTGGAGAATGATGCTTGAGTGCTTTGAACACTCTAATGCAGCCTTTCTCAACCTGTGGGTCCCCAGATGTTGTTGATCTACAACTCCCGTCGCCCCTTGTTAGCAAGGCCAGAGCTCAGGGATGATGGGAGTTGTAGTCCAACAACATCTGGGGACCCACAGACTGAGGCTGATGGAAGCTGGAGTCCAACAAGGTTTTGAGGGTCTTAAGTTCTCCACCACTGGTAAAAAACCCTTTGATATACAGTACTCTGTGTTACCTGATTTAGGAAGCCTTTTGTCTAAATCCTTGGAAAGGGGCTGCTAGACAAAGGAAAAAGTCCTGGTCTTGATTACAGCTCGGATGTGGTGTTCACGGGTGCCAACTTGAATTGCGGGCCAGATAAACCCCATAACTGATCACAAAATGCAGTGCAAACACACCATTTGAAAGGCAGTGCCCATCAACTGGGGGGCCCTGCACCCCTCAAATATTTTAATGTGGGGCTAAAGGGACCTTGGCGCATAGGAGTTGGCTCCTGTTGCAATGATTGTGCATAAGGCAGTTGGGGAAGAGCCATAGTTCAATGGTTAGAGCATCTGCTTTCCATATAGGTCCTGGGTTCAGCCCCCAGCATCTCTAGGTAGGGCTGGGCGATACCTCAGTCTGAAACCCTGGAAAGTTGCCTGCCAGTCAGTGTAGACAATACTGAGTTAGACAGTCCAATGGTCTGACTTGGTGTAAGGCAGCTTCCTATGTTCCTATGCACAATTCACCTCAGTATATGCTGTTTGGTTTCTTGGCTGGAGAATTGCACTGCAAAGTTTGGAGAAGTGTGAATTTTGAAGGCTGGCTGTGTTTCGGTTTGTGTATTGCTTTGGAAAGTGGGAGATACGTAGGTTTGCCTTTAAATTTCTGCCCCAGCTGCGGTCTGTAGACCAGCCCTGAAACTCCTCAAGATGGTGCTCTGCCTGTGTCCCAGGGTGCTGTTCCTGCCGGCATTTCATAGGATGGTACTGCCAGCTGTCCTCTCTCTGTTCTAGCTCAAAGTCCATATTGAGCCTCCCGTTTTCCATCTGCTTTTGGATAGACGGCCCAAGAGGAAGTATCATCCTTCAGAACACATAAACAGATAAAAACCCTCTCTATTTTCCCTGCTTTAAAGACTAAAGACTAAAGGCTGCATGTCATGTGAATAGTCCTAGAGACAGAGTCATGTATACCTTGTAACTTCTATTTTGTTTTTCTTATTGCATTGAAATCCTGCCTTTTCTCCATGGATTCTCACAGCGCCGTGTGTGGTTCTTTCCCCTTCACAACAACCATCTGAGGTTGGTTAGGTTCAGAAATAGTGACTGGCCTAGTGAGTTTTATAACTAAGTAAAGGTGGGTTTTTTGTGTGCAGTTGGACACAAAAACACAGAGTTCGGTGGGAAATGTGCCGTTGGAAAGCTGTCAATGTGCAATTTGAAAAATGGGAAATTTGACACATTAGGCATATGTGTTTATTAAGCATTTTAATGGCAGGCAATGGCAGGGACAGCAGGTACACAGATTATATAAGGGAAGAATGCGCCTAGTTTCCATGCATAAAGCGAATTGCCCAAACCATAATAACCACATTTTATTTAGGGCTGGAACCTCTTCTTCACCTTCATCTTCAGGCAGTAATGCTCTGTCAGGACACCTGTAAATACCCTTATAGTGCTCAATTCTTTTGCACCTGTTAGTTACTGAACTAAAGCAGGTTCATAAATGAATCATCGCTGTATTGCAGATATTAGATAAGACCGAGTCCTATGGGGAAACCACCACTGATGCAGGCTAGAAACAAAGTTAGCAAAGCACACTTTGTTAGTATTAGTGTAGGGGTCTGGTGGGGAATTTCTGCTTGGTGGGGGTTTGAACCCTGGTTTCTCAGGTTCTCTTCCACCACTCTAATTGCTATATTACGCTGGCATGAGAATGACTGCCATCGTTTCTTTTCCTGCATCCCTCTTTTCTGGCTTGCCCAAGTATTGGTGAATCAATCTGTTTGTTTACCTAGAATTTGAAAAGCTCCCTGGCAAAATTGCAGTAGAGTTCAAGCTAGTACATCCCTGTCCCATTCTGTCAAGTTGCTTCCAGACCTTTTGATCAATTCGCTCACCTAGTTTCTGTTTATATCCTGCCCTCTCCGGAGGGCTTTGGCCGGATACTGTATTGAGATGCATAGAATACAAGTAAGATAGCTAATGACCTTAAAATGCCAGTGTCTGCTTAATGCAAACTGGCAAACGTTCTAGCCTGGACTGGCATTTAACAGGTTTCCACCTCGCTCCACGTAGCCCTGAAAACTGTTCAGCTTTGAACGTTTACGATCTTTATTAACTTTTATTATAAGAAACAAATCATATTTGTACAGCATAAACACATTGGAACCCCAGGCCTGTCCATCAGGCGCTCAGTACTGCCCCCCCCCCGCAATGCTGAGCCCTAGGACATGTCCCTAAACAGCCAAGCTGCAATCCCTCTTTTTTTTCTTTTTAATGGATTTTATTAGATTTTCAAATTATGCATTTCAAAATAAACATTCTGCACAATGCCATATATCCATTGACTTCCCTTCTTCTCCTTTCATGGGTCATTTTACTTATCTATCATTCCTACATGTTTTACTGTAACAATTTTAGTCAGTTCTCCAATTTACATCTTTCAGTTGTTAATCATGCTGTTCAATTTATCATAGTGCTGCCACCATTTTCAGTTGTGCACACTTATTTTCTAAATAATCAGCAAAGGTTTTCCACTCCTCTTTAGATAAGAATTCTTGTTCTTGTAATCTATAAATTAAACCTGCTAATTCTGCAAATTCTGTAATCTTAAATTGCCAATCTTCTTTACTTGGGACTTCCCTCACTTTCCATCTTTGGGCTAGCAAAACTTGGGCTGCTGCTGTTGTGTACGTAAATAGATTTCTGTGACATCTGGGAACTTCAGTTCGAACTATTCCTAACAAGAAGGCTTCAGGTCTGTTTGGGAAAGTTTTTTTGAACATTCTTTTCAACTCCTTATTAATCATCTCCCAATATTCCTTCACTTTGTTACATGTCCACCACATATGAAAAAAGGTTCCTTCCATTTCTTTACATTTCCAACACATATCTGATTCTGCTTTATACATCTTGCCCAACCTACTTGGGGTTAAATGCCATCTATGAATCATTTTCATATAATTCTCTTTCAGTGTATAACATGCAGCGAATTTTAAATCATTCTTCCAAAGTTTCTCCCAGAGGTTTAAATCTATGTTATGCCCTGTATCCATTGCCTAGTGTGTCATAGAAACTTTAACTAGCTCGTCTTTTGTTTCCCATTCTAGTAATAGGTTATACATTTTATACAATATTCTATCCTTATTCCATAATAACTCTCTTTCAAATTGTGAGCTTTGGTCCATAAATCCTTTTCCCCCCCCCTCTTTTAAACAAATCATATAATTGATGGTACTGTAACCAATCTGTAACTTGGCTCCTTCTTCCATTGGTTTCAACCTGGGTTCACTATCGTAAATTCCAATAAATCTCTATATGTCAACCATTTCCTATCCATATTAATTCTCTTAATTTTGATTGCCTCGATGGGGGAATAACCATAAAGGTGTTTTCCTTTCCAACAAATTTTTGTATTTCTCTCAGACTCTATTCAGATTTCTCCTAATAATGTGATTCATAAAGCTTTTATAATTTTTTGCTTTCCCATATCAAAGGCATGCATGACAGCCAGAACTTTAAGTTATGGCCTTCTAAATCTAAAATATATGTGTTTTCCAATACAATCCATTGCTTTAGCTGGCATAAACAAGCAGCCTCACAGTACAATTGTAAGTCTGGCAGGGCAAAGCCTCCTTTTTCTTTTGTATCAATCAAAATTTTATGTTTAACTTGCAGCTTTCCCCCCTGCCAGACAAATTTATAGATATCTATTTTCCATTCTTTGAGGCAACTTAAGTTGTTGACAAAAAGGGACGTGGGTGGCGCTGTGGGTTAAACCACAGAGCCTAGGACTTGCTGATCAGAAGGTCGGCGGTTCAAATCCCCATGACGGGGTGAGCTCCCGCTGCTCGGTCCCTGCTCCTGTCCACCTAGCAGTTCAAAAGCACGTCAAAGTGCAAGTAGATAAATAGGTACCGCTCTGGTGGGAAGGAAAACGGCGTTTCCGTGCGCTGCTCTGGTTCGCCAGAAGCGGCTTAGTCATGCTGGCCACGTGACCCGGAAGCTGTACACCGGCTCCCTCGGCCAATAAAGCGAGATGAGCGCCGCAACCCCAGAGTCGGTCACGACTGAACCTAATGGTCAGGGGTCCCTTTACCTTTATCTAAGTTGTTGACAATCAGGATTGATTAGAATAAAAATAACATATTAGGTAATACATTCATTTTAAATTCTGAGATTCTACCCACTAGGGAAAGCTTCATCCTTCCCCATATTTCCATCTCCTTCTTTATCTCTTTCCACAGTTTAGTATAGTTATCTTGAAATAGATCTGCAACCCCTCTTTTGCCTGGCTGTCATGTGTCCTTTAACTGTGTTGGGGAACTGTGATGCTTGCCTTAATGGAAGCAAGGTGTGAGGGTAGAAATTTGGGACATTTGTGCAGATTGAATGCAGCCTACGGCCCAAAGGATTATGGTATGTGGCCCTCCAGGGATTGCCCGCCAGGGAATGCAGTCCTGGGGTGGAAAGAGGTTCTCCATCCCTGTTCCACAAGCGCGAGAAAGGCCTCTGTCCCAGTTTAGTGCATGGACTGAATGCTCACAAAGTTGGCTGCTCTAGCTGAAAGGAGCTCCAGGTTTAGAGGTCAGCTGCTGGAGAGCAGCCTGCGTCTGCATAGGTCTGCTTTCACGCTCTGTGCAGGGAGCTTCCTAGAAAGCATCTGGCTGCCACAGAGGGCAACAGGCTGCTGGACAAGCTCAACCTTTGGTCTGAGCCAGCAGAGCTCTTCGTTTGAAGCTAAGGTCTTAAACCAGGGGCTCCTAGGTGGTGGCTCCCCAAATGTTGTTGAACTGCATTTCCCAGGATCCCTGACCAATTGCCTTGCTGGCTGGGGCTGATGGGAATGGAGGGCAGCAACATCTGGAGCCTCTGCCCTTGTCTTAAGCCAGGGGTGCCCAAACAACCAACCAAAGTTGTTGAGCTTTTTTTAGGACCCTGAAATGGACTTTGGACATGCCTGTCTTAAGCAATGCATTTATGGGGAAACAGGCTCCTGGGCAGCCATTACTCCTTGCTCTCTTACTCCGAATGTGAGGGAGCAATTACATGCAAGGAGGGTTGCGTTGTTATTTCTCACAGACATTTGGGAACTACCTCCCTGGCACTAGAGCAGAGATGGGGAACCTGTGGCCCTCCAGATGTTGTTAGACCACAGTTGCCATAATCCTCAGCCATTGGCCATGGAAGCTGGAGTCCAGCAACATCACAGGGAAGCACCACCCTGGTTTAAGCCGTTGATTTGGTTTTCTGTTTCTCCCAGAGAATCTGAACCTTGTGTCTCCCAGCAGCTCTGAGCATTTGAAGAGGGCGTGAGGGTGAGCGGTGTGTGTGTGATTCAGGGAGGAAGGGTTTGTCTCTGCAGCACTTCCTCTCTTGTGGTAGCTTTGAACGCGAGCGTGGCCCTGCGTGCACAGCTGCACTGGTAATGCAAAGCGCAGTCAGAGAGAGCTTCACTATCGTGAGCAGGTTTGCTGATGTTAACCGACGGAAGAATACTTAGGCCTTGCTGTTTCATGTGTGGGCTTCACCTCCTTCCCCAAGTGACAGTTTTATTTTACATTCAACAGCCTGTCTGCTTCTAAGATCATCTTTGGCAGGAAGAGACGAAGCGGCTTCAAGTGTTTATAGGCTTTGTGGATTTCTCCCCATTCCCTTCCTTTCCCCCCATTAAGTATTTAAATGACACACAGACTGAACAGCAAGCAGATATTGCAGGTGGGAATGTGTGTCGGGGCTTGGGCTAAATGACCCTTCCAGCTCTACAGTTTTATGAATTGCCCTTTATTGCTGGGAGCTCAGGAACCCTCCTCCTCTAGTCCATGGCCCCTTTTGAACTGAGGCGTCACTACCTTAGTGGGGGAACCTTGGACCTTCCTTTTTTAATATATATTTTTATTAGTTTTTTTAACATATCATTTTCAACAATTATTAAACATACTTTTAAATCTTACACAATTTTTTTTTACTTCCATCAATCACATCTGAAAATTTTCCAATCTTTTCCACTTAATTTACATTTCTTACTTTCACTATTACATTTAAATATCATAACGAATGTCTCTCTTCTTTCTCTTCTTTGTAATATTTCATATATTCCTCCTTGCAAAACTTCTTGTAGTCTACTAGTGTAATTTCTTGATTACAATTGCCCTTCAAATAGTTCGTATATTTCTTCCAATCTTCTGTAAATCTCTGGTCCCGCAGGTTTCGAATCCTTCCTGTGAACCTTTGACCTTCCAGATATTGTTGAACTACAACTCCCATTAGCCCTAGTGAGCCTGCTAGGGCTGATGGGAGTTGTAGTTCGGCCAGAGGTTGTGCATTCCTGCCTTACTGGGCACTCACAGCACTTTTGGATCGGAGCAACTGAAAGCCGCCCTCTAGCATAGTCAGCACTTGGAGAAGTGACGATGTGAAATGTCACCTCCCAGCTCCCATCTGCTCCATGGGTGTGTTCTTGGTCATACGCATTCTTGGCTGCTTTGCTTCTGCGTGCAAGTCATTGCTCTAACAGGCAGTGGAACAACCATTTGGCTCGTGGGAGTGGAGTGCAGGGGAAGCGACTGGATCCTCTCCTGTCGCCGGTTTATCAGCTACACTCTGGCGGGCGGGCCTGCCTGGGTGATCTTGGCAACCGGATGTGTTTTGCTTCACATTTGCAACAGGGAAGGGTTGCCTGACTTGATGCAGGAGGCAATAAATCCTTGGTTACTGTAGCAAGCAATTAGCCACCACATCACTCTGATTGAGGCTGGATGAACTGTACGGCTAAGGAGGCTGCAGGGCTCAAACCAAATTGGGGCCTCGACTGTCGCGAAATCATGCTGTGGTTGCATTGGCAGATTCCTGCACGTTCCTCCGAGACTTGAACTTTAAACATCCATGCAGATTGTAGCACGAAAGCCCTAGGCAGATGGACATCCAGTCAGGAAAACAAGGAGGTGGGGATTGCACCCCTGGAGCAGTGCTGGCGTTTTGGTGTTTGAGGCGAATGAAAAAATGGCGCTCCTCCTCCCTGCTGGGCAGAAGGGGTGGGTGGAGATCTACATCAGGACAAGCTGGGGAAGAAAAATTGACATTGAGATTGACTGCCCTGAGGGACCCTGTTGCCTGAGGTGGTTGCCTCACCTGGCCTTATGGTTCGGCCGGGCCCAGTGCACCCTTTGAGAGATGGACCTGAAGCATCTGGTTAAATGCCTCCAGTGAAGGAAAGCCCATCCCTTCTCAAGGCAGTCTGTTCCACTGTTGAGCTGCTCTTAACTTCGGGAAGGTCGGGAAGGGGGTTCCCAGATTGTAGTCTGTGATCTGTGAGCTGCTGCATGTCCACATCATCATCATTTAATTTGTATGCCGTCTTATCATAGTTAAAACAATGCTCAAGGTGGCTTACAACATGACAAGATTTACATACCGTAATTACCAACATAAGTCATAAACAATAAATAAAACACATCAAAAGGTACACAACCAAACAGAAAACAATTTCCACATAAGTCATAAAATCTAACACTAAAAATACATGAACTATTCATGTACTGATTCTTAATTATATTTTTAGTGCTTCTTTTATTTCTTATATTGTATTTTGATCTGAATTCTATGTAATGCAGTAAAATACAAGATAAGAAGGAAAAGCAGCAGAGAGCAACAAGTTTGCTTCTTCTTCTGATTGACCGTGCACCAGATATTTGAAGACTGCTATTATGTCCTTCCCCTTAATCTTCTTTTATGCAAGCAAAATATACCCAGCTTTTTCAGACATTCATTTCTGGACCACAATCATCCTGGGCATCCTCCTCTGGACATGCCAGTGTATCAATCTCACTCTTAAAACGTGTCTTCCAAAATCAAGCACAGTCTGCTTCATTCATTCATCATTTTATTTGTATGCTGTTTTTCAACAAAAGAAATCATGCTCCAAGCAGCTTAGAACAAAGGAAACCTGGGAGAGCTCAGTCAGTAGAGCATGAGACTGTTAATCGCAGGGTTGTGGGTTTGAGCCCCACGTTGGGCAAAAGATTCCTGCATTGCAGCGGGTTGGACTAAATGATCCTTGTGGTCCCTGCCAACTCTACAGTTCTTTGATTCTGTGGAACAGAAATGCAGCTCAAAATCAAACCCTTTAGAACAATTGCAGAACAGCGTAATAAAGCAACACAAAAGCAAATACAGCAACAACATTTCAGTGCTATAAATATAACAAGATTGCATTAGCAACATCCAACAGCAAAAAATAGCAAAGGAGTTTGACAGTTTCACCTTGTTTCTCGAAACACCTCTCCCATGATGTTGATCTTTGCAACTGGGAGACACAGTATTCCGCATATGCCTGCCTGTATTTTCATCTGAGGCCCTTCCCTTTATCCCTCTCTGGAACGTGGCAGATAATTTGTGGGCATTTTGTTGTTGTCATGTTTCCAGAATTCATAGAAAGGATAATCCAGTTAGGAAGACCATGTAAGTTAAAGAGGCTGCATCCAACTGAGTCCTACTCACAGTGGACCCACTGAAATGAATAAGCCTAAATTAGTCCTGCCCATTAACTTCAATAGGTCTACTCTGTGTAAGACTAGAATTGGCTAAAACCCAAAGTGTTTTCTCTGCAGTAGTTTGGCCAAGAGAAAGAGAGGACGGGGCTCGTGTACCTTTAACAGTTTTATAAAAGAGTAAATTTCAGCAATGTTGCTTTTTACAGGAACACTTTCCTCTTCTTTCCCTTTTTTCATCCAGTTTTAGCTTTTTATTCCAAAATATATAGTTATTTACAATATTCTGTATCGGAGGAAAACAAAAAATACAAGTATATCAGAGTATTCATACAATAGTAGTAAATAAAAATAAATCATATAAGTAGTAGTAAATGAAAACATAAATATATAAGAAGATAAAATGAAGAGAAAGAAGAAAATAATACATTTGCCTGCTTATTGCTCCCAGTTTTCCATGGTTATGCATTCCAGCATTTACAGTGTATATGACTTGTGATTTATTATACCAATAGATGATAAACATACTTCATTTTGCAATAACAATTATATCAAAATGTTTACCTGCTCTCACCTTAATTATACTACTTAATTTGACCACATTTATTGCTTCCTGTAATCTGATATTCCATTTGTTTAACATGGGAGTTTGAAACATACCCAGATTTGATGCTTTGCATCTCCAACAAACATTCATTATTTGTTCCAGGTAAATGGCTTTTCCATGCACTCTGGTTTCCGTCAAGGTGTCCCATTGCATCCCAACTGGTTTAGTTTTGCTGGCCACAAGACCCAGAAAGCTGTCTGTGGACAAATGCTGGCTCCCTCTGCCTGAAAGTGAGATGAGTGCCACACCCCATAGTCGCCTTTGACTGGACTTAATCGTCAAGCGGTCCTTTAACTTCACCTTTTACCAGGTTACTAAGTTGCTCGGGGTGGGGGCTATGATTCAAATGTATGGTATATGCGCAACCACAGATTCAAGCTGCTATGGTTAAAGTAAAGGTAAAGGTAAAGGGACCCCTGACCATTAAGTCCAGTCATGGACGACTCTGGGGTTGCGGCGCTCATCTCGCTCTACAGGCCGAGGGAGCCGGCGTACAGCTTCTGGGTCATGTGGCCAGCATGACTAAGCTGCTTCTGGTGAAACCAGAGCAGCGCACGGAAATGCCATTTACCTTCCTGTTGGAGCTGTACCTATTTATCTACTTGCGCTTTGATGGGCTTTCGAACTTCTAGGTTGGCAGGAGCAGGGACCGAGCAACGGGAGCTCACCCCATCGCGGGGATGCGAACCGCCGACCTTCCAATTGGCAAGTCCTAGGCTCTGTGGTTTAGACCACAGCGCCACCAGCGTCCCATGATTCAAATGTATGGCATATGCACAACCACAGATTCAAGCTGCTATGGTTACAAGCTGCCTATTCTTCAAGACACCAAAGCCAAGGCTTGCCTATTGGTTTTTAACTGAAACTCAATCCTTTTGGCTGAGGTTTTGTCTGCAGTGGGACCCTCCTTCTCTGCTGACATCAAGCTTGGTGGAGGCTGTCCTTCCTTCTGGCTCCTTCTCAGTTCTCAGGGTGATGCTGGGGCGTTCCTTAGAACATGGAGGGTTGCCATGTGCCAGGTTTACCTTGATGTGCTAGGGATTGGACCTGGGATCTTCTCCACGCAAAGCGTGCACCTCTGAGCTACGGGAGCCAGTGTGGTGTAGTGGTTAAGAGCGGTAGTCTCGTAATCTGGGGAACCGGGTTCGCGTCTCCGCTCCTCCACATGCAGCTGCTGGGTGACCTTGGGCCAGTCACACTTCTCTGAAGTCTCTCAGCCCCACTCACCTCACAGAGTGTTTGTTGTGGGGGAGGAAGGGAAAGGAGAATGTTAGCCGCTCTGAGAGTCCTTCGGGTAGTGATAAAGCGGGATATCAAATTCAAACTCTTCTTCTTCTTCTTTGCCCCAACTTGTCGGCTGGGCTTTTCCTGCTTCCTCCCTTTTGGTCTTTTGTTATGTGTACCGCAAGCCTTGCCACTCAGACCCGGCTGTAGAGACCAACTGGGTCTTGTGCCTGCCTTAGGCAAACATCAGAAAGGCAAACACTGCATGGGCCAGCTGGGCAGAGGCACCTGTGGCTGTTTATGCTTGTGGGGAGAGGTTTGCTGGCAGCTCTGTTGACTCTTCGCACAGCCCTGCATGGGCCAATTGCTTGCGTTTTACCCAAGTGTAAAGAGGTGGGGGTAAATAAAAAGCTTCCCTTAATCTGGGCTGGGAGGAGGGCGAAGGAGCCTCATCCTGAGGTCCGCAGGTGCTCTGGAAAGGAAACAGGAATGATGCAACACAATTTTTAAAAAGATGGTAGTTCTGGGCATATTGTTGGGAGGCTGTTCCCCCAAGTAAACATGTCCAGAATTGCTCTGTATAAATGTGACTATCTGAAAATTGTCATGGATGTGAAGAGGCCTGTGGCTCCTGCTGCTTCCATTTCCCCGTGCGAAGCCACTGAATTTACTCTGCAGCCGCTGTCCCTGCAGGAGTGATAGAGAGAGCAGTTGTGTGTGTGTTCTGTTTGTACATTGCGCCACATGTGCAGCTCCTCCCTCCCTCCCTCTCGCATGGAAAAGGCCTCACCAGGATCTTCCTTTTCAGAACTGAAAATCAAATCAGAGGAGGGGCAGAGAATGAAGGGTGGCAAGATGAGGGAAACTGTTCCGGCATCATTTCCTCATGTGCCACACACAGCTAATGATGCATCCCTTTTCACAGGGTTCGCCAATGTGGAAGCTGCTCCAAAATGTGACACCGCCAGGCCAGCTTAGTTGGGTTTTAACTCTTCTGGCTAACTGTCTTAACCCAATCTCCTTGCATATTGCAATCATCTTTCAAAATGAAGAGAAAGTTGCATGTGGCCTCATCCTAGATGCCAACTGAGCAGTGTTGAAAAATTCCAAACTGGAAGCTGCCTTATACAAAAACAGACCATTTGTGCATCATGCTCAGTGCTGTCTACTTGACTGGCAGTGACTCTTCAGGGTTTCAGCTAGGGGACCCTCCCAGTCATACCTGAAGATGCCAGGGATTTAACCTGGTGCCTTCTGCAGGCAACGTAGGTCATGCCTCTTTGGATCGGAAACCGTGCCATGGTATGGGCTTAGCACTAATTTAAAGAACGGTGCAGGGTCAGGGCTGGTGCCAGATATCAGTGTATCTGGGCAGCCACTGAGGTCCCGGTGCCCTCGGATGGGCTGCTGCTAACTCCTTATTTGTTGCCACAAAGCAGCAGACCCTGCCACCCACCCACCCCAGCTCTCTTTGAGCAGTGAGCACCAGCCCCATTCTGAAGATAGGACTTTCTCCTGGTGTTCCCTCCTTGGTGCCAAACAGCACTGGCTGCTTCAAACAAGCACCATTCAGTCGCTCGCTCACTCCAGTGAGGAGGGGCAGTGCTGCTTGCTTCCCAGCCATGGAAGCACAGCCTTATACTGAGTCATACCATTGATCCAGCCTATGCTGGCTGGTCTTAGCTCTCCAGGGAAGTGTGCAACTTAGGTGAAAGGACACTTTTGCCCTGGACTCCACCATCTCCGAACTCACCTAAAACCAGCTCTGTCCCATTTCTTGATCCGACTCAGACCTCGTATAGGTACCCATTTTTCATTTTCAGTAGTGGGCAAGCTTTAGGTTTATGGTCTAGAAACTTTGCTACTTATATAATAAAGTCACAATCTTGAGGACTACAACTGTTGCCAGAATCTTAAGGACATCAAAGCAAACCACCAGCTGTTTCTGGGTTTTTTCTTGGCTTACCATGTGCAATTTGTCTGCAGGAGAGGAACCATGAACTTGGGTTTGAATGTACAGTGGTACCTCAGATTACATACGCTTCAGGTTACATACGCTTCAGGTTACAGACTCCGCTAACCCAGAAATAGTACCTCGGGTTAAGAACTTTGCTTCAGGATGAAAACAGAAATTGTGCTCCGGCAGCGCGGCGGCAGCGAGAGGCCCCATTAGCTAAAGTGGTGCTTCAGTTTCAGGTTAAGAACGGACCTCTGGAATGAGTTAAGTACTTAACCCGAGGTACCACTGTAATGTTAAGCCAAATCATGACTTAGCCCCAGGACCATAAGCTCAGTAGCAGATACAGGAGGTCTCAGGTTCAATCCCTGAATCTACGGGCAAGGCTGGGAGAGACTCTTGCAGGAAGCTTATATCTCTCTCTCCCTCCTTTAGAAGCCCAGGGCACCAAACACCTCAACGCAACAAGCAAGAACATTATCTTGACCAGTGATCTCAAGCTTACCAGGAACAGTGCCTTACAGCCATAAAATGCCTGGGTAAACCGGAATGTTTTAAAATTCCTCCTGAAAGTAAATAAGGAGGGAGAAGGACGCAGCTCACCAGGCACGCTGTCATGGGTGAATGCCAACTGGGCTGCTGCCAGTGTAGGCATAGAATCACAGAACTGTGGAGTTTGGAAGAGACCCCAAGGGTCATCTAGTCCAACCCCCTGCAGTGCAGGAATACATTGCAGGCAATGCTGAACCAATGGTCTGAGTAAGGCATCTTAGTCTATTCCCAGGCAGAGCAGCAGCAGCAGCAGGGCTGAGGGAGGGGTGCAGTGGCCCCGAACTTCTCTTTGGGAAGCCACATGTTTGTTTGTGCTAAGCCCTGGTTTGGCTTAGGGCTACATGCAAACTAGAACACTGAAGGAAGACTTTCTGCACATGCTCTGGGGCCTCTTTGTTATTAGCACTTCAGAACTGAGGTCTTGGCATTAAATATGCCATGACCTGGGGCTGAGCATTGGGGGGCCACGGGTCGGACCACAGTTCCCCCGACAGCTTGTGTTTATTAAGCACTATATGAGCAGGAAATATCTATCTCTGTTGCGACTTTGAGGCAGGAGGGACTGTGAAGTGTTCTTCATAAAGATAAAGGTTGTGCAGCTGGCATGTTTGGGCATGCAGAGTCCGCAAGGGTGTGTCGAGAGATGCCTCCCTGCTCTTTTTCAGCAAACATGGATTAATCTTCCTTCTTGCTATAGAGACGTAACTCCTCCCTGGCCTTGTTCAATACCAGGCTTCTGCTGTTGAATAAGAGCTGCAACAAGCTTAATCCAGATCCTGTCGAAGTCCTAGTCTTTCTCAGAATAGGCCCCTTGAAATGGTCAGAGATGACGTAGCTTGTGTCTATTGAATTCAGGGGTCTATTCTAAGTAGAGGCTCTTTGGGAGTAGCCCTAAATCAGGGATCCCCCAATCTGGAACTCTTCACGTGTTGTTGGACTCCCTCTCCCATCTGCCCCAGCCAGCAGATTCAGTGGCTATAGAAGCTGTTGTGGCAGCAACAGCTGGACGGCCGCAGCTTCCCCATCCATTCTCGAAGGAAACATCTGCAGTGCTCATTTAAAGCAGGGAACTATTGGAGTTGTAGCTCTGTGAGAGGAATAGGGGTCTCCTAACAACTCCCAGAACCCTGAACAGACTATTGTTTTGTTGGCATCTGTCTGTCTGAGCAAGATGTTTGGCACCAGCTGGGTTTTTAATTTGTATCCCAGCAGCAAAAGGAAGTCTCTCCCCCCCCTCTCTCCCCCCTCTCTCCCTCTGTGTGTGTGCTCCTTCCTGAAATGTCCCTGTGTTGGGCAAACTACAGATCCTGTCCCATCTCTTAATTCCCTACCTTCACCTCAGGAGATTTACTATAGGCTATTAGGCACACGGGTGGCGCTGTGGCTTAAACCACAGAGCCTAACGCTTGCCGATCAGAAGGTCAGTGGTTCGAATCCCCGTGACGGGGTGAGCTCCTGTTGCTTGGTCCCTGCTCCTGCCAACCTAGCAGTTAGAAAGCACGTCAAAGTGCAAGTAGATAAATAGGTACCACTCCGGCGGGAAGGTAAATGGTGTTTCCGTGCACTGCTCTGGTTCGCCAGAAGCAGCTTAGTCATCCTGGCCACATGACCTGGAAGCTGTACACCGGCTCCCTCGGCCAATAAAGCGAGATGAGTGCCGCAACCCCAGAGTCGGCCATGACTGGACCTAATGGTCAGGGGTCCCTTTGCCTTTACCTTTATTACGCACTTGAGCAGGTCAGTTCCTTCCCTATTTGCAAATTCCTATTCTCCCTCCCCTTTCTGCTGGCATTCCATGCGTCCTGGAAGCTCCCTACCTTATTTTGTCACTTTCCCTATTTTGTTTCGAAACTGATGTGCACTCAGCTGCCCAGGTTTGCTATTAGGGAATGATTTGCCTCCTGCCTATTTCCCTTTTACTACCTGATGCCTGATTGATACACAAAACCGGCTTAGCTGACTCTGAGTCAGAGCCTCCCTGCTGCCGTAAGAAACTCCCAAGCATTCCCTGGCTCTCTCCTGCTTCCTTAGTCAGCAGAACAGCTCTGGTGGGTGCAGCGCTGAGCCCCAACTGCAGGGACCCCACACTTCGAGACCTGGTGGCAAAGCCAGAAAAACGTAGGATGTGAGGTGGACCCAAGGAGGAGCGAAGCCAGAGAGGTCTCTTGCTGAAAACTGGCTGTTGTCACATCTCTGTCATTTTCTCGTCACAGAGTTCCCAGCACCCTTAACAAACAACAGCTCCCTGGACTCTTTGGGGGGGAATGTATGGTGTGCGTGTCTCCTAGGTCTGACCCAATGCTTCTGTATCAGCACATCAACTGAGAATATGTGAATATTAGCCGCCGATGATATTTTGGGAGGGATGCATGGGGGGCATTTTCTAAAGAAAGATTTTCACTGACTTTCTGAACGTTGCGGTTCTAAATCAGATTATATTTTGCCAAGCTTCTGCACGCTCAAATTAAAACCAACAGATACTGGATTCTACGTTGTTAATCTTGTTTTTGTGTGACTTCAGAGAGCTTGTTTCATACATTCCTCGACATTAGTTGGTCCAAGTACTGTGGTTGTCCTTAATTGCTCTGAGTTTCTGTTTGCGGCTATCTTATTTGTTTGTTAATTTCTTATCCCAGCTTTCCACCAACATTTATTTATATAAAGCGTTTAACATGAGAGAGAGAGAGAAAGAGAGAGAGAGAGAGTATGCCAATAAAATCACACATTAAAAAAGGATTGACGTAACATTTATCAAAATATAAATAAAATCAGCATTTTAAATTTGTTCACACACACAGACACACACACACACACACACAGACACACACACACACACACTATTTACACACACATATACACAAATACACAGACATTATTTGTCTGGTTAGGCTTGCCTAAATATATTTTTTTAACAGGCACCACAGAGATGCCTGACTAATATCAATGGGCAGGGAGTTCCAGAGGACAAGTGCTGCCAAACTGAAGAATCAGTTCTTTGCAGTACTTTGCTCAAGGTGGCTAACACTTTTGTAAGAAAGTACTTCCCCAAATAGGGCATAGTTAAACTATGGAGTCTACCCCCCCCCCCCGCACACACGGAGGCTAGTGATGGTCACCGACTGGGAAGGCTATAAAAAGCATTAGACAAATTCATGATAAGGCTCTCTGTGGCTACCAGCCATGATGGCTAGATTCTACTTAACACAGTTGGAGGCAGTATGCTGTCTTACACGCAGGATTCCCATAGGCATCTGCTTGGCCACTGAGAGAACAGGATTCTGTTAACTTCATCTGCGATTCTTCTCTAGTAGGAAGAATGACTGGAAGAGTCAGAAATCAGGAAGACCAAAATTTTAACAAGGAATCGGGGGAACTTGTAACTGATCTTAAAGACCATTGTAAACAGTTAAAATCGTTAGTAGGATTAGAATATCACTTGTAGCTGAAGGTTGAATTCTGGACGTAATGGAAGAGGGTAAAGGGTTTGGAGTATCATAAAAGATGCGGGAGGAACTGATTATTAATAGGACCCACCTGGGGGAGGATGGAAGTCCAGGAGATTCCTTGGAATCTTGTTTTCATGATTTATGTCTGATACATCTCTGTTAAATTTTAAGTTGAAAAAAAACCCAAATAAATAAATTTTAAAAAATAAAGAAAAATTCTGGACTGCATGAGCCGCTGTCCTGAGCCAGCAGGGCTCTTGTCATGTTCTGCACCAATAACCATCACGGCAATGAAATGCAACAAAACAGCACCAAGTCAGGTAAAGCTAGGGTTACTAGATGTCCCCAGTTACTGGGGACAGTCCCCAGATTTGCATATCTGTCCCTGGGAACCATGGCAGCCTCAGCAGCCCGGAGCCAGCCTGGTAGCGCAGTTGGCTCTGGCTGGCTTCAGGAGCTGCTTGCTGCCATGGCGCCTGCCATTTTCCCTTGCTGGAAGTCCCCATATGACTGCCACTGCTGACACCACTGCCGAAGGGGAACTGGGGACGTCCGGCAGTACAGATCTCCTGCCCTCTTCCCCCTTTGTTTTGACTGCTTGGGGGAGGCTCGGGAGTTGCGGGCGGACGGCCGTTGCCCAGTTTTTTAAAAACTCTGTGCATTTATGTTTCACAGGGTGCAAAAGAAGGGCTTCACACCTTTATACAATATGCATGTGTGCTTGGGCCCAGGGTCTTTTGCCTCACCATCCCCACTACTGACTCCCTGTTGCTACTCAGCTTCAAAAAAAAGTGTGACTGGATTCATTGAAAAAAATCTGGTAACCATAGCATCAGTCCAAATAATGCAAACAGCTTGTTAAAAAAGTCAGATTCGGCATCTTTGTCAGTCTGCTGATGGTCCAAAAGCCTGTCTAAATGAAACTACCTTTGCTTGCTGGCAGAAGGTAATCAGTCTCCCTTGGCATAGTTTCCAGAGCCTGGGAGCAGCCGCCAAGAAGTCCCTCTACTGGTAGTTACTAAAAGCCAAGCTGTGTTAGAAAGGTCACATAGTGCAGTGCAATAAGACCGCCAATACCATTTTGCCGTTTATCAAAATATATAGCGCAGCTGCATTTGAACGGTTCAGAAAAGGGCAACCCAAATTATTCGGAGGATGGAGCCGCTCCCCTACCAGGAAAGGCTGCAGCGTTTGAGAGGGGGCACGGTAGAAGTTTGTAAAATAATGCGTGGCACGGAGAAACGTTAGAACCCGTGGGCGTCCAATGAACCTGAAAGTTGGAAGACTCAAGACGGATAAAAGAAAGGAAGGAAGGAAGGAAGGAAAGGAAGGAAGGAAGGAAGGAAGGAAGGAAGGAAGGGAAAGCCGTTCTTCAGTCAGCGCATGGTTAAACTATGGAACTTGCTCCCACAGGGTGGCAGTGATGGCCCCAACTTAGATGGCTTTCAAAGAGCCTTGGACAAATTCATGGAAGAATTTGATGATGTCATTGGCTGCTAGCTCTTCCTCCATGGTCTGAGGCAGGGGTCAGCAAACTTTTTCAGCAGGGGGCCAGTCCACTGTCCCTCAGACCTTGTGGGGGGCCAGACTGTATTTTTTTTGGGGGGGGGAATGAATGAATTCCTATGCCCCACAAATAACCCAGAGATGCATTTTAAATAAAGGCATGCATTCTACTCATGTAAAAACACGCTGATTTCTGGACCGTCCACGGGCCGGATTGAGAAGGAGGTTGGGCCGGATCCATCCCCCGGGCCTTAGTTTCCCTACCCAGGGTCTGAGGCATGAATGCTTCTGAATACCAGTTGATGGGAGCTATGGGAGCAGTAAGAGCTCTTGTGCTCATGTGCCACTTTCAGGTTTCCCAAAGGTATTTGCTTGTCCACTGTGAGACCAGAATGCTGGACTAGTTGGGCCATTGGCCTGATCCAGCCTGCTCTCATAATAATAATAATAATAATAATAATTTATTATTTATACCCCGCCCATCTGGCTGGGCCTCCCCAGCCAATGTAGGTCTTTCAAGACCGGTGTTATATGGTCTTGGCGGCCGCTCCCAGTCACCAGTCTAGCTGCCGCATTCTGGATTAGTTGTAGTTTCTGGGTCACCTTCAAAGGTAGCCCCACGTAGAGCACACTGCAGTAGTCCAAGTGGGAGATAACCAGAGCATGCACCACTCTGGCGAGACAGTCCGCAGGCAGATAGGGTCTCAGCCTGCGTACCAGATGGAGCTGGTAAACAGCTGCCCTGGAAACAGAATTGACCTGCGCCTCCATGGACAGCTGTGAGCCCAAAATGACTCCCAGACTGCGCACCTGGTCCTTCAGGGGCACAGTTACCCCATTCAGGACCAGGGAATCCTCCACACCTGCCTGCCTCCTGTCCCCCAAAAACAGTACTTCTGTCTTGTCAGGATTCAACCTCAATCTGTTAGCCGCCATCCAACCTCCAACCGCCTCCAGGCACTCACACAGGACCTTCACTGCCTTCACTGGTTCTGATTTGAAAGAGAGGTAGAGCTTACTGCGTATGCTCTCCTGGGCACCAGATGTGTTTGCGCTAGCAGAATTATTCAAGTGGATATCACTTATATTGTCATTATCATCATTTTTGCTGTTGTTGCGTTTGTGGAAATGCAGTGGGTGTGTGGGTGTGGGTGTAACACGCCATGAACTTGCACTTCTAGGAGAGGGGATCTGGTGCATGGATGGGAAACATATAAAGATCAGTCTCTAGAAACAAAGTATAAACGTGGGATAACATGGAGCAAGTGCTTGCCTGGCTGCCCCCCGCCTGATCATTGTGGTTGCCATAGAGAAACTCCACATCCTGGCTCTCGGGTTGTGAAGGTGGTTTCTCCCACACTAGGAATGGGGGGGGGGGGGAGCTGCATTCTTAAGAGCATGAAAACAAGTCGTGTGGTCTGATGTCACATCACCACAGAGATTCCCTCCATCCTTGGAGGGAATTAATGGGCTGTGTAACTCACGGTGCATCTTTGTACCTTTCTGCGAGAGATTTGACATTTATGTTTCTTCATGTGGAAAATGACATTTTGCTGTTTTCTTTTAGAACATGTGTGCGCGACCTTTTCTCTCTCTTGCCTGTTTAAAAAGTAAAAGGTCATTACTGCAGCTATTATTTATTGAGCTACCTGAGGCGTTTCTCTTTATATGTGACGAACTTTGGGAGGGGTGGGTGGGGTGCGTGTCAGCCAAAAGTGCAAAATGAAGCCAGAGTGAAGTGAGGAGCCCTACACATGTTTTTAAGAACAGAATGCATTTTTTATAGTTCTGTTTGGCACGTGAATCCAAACCCCGTGCATTTTTGCTCCTTGCCCAAACTCTTGCATGTGCACATCTTGCGCCCATGCCCTGGCTTCATATCCCAGCAGAAGAGATGTTATTAGAAATCTGCCCCTCGATAGCAGTGCCACATGGATGATGCCCACTTGACCCTCAAACCTGGGACTGCATTACATGCTATAGATTTAAAACACCCCACCCCCCCAATATTTTTTGTGTGGGAACTGTAGTTTGTCTCTCACAGAGCTATAGTTCCCAGCACCCCTCACAAACCGCAGTCCTAAATGTCCTTCCAAATATTGTTTCCTGCCGCTGTTGTAAACAAAAATTGCCCTTTTCTCTTATGGGGTATCCAAGAGCCCATATAGAGTCCTTACATAGGTTCCCTATTGGTAGGAGAAAATAACAGAGGCCAACCACAGAATATTTAGAAGCAAAGCAGCTAGTAAGCCTGATCTTTATTGATCTGTTGCAACAGGGTGCTTCCCTCACACGCAGGAAAGGAGGAGGACCCAGAAAAATGGTGTGCAAGGCCTTATAAAGACTTTTGAAATTGCCACCCTGTAGATCAAGCCCACCCCCAGAAACATCATACATACATCACAGAAGGGATATAACCTAAGACCACCACTCAGATACATCACACCTACATCACAAAAAAGGCGGTCTAAAACAGAACAACCCTGGTGGATTCCTGACTGACTGCCTTTTGAGGCGGAAATGCAGTTCCCAAGCCTAGACCTGATAGCTTGGGAATACATCAGCCAGCAGCCAGGGATCTTTTCTTCACTTCCTCCTTCCGTGGCTTGAATGAGCTGGAGGCTGACTCACCCAAAGGAGCCTGCCGGGGCAGCTCCTGGGACAGAGTTGTGCAAGCATAGGCCTTCCTTTTTTGCCGCCCTCCCTGTTTCAGTCACCTCTGCTCTCCCTCGCCCCTGCCATGAGGTGCCTGCAGACCTTCTAAGAGGAATCTTGGTTCTCCAGTGACCGAGATTAGTGGCTGGGGGCCCCCGAGTGGGTGTGGATGAGTAATGTGGCTTTTGTGGTCTGTGCTCTGGCTGCTCCGTCTTTCCCACACGAAGGAGGAGGAATCGTTGCTCGGCAGAGACGGGCAGACACGGCACTAGGCCTTCCTGGCGTCTTAAGGGCACACATTTGAGGAGCGAGCGAGTCTGCCTCCCATGGGAGGAGGATGCAAAGCAGTAGCAGATGTGGGGGCCCCACATGGCGGGGAGACTTCAGAGGTGGACGAGACATGAGATCATTGTCTGGCTTTCCCCAACCCCAGCTCTTACTATGGCCACATGCGCACCGTGCGTTTAAAGTGCTGTGATAACACTTTCAAAAGCCTTGGCTGCCCCCAAGAATTCTGGGAGCTGTAGTTTGCTGTGGGTGCCAAGAGTTGTAGGAGACCCCTGTTCCCTCTTAAAGGTAAAGGGACCCCTGACCATTAGGTCCAGTCGTGACCGACTCTGGGGTTGTGGTGCTCATCTTGCTTTATTGGCCGAGGGAGCTGGCATACAGCTTCCGGGTCATGTGGCCAGCATGACTAAGCCGCTTCTGGCGAACCAGAGCAGCGCACGGAAACGCTGTTTATCTTCCCGCCGGAGCGGTACCTATTTATCTACTTGCACTGCATGCTTTTGAACTGCTAGGTTGGCAGGAGCAGGGACTGAGCAATGGGAGCTTACCCTGTCGCGGGGATTCGAACCGCTGACCTTCTGATTGGCAAGCCCTAGGCTCTGTGGTTTAACCCACAGCGCCACCCGCGTCCCTCTTAGAGAGCTGTAATTCCCAGAGTTCCCTGTGAAGAGGAATGATGGTTAAACCATTCTGGACACTGGACCTCTTCCTACCACCACTTTTGGGTAAATGTGTCCATAGGAACTGGAGGGGTGGGGTGGGTAAAGTGAGCACCCGGGTGGGTGGGGTATATAAATAATAAAATTAGTAATCCCAGGGTTGTGGGTTTTAGCCCCACTTGGGGCAAAAGACTCTTGCATTGCAAGGGGTTGGACTTTTTGACCCACGTGGTCCCTTCCAACCCCACAATTCTGTTCTGTGAAAAGATCACGAGTGCCGATTGCTCATCCAGCAGGCAACTTGCCATTTAGCAGCAGCACCTTTTGGACAGAGGAACCGTTCCAAGAAATCTGCTCACAGAGTTCACATTTGGTTGTTGTTCCTCTGCACCGTCAGCACTGGGAGCTGGAGCCAGTGACACAAGTTCCCAAGCAGGGACGTATTTTGGGCAAGCCCTGTGCAAAATTCGCTACCCTTAAATTGCATCTGGAATTCACTGCCCAAGGCGAAGCCTTCAAGTGCACCTCGTAATGGGTGGTAACGTCTCATGATGGTAATAACTAAAAGGAGCTTTTTAGCTCCTGCCAAAAATCTCCTTTCGTTTGGCCCCAAGCAGGAGAGAACTGAGCTGGAAACACATGGACAGACCCACGGACACATCCTGTGAAGTCTTCCTCCACCTCCCATGAAAGGAAGAGGTGCCAGGAAGATGAGGCTGATCATCTTTCACCCTTGTTTTCTATCTTAAGTTGGTCCTATAGTCGGTCTTGCTCGCCTTCCCACATGGCAGTGGGACTGCAACTCCCATCAGCCCCAGCCAGTATGTCCAGCACTTAGGGATAAATGGGAGTTGTAGTCCAAAATGTCTAGAGGACACCAATATGGGGGGAAAACTGGCCTAGTTGTTGACTACTATTACAAGGCTTATTTGCAATGAGCAATCCTGTTCAGATGCTTTCCACATACAGTAAAATGGGAGGAGAATGTGTACATAATCTGACTCTGCCCCTTCTGTCGTGCCCCCCACCAGCCATCCACATGTTCCACCGCGAACAAGGAGTGAGCTTGCTGCAGCCTTGCCCAAGCTGGTGTCCACCATATGCTTTGGACTAAGGCTCCCATCTACCACAGCCAGCATAGGCAGCGTACTCAGGGATGATGATGGGGGGTTTGTTATCCAAAACATCTGGGGAGCATCATGTTGGGGAAGGCTGGCTTTTTGTACTTGTGGAGGGCTGTGAATTCTGCTGGATCATAGTACAGAATTGCAGAGAGTCTCCAGAAGTGCAGCAGACATTTCCCCCTTGCAGACATTTTCCCTCTGGTGCAGCAGAAGAGGCAGATCTTGCTAGTGGATTCCTGCTCTCCCCTGCATAAAGCTAGTAATATGCAAACGTCTTTCAATTCCTGTACGGACTGGTTACTGTTTGTTGCTATTTCTATTAATGTCGTTAAGGATTTGCTGCATAAAGGCTGATTGCAATTGAATTGATTGTCATGTAGTGGTCTCCTGACAGGTGCCATAATGCCTGCCAGTTCATTTGTGGGTCTTATGGAAGGTGCTTGCTCTAGTGTTTAAAGCCCTAAATGACTTAGGCCCCCAAAAGGCTCCCTTCCCAGCCGAAGCTCCGAAGTTGTTGGCCAGGAGGGGTTTTTCTTTGGCTGAGCCTCTAAGTTGTGAAACTCCCTCCCCAGAGAGGTGTGCCTGGCACCTTCACTGTGCAGTTTTCATTATATGTTGAAGATGCACCTCTTGACCCTGGCCTTGGACAGGTGGGCTGTATATTTTTAGGACTCTCCCTGTTCTTGTGATTGCAATTTGTTTTGAAATGCTTTTGATGTGCTTTAAATTGTTAACATTGGGTAAATGGTGGTGGTGAAATCAAAATACCGGTAATTATCGTTGTCTTTTTATTTTGTATATGAGATCCAGACAGGATTGATTGAGTTTAGCATGAGCTCTGTGATTCAGCACATGTATTGCATGGCAAAGATCCCATATTCAATCTCTCTAGTATCTATATCCAAAAAGATCTTATAGCGCAGGGCTGGGGCAGATCTACAATAAAACTAAGGAAGCTTAAACTTCCAGGCCCCTAAACCCAGAGGGGCCCCAGAAACCACAAGCTTAAAAATTTGGGGTCTAGTAGACCCATGGGACGCTGGTGGCGCTGTGGGTTAAACCACAGAGCCTAGGACTTGCCGATCAGAAGGTTGACAGTTCGAATCCCCGCGATGGGGTGAGCTCCCGTTGCTCGGTCCCTGCTCCTGCCAACCTAGCAGTTCGAAAGCACGTCAAAGTGCAAGTAGATAAATAGGTACCGCTCCGGCGGGAAGGTGAATGGTATTTCCATGCGCTGCTCTGGTTCGCCAGAAGCGGCTTAGTCATGCTGGCCACATGACCCGGAAACTGTACGCTGGCTCCCTTGGCCAATAAAGCGAGAAGAGCGCCGCAACCCCAGAGTTGGCCACAACTGGACCTAATGGTCAAGTGTCCCTTTACCTTTACCTTAGTCCCAGATTGAATGGTACGACTCAAATTGATTAATTTTTTGTTGTACATGTTTCAAGAATCCCAAAGTTTAAGAGTCAGTAGCACAGATGTTGTACAGGTGTGGTGATCTGTCGTGGAACAACTCCAGTGAAGAAGATAACAGTGGTTACCTGGACCTCATTGCCAGTTACAAAGGGGCCTCCAGGACAATTCAAGCTTCAGGGCCACTGGCTGGGGCTGATGAGAGGCCTGGCCAGGTGAGCTAATGGTCTGATTTAATATAAGGCCGACTTGAATTTAAGCATACAGTGGTACATTGGTTCTTAAACTTAAGCTGTTCCGGAAGTCTGTTCCAAAACCAAAGTGTTCCAAAACCAAGGTGCGTTTTCCCATAGAAAGTAATGCAAAACGGATTAATCTGTTCCAGACTTTTAAAAACAACTCCTAAAACAGCAATTTAACATGAATTTTACCATCTAACGAGACCATTGATCCATAAAATGAAAGCAATAATCAATGTACTGTACTATAAAATAAATAAGACAGTATTGTAGATGATAAAAATTAAATTAATTTTTTTTCTTACTTGCACGGATGATAGTCATTGTTTGGATGGAGGGTTTTATCCATTTCTGCAGCCGCACAAACAATCAATCAGTAGCTGAACTGGGTTCCACACAGTCACAAAAACAAATTAATTGAAAAAGCCTCAAAAACAAAAACGCAAAATAAATAGCAAAAACAAAAGCGCCAAACTTAATCAGTTCCGGAAGTCCGTTTGACTCCCGAAATGTTCAAAAACCAAGACACAGCTTCTGATTGGTGCAGGTGCTCCAGCAACAATAGCCGACAGCCACATCGGATGTTCGGCTTCCGAAAAACGTTTGAAAACCGGAACACTTCCGGGTTTTCGGAGTTTGAGGACCAAAGCATTTGAGAACCAGGCGTTTGAGAACCAAGGTACCACTGAATACTGTCAGCTACAGGCAACAAGAATTTGCTTGTAGGTGAGTGAGTGAGTGAGTGAGTGAGTGAGTGAGTGAATGAGTGAATGAGCGAACGAGCAAGCTGCTGGAGGAGGTGTGGACCCTCTGTGACAGGGTGGAAACCAAGAGGGAAGCCCCCTTAGCCAGCATAAGAAAAGCAGGCTGCTGCAAGGAGGACAGAACTCCACACCTCTCTTTTGCCAGCCCACAACAGGTTAGCGTTTTGTTTTATTTTGCAAGCGAAAAACTTTTGTGGACTTACTTGCAAGGCCATGAGGCAGTTTCATAACATGCTGAGATAAGGTTAGCAGATGTAGCAGCAGCAGCAGCAGCAGCAAAAACCAAACTTTTTGTGGTGATGTGTGGAAACCTTAACACTGTGCATGATGTCAGCAGCTGCACAGAACTGGTCAGTGTGGGCAAGTAGCCAGGATGCACAGAAATGGCCAGTGTGTTCTGCTCTGAGAAGCATGTGGCTTGGTCAGGATAAGTGGCCGGGCTGTGTGTGTGTGTGTGTGTGTGTGTGTACCCACACCTGACACCTGTATATACCTGCCTATTCACTGCAGGAATCTTCAGGGCCCTCCTTGTTCCCAGGGTTCTCTATGGCAGTAAAATGCGCTGCCCACTGAAGTTAGACAGGCTCCAACATTGTACACTTTTGTCGGATGCTAGAGGCTTTTAATTTTTTTAAACAGGTTTCCCCAGAAGAATGAGTTGATTTGTGGGAAGCATCTGATTTCCTTTTTGAGAATTGTTTTATCTATTGTTATGTGTTCCATTTTAATTTTGTACAGCAGCACAGTATTTTGCAATGTTTAGTGCTTTTCAAATATTCCGGATAAAGTAACAGAAGCAGAAGGTGAGGTTACTTCTACTTTGCTGACTCGCTTGCCAATCTAACGCAGGTCACAGTTTGTTAAGAATAAAATGCCCATGTCCTGATCTTGCACATGGAAGGATCTCTTTCCTCTCAAGAGGTGATCCAGCCCTTTTAGTATTTCTCTTCTTAATCTGGCCTGTGATTTCTGATAACCAGAGGCCTTCTGGGGTGCCCTTACAAACCCTGTGAGCCGGCCTGTGATTTCACTGTTGGGCTCTGGCCTTGGGTACTTCCGTTTGCCAAGGATGTTGGCCTTTGCTTCTGGAAAGATAGCCAACTCCAGGCTGGAGGGAGAACTGGTTGCAGAAGAAGGCAAAGAGGAAGGCTCTTCTCAGTGGACCAGAGTTTGGGGGACCTCCAGATGTTGCTGGGGTATACAACTCCCATCTTCCTTGGCCATTGGTTGTGTTGTATGGGACTGATGGGAGTTGGAGTTCTAGGACCTCTGGAACACCCACACAAGTTCCCCATTTCTGCTGTAGATGCTCTGATGTGTATCGAAAGCATGTTGAGTTGCAAGGAAGATTTTAAAACTCTGGCTTGACATAGCGTGCAGAGCAGGACAGGCAGGTGGGACTGATCCATAATAATCCAAAGTCCTTTCCTTTGGCCCAGTGTTACAGCACTGTTTCCTCTTTTCTTACGTCTTCAGTGAAATCACAACCTATTAAGCAGTCTCAGCTGAAAAGAGGGGGGGGGGGGAGGAAATCCCGACTTGCCTTCTACCTTTATGCATCCTGCCAAATTAGCTGTGACACTGATTGCTGCCGATAACGCAGCTCTATCACTTGGAGGGTAGCCAAGGGACTTCCTCACGCTATCATTTGGTCCAGGACAGGCAAATTTGGGCGTCAGCACTGACGTGGCCAGCAGGCCATTGACATGGGCCATTAACCTGACCTGCTCCAAGGCACAGTGGAGAGACGTAAAGGCAGTCAAACACAGACGCCACTTTACCTTTTACCAGCTTCCCCGCCTGCCCTCTGCTTGTTACCAAATTATAACAAATCTTTTGAAATGTGGCTGATATCCTCGTGAGTTTCCTCTTCTTGCAGGGCGAAGCGACACAGGATGCGAAAGATCCGTGATCAGTCTCTCCCAACATTTCTTTATTCATTTACTCTTTCCTTAGCGGACAAAAATAGCACTTTGGGGTCCGAGGGTGGGGACAGCAAATCTGATTTGAAAATAAAAGCTGTTTTTCTTTCTTTCAAAAAACCCCAAAACCACCTACCAGTATCCTTTCCCTTTGCTGATTTCGAGTGAAAAAGAAAACAGAAAAACTGTTACATATAATTTCTGTTACACGAAATGGGAGTTGAAAGATGTTAAAGAGAATCCAAGTCTGAGGTCCCATGAATGAACCAAGTTAGCTCAGATGTCCTTTTGGGAGACAATTCTAGAATGCATGTTTTACTTCTCTGTTGCCCACACAAACTTTACGTTTGCACATCTGTTCCTTTAGTGTTCCATCACACTAAACCAGGGCCTAACATTTGGTGCACAATCCGGAAGGAGCTACCCCCTCACTCGTTCTCCCTGCTATCCTCTCCTTCTCTTCTTCCCATGCAGCTTGCAGAAGGACTTTGACAGAGTTTTACTTTCACATCTCCGCAAATGTGGCTTGTTTTTTCATATGAACCGGAGCCTGTGGTTTAAAGCGAGCTCTGGCGGGTTTAACAAGCTGGTTTAACAATCCATGGTTTGAGGCTGGTTCAAAAGAAATGTTGCTCAGGTTTCTAAACAAGCCCATTTTAAACCATGGTCTCCAGTTTGTAGGCAATGTTACGTCGAAGGCTCGTAGAAACAGATCGTCCATTTGCATGAATTGTTGCTGTTTCGCAGCGGTCTATTCTAGGCTGTGAATTTCCTGCGTGAGGCCTGATCCCATGGCTATTTCAGTGGAACTTACATTTTAAGAAAGTCTGGAAAGCCTTCTGGTCGTGTCTTTGGAGTATCATAAACTGCCTCATAACAGATTATAGACCAGATTAAGTCAGCTCCCCCCTGTAGCCCCCTCCTGATCTCCCCAAAATTTGCTCTGGAGGGTTGGGAGAACCTCCAGAAAAGTGGGGGGGGGGGGTTGTTTCATCTGGCAAGCAGAAATGCTTGCACTGAAGAACATAAGAGTGTGACATTGAATTCTTGCCTATTTGTTTGTACAGTGGTACTTTGATTCTCGAGCTTAATCCGTTCTGGGAGTCCGTTCGACTCCCGAAACCATTCGAAAACCAAGGCACAACTTCCGATTGGCTGCAGGCCCTTCCTGCACTCAAGCGGAAGCCGCGTTGGATGTTCGGCTTCGGAAAAACGTTCACAGACCAGAACACTTAGTTCCAGGTTTGCAGCACTCGGGAGCCGATTTGTTTGACAACTAAGCCGTTTGAGAACCAAGGTACCATTGTACAGCTCAGTATTCTTCGCTCTGGCTGGCAGCAGCCCTACAGTTTCCTGGATTTTTAGGGGGGAAGAAATGTGCATGAAATAAAATGGATGCCACCACAGTTTCCTAAATTCCTGGATTGTTCTTTACGCTGACCTTGTGTTAACTTTCAGAGGCTGCAAGTTGAGGGGAATTGCAACAGCCCTCTTCATCCCATGAATGTCTAACCAGCGGTCAGCAAACTTTCCAGCAGGGGGCCTGTCCCCTGTCCCTCAGACCTTGTGGGGGCTGGACTATATTTTTTGGGGGAAATGAACGAATTCCTATGCCCCACAAATAACCCAGAGATGCATTTTAAATAAAAGCACACATTCTACTCATGTAAAAACACGCTGATTCCTGGACCGTCTGTGGGCCGGATTGAGAAGGCGATTGGGCCGGATCCGGCCCCCGGGCCTTAGTTTGCCTACCCATGGTCTAAGCCCCTTCCCAGTATGTCGTTCTCGTGTTCACCACCTCCTCCCTATGGAATGGAACAAATTTGCTAGTCCTGTGTTGTTCTAAAAACTCTGCATGCTTAAAATCAAAATAAGAGGAGGAAAGGGCGAGTGGGCCTGGCAAAGTCCACCCATGCCCACCCTTTTCCCATTAAAAAAAAATCAATTTAAAACATATGGAAGAATGTCGTTTTATTAGAACACCAGACGTCTGCATTCTTATCGAGGCTCTGTGCTTACGACAGAAATGAGGTATGAATAGGCCTTAATAAGATCCTTATCGCGCTTCCATTAAGATCCAGGGTAGGAATGGGCCTTGAGGGTTTTGCATTTGCATGGGGCGGGGAGACTGGGGGAAGAGGAGATCTCTGAAAAGTTGGCACGCACAAGCCCTGCTATTGTTGCAAGTTAGGAAAAAGGAAACCCAAAAGCCCATTTAGCAACCTCGTGGTGCGTAAGTAGAGTCGAAAGCCAAAGGCACAGATTTCCCAGCCAAATGTTTTAGCTCATATGTGCCATGCAGCTCCCTATCAGTTCCGCAAATACGAAAATGCAAGTGACTTGTGGCCTCTAAGCTCTGCTGGCTGTTCTGTTGTTGCTGCAAGTGGACGCAAACCAGTAATCTTCAATCTCACATGGTCCCAACAGCAATGTAGGACCCACTTCTGATTTCTAGGTGTCCTACATGGGCCAGGTTGTTGTTTTTCTCTCCTTCTCAGTTTAAGGCAGGGGTGGGGAATCCTGTGGCTCTCCAGATGTTGTTGGACTCTGCATCTTCCATCAGCCGTAGCAGATGGAGCCTTATGGTAGGGAATGATGGGAGTTGTAGGCCAACAATTTCTGGTGGACCATAGTTTTTGAGGCAAACTTAGGCAGAGAACCTAGATTTTTAATTGCAGCAAGGTGGGAGGGTTGTTTTTTTAAAAAAAGCAAACAAACCAAGAGTTGCTTATAAGGCTAGGATGAAAAAGCAGCAACAACCAATGTATTTTATGCTACATAATAACTACTGATAGAGGGATTGTCCCTTCTTATTGCATCTGGCCACTCTGTTTTCTTTTTCAAGCATGTACAGTGGTACCTTGGTTTGCATACGTTTTGGATACGTGTTTCCCGGTTTGCAACCTTTTTTTGGATTACAAACAATTTTTGGGGGGAGGCCCCATTGGCGAAAGCATGCAAACGGACCTCTGGAACGGATTATGGTTTTAAACCAAGGTACCACTGCACTGAGAAATGTGTCTTCAGTGCTAGATACAGGCACCTTTTGGGGTTGAGCTTTCTTTTGAGTCCATATTTGTTGACTGCAGAATTCCAGCGATCTCCGGGAAATTCTGGACATATGACAACCCTGGGTACACATGGCACCAATTATTTGTCAAAATTACAAATACCCAAATACAGACCGTCATTTCCCTCGCTAGATTCAACGTGCTGCCATCTGCCTTATTACAGGGCAAATTAAAGGGTAAGCCATACATGGAATGCCCCTGCGGCTTGATGGAGGTAGAAACTGTCTCTCATGTCTTGTTACGCTGCCATTTCTACAGGGATATACGCTCGGTATTTATCACTCCTGTTATACAGAAATCTCCAAATGGGTCTGAATGTCAATGTCTAAAACTCCTGGTAGAGGACAAGGATCTAGAGATCATGCTAAGGGTGGCCAAATTCTGTGCGACTGCCAAAAAAATTAGGGAACAAGCTGTACTACCAAAATGATTAAGGTTTTAAATGACAATTTTAGGTTATATTTTAGTGATCAAGATTTAATATATATTTTTAACTGCCGCTATATCTGAATTGTCTCTGTTATACCCAATTGCAATTCAATGTATTCCTGTTGTGTTTTATGATTTTCCTGATATTGTAAGTGATCCAGAACTGGTCTGTGACCGTAATAATAAAATTCAATTCACATGGCACCATGCCCATGTCATCGCTGTCAGTTGGGCTGTGCCATTCCCCCTCCTCACCATATTTCTCTTTTCTATGAATGAAATAGGCAAAAAAGGACAGGATGCAGATATTTGGCTGCCTCTGTACAGTGGTGCCTCGCAAGACGAAATTAATCCGTTCTGCGAGTCTCTTCGTCTTGCGGTTTATTCGTCTTGCGAAGCACTGCTATTAGCGGCTTAGCGGCTATTAGCGGCTATTAACGGCTTAGCAGCTTAGCGGCTATTAACGGCTTAGTGGCTTAGAGGCTTTAAGAAAAAGGAAACAAACTTGCAAGAACTCGCAAGACTGTTTCGTCTTGCGAAGCAAGCCCATAGGGAAATTCGTCTTGCAGAACGACTCAAAAAATGCAAAACCCTTTCGTCTAGCAAGTTTTTCATCTTGCGAGGCATTCGTCTTGCGGGGCACCACTGTATACCACCATATCTGTATGGAGAGACGCATAGCAGTGTATCAGCACACTAGTTTCCAGTCCCTGCCTTTTAAAAGACTGTATACGAAAACACTGAAGGGGTGGAGGGGATGAGAGAACAACACTGTGCACTGATCTGAAAACACGTCCACCTGTGGTTGCTGACAGCATGGCTAGTAGCTGCCGCTTTGGATACTGTCATCACACCAAGGTGTGCACAATTGGAAGCCACTGTGTGCACAAGTGCATCAATGACATGGGGGATGATGCTGTGTGTACATTACCCCACAAAGGTACCTGCATCCCGTGTTGAATGCACATTTTTGTGCAGTGTGAACATGCCCGTATGCATGCACAAAATGTAGATCAAGCGAGCTTGAAGTCTGCCTGCCTCTGCGGCAGGGTTTGCGCACTGGGCAATGTCCTCATCAGTTTCTCCACATGGAGCACATTCAAACCCCAGGGCAGGCAGGCAGGGAAAGCTGAACATGGCAGCCGTTTGGGAGAACGTGGCAGGCAAAAGAGGCTGTCCATTCCTTCTGATCTGCCTTGATGAGTTAGCAGCGGTTGATTCATACGAGTGGGAGGTTATAAGCCAAGAGCCAGGAGCTGCTGGGGCCTATGGGGGTGGGGAGGAGATGAAGAGAGCAGGTAAAGACCGCAGGAGGAGTGGACGTCAAGAGCAAGATCAGATCCTGCTTTCCCAGCGAATTGTACGAAATGCACTTGGTCATATTTTGAAAGGATTGCAATTTGTTGCAGACTGCAATTTCTTATCTTTCCCCCTCCTTTGGTGGAGCAGGGAGCTCAGACTGGACCACTTTAAGTGTGCTGATCATTGCTCTCCTCACTATGCTTACCTTCAGCAGCCCACATATTTTGGCTGATGTTAACCGTCAGCCAAAAAAAGGAGTTCTTCTTGCCATGACTCACTCCCACTAGCAGCAGAGGTCTTTCCTAGCTTTGCTAGTGGAGATCTTTTACCGGAGGCACCAAGCAAGGATTGCGTTAGTCCTTAGTGAGTGCCTGGCACGCTGCTACCAATAGACCGTTGCCCAGCATCAACCTCGAGCCCCATCTCTCGCAGTGTGGCTGCTTGCCAATTCCCCTGCTTGGGGTTAGCAGCTGCTTTGAGAATAGGCTGTTGAACTACATGGGCCTTTGGTCTGATCCAACAGGACTCTTAATATGTAAGGCCTGGGCTTTCCTTCTGAGCCCAGGGCTCTGGCAGATACTGATCTGTTTGTCCACCCACCAAAACCCTGCACTCTCTTACCCCTTGCCACCCCTTGCTTCCCTACGTTCTTTATAGCTACATCCATGCCAGTTTGGTACATAACTGCCTCTAACCAGGCAGAACTGGCAGAGGCCCTGAGAGCAAGATCACCGGAGGGTGTACAATGCTCTCCTAGACGTATTTACTGAGAAGGGCTGGTTCCAGCTCTGACGCTCAGCCTATTCATGCTGGAGGAAGTGGATTGATTCCAGCAGGAAGTTCATACCCAGTCAATTCCCTAGAGAGCCTGGAGAGACAAGGGCTCTCCACAAGCTTTGCGAAGGGATTCTGCGGCAGGCGTGAGCGTCGTCGGTCATTTTGCAGAGCAGCGTCTGCTTTGGCCGGGGGTCTTTCGCTTCCTGTTTTCTTACCTTGACGTCACGGGTCCTTCGATGGCAGCCGGTCAAAGGGAGAGGTTGTTACTGGCCGGGAACCAGCCCTGAGCATTCCTGAGGAGTGCTGATGTCACCTACCCACAGGGATTACTTCATAAGTGAAGTATTTAGGCCTCGGTGTGAATAAGAGAAGGGGAAAGGAAGAATGATGACGAAAGTAGGAAGCTGGCCCATGCAATGCCACCCACCCACTCCCCTTTCCCTCCAAGCAGTCTCCTCATCTAGTAAACATAAAAATAATAATTAAAAAGCCCCACCACAAAAATGGTGACATCAACCTGGGTCGGGCATAGCCAGCAGGCAGGTTTTTCCATTTCCTGATCTTTAAAATAAATCAATAAACTAAGGCTGCATACACACCATACATTTAAAGCACACACCCCCCCACAAAAATTCTGAGAGAACTGTAGTTTACCTCTTAAAGGGGTAAAGGGACCCCTGACCATTAGATCCAGTCGTGACCGACTCTGGGGTTGCGGTGCTCATCTCGCTTTATTGGCCGAGGGAGCCGGCGTACAGCTTCCGGGTCATGTGACCAGCATGACTAAGCCGCTTCTGGTGAACCAGAGCAGTGCACAGAAACGCCGTTTACCTTCCCGCCGGAGTGGTACCTATTTATCTACTTGTACTTTGATGTGCTTTTGAACTGCTAGGTTGGCAGGAGCAGGGACCGAGCAATGGGAGCTCACCCCGTCACGGGGATTCGAACCACCGATCTTCAGATCAGCAAGTCCTAGGCTCTGTGGTTTAACCCACAGCGCCACTTGCATCCCAGTTTACCTCTTAGAGAGCCACAGTTCTTAGCACCCTTAACAAACTGCAGTTCCGGTATTCTTGGAGAAAGTTGTTCACTTTATATGTTAGGGACATAGGAAGCTGCCTTATACTGAGTCAGACAATTGACCCATATAGCTCATTATTGTCTGCCCTGACTGGCAGTCACTTACCTCTGAGCCCTACTTGGAGACACCGGGAAGTGAACCTGGGACCTTGTGCATGGGGAAGCAGATGCTCTTAGACTGAGCTACAGTCTTCCACCCAATGTATGGTGTGCATGCAGCCTATGTAAACCACATGTCTCCCTCTTCCAGGAGGGTTGGGGTTTGTTTGTTTTTGCAGAGAAGGCCACAGAAATGAGTAATGGAACCGCCCATGTTTCAGTCGCACCTTTCCAGCAACACACATCCAGCTGCTTTGGGCCCTCAAATTTCAGCAGCACCCTGGGTGAAGCTAAAATTTGGTGCCCCCCCCACCTCTCCCACTCCATTCTACAGCATTATTGTGGCGCCCCCTGCAAAGCGGCACCCAGATTGACTACACTGGGCATGCTACCCTAAACAGGGTCGTCTTTACTCAGGGATGCAAGGGGTGCGGTGCAAAATGTATACCTACTGCATACTGGTCCCTCTTGATTGGTGGCAGTGAGAAGCAATGGAGCAAAAGTCCCCGCTCCCCTCCTCCGTTGCTCTGTTACTCCGTAGCATCAAGCAAAAGCAGTTGTTTCCACTGTGTTGTTACAGGTGAGAGCAATCCCTCCCTGAAAAAAGGTCAACAACTTCAACTTTGGCTTCCCCCTCCTAAAAAAGGGGGTGCAGGGCAGATCTTTGCACCCCAGCGGTGCATATGCTAAAGATGGCCCTGACCCTAAAACCACCTCTGACTGGTTGTCCTGGTGATGCGGGGAACAGAAAGGAAGGGGCAGGTAATAGGTAAAGAAGGAGAAGGAGAATCGGCAAGGTTTATGGGAAACGCCTGAGTTCAGTGGTGCAACATCTATCCTGGAGCACACATAGAACACAACACCAATTCCTGGATCAGTTGTAAAGCATCTGTTCTGCTGGCCCCCCAGTGTCCCAGCAGCGTGGAGCCGAGCATAGCATGCCTCCAGCGGTCAGCTCCTTCTCCTGCTGCTGCTGCAGAGGGGAAGGAGGGTCGAAGCTTCTTCTTCTTCTTCTTTGGTGATCCCTCGTAGCAGAGTAAGCCACTTCCGAGCTCGAGAGGAGGGGGGGTTGCGGGCTACCCCCTCCCACACACGCACGCGGGGGCTGGTTCTAGCCCCCGCGAGAAAAGGGAATCCCCAGGCGTGTCTGCGACCTGGCCCGCCAATCGGCGGGCAGGGGAGGCGTGGCCTAGCCCATTTAAGGCCGGCTCGCCCGGGGACCGCCCTCTTTGTCCCGTTCCAGACACGCCCGGGGACTACCTCTTCTCGTGGGGGCTAGAACCAGCCCCCGTGTGCGTGTGTGGGAGGGAGTAGCCCGCAACCCCCCTCCTCTCGAGCTCGGAAGTGGCTTTGCATGGCGAGTCCCCTCCCCCAAGTGAAATGAAGACACTGGACACATTATTTAAGGTTAATGGGCATAAAAAGGCCACAACTTTATTGATTACAGGAATTGGAAGGTATTGGCCTTAGGCATTGGCTCCTATCGACTACCCGGCATGGGGACCAAGAAGGGTTATCCACCAGCCGTGGGAGTCCTGTTGAAGTACGCCAACTAGGATCCCACGGGTGTCACCGCTCAGGGGCGTGCCGGAGGCCCTCACCTCTCTAGGTTTCGGACAAGGCAACGCCCCCCGGAGTCCTCTACCGGACTACCCTTTTCATTGGGGGAAGGTGATGGCGCTTCCTTCCCCCCCACTTGCATAACAATTAACCCCTGCCAATGCCTAACCGCCAATCGAGCAAAGCTCGCCGCCAATACCTTCAAACCTGTAACCAACTCCTAATCCCTGCTATGAATAATGTGTCCAGTGTCTTCATTTCACTTGGGGGAGGGGACTCGCCACACAAAGATTGTCTTCCATAAACACAGTTTTAACAACGAGTCCGTAGGTGACTATGGAGGCCAGTTCTGGATCCACACGTACTTCCACGGTGAGGACATAGGTTTCCAAGAGGGAGTTGATCACGGTGTGGATTTGCCAAGCGTGCCTTCCTCTTAGCATGTTTCTCCCTTGCATCCTGAGTTTGAGCGTCTTCAAAGCCCATGACACCTTTGGTAAAGGCTGTTCTCCAACTGGAGCACTCACAGGCCAGTGTTTCCCAGTTGTCAGTGTTTATACTACATTTTTTTAGAAATGCCTTGAGACAGTCTTTAAACCTCTTTTGTTGACCACCAGCTTTACGCTTTCCATTTTTAAGTTCAGAATAGAGTAGTTGCTTTGGAAGACGATCATCAGGCATCCGCACAACATGACCAGTCCAATGAAGTTGATGTTGAAGAATCATTGCTTCAACACTGGTGATCTTTGCTTCTTCCAGTACACTGATAGTAGTTTGCCTGTCTTCCCAAGTGATGTGTAAAATTTTCCGGAGACACCGTTGATGGAATCTTTCAAGGAGTTGGAGATTGCATCCATGTTTCAGAAGCATATAGTAAGGTTGGCAGTACAATAGCTTTGTAAACAAGCATTTTTTGTTTCTCTGCAAATGTCCCAGTCCTCAAACACTCTGCACTTCAATCAGGAGAAAGCCGCACTCGCAGAGCTCAGGCGATGCTAGATTTCAGCATAGAAGCAGCCTCCCACCGGTGGTGGCACCAGTAGAGGCAGATATACGAAGAAATTTAAAAAAAAAATCAAACAAAGTTTTACAAAAGAACCAGAAGCCTTCCTCTTGGGAATATTCGGACCAGAGTTTTCTAAGGAAAAAAGAAGAATATTCTTATACACTGCAAAAGCAGTGAGAATACTGATTGCCAAAAAATGGAAAGGTGAAATGATATCATCAAAAGAGGAATGGCAGGAGAAACTGTTTGAATATCTTGAATTAGCAAAAATAACTGAGACAATTAGGAGACAGCCAACCCAAAGGTATAAAAAAGAATGGGGCATTTATAAAGAATATTTAATTAAACATTGCCCGCAAGTGAAAACCTGGACATGATTTGACTAAACTCCTCAATCTGTAAATTAGATAAAGAATACATGAGACAAAATAAGAGAAAGAAATGGAGATGAGGAATACTGGAGCAGTGATAATAAAGGGGGGGTGAACCCTCAATGAGGAGATTGGAAGTCATATGGAGAACTTAAGAAATTGTGAATTAAGAAAAAGATTTAAATAATACAAGTCTTCTTTAGGAATTTAAGGATTTATACAAATTTGTTTATCTGCAATTACTCCATGTGTATTGTGTAAATGTGTGTAGGTTATTTGAATATAAGTCTGTCTCTGCTCTCTCTCTGTCGTTGACTAAGTGCTAGGATTGGGTTATTGTTGCCAGTGAGTTCCTAGGCAGCGCTGCGCCTGCATTGTCTTTGGCGAGCCCCAGGTCTCCACAAGGCAGCCAGCAAGATAAAGAAGAGGATGGCGCATTGTTCTTAGAGGAAATGGGAACCACCTCTAATCTCTGACTCCTAGGCTCAGCGTGAAAGTGAAGTCCCTTGTCGTCGGAGCAGCCCCCCAAAGGTCACGGAAAGGCAACGCTCTTGAAAGCAAAAGGGTGATTCTCCCTTGTTGCAATTCCAGAAAAATAGGCATCACTCGCCATAGCATGCTTGCACGATGCGCAGGCCCAGCCCCCTCGGTCATGGGGTCAAGGTGGTGCGCTTGGTCCCAGATTCATCCCCTGGTGTCTATAGTAAGGACTGGGAATGTCCTCTGCCTGTCAGTGTCCAGAATATTGAGCTAAAGGGACCAGTGAATCGGACTCAGCATAAGGCAGCTCCCTATGTCCTTTTGTTGTTGCCTGAAGTCTTACTTGCTTCGCCAAACCTTTATTAGGCATTACAAATACAGGCCATCATAAAACATCCATATATAATTTTTTAAAAAAATATGTACAAATAAACAGCCATGTAAAATATGTAATAATGAGGGTTTCCGTTGGTGTTTCTTCCCGCTAAATAGTGCCATTCACCGCTCTAAGAGATACTATTGACAAAAACTCAGCCACCCTTGCAGTTACTTCCGGGTTAATGGCAGACAGATAGGATCTGATATTTTCATTGTGCCGCGATGTTAGACTATCCAAAGAAGGGGCACAGCACGTGTTTGCATAGCTGGTTGTACAATGGACAGTAGAAAAGAATATGTTCTACAGTGTCCGGACTGAAGTCTTATCCTTTGTGTGTTTTGGTAATTTAAATGTCTGTTTTAGTTATGCTCTTGTATTCTATTGTTGTGTATGCCATCTTGAACATTTCTAACTGAATATATAAACCAGAGAACAAATTGTAACATAGAAATTTAAACATTACAGTAAGCTTGCAACTTATGCAGGGGTTATGTTCCAGGGATAGCACCTAAAGCCAAACCCACGTATAGTCAAAACATACTGGGTTAAATGGCGGGTAGGATTGCCAAAGCTTTTCTTCCTGGGTGCCCATCCCTTTTCTGCCCCCTTTTAAATTCTGTTTTTTTTAAATGCCAAGCTGATGCACACAGGTTAAATGTGCATAAGTTGTGGGTGTATTATATTATGAATTTATTCAAATTTATATACACACATTATATATGTGTGTGTGTGTGTGTGTTACTAATAATATGAAGTGATGGTATTTCATGCATAAAATAATCTACCTATAAAGTCCAACCATTCATTAATATTTAATGCTCAAAAATTCAATATTTCCTTAAATTCAAAATTTCTTCTCCTCCCCCACTGATAATAAAAATAATATTAGAAAAATATTGTAATTATTGTGTTTGAAAAGCCTGCTGTCTTGTTCTGTCCTGATAAATATGGATTTGTTGCTTCTGTAATTTTATCATTCCAATAAGCAGTGAATGTTTTTTTAAAAAAAAACTGGAAAAGATACAAATATGAAATTAATATAAGGGGGTGAGCACTAATGTACTATTGTTTACGAACAATTGAGGAAGGACGATCCTACTTCAAAGGGGACTCCTCCATATTATGACACCTATCAATTCATGGGTGACAACTCTGTCACTGTAACAACTACATTTGGATTTCATAATAAACCTGGGGTTCAAATGCTCTCTCTCCCCTCTCCTTTTCCAGGCTGACTTCAATAAGTTCAAAAGACTTCACTTCTATTTTTTATATTCAGTTTGCCAACTACCCGAAACTGACATACTGTCCTTCCTTCCTCCTCCTCCTCCTCCTCTCTCTCTCTTAAAAAGTCAATTTTAAAACACGAGTTGTGAAGCTGACTTGTTTCAAGAAACTATAGGTAAGATTAAGTACAGTTTAGGGTTCGGATGTAATGCTAAACTGTGGTTAACTGAAAGCTGAAGCTTCCAGACAGCGCCCCCTCAATCCTTTGCTGTTGCCATAATTTTTGTAAGTTACAGAATCTGGCTTTTCATAGGGTTTGGCTAAGAATCCACAGATCTACAAGTTCCAGGAACCGTATGCCTAACCTCTGAAACGGAGGCACCCCAGAAAGAGCCTCTCAAATGATGGACGAGATTTGCAAAGGATGCTTCACCAGCTGCCCCCTACAGATGTTCTGATGCATTACACCCATGATATGCATATGCTGGCTAGGCCTGATGGGAGTTGTAGTTCTAGACATCTGGAGGGCATGAGGTTGGCAAAGGCTGGTATGGAAGAAGAAAACCATTCCTGGCTCCATCTAAACTGCAGTCCCATTTCTAAAGCTAGACCCACATGGTCCTGGTCAAAGTTGAGTTTGGACAAACACCACTCTGGGCTCCATGGAGGGAAGATAACAGATTTCCAGTAAATAAAATGACAAAAAATATTTTTTCTCCTTTAAAAACTTAATCATCCTCATCTATCTTTGCAGGAGGCGGAGGGAAGCGGAAAGGGAGAAGTAAGAAATGGAGAGAGATTCTCAAGTTCCCGCACATCAGTCAGTGCGATGACCTTCGGAAAGGCCTGGGTAAGTGGCAAAGTCAGGCGCATCCAGCCAGCTGAGCTTTCATTCAGAGTTTGGGAGACGGAGGCTGGGTGGCAGAAAGGGGTGCTGCAAGAACCAGCCAGACTTGCTCGCCAGAGGATTTGCAGGGTGGTGGGAGTGCAACAGCAGAGATCATTCTGTGCGCAGCTTACGGGTTAGTAAAAGATCCATCGCATCCTGGTCACTGTCTCTTCGAGCTCTTGCCGTCGGGACGGAGATACAGGACGATGAAGACAAGAACGAGCCGTCTTAAGAACAGCTTCTTCTCCAGAGCGATCTCGGCCCTGAATGGGAAGCCCGGACTTTGAAAGTCATCTAATCTCCCTTGCTGTATTATACTGTATTGATTAATTAGTGTTTTTATGGAGCAGTCAAGTAATTTGGTTGTCCCCGAAGGGGGCAATGACAATAAAGATATTATTATTATTATTATTATTATTATTATTATTATTCTGTTAGCATTAAAGCCAAGAGGTGGAGGTGCTGCTTAGCGATAGGGCGTATGATGTTTGCCGAGGTAGCCCATGCCCCGATGGCTGTGTAGTTCTTTGGTGAGACCTCCTCAGTAGTTTGGTTGATTATCTCCATGCTATGTAGAAGGCCTGAGGCAAGAAAGAGAAAACCTCCCTTTACTCAAATCATACGCCGTTTTTCTTCAGTTTCTTCAGTAAAGTATTATTAGGATTATTATTTTTCATCTGGACTGTGCCTGGATTATTTAAGTGCCTTTGCTAATGTGAGGATGTTGTACAAGGTGTGCTACTAGCAGAGCCTGTCTACTCAGAGGTAAGGCCCACCGTAGCTGTCTTCGGGCATCTGTTGGACATGTAACATTGCAAACTGGAGATGGAGGCCGAGGCATGCGTGTGAGCTCCGACCCCAAAGGCGCCAGCAGAGTTGGCCCTACCAAGAGGCAGAATGAGGCGGCCACCTCAGGCACCAGATATTGGTGGGGTGGCAAGGTGTTGGAAGACGGTGCTGTATTTGCTACGTGTGCAAATACTGTGCCCCCTAAGCTAGCCTGCTGCCCTCTGCTGTAGTGGAGGACTCACTTCACCAGTGCTGAATCCTAGGCCCCATTCAAACAGAATCCTGGAAGTGTAGCTTGTTAAATGTGCTGTGTGTTGTGAGGAGACCCCCCCTATTCCCCCCACAGAACTACAGTTCCAGATTGATCACCTTTAATGATCAACTCCTCTTCCCAGGGAACTCTGGGAGTTGCAGCTCTGTGAGGGGAATAAGGGGTCGCCCAGACATTTCCAGCACCCTTAAGGAAATACAGTCCCACCAACTAAAGAACAACGGCAAGAGAAGTTGATGAACTATGCAGAACTGGCAAAAATGACAGAAATCATAAGAGAAAAAAGACAACAGAGACTTTGAAAAAGAGTGGGAACCATTCATATTATATTTGCAGAAACAAAGAAAGGCAATAGACTTGATGGCAGGATTTAAATAAACATTCACATTATTAGCATCAGAAAATGTTTAGAAAATAGTGAAACAAGATGATGTATTTAATTTTAATTTTATGTTTTTAGATTTGATGTTATGTTATTAATAACCTTTTCTGCTGAGAGATAGCAAAGCGGGTGAAAACAGAAACAAACCAGAAACGCAAGTTGGGGGAAGTCTTGGGGGGGAGGGAAGGAGGAATATATAGTGAACATTAAGAATTTGAAATTTATGTAATGAATGAAAATGAAAAATGAATATTTTTTATTTTTTTAAAAAAAGGAAATACGGTCCCCAGAATTCTCTGGGGAAGCCATGACTGTTTAAAGTGGTACTGTAGTGCTTTAAATATGTAGTGCAGATGGGTCCTAGGCCGTGTGTGGAAAGGGAGTTTGCCCTCTTGCCCTTCAGGCAGCAAAACGCCTTAGGCTGACTCTGTTTTTATCCCTCTGTTTTTCGAAGATGCCTGCTCTTCCCCCAGGCTCTTGAGAAGTGTGAGGGACTTCTTCTGCGCATGCCTCCCTCCCCGTGCTGAAGTTTGTTCTCAAGGCGTGGGGCTGGGCTATGAGAGCGCGCATGTTCCTGCGGCTTGGACGTGCATTTCCGCAGAGGCCTTCTCCTCCTTGGCCAAGGGGGAGGGCAGGGGGTCTGAGAGGAGCAGGAACGGAGGTCTCAGCAAGGAGGCGCAGCGTGTCATGCCTGTGGCAGCCAGAGGTCACAGGCCTGGAATGCGCAAGTGCGCAGCTGAGCACAGCATGCAGTTGCCCCGTGCGACACCCAGGAGGAGGCAGCCCTGAGAAGCGTCTGCCACGCTGACTTTACGCGCGACCTGCGGACGTATTTGTGGGGTGGGGTGGAGATGGAGGGGCTATCGCTTTCCTAACAGTTCAATTTTTGTTTGTCTTCTCCACACCCCTCGGGACTGGCCATTCCTTAGAACTCCCATTAACAGTCACGAGGCAGCTTTAAAGAGCAGGGTTTGCAGATTGACTCACGGCCCAAAATGTATAGCATGCTATTCAGTTAAGTGTTACTAAGAGCAGAGCCATTGAAATTAATGACCCTAACTTAGTCGTGTTCATTCATCTCAGTGGACTTGCCCCAAGGCCTCAGCTGCACTATGCATTTAAGCAGCTTCATATCACTTATCATAGAATTGCAGAGCTGGAAGGGCCCTTGAGGGTCATCTAGGCCAACCCCCAGCAATGCAGGAATCCAATTTGAAACCTCACTTAGCTTTGCAAATGTGCTAGCAGTTTTATTGCTGCGCCAACTCTGAACAGGCATGGCTTTCCCCAAAGAATCCTGGGAACTGTAGTTTCATAAAGGTGCAGAGAGTCATTGGGAGGCCCCCGTTCCCCTCCCAGAACTACAATTCCCAGTGTTCCCTAGGAAAAGTGATGGATTATTTAACTGTAGCTCTGTGAGGGCAATACAGTGGTACCTCTGGTTGCGAACAGGATCTGTTCCGGAGGCCCGTTTGCAACAGGAAGAGAGCACAACCCGCAGCGGCACATCTGCCCACGCGCAGGTTGCGATTCACCACTTCTGCGCATGTGCATGATGTCATTTTGTGCTTCTGCGCATGTGCGAGTGGCAAAACCCGGAGGTAACCCTTTCTGGTACTTCCGGGTCACCACGGGACGTAACCTGAAAGAACGTAACATGAAGCGGACATAACATGCGGTATGACTGTAGTTTGTTAAGTTCTGAATTGTAGCTCCTGGCCCAGTAGTCTGCCCACTACAACACAGTGGTGCTTGAGGGTGGAGAAACTGCTTCTTTCTTTGTATTCCAGTTAAAACAGTGCACACAGCTGATGTGTCATTTTTCACCTGCCCTTGAAAAAACAACAACCCATTCTTCCATTTCTTCCTTTGCAGAACGAGACTACAGCAGCTTGTGTGACAAGCAACCGATTGGCCGGCAGCTTTTCCGACAGTTCTGCGAGACGCGGCTGGAGCTCCTCCGGTGTATCCACTTCCTGGATGCTGTGGTAAGGCAAGTGCCATGCCTAGAGCGGGTCTGGCTCAGAGGCATGTTTGCTGCTCAGAGCTGTCCACCTTGGGCTCGCTTGTGTGATGCTTTCTGGGGAGCCTCTGTTTAAATACTGTATAAGGCTATTGAAGAGGGACGCGGGTGGCGCTGTGGGTAAAACCTCAGTGCCTAAGACTTGCTGATCGTAAGGTCGGCGGTTCGAATCCCCGCGGCGGGGTGAGCTCCCATCGTTCAGTCCCAGCTCCTGCCCACCTAGCAGTTCAAAAACACGTCAAAGTGCAAGTAGATAAATAGGTATCGCTTTATAGCGGGAAGGTAAACGGCGTTTCCATGTGCTGCTCTGGTGCTGGCTTGCCAAAGCAGCTTCGTCACGCTGGCCACGTTACCCGGAAGTGTCTCCGGACAGCGCTGGCTCCCGGCCTCTTGAGAGAGATGAGCACGCAACCCTAGAGTCGGACACGACTGGCCCATACGGGCAGGGGTACCTTTACCTTTACCTTTTTAAGGCTATTGAAATGGGTAGAGCGTAGAACTAGGGTAGACGGGCCCAAGTTCAATCCTCAATATTGCTGGTTAAAAGGGTCTTAAGCACATCACGGCCCTGCAGGATCAGGCCAAGGACCAACTTACAGCATCCTATTCTTTATATAGCCAGTGTGGTGTAGTGGTTAAGAGCGGTAGTCTCATAATCTGGGGAACCGGGTTCGCGTCTCCGCTCCTCCACATGCAGCTGCTGGGTGACCTTGGGCCAGTCACACTTCTCTGAAGTCTCTCAGCCCCCCTCACCTCACAGAGTGTTTGTTGTGGGGGAGGAAGGGAAAGGAGAATGTTAGCCGCTTTGAGACTCCTTAAAGGGAGTGAAAGGCGGGATATCAAATCCAAACTCTTCTTCTTCTTCTATATGGTCTCTCTATATATAAAGTTAGGCTTTTTAGCATATCATTTTCAACAATTATTAAACATACTTTTATATCTTATACAATTTTTTGACTTCCATCAATCACATCTGAAAAATTTCCAATCTTTTTCACTTGATTTACATTTCTTACTTTCACTATTACATTTAAATATCATAACTAATATCTCTCTTCTTTCCAATATTTCGTGTATTCCTCCTTACAAAACTTCTTGTAGTCCTACTAGCATAATTTGTTGATTACAATTGCTCTTCAAATAGCTCGTATATTTCTTCCAATCTTCTGTAAATCTCTGGTCCCGCAGGTTTCGAATCCTTCCTGTCATTTTGTCCAGTTCTGCGTAGTCTGTTAATTTCATCTGCCATTCTTGTTTCGTCAGTATTTCTTCTTGCTTCCATTTCTGGGCCAACAAAACTCTTGCCGTACAGCATCCTATTCTCACGGTAGCCGATCGCCTGCCTGTGAGAAGCTTGCAAGCCAGACCTGAGTGCCACACTTGTGATTCCCGCTTGTGATTCCTGGCATCTGCCTCTGACCGTGAAGGTGGAACACAGCCATTTTTATCACAGCTCATGGTTTATCTGGAGCGAGACAAACCACAGTCCGGGGTGGCTCAGCCCCTGATGGCGTGGTGGCGACAGGACTGAGGGAGGAATACCAAGACCAAAATCTTTGCTCTAGAAACCCACACATCTCTTAGTTTGCGCTAAGCCATGGCTTGGTTTAGTATTACATGCAAACCCAGCCTCCGAGAAGAGAGAACTAATTTGAACCCTCACTTGGCCGAGATGCTCAGTGGGTGTTCTTGGGGAGGCCACTATTTCTTTAAAAAATATTTATATTTTGTTGAAAATTATATCTTAGCTTGGTCTCCCTTTTCAGGGTTGTTGTGATGTTAAAATGGATGCCACTTTGAACTACTTGGATGGAGAGCTGGATAAAAAGAGAATTAAGTAGCTAAATGTGCTACTACATGACACTGATATCCCTTCCAAGAAGTTCATGCATTGTACATGCATTGCACATGGCTTTCCCCCTCTAACTTCACAACAAGCCCGTGTGAAGTCATGCATGGTGCTTCATGACGGTGTAGGGATTTGAACCAGAACTCAGCCATGCAATTTTTAATCAGCCTTGATCCCACACTCTTAACTCAGGGGTTGCTGTGTGCCCACTCGTGTGCATGGGTGGAGTCCAGAGAGAAAAGTTGATAACACCTGACTGAGGAAAGGGAGCAAAAAAATTGTATAATTTCAGGAGAAAGGAACAGAGAGGATTTGCCTTTCTTAGGTAAGGCCTTGTACATAGAAGGGAGACATTCAGCCAAACATACAGAATAAGAACTCCCTCAGAACTACACAGGCAATTGGAGCAGGTGAAGATCTTGCTACTCAGCCTTGTTGCTGAGCAATACCTCCATCCCTCTAGGTTATCTGACTTACTGATAGGAGAATTAACCCTTAAGTTACTCACGAAATGATCTCTGCTGTTGCATCTCCAACATCTGCAGGGCTCCCTCTGCTCACTAGAGTTAGACTTGAAAGAAGCATTCTACACTAGCCAATAGAATAGACGAGATGGCAGGTTGTGTCTGTTGCGCACAACAGTTTCTCCAGTTTGCAAATGGGGGCCCAAAAGATAGTTGACTCCTTCTCTACCAATCCTAACCATAGTGGAATATGTAGTTCACTGTACACCTCTGGACATAGGCATTATTCTATTTTAATCACACCCTTTCCAAGGGGCTTTTTTTCTTCTTCTTCTTCTTCTTCTTCTTCTTCTTCTTCTTCTTCTTCCTCTTCCTCTTCCTCTTCCTCTTCCTCTTCCTCCTATTCTTCTTCAACATCATCATCCATTCATTTCATTTCTATACCACTTTATATTTTTTTGGGGGGGAGGATCTCAACGCGGTTTACAACATACATTAAAACATAAAATAAAACAATCCAGAGTGAATCATTACTGAAAAAGTCCAATATAAAATATACATTCAAAGCAGCATATTAACAGGAAACTAAAATATTACCTTAAAGATTTCAAAAGAAAACATTACAAAGGAGTTCATCTACAGAATGCCCATTTAACGCAACAAATTTAACAAACAAAAATCTTAAACATTTCAAAAGAAAACATCACTAAATGAAGTCAAATATAAAATGCACATTTAAAACAGCATAACTAACAAGAGAGTAAAATATTTTCTTAATCCTGTGTGGTAGGTTGAGCCAGGATAATGATTTTTTTCAAGTCTGCTGAGTGAGTTTCATAGTGAACAGGGATTAGAAATTGAGGTTCCTGCATGCAAATAACATTCTAGTCAGCATTGGCCCAAGACATTTTGCTTCCTGAGGGAAAACAGAAAACGCAGACAGAATTAAGGTGGGTATTACCCAAGGCTGACCAGGTTATGTTGGCACCTGGGGCAGAAAAATCCCCAATCTGCATTTCGTTTGGAGTAAAAATACAGTATTAATAAACTGAATAACGTACAATGTGCTGCTCTTTCATGGCCTCCATATCAAGCTGCCTGAAGCAGCTGCTTCACTCTGCCTAACAGTAGAGGCAGCCCTAAATCTAACCACTTTGCTAGACTTGTAGATTTCTGGACCCCTGCCTGGGATGTGTGTATCGTCCCTCCATTTCTAGAATCCATGGGCAGTTTTCAAAAAGAGCCTATAGAAAGCCACAACTCTTTCAGATCTCGATTATTTTCACAGATCCCTTTTCCCTGTTATTTTCACTAAATTCACTTCCCCGCCGCTGCTGCCTTCCTGATTTGCTCGTGAGGGGAAGGCGAAAAAATGATTTCCTGAAGAGCGACCTTTTCCGCTGGGAGAGGAGAGTTTCTCGCCCATTCTAAAGTCAACGGTGCAAAAATTCCATTCAGATGACGTATAATTTAAAAGTCAGCCCTTCATCCGAAATAATATCCTAGTGTTTTCATGAGCTTCGCCCCACCACCCCCTTCGTTCTTTTCAAGGCTTGCTGGTTCTGGAAGCATTTTTTTGCATCCAGCAGAACAAACTATTGCTCCAGGTCATGTCAACTCATTTTAAGCTTAAAGGAAATTTATTTTTTCTTCTTTCTTTATTCTTGCAAGCTCACACAAAGTTTTGATCTGAAATCCATTTGCTCCTACTCTGAGCTTATACGATGCCAAGAGGCACTTTTCGATGTTGTTTAAGAGGGAACATAAGCCTCATAAAATGATCTGTGTTTCCCATTACCAAACTGTGTTTATGCAATTGAACATCTCTCTCCCCAACTCCCCCTCCGTCCGCATTGAAGGTGGCTTGTCGAACCCACTTCAGTTTGTGTCCCTGTGTGTAACAGGGAGAAGTCGCGGGCCCTGCTAGCAAATTTTAAACCAGCGTACACAAAAGTTAGGCCTTTTTCTTATTTGCATAAGCTTGCTGCTTGTGAATGACAGGAATGCTGATCTGGTCAGATGGCTGCTAAATGGGAAACACATGCTCGGAAAGCGATCCTCCGCAAGGCTGTGACGGTTGCAGCTAGCAAAGGGCTTAACGATGAAAACTCGCAGTGTGTTAAAAAACTTGGTTCGGAGCCCTGCTGTGAGCCAGGGACCTTTCTTTACAAGGGAAGTTATGAGAGTTTTTGTTGGATGCTTTGGCTTTGAAGGATTGGAAAGAACCAGCTTACCTTCCTCAAAGTTCAGGGATCCTTTCCGCAACCTCCATTCAAAGAATGTACAGTCTGTTCCCCCATGTACACAAATGGTTGAGTGGTACACTCGTAGGCCATTGTGAACAAGTGTACAGTCCGTGTCTGCAAGAGTTGAGCTGTACAAATCGATAAGGGTACGCAAACAAATGCTTGTACGTGTTTAGAGACAGCTGGTCCTTGTGCTCCGCGTGATACGTGAATTATCCTTCTGAGCTCTCAAAAAAGGGCACAACTTAGGGTGCCCCCAAGCATTGCCAAAAAAGAATTCACTTAAATATTGCAGACAGAGTCCAGTGGGAAAGGAAATCCTTGACACCATTTTACTAAGGAAACTGCACAAAAGCAGTGTAGAATCTGAAGAGCAATAAACAGAGAGGTTTGCCATTCTCACTTCAGACCTTGTACATGGCAGGGTGATAGTCAACCAAACACACATAGGAAAAACTGCTTGAGCTACCTAGCCAATCAGGATGTGCGCTGCCCCAGGAAATTTCATGCTATTCTGCCTGGTTCCTAAGCAAACACCTCCACACATCCCCCCACCCCGAAGTTGACTTTGTTGCTAACAGAATTAACCCTTTAGCACATGGAATGATCTCTGCTGTTGCACTTCCAACAGCTGAGCCCAGCCTTCAAGAAGGGGAGCAGTTAAACAGGTACATTATGAAGAACAAATTCATCACACAGCAGCAAGGAGTATAAATAGAGAAGCACCGGGCATTGAGTAGGCACAACTGGATAATAATAATAACAACAACAACTGTACTCTCCCGTCTCTTTTTTCCAGCTGTGGGTGGCCCTGCTCCGCCGTAGCTACAGAGGGAGCTCCTTACAGGCACCCCTGCAGCCCAGGGTCAGCTCAGAGAGCTTTCTTCTACCCCCACTGGAGATGCTGCACATTCCTTCCCATTTGCTACGCTGCGGCCTTTTCATTAAGGAGAACATACGTGTCACTTGAGCCTTGAGAAGCAATGACTCCTCAGCCATCCCAGCTATCCCCCTGCCGCTTCCTACATTGGCACGTCCTGCTTTTAAGAAAGAGGAAGGTTGTGTTGTTGTTTTTAAAAAAGAACAAACCAAACTCTATGCACCTGCTCCTCTCTTCTCCTCTGACTGGCTGCTTCTTCAACTCTGGCTATTCACTCCAGTTCCATATTTGACTTGAATGCACTCTTGCGTTGTGGTCCGTTCTCTCCAGGACATGGCAGGCCAATTAACCCTTTGCCTGCTCCTCATCCCTGCCATTTCTGTGTGTGGCAGAGGGAGGGTGGCTGGGTGGGTGGGTGGGTGGGAGAGAGGGCGTTTTCTTGTTTCTCTCCCTCTCTCGTCTCCTAGCACCGAGCTGTGTTCCAAAACAATTGGGAGGGGAGCTGCAGGTCAGATTTTTATAGCAGCAGCGTGCTCCTCTCTGTAGTACGAGGCAAACAGCTTTCATCCTGTGGAAAAGGGCCAGGAAGGAGGGAGGTGGACCCCAGAGCAGGGAAAAGAACATGTTTTTTTTTTGTGTGTGTGTATGCATAAAGGGGACCTCTTGCATGCAAGGTTTCCAGTTCCCGCACTCAAAAACTGCGAGGCACCAAAAGTCTATCGCAGCATAAAGTAGCTATGAGCAGGTGAGTTGTTCAGTACCAGGCTGATGTATGGCATGCGTTCATAAGTGCCAGCCTTTGCCATCCTGGTGCCCTCCAACTGCTTTGGATGGCAACTGTGCTGGCTTGGGAGTGAAGGGAAGCCTAGTCCAAAATATGCAAAGGACACCAGGTCTGCAAAGGCTGGAGTATGTGTAGAAAAGCACCTGAAATTATAAGAGGAAGAGCAGAAGCGTTTGCAGTGGAGCTGGTCTCTTTGAGCAAATAGGGCAGTGCCCCAGCAGCCTCAAGTCTGTCTCAGCCAGCCCCCACCTGCCTGCTTCCTTACTTAACAACCAGCCCATGGGGGGCACTGCCCACCATGATACCCCTCCTTTCTTTCAGTTTTGCCCTGGGAGATCTCAGCAGGGAGAATGGGGACAAAACTAGGAGTTGGTTCTGTTTGTCATTGGGGTCTGGCGCCACCTACTGTCTGCCTCCTTGCCTTCCATCCTACCAGTCCCAATGGGCGCCAGCCAAACTGACAAACAAAAGGGAAATGGGAGCAGGAATGGCATGCCGGAGGAAGCATCCTTTTAATCGGGTAGACTGTTAGTTCATCTTGGTCAGTATTGTCTATTCTGACTGGTAGCATCTCGCCAGGGCATCAGGAAGAGATCTCGTCAGGAATGTATGGGTGTTCTCCAGAATCAAGGTTGCAGCTGATGTGTGCATGTCTTTCTCAGGTCTGATCAACCTGTTGCCTTTTCTCCTGTCCCAGGTAGAATATGAGGTTTCCCCAGATGAGAAGCGGAAGGAAATGGGAGAAGAGATAATCCGCAACTTTTTCAACAGCAAAGTAAGTATATTATTTCTGTGGGACAAGGGTAAAAGCTTGTGTCGAGAACTGCTGACGGCTCCCCCGTGTGGTGATTCACTTCATTGTGGCTTCCCAGGAAGCGGGCTGGCTCCTGAGCTGATTCCACCAAGGCCAGCCATTGACTCCTCGTGGGCAGGAAAAAGTATAAAAGGGCATCCTAGGTAAATTCTGCTTTGCTTAGCTGACAAGGCCATGCTGAGCTCTAGTGTACCTAGCCTTGCTCTTTGTTCTTGACACTAGTTTGCCCTCCCATCACAGATCAGGATTTGCTTTTTAGACCTGACTCACTGCAGCCCCTTTTCCATGCCCCAGTCCTGATATAATCAAGCTGATGTTAGAACCGGGTCTGCCCTTTGGAACTCCCTCCCACTGCATACCGGGCAGGTGCCTCCTCTGTTGTCTTTCTGGCTTCTTCAAAATGCATTCCTCTTTCAAACTCTTTATTCCAGTTGATATCTGTTTTGAATTTGTATGGAATTTATGTGTGTGCTGCTGTTGTTTTAAAATGTTTTTATATTTTTAATTGTTTTTATGTATGTAACACACACACAAGTGTGTGTGCTTGTTGCTGTATTGTAAATTGTTTTGGGATGCCTCATGGGAAGTGATTCATAAATGAAATAGATCACTATCAGCGTTGGATCTGTACTGAGGATTGCCAGCCTTTTTTGGTCAGTGGGCATGAAGCTTAGCACGCCTTTCTGTGTTAATTGTTTCTAGGGGGAAAAATCCATTTGCATTCTACTTAATATGGAAAATTACCCCAAAAACAGATTCTCTGCCATTGAGTGGTAGTTCAACAGCACCTGAAGAACATCAGCTGGGGAGGAGTGGAAGCTGGGCCAAATGGGGGTGGGGATCAGATAATGCTCCAGATCTGAGCCTGTGGTGGAGGCAGAAATGAAGTCCAGCACTCAAGACACTTCAAGCGTATGTCACTCATGGCTGGTGTTGTTGTTTATTTAGTCCCCAGGCTACATAGCAGAGATCAGCCAGTCCCTCGTGAACCATTGCACGGAGAATCTGCAGAGAAGCGCCTGCAAAGACCTCTTCAGCAGCTGTGTGCAGTGAGTGCCAGGCCCTGGGGAGATGGGTGGGTAGTGGTGGGTAATTTCGTTCCTTGACACTACAGTACTACGGCCACGTTCATATCATATCACGGTTTATTGTGATGCCCAGATGCACTCACTGGGGCTTGCTGCTTAAGGTGGAGCCTCACCTTTCTTAGCAGGCCGAGACAGGCAGGGACCGAATTAAATTTCTTTGTCGATTAAGTCCAAGGTGGGCAGGAGCTCTGTTGATCTTGATGGCAAGCACCAAGCACATGTACACGTGGGTACAATCTGTACCTCCAGCTCTGGGAGTTGCGACTCTGTTTCATCAGCCCATCTCCAAGCCTTGAAGAGTCGGCCCAATCTTAATTTGTGTCTTTTTCACAGGCACCTACACGAGTACCTCAGTGGAGCTCCTTTCACGAACTACCAGGACAGCATGTATTTTGACAGATTCCTCCAGTGGAAGTACCTGGAGAGGTAAGGTGGTGTTCTTCATCACCCAAAACCCCTCTTGTTCCTTTGCCAAACTGATGCTCACCTGAATGGAGTTTTCGTGTACTTTGTTGTTTCAGGCAATCAGTGACCAAAGACACCTTCAGACAATACCGGATCCTTGGCAAGGGAGGCTTCGGAGAGGTAGGGAGATGATTGGCAGCCACAGGGGCTGCTTCTGGTGTGGGGCATTGCAGAAAGCTTTAGGCTCCCGAAGGCACAGGATACATGATTATCATATATCTGACCATGCTTAAAACACTGGTGTTGTTATTACTTACTTTTAGTTATGTATTTATTGATATCCTGCCTTTCCCCCTAAAAACACAGGAAAACCAATTATTAAAACACAAAAGAACATTGATAAAATTAAAACTATATGCATATGTAAAACCTATTAAAACCATGCCAATAATTACCATAAAAACAGCACAGCGCCAGCCCTATCATTAAAAGCAGTCAGTCTGCCCCAAAGCCCGTTGGAAGAAGAAAGCCTTCACCTGCCGGCAGAAGGACAAGGGGGGATCCAACTGAGCTTCTCTAGGGAGGGATTTCCAGAGTCTGGGAGTGGCTGCTGAGAAGACCCCTGTGAAAAGGTGAATTGCCATGGTCATTAGTAGCAGTGACTATAGCAAGGAGCCATAGCTCAGTGGCATGTTCTGCACGCAGAAGGTTCCAGGTTCGATCCCTGATGCCTTTCATTTAAAGGATGAGGTAGCAGGTGACAGGGAAGACCTCTGCCAAAGACAAGAGTGGAGAACCTCAGGCCTAGGACCAAGGGGGGCCCCCCATGCCTCTCTCTGTGGACCCCAGAACTCTCCCTGGACCACACACCTTACTGACTCAGCTCTGCACCCTCTTGAGCGTTTTTGCCTGGCTGGAGTGTGTCCCTAAACTCAGATGGAGGACAGAGAGTGATGCATGAGCACGTGTAGAAACTTGACTGCTGTTCAAAGGTAAAATTTAGGGTTGCCATATTTCAAACAGTGAAAAGTCGGACAGACAGAAAACTTGTTGAGCTTTTTTTGGCAAAGTTTTGGAGCTATTTTTAACGAGAAATGGCAAAAATGGCACTGCCAACATGGGCTGCTATATGTCTGGATTTTCCCGATTGCAGTCTGGGAAAATCCAAATGTATGGTAACCCTATAAAACTGTCCCCCATTGCTCCACCCACCTTTACCTCTGGCCCCTTCCACCTCTGGTGTGTTGTCCCTGGAAGTTTGCCTGAAATGCAGACATCAGACTGAAAAGGTTTTCTTACACCTGCTTTAGGGAGGATGCAAATCAGCCTTAAAGAGAATAAGCTGCACCTCCTCAGGTAGATGAACCATGCACCATTTACCTCCATCTTGTCTGAATCAAGCTTCAGATTGCTGGCCTCTTATCCAACACATGACAGATCCCAGCCATTGATTCAGCACTTCTGCCACTTTACATGACTCAGATGTAAAGGGGAGAGAGAGGGAGAGGGAGAGCGAGAGCTGGACGCCACCAGCATATTGATGGCTCCTCATCCCACGTCCCCAGATAATCTCACTCAGGGCTTTCATGTTAGAAAAGCACAGGAGAAGACTGAATCCTGTGGATCCTCACAGTATACGTGCCACAGGACTCAGCAGTGGTCTCCTAGCTCCACCTTCTGGAGCCAGCTGTCTTGGCAAAAGTGAAGCACAGTGCTCTCATTCTCCAACTTCAAGAGCCTGTCCAGAAGGATAAGGTAAAGGTAAAGGGACCCCTGACCATTAGGTCCAGTCGTGACCGACTCTGGGGTTGCGGCGCTCATCTCGCTTTATTGGCCGAGGGAGCCGGTGTACAGCTTCTGGGTCATGTGGCCAGCATGACTAAGCCGCTTCTGGCGAACCAGAGCAGTGCACGGAAACGCTGTTTACCTTCCCACCGGAGCAGTACCTATTTATCTACTTGCACTTTGAGGTGCTTTCGAACTGCTAGGTTGGCAGGAGCTGGGACCGAGCAACGGGAGCTCACCCCGTCGCGGGGATTCGAACCACCGACCTTCTGATCGGCAAGTCCTAGGCTCTGTGGTTTAACCCACAGCGCCACCCGCGTCCCATCCAGAAGGATACCATGGTCAGTAATATCAAAGGCCCCCAAGAGGGGAATTACCAGGCTCCCAGGCCCCTTGTCCTTCTCCTGGCACAGAACATCCATCAGACCAAGGCAGTTTCAATATCCAGCTGAGGCCTGAAATGTATCTAGATCAGCGGTTTTCAAACTCCACCCCCCCCCCCATATGGGCCACTTGAAATCTGCTGAGGGTCTTGGTGGGCCACTTAAGGATTTTTCTGCCTGATTGGACAGTTAGAGTGTTCAGTGCTAGCTAGATGCTGCATGGTATTTAAATGTATTCTGGCTGCATCTTTTATCTCTTACATATTGTATTTTTTATATTGCAATTCAAATTTCATAGCATTCAAATGCAGTACAATATAGGAAATGAAAGAAGCAATCAAAATACAATTAAAAATCAATATGAATAACTCCTTTTAACAGCAAGGTCGGGTGGTGAGTGCCGACAGGATTTAGCCACTGTGGTGGGAAGAATGGTTTATCGCGCTTGTAGGGAATGACTGGCCAAGAGCCCAAAACAGGAGCACTCCTTTTAAGAGGAAGGATACACCGCAACATTTTGTTGCAGGTCCTACTAATAAATGACATTGTGCCCCAAATCACTCTGAGTGAAACAAAAGGACCACATCACATGTTGTATGCCAGCACATATAACTACGGACTAACAGCTCTTTAATTTTAAAAGCAGCTTTAGGGGCGCTCCCTTCAATTCTTCCCCTGTCTGCCATTTCCTTGTTCCAAATTGCTCTCTCTTGCAGGTTTAAAATGCAGATTTGCAGAAACATTGGAGGGCTGATTCAGAGGAAGGAAAGAAGGGTGTGCCCCTTTCCACCTCTCTCTTTTGCTTCTGAAGTGGTTTTCATCAAGCTACACATACACGGCAGTTGCATGTATAATGTGCAGTTTTGCCTGATAGTACTCTGGTGGGGTGGGTGGGTGGGCAGGGGAGCCATGAGTTTCTTGCTGCATCTGACTGTGAAATTTGAGGGGGTGGGGAGAGACTTCTGAGAGCCTCCCCTGCACTTTGCACCCACATTTGAAGGGGATTGTTCGCTGAGTCCCAATGCAGGACTTGGTGGTTTGCACATGTGCCTTGAAAGGATCTGCAAGGAGGGAAGGAGTCCTATCCTTACTGAGTCTCCCTGGACCACCTGACATCTGGAATAACTTGTACTCTGGAGGTTCAAGAGTAAACAGTGTTCCCCCTGGCTGCCTGTTTTTCTTCAATGAGTGCTAGTGCTTGCAGTATGTTTCCGAGCACAATTCAAAGTGTTGGTGCTGACCTTTAAAGCCCTAAGCGGCCTCGGTCCAGTATACCTGAAGGAGCGTCTCCACCCCCATCGTTCTGCCCGGATGCTGAGGTCCAGTGCCGAGGGCCTTCTGGCGGTTCCCTCACTGCGAGAAGCCAAGTTACAGGGAACCAGGCAGAGGGCCTTCTCGGTAGTGGCGCCTGCCCTGTGGAACGCCCTTCCATCAGATGTCAAAGAGATAAACAACTACCTGACATTTAGAAGACATCTGAAGTCAGCCCTGTTCAGGGAAGTTTTTAATGTGTGTCATTTTAATGTATTTTTAATCTTTGTTGGAAGCTGCCCAGAGTGGCTGGGGAAACCTAGCCAGATGGGAGGGGTACAAATAATAAATTATTGTTATTACTATCATAGTGCCTTGTCTGAGCACGTATGGATCTCTACCCAAATCTGTCTGCCCCGCCATGCCCACTTTTCACCTTGTCCTCAGGTGTGCGCGTGTCAGGTGCGGGCGACAGGGAAGATGTACGCCTGCAAGAAGCTGGAGAAGAAGCGCATCAAGAAGCGGAAAGGGGAGGCCATGGCTCTGAACGAGAAGCAGATCCTGGAGAAGGTCAACAGCCGGTTCGTGGTGAGTGTGTGCCTGGCATGCTGCTGACATCCCACACACGTCCAAGACTGACTGCTGGCTGCCTTCCTCCGACTTCTGCCCTGCAGTTTTCATGGGCTTCCCTGGTGTCCTTTGCTAATGCCCACTGGGGATGCCTCATATAAAAGGAATCTCCCAAGTTCCAAGGCAGCACATCTGCAAAAGGTGGTAGGGCTCATGCTTTGCATACAAAAGATATGAGGTTCAATCCACGGTAACTCGAGCTGGGTAAAAGACTCCAGTTTGAAACCCCGGAGAGCCACTTCCTTGTCAACGCAGACCATGTAGGGGTTGCAAGCTGCTCGCAGTACTTGACCAACTTCCATGCAGCTTGGTGGCATAATCCTCTGCTGAATGCTGCTGGAAAACAGCTGATCCACACTCCTCAGCTGATTCCAGGGGTGTGTATGTGGTGTTAGGGGAGGTGTATCACCTCTGGTGGGGGCCACATTGTGCACCTTCTGGGGTAATTTGTTCAACTTTGGTCCCCATCCTGCACTCAGCAATGACCTGTGGCTCCTAGAAGCTGTCAGCATGCAACAGCGGCCACTGGCCCCACCACGGAACAGCTTCAGCTGGCCGGCTACATCAGGTGAGGGTAGCCAATGGGCCACAAACCTTTGGTGAGTTAGGGACCTTCTCCTGCATGCGAAGACAGGCTCCCATGGACCGAGTGGACAAGGCCAAGAGTGGTTCCAGTGGTCAAGAAGGCATGCTGTAGAGGGGACAGATGGGGCTTGTCAGCCTGGGAAAGGAGTCTGTCTAGGAGAAGGAAAATTCTGAACCTGAACTCTAATATTCAGGAGGAAAAAGGCTAAGGAGTAAACCCTGCACAAATTTGAAGTCCCAAAGTTGGTTGGATTGTGCCTTGTACACCTTCTTCTGTTAACTCCAGCCAAGCTGGTGCCAAATGTATTGCTCTGCTTTCTTTTGGACCACATCAGCAAGACTGAGAGGGGGGTCTTGTCCTCGGGGCAGCCCAGGACCTCCATACACACTGCCCAGGCTTGCGCCCAAAGTTGGTCACTTCGATGCTGTTAATGCAGCCATTTGACTTCATCCTGAAATACTTCATCCCTGGAGGCACACTCCATTGTCTCTCAAAACAGACGGCTGCCAACAACAGCTGTTTCCAGCACCAGTCTGCTGGGAACCAGAGGGATGGATGTCCTGGGACTTCTGACATCCCACTGTGGCTCCCCACTGGAAGGAGCTGAGGATCGCATTAATCTGTGCACCTCTCAACTCTTTCCTGCATCCATCAGCTGGCCAGCAGCAGGAGGCACATCGCTGAGATCCCATTAAGCACCTCCTCTCCCCTGACTGAACCAGTAGGTGGCAGCAAGGCACAGTGTAATCTCAGTGCACCAGGAGAGATGGGGGAAAGGGCGAGTGGGACGAGACTGTGTATGTGGGGAGGGAATGGCCAGGTGCTTCCCACTGCTGGATTTGGTCTCTGACCCACTGCCTGCTCATGCTTTACCCCCCCCCCCCCAGGGGCAAAAATGGTGCCAACAATATTGAGCTAGCTGGACCAGTGGTCTCACATTGCTCAAGACAGCTTCTACTCCTAAGCCACTTCTTGGGAGGCCTACAGCGAAGATGGGCTGTTGCCTCCATGCCTTGCTTCCTGGTGGGGTCTGGTTGGCTGCTGCATGAAACAAGATGGTGGGGTGTTTTTGGCCTGATCTAACAGGGCTCTTCTTCTGCTGCACACCCACAGGTGAGCTTAGCCTACGCGTACGAGACCAAGGATGCCCTCTGCCTGGTCCTCACCATCATGAATGGAGGCGACTTGAAGTTTCACATCTACAACATGGGCAACCCCGGCTTTGACAACGAGCGGGTCACTTTCTACGCTGCAGAGATTTGCTGCGGCCTCGAGCACTTGCACCGGGAGGGCATCGTGTACAGGTGAGAGAGAAGCGGTCAGGCTCCTCAGGCTCCAGGAACGCGAGGCGCATAGAGAGAGCCTGGGAGCAGGGCGAAGGCAGGGGTAAGAGAGGCCTTTCTCATAGCATTGCTGACACAGGGCAAGATGGAGAAACCCTCCATCTCCTTTGCACGTGTGGCTGGAGGGTGAAAAGTGTCAGCCCAGACAAGGGTGGCAGGCCTGGCATATTGGTCCGTGTCTCTCTGGTTGCATTTTGAACCTGATTAACAGTCTATGTCCTAGTAAATGTGTTTGTGGGAGGGGGGACATGTTATTGATTTGGTTTGTTCTTGTTTTTATTATGTATTTTGTGTTTTATATTTTTATGCGGAGATCCACCCTGAGATCTTCGGATGAAGGGCAATATACTAATACTAAATACTAATACTTATATTGAGGGACGTGGGTGGTGCTGTGGGTTAAACCACAGAACCTAGGGCTTGCCGATCAGAAGGTCGGCGGTTCGAATCCCTGCGACGGGGTGTGCTCCTGTTTTTCAGTCCCCGCTCCTGCCAACCTAGCAGTTCGAAAGCACGCCAAAAAGTGCAAGTAGATAAATAGGTACCTCTCCAGCGGGAAGGTAAATGGCGTTTCCGTGCGTTGCTCTGGTTTGCCAGAAGCAGCTTAGTCATGCTGGCAACATGACCCAGAAGCTGTCTGCGGACAAATGCCAGCTCCCTTGGCCTATAGAGCAAGATGAGTGCCACAACCCCAGAGTCATCCGCGACTGGACCTTAAGGTCAGGGGTTCCTAACACTTATATTACTAATAATTTTCTCCTCCACCTCCAGTTTTTCATTCCTCCTCCCACAGTCAGTCGGTGTTCTGTGCCCACTGAGCATGGTCAGTCCTCATTGGGCTGTTTTAGGGATCCCTCCCCCAGCCACTTTTTTGGGGGTTTTTTTTTTTTTTTTTTTTGTACTTCTGCAAACTTTCTCCAGTTTTGCTGAAACCTCCCTGTTGTGCTTGGGTGGTTCCATTTTGGTCCCATTAGTAACAACATTCACAAACTGAACAGTGGAAATAGAAAGACCCATAAGCAAAACTTTGTTCCCGTATGCAGTTGTTACTGAATCAAGCTTCCTCTGTCCAAAGCAGTGTTTAAATTTTGCCTTAGTTCCTGGAAACTTTGAGCTTCTTTCTGTACCACAAGGGCTGAACATTTTTGGGCTCCCCTCCCTGTTCAGGACGCTAATCTCTTCTAGAGAGCTTATAATAAATTGCTCCCGAGTTGGCATAATTGTGTGAGTCTCTGCCTCATCCACCTGGGACCCACATTGCCAGGCGAATCTTCAGAGTGAGGACGTTCCACAGCCTTGGTGCTATTGCTGAAAACTCTCTGTCTTTCCTGCTCACTCATTTGACCACTCATGGTGGTGGCACAAAGAGTAGGACCTCAGAAGCAGGTGGATTATGGGAGCAGCTGCTTATATCAGATATGCTGGTTTAGGACCCACTTGTACATTCCTCCTCCCCCCCACAAATATCCTATGTGCTTGAAAGGGTTGAAGAACCTTGAACCTAGAAGTTCACCTGTCTACCTGCCTCTCATTCTGAGTTGTGTCTGTATCTTTGCTGCAGAGACTTGAAGCCAGAGAACATTCTCCTGGATGATGATGGTGAGTCTTCTTCTTCTTCTTTGGTGATCCCTCATCTACTTGTAAGATTGTCTTCCATGAACACGGTTTTAACAGTGAGTACGTAAGTGACTGTGGAGGCCAATTCAGGATCCACACATCTTTCCACAGTGGGGACATAGGTTTCTGGATAGATCATGGTGAAGGTTTGCCAAGCATGCCTTCCTCTTAGCATGTTTCTCCCTTTTGTCCTGAGTTCGAGCATCTTCAAAGCCCATGACACCTTTGGTAAAGGCTGTTCTCCAATTGGAGCGCTCGCAGGCCAGTGTTTCCCAGTTGTCGGTGTTTATACTGCATTTTTAAAGATTTGCCTTGAGGGAGTCTTTAAACCTCTTTTGTTGAGAACTGGATGCTGAGGCTGCCCTCTGAGGCTCTGGGCCCCAATTTGCTCGCTGCTGACACATGTGGCTCACACCATGACCTCTATCTCCCCTTTCTCTCTTATTCCCTATAGGTCATATCCGGATCTCAGATCTGGGGCTGGCCATCAAGATTCCAGAGGGAGACACCATCCGTGGCCGTGTAGGAACTGTTGGCTACATGGGTATGTAGTCAAGGAAAATCTCAGGTCTCCTTGCCCTGTGGAGGAGCTGGCTTAGTCCTCTTGGGGTAGCTTTGCAAACCCCTTTTTGCTGAAAGCAGAAGGCAGTCTTACTATACTAGGAGCCAGGGTGGGTTGGTGGGTGGGTTGCAGTTTAAGGCAATGAGATTGAGGAGACCTGAATTTAAGGCCTGCAGGAATCCAGGGTTTGGTCAACACAATTTGAGGAGGAGAATGGTCTCAGACAAAGGCCTTCCCCATCACTGGCTTCCCGGAGAGGCCAGAAATTGAATCTGGGACATGTGCTCTTCTATTATTTGTCCCCATCTCTGACTGTTCTTCCCTCTCCAGCTCCAGAAGTGATCAACAACGAGCGCTACTCCTTCAGTCCAGACTGGTGGGGGCTCGGCTGCCTTGTCTACGAGATGATTGAGGGCCAGTCACCGTTCCGCGCCCGCAAGGAGCGGGTGAAGAGGGAGGAAGTGGAGAAGCGGGTTCAGGAGGACCAGGAGCAGTACTCGGACAAGTTCTCTGAAGATGCCAAGGCCATCTGCAAGGCGGTGAGCTGGGGAAAGTGAGAGGCTGTGCAAAGCTCTGTCGAATCAGGGTAGATGTCCTGGGGTGGGTGCAAGGGATTGTGGGAGGCAGGGATGCGGTTTGCCCTACTCTTATGGAACTGTTTGTCCACTGATGCTCGCCAGAGCCCAACCCTGCAGGTGTTTTCAGGGCACACAGTGTGAAGCATTTGTTTCTATAGGGACTTTAAAGGAAAGGAGAGGGAACTGTAGCAAAACATTTCCATATGGAATGCTTCTCTCCAGGTCGTCAGCAACTCCAGCACATTCCTCTTTTTCTGCCCCCACCCAACAGCCTGTTAGTCCTCCTCACTAGGTTATTTTGGGGGGAGTTGACCACTTCCCCTTAAGTGTTTCTTTGCTTCCTAAATACTCTTTTTTTGGCGGGGGTATGTCTGCAAACCTATAAGCTCCCCCAACGCTTCTGGTCCATGGAGATTGCCATTTTGGCTACACGTAGATAGGCACTTGCTACCTAAACATCAGAAACCTGATCCTGGAATGCAGTTGGGGCAGTCTCTGGCCGTACGCTTCAAGCAAGGCAGAGCCCTGTTAGGAGTGTATGCACAAACACTCTGATTTTTGTTGTTGTTTGATGTCCTCTCCCTCCACCCTGTCTCAACCGGCAGTGATGTTTACTGGGATGCAACATTCCAATCTGGATGTTTGAGGCTAGACTCTGCCAATAACTCCCTGGCTAGTGGCAGGATGGGGAGGCATCAGGGGAATAAAAAAACCTAAACCAAACATAGGCAAGGGCCTGTTTGAAACAGAAAATGTTTTTTACAAGCTGCCTAAAATGGGGAAAGGCATCTTTTGTGTATTTAATAAACTTATGTATTGCCCTTCAAGCGGAAATGATCAGAGTAGTTTACAATGAAAGATACACAATCATTTTAAAGGGATAATAGATTAGATGTCGTGGGGAGCACCAAGAAGCAGCATAAAGGCCTTAGAGGAGGAGCAGGATGCTGCAACAGACAGTCTGATCCAGCAAGACTCATCTTACCATCTTACTCATCTTTCTGTTTCTTGCTGCTCCTGGCCCTTTGCATATTGTTCAGCTCCCATCAGCCCCAGCCAGCGTAACCAATGGTCATTGGCGATGGGAGTTGTAGTCCAGCAACATCTGGAGGGCAACAGGGCAAGAGCCACAGCTGCTACCTGGCCATTTTCACGGCCCATGGAAAGTTTCTCCTCCGCAATCTTATGAGTAGAGCATTGGTCAAGAGGTGGGGAGCGCTCCTTTGCAAAACAAGCAAGCACCTACCCAGCCTTAGGAACATAGACTACTGGTCCATCTAGATCAGGTTTGTCTACACTGACCAGTAGCAGCTCCCCAGGGGTTTAGGCAGGAGTCTCTTGACCTGGAGATACCTGGGATTGAACCCAGGACATTCTGCATGCAAACCCAGTGCTCTGCCACTGAGCTGTGGCCTCCCCACAGCCCTTATGTGTGATTTAGCAGCCTAAATTTCACTGCACACCACATCCCTCCCTGTTCTTACTGATCGTGGCACCTTTCTGCCTCCCCAGCTCCTGACCAAGGACCCCAAGCAGCGGCTGGGAGGGAAGGGAGACGAGGCCGCCCAGGTGAAGCAGCACCCTTTCTTCAAGACTATCAACTTCAAGCGCCTGGAAGCTGGGATCATGAAGCCCTCCTTTGTGCCAGATGTAAGTGCAGGCCAAAGTAGGCCATGGCTGGTTCACGCATGAGTCCTTTCCATACAACTGCTCTGCAAAGAATGGGCTTGTGGCGAGGAAGAGGGAGCAGGTGCTCACATGCTGCTCTCACTCCTGACCTTGACACATTTACCTCAGAAGGCCTAAGTGGCCTCTGATGAGGTTATCTTAAGGGCCGCCTGCCCATGCCTTAAGATTATCATCAAGGACCTTGCTTTCTCTCTTGGTTGCCAAGGCCAGCCCTACCGTTCAATTTAGCAGAAGTTGCTTATAGACCTCGGGCTTCCATTTCTAAGATGTCTCTGTTTCCCTAAGAGCTGGTTCTCTGACCTATCCTTACCAGGCTTCTGTGACATCACAGCAGCTCATGGGATATGACACCTTAAGCCATTTAATGTCACACAAGCCATTGTCATCTTGATACTTAAGATCTTGAGACTGGAAACTTAGCTGAGTCTCCACCTTTCTATCCAACAGCCCCGAGCCGTATACTGCAAAGACGTGCTGGACATTGAACAATTTTCCACTGTGAAGGGTGTCAACTTAGACCAAACCGACAATGACTTCTATGCCAAATTTGCCACTGGCAGCGTCTCCATTCCATGGCAGAATGAGGTGAGGAATTGGGCTGGGGGTGGGAGGGGAAGGGAAGCCACCGAGGACAGAAGTGAGAGAGGAGACTGACTCTTGGTGTGAAATAAAAACACCCAGTCACCTTGTCTTTAAAGATAGGCATCTGCCTGCCTTCCCAACGCCACTGGCTATATCCCCAAATGCATGTTCATGGGGGCTATATCTGGCAAACATTTACTTTAAAAGTCGCTCCTTTTAAAGGGCTAAGAAAGCTCTCTGAGCTTGATTCCTATGCTGATGAAGGGAGCTCAGGATAAGGCAGTGACATATATTGGACAATGGTGGTTTAGGGTGGGTTAAGCTACCATCCCTTCTTTGGGGATCAGGATACAGAAGTGTCAGGAATTTAACCAGGAATGTTCTGCAAAGGAGATGCTCTACCGCAGAGCTGCCGGGCTGTTTCCCACTGTTGGAGGTGGGTGTCCAGCTCTGTCTGGGGAAAGCTAACCAAAGGGAGCCTTGGCAGATAAGCCTGAGGAGTGGTGTCGTGCAGCCCGGTCTCCACTTCCAGATGTTGCTGCTTCAGCTGACCACCTCTACCACCAATGGCATCCTCTTCCTCTTCTCTCTAGATGATCGAGACAGAATGCTTTAAAGATCTAAACACCTTTGGACCAAACGGCACCCGTTCCCCCGACCTGGACTGGAAGCAACTCCCCGACCCACCCAAGCGTAGCCTCTTGCAGAGGCTCTTCCGGCGTAACGTAAGGCCCACCACTCTTGCGCTCCCTCCAGCCCCTTGCTCTTTTCTTGCCACCTCCACTAGGGATGGGGCGGGGGGGGGGAGAGAAATTCGGTTTGCATTTTCAGCAGGACTCTGATTAGCACTTCCTGAAACAGCATGCAACAGCATGCAAACCGAGTGGAGCAGCCAGCACTTTCCCTGCTTGTGATTCCTAGCAAGTAGTATTCATTATATGGGATGCAAACCAAGTGGGTAAAGGTGAAGATGGCAGTGGCAGTGGCAGGATGGGTCCCCGTCCCTCAGAGACCCCTCCAGTATTCCTGTGCATTCTGAGATACCCTTTGCCAGTGTTGGCACAGGTGTACCTGAATGGCTCTCCCCAGTGCTTTTTTTCTTTTAAAAATGTTTAGGGGTGCTCTCAGAGAGCCAGTGTGGTGTAGTGGTTAAGAGCAGTAGACCTGTAATCTGGTGAACCGGGTTCGCTTCCCCGTTCCTCCACATGCAGCTGCTGGGTGACCTTGGGCCAGTCACACTCTGAAGTCTTTCAGCCCCACTCACCTCACAGAGTGTTTGTTGTGGGGAAGGAAGGGAAAGGAGAATGTTAGCCGCTTTGAGACTCCTTCGGGTAGTGATAAAGCAGGATATCAAATCCAAACTCTTCTTCTTCTTCATTCTGTCTGAGACTCAGGAAACACGTTGACAGGAAATGAGGCCGCCATCGGGGGTAGCAACGGAACTGACAATTCACCGTGCTAGAGAAGAAACTATTTTTTTTATAAAAAATTAGTTTTTCTCCCATTAGATTCACAAAATGTTTAGGGGTATGCGTATGCCGGGCTCTCCCTAAAGCTTGCCTCTCGTCTCTGCTTCCTTCCCCGCAGCCAAGTGACTTCACCATCAGCGCCAACGCAAACTCCAACCTGTCAGCGGCTCCCTCGCCGGCCCGGCCCACAGCACAGGCTCCCTCCTGACCCAGAGGGCCCCTGGAGCCACCACTTGTCCTGTGCCTTCTCAGGGTTGCCTTCGGCACAGCGCTGACACCGGGGCGTCCCCGCGTAGCGCTGGACTCTACTACTGGCTAGGAGGTGGGGCAACACAGCCTTCCGACCGGCAGGACGGGCAGAGCAGCAGCAACAAGCCTTCGACGCCTCCTGGTGCTGACACAGACTGACACCCCCTCGGGGATCCCCGAGGATGACTCGGTTACCCCGAAACCAGGCTGCTCCCCACCAGGGTCTTTCCCCTTTGTCCTCCACCCTCTTTTTGCCTAGAGAACCCATCCCTGTCCCATGCTCCATTCTCTCCATCTCAGCTCCTACCACAACTCATTAGAGACCACAGGTGTGCCTGGGAGGGGTTTTCTGTTCTTGGAGATTGTGAAGCCCAAAAATGGGAAGAGAGAGAGACAGACACAAAGAGTGAGAGAGAAGAGGAACGTCATCTGGTCAAAGCTGAAGACTTCTTGCTGTTCCACTGGCCTTTGTTTGTGGAGCTGGAAACTCGGAATGCCAAACGGAGACACACACAAAGGTGTGTATTAGACAACGGGTTTGTTTTTGTTTATGGAGCATTTTTCAGGAATCCCACCCTCTCGAGACAACTCTAGAGCCTGGGGCTGTGCGCCAAAGGACAGCGGGGGACAAAGAGGCATGAAGAGCACTCTCAAGTCCCGTTTGGAGGCATCAACGCATTAACAAAGGATCAGCATTAAAAGTGGTGGAGGTAGACCATGCTGAGAGTAGCTGTGGACAGTACATCAGGCCGGATAACGTAACAGGCCGTCAACATTTCCAGACCTCACTTTTAACCCCAACCTGCAACACGAAAGGACTCCCTTTTCATTTTTCCTTACAGAATCTCCTCCACTGACTTCCTTCTCCTCTCTCTTCTTCTTGTCTCTCTCACTGTCTCCCATTTCTCCTTCTCTGTCTCCCGTCAAAAGGAGGTTGTGATACTGCTTGTTAACACACCTGGATTCGGGTCTCAGCCCAACATCTGAATGCCAATGAATTAACTGATTGCAGGTTCTCTGCTGAGTGTGATTGTGTTTGTGTGTGCTTTACAGCCCAGTCCTGTCTGGGTTTCCCCAGAAGAAAAGCCTACTCTAAACATGTAGCAGGATGAGGTGAGGAGGAAATGACAGGTGGTTGATAATATTCTTGAATGCTGTGCTACATTTAATTAAACATACCGCACCCCCACCTCCCGCAAATAGGAAATTCGCACAGCAGGACAAGGATTAAAACCTTTGTCTCAGATGTGCTTCTTTTCTACTTGCATGAAGGGTTGGGGGGGTGTTTCACCACAGAGGGACATAAGTCAATGTCATCTGAAGTGGCACAGTCTACTTAACCACCTCAGGATTCCACCAGCTTGTTCTGTTTAAAATGGGCCTGGGAACTGATTTACGTTGTGATCACAGCTTCTCTTCTCTCCCACCTCTACATGTAGTAAGCTAGCTCATCAGTGAGCAAGGAAGTGTTCAGAAGAGGGCAAACAACTGTGTGAGATGCAGGTGCCCCACCCACCCTGCCACCTGACCTGCTCCCCAAGTGAGCAAGCAGTGAGCCAAGCAAGGAATCAAACCTTCCACACACACCTTGCTTGCTTCCCCTCTGTGGGGGGCGCAAGTTGGGCCCATAGAGAGAAAGAGGCCACAAAATTCAGTCCAGGGGCCAACAGAGTGCATGGGTTCTATTAGAGGTAAAAGCTGAGGTGCCCCCCCGCCCCACACACAAAAAAAGCTAGAGCACTGTATCCAAATAACTTTAACCAGTGCTTTTTTTCTTTAAAAAAAATGTTTAGGGGTACTCTCATTTTCCTACTCGTATTGAAATGCCGTCCCTCAATGAGGCCAAACATAAATTCACAAAATGTTTAGGCGTATGTGTACCCCTGCATCCCCCCAGAAAAAAAGCACTGACTTTGCAATTAGTAGACCAATTAGTGGACCAGATCCATTGCAATTAGTAGACCAAAGTTAAGCATATCCGTTATTTTTAATGGGTCTGCTCTTAGTGGCATTCTGACGCTGAATGCCACTGCAGGGCCTTTGCTTTCCAAAACAACTTGCAAGGCGACCAGATCCAGTGCGTTGTGCTTGAGGCCACTGATTTTTGCGAAGGCTGAGGGAAGATAGATCTATTTAGACCCAGCTAAACCCAGAATTTCTCCTCTTTATCTTATCATTTTGCTGTTTTGTGACCTGCTGTGCAAAGTGTGGAACTTGGTTTCACCCCACTCGCTTAGCAACAGATCTGGCCTTGGGGCAGGAAGGACTTTCCGAGTGAAGTGCCAGGGAGAAGTGCCAGCTCCCCGGCAGTTAGCCTTGGGCACAGGAGCTGCGCTCTGGTTTTTCAGAGTGATTATCTCCCTGCTGCAAAATGGGGGGGGGGGAGGCAGAATCACTATCTGACGGTGGCGGGGGGGGGGAGCTGGGGTGCTGCAGAGACTGTGAGCTTTTCAGTTTTTTATTTAAATAAGAAAAGCAGAGATCACACACACATGCACTGAAACCTCACACCATGGCAAACCCCAACAGAGAGTTTGCATCTTAAAGGTCTTGGCACCTGTGGGGTTTTTTGGTGCTGGAAATACAGAGGCAATGGGGTGCTATGACACCCCCTGCAAGCAAAACTTCCCCCTCCTAAGGCTGATTGCCTGGGCCAGTTCTGTGCTTTTGGCAGCCATACGTCATGGAGGGATTTTTGTTGTTGTTGCAGCAGTTCTGTCTTGGAGGTAGAGCAACAGACTTCAACCTTGCGTGGTTATTAAAATGTGCAAGTTCGGGTGCCTTGAAATCAGGCTTCCTCTCTTAAGTAAGTGTGTCTCCCCTTCTTTTGGCTAGTTTCCCAAGGGTCATGAGGATGCATGCAGGTTATTGCCCTCTCCTGACTTATCAAAGGAGGGGGCTGTTTGCATCCCCACTAGAATGTTCTCTGCTCTATTCCCCCCCCTTTTTTTGCTGGCCCTGCCAAAATCAGTGCAGTCTTCTGGGTATGGGGCAGAAAAATCTGCATTAAGCCAGCTGACTGGCCACCCCTGTTTTGTAGCTTGCTCTCAAACGAGTCAGTTTATAGCAGGAACCTTTGATCCTCCGGATGTTGCTGGACTACAACTCCCATCACTGTTGGTCATACTTGCCAGGACTGATGGGAGTTGTAGTTCAACAGCATGGGGGGGGCAGAGGTTCCCTACACCTGATGTAGCTCCTGCAGTTTAAAAAGCAGTTTGATCTGCGATGCACCTGCTGGGCGGCTGTCCGCCAGGGATGATGTAGCAATTGCAAGGGTTGGACAAGGGGACCTTGGAGGTCCTTTCCAACTTTTTGGTTCCAACACAGACTCACCACATGGTGAAGGTTTGCATGCCTGAGCGCAGGAGTTGTGGTAAGAGGGTCCAGATGCACACCCCACATTCCCAGATTGTGGCATAACTGCCCTAAACTCAGGTAGGTAGCCGTGTTGGTCTGCCGTAGTTGAAACAACAACAAAAAATTCCTTCCAGTAGTACCTTAGAGACCAATTAAGTTTGTTATTGGTATGAGCTTTGGTGTGCATGCACACTTCTTCAGATACACTGAAACAGAAGTCACCAGACCCTTATATATAGTGAGAGGGTGGGGAGGGGTATTACTTAGAAGGGTGGTGGGAATGGGTGATTGGCTGATAGGTGTGGTAAACCTGTGGAGAAAGTGTGGCATAGTTTCCTTGCATATTCAGTAGGATAAGTGGATTGTAGAGGGTTCTTAATTCCATGACCCTTAGGTATAATGTCCAGGTTCTTGCCTTTAGTCAGAAAGAAGATGTCAGTCTGTACCTGTGCAAGTTTCTTGGTGAGGTTGATGGACTTCCATTTCATGCGGCTCAAGAGAGCTGAGTGGGGGGTGCTTATGTAATCTCACTGTATACAAGTTGTACAAGTGACAATAAAGTATTTCAATTTCAATTTCAATGTGGTGCCTTCCATAGTTCTAGTTACAGGTAGGTAGCCGTGTTGGTGACTTCTGTTCCAGTGTATCTGAAGAAGTGTGCATGCACACGAAAGCTCGTACCAAAAACAAACTTAGTTGGTCTCTAAGGTGCTACTGGAAGGATTTTTATTTATTTTTTGCCCTAAACTCAGGTAGATTACCCTTTGTTGTAGCTAGGAGGAACAAGCCTGTGGCTTTTACCTGGAGGTTTCAGCACCATGCACACCTGTGATTCCTGCATCGGTCCGGAAATGTCACCCCCTGGTTCTAGGCTGAAATAAAGCGGGGATCAATGTGGATTGACATAACAGAAAAGGGAAGCTCTGAGTTAGGATTATGATAGGGTGCTTTAAGGATTTTTTAAAGTGTCAGAGGTGTTTGCAGGTAGATGCTTTAGGGTGTTTTGAGTTCCTTTCTCTTTGTATTCCTTACGGCTTCAATTCCTCTACACACACACTTGGGCTGAGACAAGGCCTGGATAGTTTATGAAACCTGTTGGATGCCGTCCTCAACAGAACAACAATGCATCTTTCAGTGCGTGTCAGAAGTTGGGCATAGAAGTCCATACAGTGAGGATATGTATTTTAGAGTATTCCAACCAATGGGCAACTTTCCAGACTTCTTCTACGCCTCTCTGCCAATCACTGCCAGATTTGAGTTGGGTGGGTGGGTGGGTTGTACATATGAGAGAGAGACTTCAATTGGGATTATCATCCAAAAAATAAAATAAAAATAAATGCCTTTTCTAAATTGCCAAAATGGAAATTGTAGGTCTCTGTGGGTACCCCCGGCTGCACAGAACAAGAAGATGTTCCAAAAGAATGCAAACAGGAGCTTATGGGGGCATCCCTGCATTCCTCCAGCCATCCTGGTCCACCGTGTGATGTTCATACATGTCAAATGAAGAACCTTGAGTGACACCCGCACCTCACATTTAAAGCACACTTTAAAAATCTTGGGAGAAGCCTGCAAACTGCAGGTTGATAAGGCTGCTATGAATTGTAGGTCTGTGAGGTCATCAGCACCCATAACCCTTCCTGGGATTTCCGGGGGAAACCACGACACTTGGAAGTGGAACAGGAGAGCTTTAATTGCGTGGTGTGGGTGAGATCTCTTCTCTCCCCAAAAGGAATTCTTGTGGGTCTGGTGATTCTCTGCACCCCAGACAGATCTCCACAAAAGGACATTGACATCCCCCGCTTTATATTTCCATCACTCTTTCCTTTTGCATCCATGTATTTAGGGTTGGTTGTTGCAGGATATATTATTTTTTTATTATTATTTTCCTTTTTCACTGTTTATTTCTGATTCTGGTGCATTTTGGTTTACATTTTGGCTTTTTATTTTGTACAGTTGTAAATATTTGTATGTTGAATGCCTAGGTGTACATTTTTAAGCTTTAAAAGCTGCAAGCCAAGCCATGTGGTCATGTTACCCAGATGTTGCAGGGATGTTTTTCCCCCTCTTTTTAATGGGGGAATGTTGGGGGTGGGGGAAGATTCAGCTTCTCTAAGTGAAGGGTGGGTATCACTTCATCCCAGTTGGGTGGGGAGGGAAGGGGTGAGAAAGGAAATTACATCAATGAACTGGGCTCCCCCCCCCCCCCCGATTTTAAAATTTCTTTACAGAACAATATATACAGTAGGGTTATTGGGGAGGGGGGGTTCTCCTTGTTACTTATTCCCAGGGCTGTGTGTAATCTGCACTGAAAAGAAATAAATAAAACAATGCACCAATGAAAGCGGAGTTCTGTGTGCTGAGTCAGCCAGGCAACCTATTCACACCTTCTCTCCTTGCTCACTGAAGCTATGATCTTTTGAATCTCTGCTCATTCTCTAGACTGGGTTTCCAGGAGGCATTGCCTACACATTTCCAGGCATATCTTTGCATCTATGATGACTAGAAGCTTGCAATAAGGAGAATAACTAAATTCCACACCCAACCTTGAATCCTGCTGTTTCCAGTGGCATAAAGGGGGGCCACGGGTGGTTGCTCCGGGTCCAAAATCATTAGGTAAAGGTAAAGGGACCCCTGACCATTAGGTCCAGTCACGAACGACTCTGGGGTTGTGGCGCTCATTTCGCTTTATTGGCCGAGGGAGCCGGCGTACAGCTTCCGGGTCACGTGGCCAGCATGAATAAGCCACTTCTGGCGAACCAGAGCAGCGCATGGAAACACTGTTTACCTTCCCGCCTGAGCGGTACCTCTCTATCTACTTTCACTTTGAGGTGCTTTCGAACTGCTAGGTCGGCAGGAGCAGGGAGCTCACCCCATCGCGGGGATTCGAACCGCCAACCTTCCAATCGGCAAGCCCTAGGCTCAGTGGTTTAGACCACAGTGCCACCCGTGTCCTCGGGGTTTTGGGTACCAAACTAAATAAATAAATTTAAAGCCCTAAACAACTCAGATCCCCAAATATCCACAGATTGCCTCCTTCTCTACAGACCCTCTCAAGTGCCAAGATCAGAGAGGAGGCCCTCTTGGTAGTTCCTTCATCCTCAGGGGCATGGAGGGCCAGGAGAGGGCATATTCTGTGGCAGCCCCTAAGTTATGGCACTCCCTCCCCACAGAGGCACGTCTGGCCCTGTCATGATACAGCTTTCCCGGAGTGCTGAAGAAGTGTCCCTATGCCCTGGCTTTTGACACGAGGCGTGTTGTTTTGGAACTCTCCATTTTCTGCAATTTTTAGTTGTTTGAAACTGGTTTTTTATATTGTATAGTATTTTGTTTTCACATTAATGCTGTGTTTCGGTTGTGGGGTTTTTTGCCAATTTATTAATTTTCCAAATTATTACAAATCCAACCAAATTACTTTAATATAATTTCCTACAATATGGTTTCCCGCTCCTGTTGCAAACATATGTCGATCTTCCCTCCCATAGCTGCATCATTTCTTATTTAGTGTTCAGTTGTCATCCATCAATCTTCGTTTCTGCGCTGTGTTTTGATTGTTGCAACCTGCCTCTGGACCTTAGGGTGATGGGGGAGTCATACATAGTAATTGTAAATGAATGAATGACTGGCTAATCAAGGAAGTTTCTATAAATGGATAGGTCTGCTGGCATAAGGAGATCTTCAAAAGACACCCGGAAGTCTGTAGTAAGGAGGCTGTGATAGATTAACTTGTAGGAAAAAATGGCTGCGATGCGGCACAAAGCCTTGGAGATAAAACTGGCAGCATTGCTCATGTGGTTTGCTGTTGTTGTTATGGATTTCCCGATTTTTGCGTCAAGTTCTTCCTGATGACGGTCAGTTCAGCAGCCAAGGCCAAACTGTCCACTAGGCCGAGATTTACAGCCGCGAGGGCCCAGCTTTTTTGGAAGTAAAGTGCTTGGAAACATTTAGCCGCAGCAGCCATACATTTATTTGTAATATCTAGGGATAGTGGAGGAATTTGATTTTGCTGGCATTATAATGCCAAAGTGAACTACCTTTTGAACCATTATGCAAAGCAGAAACACAATGATGAAATCTGCGCTTCTCTAAATGCAGTTCTCCAAGGAAATAATGTATAATAAACCTTTACTAGGAAGATGTGTGCATACAGTCATGGAAATAACATACCAAAATGCATTGTATTGGGGGAAATGGTTCACTAAAATGTGTATATTACTCAAAACTATACAAAAATGTATATTTTAGGAGAACTGCACACTAAGATGCCGATGAATTTTCAGGAGGATTTTTAAAATTAAAATATGTAGATTGATACAGATAGGACAGCTGAAGTTAAGACTGGAAAAATAAAAAAATGGAAAGAACTGACAGATTTATCAATCCCTATTGACACATTACAGTAGTACCTCGGTTTAAGAACAGCCCTGTTTATGAACTATTCGCTTTACGAACTCCGCAAAAGTAGAAGTAGTGTCCCGTTTTGTGAACTTTACCTCGGTCTAAGAATGGTGGAAGGGCAGCGGTGGCGGGAGGCCTCAATAGGGAAAGCGCGCCTCAGTTTAAGAATGATTTTGGTTTAAGAACGGACTTCTGGAATGAATTAAGTTTGTAAACCAAGGTACCACTGAATAAGGATCTCCTAACAGCTGTCAACACCAGTAACAGATTTGTAGTGTTGCTGTGGCCCCCATTCAACCATGAAACTCACTGGGCCAATGATTATCATTCAGTGTAGCCCACCTCATGAGGTTGCAGGGAGGATAAAACAGGCTGGCAGCAGCTGTGGCATGCAGAGTCACCCGAGCTGCCCAAGCCCAAGCCCCAGATGGGCATGTTGGCCCCCCAAAAGAGGACCTGTACGGGTTTCCCCAGATGTATGGCAGCCCTAGGTAGGGGGGAGGTTGGTTGGCCAAGGGTTTGGAGGGAAGGCAGTGTTGGCAAGCCCCGGGTAGATACATCTTAAAAAGTGATGTCCCTAACATACTTCCCAGGTCTGTTATCCCTTAGTGATCGGCTCTGCTATGATGAGTTGGGGGGTGGGGGCAGAGGAGAGGATGCAAAAAGAAGCTTCCTGCCATCCAGCTTTTCTGAGGCACCTCAACCTTGGCTGCCTCCTCAGTCAAGACAAATTACCCTGACCAGGCCTATTGGGAAATCTCAAACTTTCCTTTGTGCTGTTTTGCTGGATTTGAAGGTTGTTTGGGCAACAGAGAAGGCCCTTCTGACTTTGTCCCCATTTGCACCATACATTTAAAGCGCTCCTTCAAATACTTGGGCCCCAAGTCATTAGCCTTGATGGTTTTTCTGCAGGAAGTTTTGTTCTTCCAGATGTTTGGTAATTTTACCTTTAATCATGTTTCTCGCCAGATTTGCTGTGTTAGATGTTTAGCTGTTAGGCAGCCATTTTGTGTGATGCCACACACCCACCGGGGCCATTTTGTGACTGGCACCCATAGTGCTTTCTCAGTTCTAGATGTGCCCCCTGGCCCAGTGTAGAGGCACTACGGAGGGAACTCTGTTCTGAAGGAGGACAGCTTTAGCAATCCACAGTTGTGCAATTTTATCAAGGGATCCCCACATAGGCAAATATAAGGGAAGGGAAGGAATTGTCCTTATCAGGGAAAGATCCAAGCTTGCCTCTTTCCACAACTGGACAATGTGGGGGCATTTTGTGATGACTGTACATTCTTTTTGTTCTCTTCCTGAAGGCTGAATCCAGCGTTGCAGCTTTCGCAGTTAAGGAGCTGATAGTGTAAGAAGCGCCATCTGCCATGGGCCTCTCCTGCGATGTGCTTGTGCAACTGGCAGATAGAATGGCTGCTTTCTTATCTGCTTGTTAAAAATGTTTTATTCTCCTCTGCACAGCCAAGCGCACTTGCTCCCTCAAACGTTTGGCAGGGAATTATCTGTGGTGAGAGGAAAGGAGATTATTTAGTTTTTTGATGCAACATCCTTTGTGCTTTGAGAGGCCAGTTGTGTGCTTTCAGGCACATATGATTCACCCAGAGGGGGGAGTTCGAGAAAGGTGCTAGGCATGTAAAAGGCCCCAGATCCAGTTTCCAGCATCTCTGGTCTCAAAAGGACCGAGTTAAGGGAAAAGACCCTCTGCTTGAGACCCTGGGTGATGGGGGCACCACCAGTCAGTGCTGACAATATTGGGTTAGGCAGGCAAACTGTTTGACTTGGTAACCAAACAGATTCCTGTATTCCTTATGCATGAATGAGAGCACATTGTCAGGGTTTTGTTTTTTTAATGTTTATAAAATATGCATAGCTTCCTTCCTTTCTCGGGTTCAGTGGAAATAGCATTCCTTTTTCACCCCAGGTGGGTGACGTCCTATATTCTGCAAGAAACAGAGCAGCCACCTTCACCTCACAAAAAAGAATGAAGGAATTTTCACAAAACATGTATATGCTAATTTGTATTTATGTGCATATTTCAAAATAATTACTATAATTTGCAAACAAATACATCTCAACAGAGTGGCCAAGTGTCCTCAGTCTGTAATCCAGGTATAGTGGTACCTCGGGTTACATACGCTTCAGGTTACATATGCTTCAGGTTACAGACTCCGCTAACCCAGAAACAGTGCTTCAGGTTAAGAACTTCTGTATAAGTCCACCTTTCTGTAAGAACTTCTGTATAAGTCCACCTTTTATACTCCCATGCAGTCGTTCAGCGCACCAAGGAAGATGCACATTCCTGTTATCACAAGATGAAATGCAACCCCCCCCCTTCCACACTTTGCCAGGCAAATGGGCGCGGGAGACTGCATTGGATACCTTGCATGTAAATGAGCAGTGCTATACAGCTGCCCAAAGATTTAGTTCCCTGATCCAACAGCACCAAGAAGCCCCTTCAGTGCCAGGATCTCCCTTGCTAAGTCAGGCCAAATTCATCTTGGTTCCAGCAACAGCTCCTGTCTGATGGTCTTTACTCTTTGTAGGCCACCTGTTATTCGAATGGAGTCTTCCCCATACACAACAACAACGATGTCACATGTAACACAACACACACACACACACACACACACACACACACACACACACACACCGGCATATATCTTTTCCTGCTTGTAATGTAAAAACTCCATTTCTTACCCACAGGGGGGATATCTTTTGTACTGACAAACATTGAAAGCTTGTTGAAAATGAGTAACAGTATGAGTCAAAGGGGAGGTCACATGAAAAAAGGGGTTCCAAAGGAAAGCAATTTTGGATACTGAGTAATGATGTATTAGATGACTGAACTTGATGCAAACATGTGAGTGTGACATCAGATTATTCCGCCATGGCCCTGTCTTTCACACCCTCATCACAGAAGGCTCCAGCACTGCT